ACCTCCCCCACCCTCCTTCCTCCCCTTCCCCAGCCCTAGAACCCTCCATCCTTCCCCCCCCACCACTCCGTCTCCTCCACGCCATATCCCGTCTAATTCTCCTCTTCAAATCCCTTCCCCGAGGCACCTCGACTAATCCTTCCCCTTTCTTCAACTTTACCACACCCCCTTTCCCTTTCCCCTCCTTTTTCTTCAATGATTCCCCAGCCTCATCCCCATCACCCTCCTCATCATCCCAATCCCCAAGCCGTCCCACCCCGGCATAAACAAGCCGATCCTCACCATATCGCTGTTTAAACACCACAGGAGCGGCTTCCTTGATAAGAATGGGTGCGTTGGAGGCGGTGGAGTGGTAAAGGCCTTTGGCGTCGTAGCCTTCGAGGGCGGTGGCGGCGTTTATCTCGGCCATCATTTGTTCGTAGGTTTGGGGTTTGGGTTTGGGGTCTTTAGGGAGTGAGGGTTCTGAGGGAGGCATTTTGGGGGTTGAGGGGGAAGAAGAGAAGGGAGATGAGGAGGGGGATGTGTTGGGAGAGAGGAGAGATGAGGTGATTCGGGGAGTTGAAGGGGCAGATGTTTGGGGAGATGTGTTGGGAGTCGTTGTGGTTGTTGTCGGGGCCGACATTTCAGTTTGTAGTGTAGCCATTTTGGTGGATGAAATGTATACCTAGATATCTACTCAGCTTTTGGGGGATGGGCGAGAGGTTGTAGGGTAAGGGGATGAGATATAGAAGAGACTTGAGAAAAGAGGAGGATACATGTTGTTCTGTATAGATCTCTTTGTTTGGGGCAAAGGGGTTGGTGGTTGAGAAATGAACAAAGGGATTGTTCTGGACGGGAACGTGTTTGAGAGTGGGACGAGAGACAAAGAGATAGAGGTGTTTTGAGGGTTGCTGGAGAAAGGAAGATAGGAGGGTTGTGGTTGAATTAAAGATTGGTCTACATATTAGCAAAAGGGAGACGAGAAAAGGGATGATGATATACTTATAGGGCATTTCGCGAAGATAAACTGAAGCTCTTGTATGCGAATATCACTTGTGCGGCATGAGAGAGTAGGTGCTGTCAATTCGTGCTTAGCACATTTGGTATTGCTATATCCCGCTATCTCTGTTACTCCTCCCAGTCGATAGTCCTACCCCAAGCTGATCCACAAAACCGCTACTATCAGCACAACCTCCTCTCGCATTGCGAGTAACCTCCAAATTGACACTCCATTGCACCTAAAAGTGCAAGTAGCCCTGTCCTCTTCTATCCAGAAGTTTCATCAAAACCGCTTAGTCAAATGATAAACACCTTCCCAAACCCAAAGGGATATCCAAGTGCAATTGCTTGCCTCATCCAACTCCATTTATACCCAACGTTATCGAAAGCAAACCCAACCGTTTTACACCAAGACGCAGCATTACAAATTACATCATTCCGCAACCGGCAAGATTCTGTTTCTTTTCCTCATCCTAGGCATGGATCGCACCTTGAGCTTCCCATTAACAACCAACTGACTGTTCATCCCCTCAATACTCCCACGATACTTTAATCCACTATGTTTCCTGATCCCACTCGGCGTACACCTCCTCAACGACAGCTCCTCCTTCAACGCAGTAATCTGCTCTTCCATTTCCGCGAACCCCTCGTCGTCTTCGGGGTTGGGATCTGGACTTATCCCACGATTCTCAAAATATAAAGGAGAGAAGATCGACTTGTCGTCTGATTGCTTGGCTGGAACTGTTTGCGGACTCCAGAGGTTTTGGTTCGATGTTGTTTTGTGTAGTGTACATTGTGAATTGCCATCGACCATATCCTCGACCAATGCACTAATATCCCGAACGTGCTTTGCGCAGGCTTGCATCTGGGTGTTTCGTTGTCGTTGAACCCGTCGACATGCGACCCTTCCGTGGTTGGACGGGGCTTGCAGCGTCATAGGTGCAGCATCGCTATAACCCGCTTTAACTTTCGCCATGCCTCGGGTCGTTGAGACAAAAGCAAGATCCTCGATATTAAATGGATCGCAATTGTCGTCGAAGTCAGTTATCGGACTTGGTAATGTGGTTTGCCATATGGAAGGCTGTGACGTCTCGCTTTCGTGTGATAGGGATTGTCTGCTCATTTGTTGTACGATAGAACCAAGCTCCGGCTGCGACTCTTCCCAGTTAAACGGGAATGAAGTCGATGAAGCCGAAGGTGGCTCAGAGCAGGAGATATCTGTTGGGGAAGCATCCCAATCCTCTTGTGGTCGTGTCTGCGCTTGAGCGCCGAACGTAAAGTGTTCAAACATTGTTGGTATGGTGTTGTTCGAGGCAGATAATCGATATACTGCACCAACAACGTCAAGGGACAACCACCATTTGCGAGAAGGAGTCGAGGCGTTTTAACAAATCATAGAGATTGATGTTGTTGTTGTTATTATTTCGAAGAATGAGGACGAAACGCTGTGGCTTGAATCCAGAACTGGGCGAGACGACGGCGATGCGACTTGTGGGTATATGGGCCAGAGCCTGGGTCGAGGAGCAAAGTTCGGGCGCCTGTAGTTGGATCTAGCCGTAGGAGCTGTCTGCGCACGGAATGACGCGTTTGTTGGCGTTCTTTGTTAGTGGAATTGGTCGTTTGAAAGAATGTTAACTTGTTCGAAATCCGTCGAGTATCATGTTTGTCCGGTTTACGGTCGAGATGTTCAAGAATGCAACTTTACAACAAGCAGACGCAGCTCATCTTTCCACTGGGGAGGCCTCGACCAATATGTCCTCACACAGCATTCGCTTGGAGAGCCCACCGAGCGCAGACGCTGTCCGATTTGGTGGGCTCCCCCGTTTTCAGAGGATCCAAGAATCGCTAGCCCAGATGGAGGGCAACCCACCGCGCCGGAGAATGCGAGAGTAGCCAATGATGGCATTCCCAGTGAGAATTTTCCCACGAAGGCGGCCACGGGTGGAAAGTGTCTTGGCTAGCGTTGAAAGGGGCCCTGTCTTATCCCTTGTTGCAGTTGTTGGCACGCGAAGGAGGAGAAGCTCGCTTAGAGCAAACATTCGCGGCTTTGAGCCTTTCCCCGTCATCGCAAACTCGCAAACCCTTGAGGACAGTCAAAGCCATGCCATGTGCTTGCTCCTGCATCACTGCAACTGCTTTGGAGATAGGACGAGGACCTTGCAGACATATCGAGCAGACGGTCGATGAAGTCGAGACTCAAGAGAGCCGGTTCGGAGGGGAAAGAAACCAAACTGTTGAAAGCTTTGGTCATGCAGCTGTGGCAGCTTTGGTCGTGGTTCGTTTCTTTCCCGACGAGCAAAGTTTCCTTTTGGCGCCGTAACCACGGTTCACGTCTTCCCAGGAAAGGCAAGCTCGAGGCGACTACTTCGTTAGTCGACGACTCAGAACACGTTGCTACCCGTTTCCCAACCAAAGTGGCAGGATTTGTCTAGGACGCAAAACGTTGCGGCAACGTGTCGCGACTCGAATAATATGAGCAACATCTGCCGCAACTCTGTACTCTGCCATTAAAGTGATAGGAGAGCAAACGAAGCTTGTGAGATGTGAGAAGAGTCTGGACCACCACAACACCATCCACTCGTTGAGCGGAGATAATGCCCCACGTTATCATCGAACGACCAAGCTTTCATTTTATTTCCGACCAGACAATCTTTTGCCCAAGGCAGACTTCGGCAGACTGACGCGCCGTTGCTTTTTTGTGCACGCCATGCTTGTACGAAGCGTATGCACATTACTGGATGTATGGTCGCGCGAACAGAGCATAAAAATACATATCCAAATACCGTTATGATGGACCATGCGCGGCTTGAACAAGAAGGCTGAAGTTGTCACCAGGACAAATCACAGCTCGTCCTCAAGATCATCTCAAGTTTCATAGGGGGCGAAAACCAATTCCAACACACCCTCAACCAAGCACTGCCTTTGCGCCGTGCACCTCTGACATCCAGTGACAGGCCCGAACCCTTTCGCTGCAGAAGCCCTCGTCTTTTTGACTTTGCATCCAGCCGATCTCCCGATCGTTGGCAGACGACTCCGTTTTGAGAACCGCCAACCTGGCTTCACCAATCAACCAGACCCGCTCTCTCACCTCAGCAAATCAAATGATCTGTCCATGCTCAAGGGAGCTCCTTCCCCCTTGCTTCCTTTCTAGAAGCTCGCTAGAATCCTGGAGGAGCACTGCCGATTTTATCTCCGAATGTAACTTGCTTGCCGCCATGTGCTGGATGCGAGATTTGCCTCCCTAAATTGTGTCGATCTCCTGACTGACTGACGAATTCATACCAGATCATCGCTTGACCAAAAGGGGAATTGAAATGTCCAGAATGAAAAAGTATCGGAAATTCGGAGATGGCTCGGATATGAGAATTCGTCTTCACGAGAAAAGAGCTTCCCTGCATCAAGAGAAACATTTCACGTCCTTCATGCCAGAGCCGAACGCCTGGGTTACCACCGTCCATTCTCTAGGGAATTTTAGGGGGCTCGGATGCGCTGATGGTCTTTTCAGGTTTCATCTTTATTTCTCTTCTCCAGTAAGCTGGTAAGCATGATTCGCGTCAAACCAGAGCCGGATTTAAGCGAGGCGAATTGAAGTCGTAAGGCTTCAAATCTCACTTCACGATTTGACAACACTTCTCGTACGCTATCTCGCGATGTCTAATATTATTCATGCTGCATAATCGTGCGATTGTGTCTGGATGGCTGGAAATGCGGCGTCAACACCAGGTTACCCCTTTGACAAATACGCCTCAGAACCATTAGCGAGGCTCTTCGTCAATATCTTTTGGGAACGATATCTAAGCTGATGGAATGCTCATGTCCACTCATCTAAGACCGCCAGTCATTTCATGACTTTGGGTAACCGATGACCAGGAATCCAGCTCTTCCGTGCAGCCTTCTCGAAGCCTAATGCCCTCTTAGGGATGAGCTGAAGATCCTTAGCCCTTCGACGCGAGAATTGATTGGATGCTAATTGAGCGTCAACACAATTGTCTTACTACACAATCCAATCATGATGTCTGATGTTGTGGTAGTATTATTGTTTAGGGAACAACAGAATAGGGTTGGTGGCTTGCCTGTTGACTAGTTTCGCCTAGCTGATTGTTTCGGTGAGCGAGGAGGTGGGAAAGCCTCAGCTGAGAAGATGTCATTGTTTTGTACTCTGATGTTCGTGAAATTATACCCCGACGGGTCCTTCTTATCCTTTTGTGTTTGGGACCGTATTGAAGCGATTTGAATTAATCGAACCTGGCTCACAGTGTCATTCTAGGTGAGGTTACAAGTTTAGACAGACATCTCATACTTTGGCGTAACTGAATTGTCACTCTTCTCAACTAAAATAATTCTTTTTTTGGACAACTTACAAAATGCTTGGGAGTAGTTACAAAAGTGGGTGGTGTGAGAGGTGGGATTTATCCACTCTGTTGATTTCGTTCAAGTGGAATCATTGGAGCATGGATTCTTTTTTAAGCTGAGAATGATTTGAATTGTGGTAATGCTATGGTCGTTTATCACATTTAACATGTTCTTTATTCCCACATGTTTCTGCAAGTTTGCGAGTTTGCTATGGACGTTTATTACAGAACTGTAGATCGTTTGTCCGGTTACTACTTCCTTCTAGTTGCGATGATAGTTGCTGATTAAAAGTTGAAGCTCCGAGTACTCTATGTCAGGATCTTTGTGTAGCTACATGCTCTCCATGCTCATTCCATAAAACAATTTTTAGAACATTATTATCGCAAAAACCTGTTAAAGTGATTCGGCACGTCTTGCTAGTACACTTTGCAAAAACGTGTTTTCATCTTCCCTTTTCTACAAAAGAAATGTCTATGCCAAGTGAATTTTACACCAAGAAGCAGTTGAATTTTTTTTCAACTGGAGCACATAAACAAGAATGTTTATTGTAGAATCACTACACGAGGCAATATGTGCCCAAAATATTTCCTCAACATCTGACAAAGGAAACTGAATCCAAGAACGTTTCCCCATCAGTTTCCCATTGTCTTCTTTCACCCGCAACATAATGAACAAAGATAATCATAAGACCTACCTATCAGCCACAAGGTAGAACAGCTCCAACAATGCCATTGTTGCAGAACAGTTGTTTTCCACTCTCATCTCACATATAAGCTACTCAATCTTTCTTGGATAATCTTCCTTAGCCATCAACCAACGATTTCACAACTTTTAGTAACTTTCAAGACTGAGATCGACGGCACCAACAACCACAAGCAAGGTAAGTAAACCCCCACCACCACACTAACAACTTTCAGAACCCAAATCAACTTCATCAACCACAAGATGAGTTTCCTCAACCTCAAAGCCAAAGCCGAAAAAGCAGCCTCTCACATCGGCCTCAGCAGAACCAAAAGTCTCCACATGAAAAACCCCTTCACCAACCCCCGCCGCCTCGACGCCGCCATTATCGCTCCACGCACCCCCCTCAGCGACTCCGAAGACGATTTCCCCTCGGCCCGCACAACCCGCCGCACCACCCTCTTCTCAACACCCAGCCGACGCGTCTCTCCTCACGCCTCGTCCCGCGAAGACCGCTTCTGGGAAGCAGACCACCACTTCCGCGAGCAGGAAAAGTCAGAAGTGTATTCTGATTTCCAGGCCTTGAATCCTGAGAACGTGAGGGTTGAGAGGTTGAAACCGGCGCAGGAGCGTGAGTTTAAGAGGGTTAAGGCGGAACAGGCGAGGAGGGAACGGGATGCGGTGAGGGCGAGAGCGAGGGCGCAGAGGGAGTTTTTGGAGGAGCAGATGAGGTTTGTGGAGGCTTGTGAGGAGGAGGAGGAGGGGGTGTGACGAGTGGACTTGAAGTCTGGGACTTCGACTCTTGCAAACTATATGTTGGTAAGTACTGTTCCATCCCTTTGATTGCTGTCGTGGTATAGAGTCTAGACTTAGTACTTAGTCTGATATATCAATCGAGCATATTCTAAATTACATAAATTTTATTAGCCAAATGACCGTTTTTTTCCCTCTAATATTGTGATGAGCGCGTTGAGAGTATAAGTAAAAATTGTATAAACAGTAAAAAACCATAATATCTTACATTTGCTAGTCAATAAATCGATAGATGTATCGTGTAGACGTAAAATTTGTGAAAAGGGGGTCGCTCGCTTAATTAGGTATCGTTACTACACAGGTCTTGCCCTCTACGCGATATTATTCTATTTCTTATTTTAGCCCTTTTTAACCTTGTATTTTTTAGCTTATTAACTTGCAGGTAGATAATAAAGATGTTTTGATCTTCAAGAAAAGGCGCGGCTCGCTTAATTAAAGACTATTGACATCGAAATAACTTTTGTAACTTGTAATTTTCCTATGCTTCACTTTTGTCAAATTCCTCACCTCATCCACTGTACACTAATAGAAACTCACATCAACAAGTGCCATATTATATCCCAAAAGAATTTACATTCCCCTCCCTTTATTTGTCTTTCATATTTCCTCTCCTAGAATTCCGTCATAGATACTTCCCCACCAACTCCCTCGGCATATCCTCCAAAGAAGGCACGTCCCCTTCCAACCCCTCAACCTTCTTCCTCGCTTGCTGAAGCATCTCCTCTAAAAATACCCAATCCTGATTATTCTTATGCCACACGGTAATTTTCTCATGATACGGCTCGAGATACGCGTACCAACCCTCATTTGAGTTTACGTGGTTGACGAGGACATGGGATAAGGCGGAGGGAGGGAGTAAGTAGGGGTGGGCAGCGTGTGCGGTCCGGCCGATTTGTGAGTCGTCGTCGCAGAAGTCTTCTGAGTGTCGACTTTCTAGGTTAAGGTCGTTCAAGCTAGGCTCTGATTCGGTTGAGTCGGAGTTCCGGGGGGTTTGGGCGTCTGGCTCGGTAGTGATGATGGAGAGAAATGTGTTTAGACGGTGCCAGAGATCGGCGGTTTCTGCTGCTTCGTGGGTAGAGCTTCTGGTGCGTGGGTACCAGCGGGGCATGGCCTCTGGGAGAATATCATCTTCATCTTCTTCCTCTTGGCTGTAGTCCTCTTTATCCACATCTTCCTCCTTTTCGTCCTCCTTTTTAGCAGCCTTTTTCCTCGCCTCTTTCTCGTCAAGTTCGGCCCTCTTCCTCCTAACCGCCTCACCCACACGATCGACAAACTTAGCCAATACCGAATCTCTATGAAAGCGGCACTCACCAGTAGCACCCTCATTCAACCTTTCAACCGTCCATCTAAGTCGACCCACTGTAGCCTCTACACACCACTTATCCCACGTATATCCCGTCTTCGCCTGATCCTCCCAAATATACCCAGACGAATGATCATTATAGGGAATTGTCCACGAGCATCTCGATGGTAAAGGCACAGCCGGAAAAAACCAATAGTCTTTCCATTCAGCACACAGCTCAATGGAGATGGCAGTATCATATTTCAATCTCAGTGGAATTTCCTCTTCTAGCATTCGCTTTTCAGCCACCCAGACCTTCATCTTTTGGTATTCTGTGTGAAGGAGATGCTCGAAGCGTTCGGCCCATATAGCGTCGCTGATGAGGCCTTCGCGGCTATCGCTAGCGCTGTTGCAGACGTGGTAATTGTGGGCTCTTTGGAGTCTGTAGAGTACGACTTCAATGTCAGCGGTGGGCGAGTTTGGTAAACCGAGATACCGGTCGAGTTGTTGGTTATCATATGATAGGTTTTGGAGTGTTTCAAAGTTGGTGTAGCTCCATATGATGTCCGGGACGGCGGTTACATCCTGGAGTGCGAGTTGTGGTGTCCACAGACGAAAGACTGGTTTTTTTCGTATCTCCAGAACCTCTATACCTTCCTTTGCTCGTGTATCTTGGTGTTGCATAGTTTTGAGTGATGCAAGCGAATTAGATTATGCAGTTGAAGTTTTCCTCAACGTCACTGTTTGTGAAATTTGGATGCTCATAGAGAGTCAACGCTTCCTCCTTATATGTGAGAAATCTCTTAACAAGAACAGACGGTATGAGTATTAGGCGTTTATTAGGTACTTGACACGGATTATTCCATTCAGTCGGGTATTCTATTAGGCAGTTCACTAGATTGATACAAAGAATTCGCTTGACTTGAACAGCATCAATGAACATAAATCAGCTCAAAGGAGTTACACTTCAATTTCACAAAGAACTCATCGATGCTTGCCAACAAAGAAGCCTTCAAGAATAGTGATTGTCGCAAGATAAAAACAAGACAGTTGTTCGTCCTTGGTAACTCCTGTTTAAATCCCAAGACAACTTCTTCATCCGTCTAAACACCATCGAATGTTACCTATAAAATGACTCCTCATGTCACCTACGATAGTCCAATGACTCTTAGACAAACATAGAGGAACATCAATAAACATCTTTTACTCTCCTCTACATTCCCAAAAGCCACCCCAATATGGCTACCCAGAAGCCCAGACAAACCCTCCATCGGCCAACTCCCCGAGAAGAAACCCATGGAAGATGTTTAGAGGATTCATGGATAGATCTACCCCCCGAAACCCCCACTCAATCCCTAGCACGGAGACTCATCGAAGTCCTACCTCTCTCCCCTGAACTCCTCCAAAAGATCGACTACACCCTCCTAGATACTCCAGAAGGCCATCGCCAATTCCTCGAGCGCGAACGCAAGGCTGTGGAAGCAGAAGATAAACTCTACCGCGAAGCGATAGAGCACGAGATCGAGCAGAATAGACTTAATTTTGAGTACAGATTCCGCAAAGGCGGACCTTGGTTGGAAGAGGATAATTATCCTTATCCTATTCGGCAGCGCCGAGATAGCAAGAGTATGATTGGAAACCTGGTGGGCTTCTTTGAGAATAAAGACAGAGACAGGAAATAGATAGTCCGAGACGACGGTAAACTACTAATTTTAAGGCATATATTTCGACGCATTACGACTTGACGATTTCGTCCGAGAAGACGCTAAACTATTTCTTTTCTTTACGTTTCTGGGGGGTATAGGGATGGATGTATGGTCTAGATGCACCTAGATTATATTTCTATTCTTATGGCAGGACTTTTCATTTCTTGGACATATTTTAGCACACTTCGGTTAGATATTATCTACGGTAAGGACGGATCTTCACTTCTCCGCACATATTTCTGCACACTTCAGTTAGATATTATGCACGGTAGGTCAGCTCAAAGGAAGCAACTAGATGGAACATCGGTTCCAACAACAGTTCTACAATTGCTCGAAAAAACTTCATTTCGCTGCACATATTTCAGCACACTTCGGTTAGATTTTAGGACCGTTCAAAAGAAATGGACAGCTTGAAAATAGTCCGCAATGACAGTAAACTACCCTTTGGAGGAATAATAAAGTACCCGAGCGGTATGCTTATTCCTCGTCCGAGACGACACTAAACTATTCTCTTCGCTGCACATATTCAGCACACTTCAGTTAGATCTTATTTACAGCGGTTTCGTTCAGGTAAAATGGGTGGCTGGAGAAATAGTCCGGAATGACATTAAACTATCCTCTTCGCTGCACATATTTCTACACACTTTAGTTAGACAGTAGGTCCGTTCAGTTATGAGCTACGAATTCACTTTCTATTTGTACGACCAGGATTTCTTAATCTAATCTAATACGTGGAGATATAACACTCTTTTGGCGAAAGAGCATAGTCCGCAATGAAATAAAACTACTTTAGAGGTTTAATAAAGTACCCGGGCGGTATGCTTACACCTTATTCTAACGAATTTCCTTTCTCTAGGACTTCCTGAATTTAATCTTAACTTACTTTATAATTACAAAAACCTCCATCTTATCGTCCGCAAAGACGTGAAACTAATGACTTTCCTGACATTACGAATTTCCACATTTGCTTATCAATGTATAATCAGGGGTGAGTTAGAAAGATAGGTCGGAATAAGGTTAAACTAGTTCGAAAAGATAGAGAAAGAAAGTTTCCTTCTTTACCCCGCTTAAAGATAGTCCGCAATGACAAGAAACTACGATGCCTCTAAGTAGAGGTTATAGTCCGGAATGACATAAAACTATTAAGTCTCGGTATGACTCTAAACTAGCGTGTACCGGTAGAAAGAGAGGATTTCCTTTATATTCCATTCTAAGGTAATGTTTAATATCTTGTAACTTTAAGATGAGAGGAGTCATAAAGTACCCGAGCGGTATGCTTACTTCTCTAGAAGTCTAAGATGACGGTTTGTACGAAGTAGAGGGGGACAATATAGTACCCGGGCGGTATGCTTGTTCTCCTTAAATGTATGAATTTTAGAAGGAAGGATAATACTTAATTGTAACATTTATTATTTTAAAAAAAAATGTTTTCGAAAATTTGATAACATGATGTGAATTTTATGTTCCAGGGAAATAACTCCTCTTTGGGAGGCTTATTGAGAAAGGAAAATTTGTCTAACTTGTGTACTTACTCGAGGTTCTTCGCCATGATGAGATGAGGTGATGTAGGGAAGCACGATGTAAGGTTTACAATGCAATGAAATCTATCGATAGACTTGCTGCTTCACAAATAAAAAGACTATAATCCTGTCTCTCCCAAAAGAGGTAAAAGGTTTTGCGATGGCAAGTCCTTTGCCATTGCTAGCACTTGCTAAAAAGAATTCGCCATGTATGAGTATGCAATCACTTCACTCGTTGGACAATAATAGAACCCAAAGTGATCAACATCTCCCAGCTTGCTTCTGCACTCTGATTTTCCTGTTTACCACGCCTTCCTTTCGAGGTTACATCAATATGTGGCGAAGCAACGCACCCCAAAAAACAAACACGGCAAACATCAAACCAAAACAACATCACAGGATCAAACAAAAGCCGCAAACAGGAATCAAGTTGAAACAAATCGAGGATGAAGTCATCGACAAAACAACGCTGTGGTGTGGACGGGGAAAATCCAGCGGATCGGCGGGTTTGTATGCATGATGGGTATCTTGAAACGAGTTCTGCTGCTGATTGTCAAGGGTTCGCTTAGGCTGTACATTGTTGAGGGGGTGGGAATAGAGGAGTGAGGATAGAGGGTGGTGATACTGGTTGGATATAGACACCTCGCTTAGGTCCAGTATGTTCGACATCAGCCATGTGTATTTACACAGAAATGCTGCTGAATTTTTGATATAGAATTTATATAAAGTGATTTAACTACCTCTCAAAGTAGGCAGAAATTTTATACAGGATGCGTAGTTCTCGTCAATCTTTATATCTAAAAAGATCCAACCTCTATTATTGCAGTGAGAATCGAGAATTTAACGAATAACTTCTACACTTCGCTATACACTATTTGGAGATTTTTACCAACTAACCTGTTATTGCAATATATAGCGTTTTCCTAAGCTGTGTTAATTCACTCGTAGGTTGGTCTTGCGTTTCGAGCGATTCGCTTAAAAATATTGGAAGATCAAAAATTCTTTTTACCCTTATTGTTTCAAGCTCAAGGCTCTTTGTTATTCAAGTTAGAGGGAATTTCTTAACATTCGTATACACCTACAAGGCTATGAAACGAGCAGAAGATTTAATCGGACGAAGGTCCCACATGTTAAGAGAATGTTAAACGTATATATTGGTCAATCTATAGTAGTATGGTGGTCAATCTGTGGCATTACCTAAACCATAATATCGATCGAACCTTTTGTTAGAAACATTTGCGCTAAATGAAATATATACAAAGTAGGCTTTCGATTCCGAGATAACCCCGAGGTTCTGTACTATTTGAGTGAATTGTGCTCGAATATACTTATCCCCTGCAGTCCAAATTGCTTGGCTTTCCACGGGCAGACGACACATGAGAGTAGACTGTGGTGGAAAATAGAGCATTGAAAACTTTCACCTTGCTTTTGTATTCGGGGTTCCCAGCTACAAAAGCCTTGCTCCAGAGGTAGCATCAGAGGTTGGCGAAGTAGAACATCCCATGAGTACAGCACCACGCAGTTCAAAGCTGAAGCCCGGCCGAATCCAGCATTCTCAAGAAACCAGCGCAGCATCCCAAACAAAATAATATTGATTATTCCAACCTGATTCGTTGCGGCTCGATCCCTACTGTGCCACCGCTCTGCTGTCCAGATGTTTGTGGATGTTTTCGCTTTCGACCCTTCAGGTGTTTGCGGTTTTGTTTCATCCTTCGAAGAAATGATAGACTAAACTTTGGAAATGCCAAGTCGCAGATGGCCATCCACCAGATCTACGGGCTTGCATGCTTGACAAGTGTCTTGAACCTCGTTCCGCTGCCGATTGTCGGGATTCGTCTGGGAAAAGAATATGACTCCCTCAAGCTTCTCTCCAAGGATGCTAGAACACTATCGCTCAATAAAGCCATCTAGATTAGCAGATGGCGGACAAGAAGGATGGAAGACTGTGCTTACCACGACTGGCAGATCGAAGTCCCTGATGGTAGAGGTAGAGTCGCAGGAGCTGTTGTGTTGTTGTTATTGTTGTTGTGGCATGTTGAGATGGAACCGCGAACAGATCAGTTCTGCGAGCAGGAAATCGGTAATGCTTCCCCCAAGACCGAATTGAAGCACATAACATCGAATTCGTACGAGGAGCAAATACAGATGAAATCGACTAGGAGCAAGGAAGTTCTGGCATAGAATCGGTGGGGAAGTGTAGGGAAGTCCTCTCGAAGAGAGCGCCAAGACTCCACCCCCTCGCCCATCACCACGCCTGCCATCGCTCCTTCCCTTTCTTCAACAGCACGGCAAGACGATTACGCTTCTACACCGGGCCGTTTCTTTTCGCATCTAAAGAATGCAAATAAGAAAATTTCCCGACCAATCCGATTCAAGGCTTCAAACGTAAGTTGTTCTCATTCCCAACCCACACCCATAAGCTGTGATGAAGCCCAAAAGTAAACAGAATCCTACCATGATGATTCATAATACAAGTGGCTGCTGGTATGAGGCTCGCACTCAATCTCCGAATTTTCGTGACTGTTTAGAAAGCATTCTGCTGACCAACTCCAGTCTTAACTTTTTTTCTTTCTCTTTTTGATTTTGCTCCCTTCTCTGGATACATCTGGTTCTTCAACTGACCCATCCAACGTTTTTGATTGTGAAATTGTGTCATCTGTGATTCTGATTTTTTTGAGCCTTGAGGTGGTGGTTTGCAACTATACTCCGTAAGCAAGCGAATATTACATCGGGTTTCTTAAAATTCTTACTTACCTAGACGCGCGGTGGACAGGAAGGACATGGGTTCTTGAAAACCTGTTGCCGATGTAGTTCGCCTGAAGAGATTTTTAAACGCCCAAAGCATACTTTATTCCGTCCCATGAGCCCGTCTACATCTCTTTACATTTCAGAGTGCCTCCTTTGGTCGTGCCGCAGTCTGTGCCGGGTGGGCTTGCGGGTTGAGCGACTGACTGCGAGGTAGTTGCATCTTGTTCGTACCAGAGTACTCTGACGATCAGAGCGCCCTTAAGGGAGATTAGGCTTTTAATTTGGTTGGCTGCCGTGGGTTAGCGTTCTGGATATTTCTTGTACGCAGATGGCAGTCTAATTGCTGTTGTGGGTAGGAAAACGAATTGAAGAACATGCCTCTTGACGCCAATAAAGTGGTCTTTTGAGTGTGCTCCGTGGCATCTCTATTTATTTTGACGAAGTTCACAGCGGAATGGTGGATTTTGATCATGCCCGGAGACCTGCTGCCCTGAAGAAGTTTCTTGGGTCGAATTCAGAGGTGGCAATGTGGCATAGACGAGCCAAGTATGCTGAATTTGTTGTTAGCATTTGCTGTGTAGAATTTAAGGGTTGAAAAATGACGTACAGTTGGTCGTATCTGGTAAGTTGTTGATAAGGGGGATTATACTGTTTACTTGTGGTATAATTCTAGCTCTCGCCAAGGAAGAAGGATCAGTCAAAGTCAATTGCAAATTATATAGAAAGAATTTTCGCGCAAGATATAGTGACACCTCCAGTATACTAAAGTTAAAAGGATGGAAGAAGCTAGCTATCCATATCTAGAAGAAGAAAACAAATTACATGTAGCTGAAGCTACAGCGAATAAATGCCGTAAACGGGTAACTCTGCACCCTCCCTGCTAGCTTTGAAGATCGTCCTGTAACTCTCAAATCTACCTTTTAATAAACTCCTTCACAGCTGCAAGTTGGAAACGCGGCGGGAGAGGAATTGGAGGACGACGACGACCACTAGAAACGGTGAGTCGGTGACGAAGTAGATATGATCAAAATAGAGACAGCTTTGCTACTATGTAATCAGCGAGAGTGACGTCCTGCTGCGTAAGATTTATCTAAGTGGTAAAAGGACAATAACAACAGGCTGCGACTTAGGGTACTGCGTTCTTGATGCGTTTTGGGCTCCTGCGGAGCTGAACAAAATTTGCGTGTACCCCTGGCATATGTCACGTGACAACTCAGAATGGTACTCACAACCCGATAGGAGATAAAGCAGATTTCTTGACCCACCAAGCTTCTTTTTCCGAGATAAACCCGAGCCACTTAACACAACGAATCGTACTTTGCTTGCCGTCGAAATTATACTAGAATTTGCTGGTACAATGGGAAGAAGATATGTACATATTTACTACATATTTTAGCTATCGACAGGGGCCTTGTAATTTTGCTATTTTGATAGTTGTACGAGTAGACTCCTTCATTTTACTGTACAAGTGAGCAACCTCCCTTTCAAAACACATCGCGACTCAGACTGTTTGTTAAGGGAGTGCACATAGAACAGCGGCAGTGGATGAATAGAATCACGCCGCCCGGGGTCCGTATCGTATGGGGGACTGATCAATGAAGATCCAATTTCGGTTCAATTCCATCCACGCAAATCAAAAGGGAGATTCCCCGAGCAGATAAGAAAATGTGACTTCTAAGATACAACAGTGTTTGGTGCCAGTTCGATGCCAATTCTCCCCGCCACAATGATTTTCTTGACCCAAACTTAAGCTCATCTAAGCAAAGCATAATTGAGAGTGACGGCACTGACGGAGGCGAAACAAGCCTCGTGTTGAGAAGCGAATTCTCTCAGGTACGAGCGCACTACAGCAGCATGAACCAAATATAGAAATTCGCCGATCGGCGCCGGTCAGCCGAATCAAACTGGAGGTTCATGAGGGCCAGTCGAGGGATCTTCATGTGGGGCAGATGGATCAGCCCCTGACTTCCAAGACCTGAATAATTTCAAAAATTCAGCTAATCACACACCTCGTCCCAATCCAGATCTCCCATCCCTTTTCTACCTCAGACGCCCTCCATATTGAATCTTCTTCTTCTTCGATCTTTAGACCATTTCAACGACAACCTCCTCCCCCCTCTTCTCCATTAACGATTTGTTGGCACAATCACTCGTTTGTTGTTGCCTTTAATATCAAACTTCTAATCAAACTTTCTCTGGTCGCACTCTCACTCTCTTGAGTCGATCAACCTTCATTTTTTGAAGACTTCTGCTAGCTCTTACCGTTTACGCGCCACATCAATTTCAATCACAAGCATTCTTCGAATATTCAATACCACGATACCATTACAGTTTTCAATATGAAGTCCTTTGCCGCCGTCGCAGCCTTTGCTGCCGCAGTCCTCGCAACACCTACACCTACCACCCCAGAGTTGGCTCCACGAGCATCGGCGTCTTTGGAACCCATCACAGTCAAGGGAAATGGTACGACGCGTATTGGCAGATGAATGAAAACAGATACTAACGTGCCACAGCATTCTTTAAAGGAACTAGCAGATTCTACATGCGTGGTGTGGATTGGCAGCCAGGAGGATCTTCAAATCTGGTCGACCCTCTTGCAGACACCGCTCTCTGCACACGAGATATCGCGAACTTCAAGACCTTGGGCCTCAACACCGTCCGTATCTACACAGTCGACAACACTGCCAACCACGACACGTGTATGGGACTTCTCGCTGATGCCGGTATCTACTTGGTTCTCGATGTCAACTCCCCTCTATACTCCATCAACCGTGCTAAGCCAGGACCTTCTTACAACGCCGTCTACCTTCAAAACATCTTTGCTACAATTGATGCATTCGCCAAGTACTCCAACACATTGGCTTTCTTCTCCGGTAACGAGGTTATCAACGATGATCTTACCACCAACTGTGCTCCATACGTCAAGGCGGTTACCCGTGATATGAGACAATACCTTGGAAGCCGTGGTTACCGTCAAATTCCTGTCGGATACTCTGCCGCTGATGTCAACTCTAACCGTCTCGAGATGGCTCAATACATGAACTGTGGTAGTGATGATGAGCGCAGTGATTTCTTCGCTTTCAACGACTACTCATGGTGTGATCCATCCAGCTTCACCACCTCTGGCTGGGACCAGAAGGTGAAGAACTTTACTGGATACGGTCTTCCACTCTTGTAAGTATTTCGTAACCGCTGTAATACAACCAACTAACATTTCTAGTTTGTCCGAGTATGGTTGCAACACCAATGCCCGTCAATTCGAGGAAGTCACATCTCTCTACAGCACCCAAATGACTCCCGTCTACTCCGGTGGTCTCGTCTACGAGTACTCCGAGGAGGGAAGCAAATACGGTCTCGTCCAAATCTCTGGTTCAACCGCCAAACCCCTTGCCGATTTCACTGCTCTCCAAAGCGCTTTCTCCAAGACCGCCAACCCATCGGGTGACGGAGGATACAACTCTACCGGTGGAGCTTCCAACTGCCCTAAGAAATCCGCCAACTGGGACGTCGCCGATGACAGTCTCCCAGCCATCCCATCTGCAGCTGCTGCATTCATGAAGTCTGGTGCTGGAACTGGTGTCGGACTCCAAGGAAAGGGATCCCAAAACTCTGGTGGAACCTCCACTGGTACCGCAGCACCAGGTTCCGGCTCAGTCACCGCCGTCGCAAGTGGCACATCTGCCTCCGCAACCAAGAGCAGCGCCTCTTCGCTCCAGGGATCCATGAACTTCCAGCCCATGATCGTCAGCGGTCTTGTTGTTGCGTTTACTTTTGTCGGTGCGGCCTTGCTTTAGAATTTTGAATATAATTTGGCTTGTTGGAGTTGTATATAGGGATTTGCTCGTTTACTTTTTGAGCTGTCAAGGTGGAATGAGTTTTGATATCTCGATTCTTACTTGGAAGAGGATGGTAGTGGTGGTGCATTTCTGGTGTTTGCGAGAGAAATAAAGTTACCCTGGTTTTATTTATGAAGGGGTTTAACTACACCGCGCGCTTTTTTTTACTTTGTTATCGTGAGAGGAGAGAATGAAAATTATTGATCATGACATTGGTTTTCCTTGTGCTTTTACGTGTTCTCGTGAGTTGGGATTGTACCTACTTTGAAGTCGTGATGTAGTGGTGTGACTTGGGCTAGGTATGGTGAGGAGAGAAGGTACGGTCTCCGCTGGATTGTTAGCTGAGAAGGCAGGTACGACTTCAACTAGCCCACTGGTGCAGATTTTGGCTTCTAGAACCGATCTTGTTTCTTTCTTCCTTCTCCTCTTCTCTCTTCAGCACGAACGAACATTTTCTAATTATCGACAACCATAACGGGATTACTCACTCACTTTTTGGATCAGGATATCCTTACTTTCCTTCTCCTATCAATACTCTCTCTACACCAACCTTACGGGCAAAGGTATGGCAATACTCGGCATGTTTTCTTTTGAGTATGGTCGTTGATCATTCTACAGGTTTTCAGCCAACGACTTTCGCGGTCGAAGTCGTTCACTTGCATTTGTTTCGGTGCTGCAAGTCAAGGTATGCTCTTCGAATCATGGAGTTGAGTGTGAGAGCTGATAGTGCTATAAGCCTTCCAATCGTCGGAGTCGTCCGTTCAATACACTCTCTGCTACCAGGATTGCCATTCGAGGTATGTTGACATCTGACACTTTTTCTGGGATTTGGCGAATTGATGTTGTGGAGGTTTTTTGCTGGCTCTCTCGCTTTCCGACATTCTTTTTAAAGTGTTAAAGCTCCTCTGTTTCGAATAACACCGACGTTAGAAGTAAGAAGTGAGAAGTATAGTTTAAAGGTACGTGAGAGTTGGGGATGGGGATAGCAGTGAGGATAGTTTGGACTCGAGGTCACGGAGAATGTTGAGGAAGTGTGCTGACCACTGCATAGATCACAAACATCTAAATTTCCTGCCTCTCGAATCCGGTCCTCAACCTCTAGCACATTCTTGCTGCTCATCCAACTCGTCACATTTTGGGAACTCGACACCTCTCTCTCAAACCGTCTTTCACTTGTCTTCCAAAATGGTTCGCAGAGTCTTCTTCATGCTCGGCTGGTTTTTGATGGGCATTTCTACTTCTTTCATTGCCCGTAGCTTCTTTGGAGATCTTGGCAATGGCGCTGCTCAGAAGGTTGTCATGGATGAAGAGATTCCGAACGCAAATGAGGAAGTTCTGCAGCAGATGAAGACATCCAGATGGTTTGAATAAACCCCCGAAACCCCTCATTCAAAAAAGACCCTTGCTAAGAGATATAGGGAGCCGGACATCGACAGCCTACCCAAGGATCCTGTCTGCCAAAGACAGGCATTCTTTGAATTGGCATGGATAGATTTCATCAGGGCAAATCGCCAAAAGAAAGGCCTGAGCGAGTGGCGGGGAATCGACGAGGCGCATATGCTGTCAAAGCTGCCACGAGATGACAGAATCGTTGCGGGCAACTACATGTTTATCATGGAGGCAGAAGATTAGTAAGTTTCGCACATAATTTGCTGGCGTTTTCTGCTAATATCATTTAGTACGCTCGACGCCTTACAAACACGTTTAGAATGCGGTGAGCTGCACGATGGCATGGTCGAGCCCCCTTCTTCTGTTGGACCAAAAGACTCCCCATTTTGTAAGGTTCGATTGAGCACCGTGTACACCGGGGCGCCGCTGGAGACTGATTCAGGGAATCGGTATAGAGGTAGGGTTTGAGGACTTAGGATCGCCTTGAAATCCGAGTTCTTTGCTGACGTTCGAAGCATGCACAATAAATTGGTATCCCTCCGAAGAAGTCTGCGAAGTCTTGAAACCTTTAACCACGGTACTCGTGGTGAAAGGTGGAGATTTAGAACCTGCGAGGGCAGCCGTCGATATCCTAGCTAGCAATGGCCTGGCATTGAATAGCCTGTATACGTCTCACATGAAACTACATGATAACATTTTCAATGTCTGGGAGAAGTCAGTCAGAACGGTCAACAGCACTGATATGAAAGTATATGGAATCAATGGCAGGAATCCAGAACCTCATGTGCTTTTGGGCGGTAATAGTGAGTAATAGTCGCATAAGACTATATTCTCGAAACTGATTGTATTTTTTAGAGGTTCCCCTAAAGCAATGGCCACTTGGTTGGGGTAATGGGGGGTTAGGTGATTCGCGTGGAGGATCTAGTGATCTTGATTCCACCTGGACCGTGTTCAATCCAACTCTCTTTTCGTTCACATCGGATTCACCACTTTCAAATTCGGTGGCAAAAGAAAATTGGGTTGTACCAGTCGCGGCGAAAGATGAAATATTTAAGAATCTCTTTTTCCTTGGACCCCCAAGACAGTCAGAGGGTCAGAGCCATATCAACAAAGGCTGGAAATTTGGGGAAATGGTTAAGGACTATCTTGATAGCAAGCGCGATGATTTGAGCTTTAGGTTGCTGTTCGAGACTCGCAACAGGGGCCACCCAGACCCTGATGTATTTGGTCGACAGATCTTGGGAGAAGGACTTGCTATTGTGAGTTCGATGTCTCGGATGAATTATACGCAAATGCTGCCTTCTTTCGCTGACGAAGACCGGTCTGGTTGATTTGACAAAATTTGGGTTGGGAACGAACTTGGTTGGTATGACGTCTGGGGCGATGGATTGGACTGGACTGGACTGACATGGAAAGGCTTAGGAGGAAATGGGAAGGTTCGGTTGAGCGATGTATGACGGATGGAATACTTTGTTTGTATCTTTAGATACGGACTGTAGCGATGTCTTGTGACATGGTATTTTAGAAATACGAAAAGTTTTTGAACCCTGTGTTGACGGTGGTGTGTTTGGGTTTATGATATGACGCGATTGATGAGTGCTGAGGGAGTGGTGATAGAGATGGGAAGTGAGGTAAGTGTTGGAAGATTGTGGGTAGGATGTGGTGTGAATTTCGTGGAAGTGTGAGAGATGAGTGGAATGACGAAGGTGGGCAAGGCTTATACTCAGGAATTAGTGCATGGAGCGAGGTGAGGGAAAATGAAAGATTAAATTTGAGGTGTTATGATGTTGGAGGATGTATATTTAGATGATGTATGTTTAGATGATGAAGAAGGTTGAGTGGTGAGGGGAGATTTGGATGTTGTGAGTTTGATTGATGGGGATCTGAATTTTGAGTTAGACATTGGGCTTCATTTATGTGCGTAGTTGATTTCGAAGTGGGCTAATTATTCCTCGGGTAATCGTGTCAGAAAAACTTCGACTAAAATCGATTGAGTGATGAAAACCTAACGCCGCTAGCTAATGCCATCCCATACCACAACAGGCTAGTCAAATTACAAGCCTACCTAATACCTTAAATCAAGAGGATGAGTGAACTCTATCTTCATACACACTCCTCCCAAACCATACCCGTTCCCTACCACCCCCTACCTAAGCTTTATACAACGTATCCAAAAACCCACTCGCCAGCTCCACCACCACACTCTTGTTAGGCAAGCTCCCCGCAACACCATATAACGCGGCACTATCCCCAACACTCTTCCCCTTCGCACCCTTCCCCTCCACAATCCTCACGCGTTCCTTTTCCTTCTCGCCCTCAACCACCGACTCAAGATCCTTAACCAGCTTCTCCCAGACCTTGACAATCGGCAGGGTGACAGCGACATGGATGGCGGGTGGATCCTGCAGCGAATTCAGATGCCATCCTTTTCCGGACATGGCATCAGCGATATCGTAGATATCAAGCGTTTTAGACGTGAACGCTACGACGGAAACGAGTGGTTTACCCATGATTTCGAGATCCGCGTTTAGCGCAGGGTTCGTGGCGATCTGTTCAGCGATTTTCTTCGCCGCGCCGACGATTTGGTGGCAGGAGTCTATATATCCCGTTTCGCCTACGCTCATGAGGGAGGCCCAGCAACCGGCGATGAGGGCGCCAGGGCGGGATCCCGCGATAGATGGGGAGGCGTAAACGCCGCCAGACCAGTCGGGGGAGATGAAGTATTGGTAGGCGCGGAGGGCGGCGGTGCGGTAGAGGACGGTGCTGTTTCCTTTGGGAGCGAAGCCGTATTTATGTGTGTCGCAGGAGATGGAGGTTACGCCTTTGAGACGGAAGTCGAAGAGGGTGGATTCAAAGCCGGCTTTTTCGAGGAAGGGAACGAGGAAGGAACCAAGACAGCAATCTACGTGAAGGGGAATTTTGCGTTTGACGGCGAGCTTGGAGAGGGCGGAGATGTCGTCTATGATGCCGTGGGGAAAGTTGGGGGAAGATCCGACGAGGAGGACGGTGTTGCTGTTAATTAGACGGGAGACTGCGGGAATGGAAACTTGATAGTTTGGTGCGGGGCAGGCGACGAGATGGACTTTGATTCCGAAGTATTCGCCTGCTTTGCGGAAAGCTGTGTGACCTGTTTCCGGAAGGATCCTGCTTGATCATTAGTAGATGTAAAGATAGAATGCAGAGGTACATACATCTCTGGCTCAGTAACACCCCTTTCCTTATAAGCCTTATTCCTAGCACTCAAACAAGCCATCAAAATTGACTCGGTCCCACCACTCGTAGAAGCACCAGCCGCACCAGGAGGCGCATTAAAAAGTGCCAAAACCATCGCAACAACCTCCGCCTCCATCTTCCTCACTCCAGGGAATACATCAGGATGAATCGGATTCGCAACCGTAAACTTGCCAAACGCAACCGTTTGCAACTTGATCAACTCATCTCCACCATGATACACAGCACCAGAAACGAAACCATCCTCCCATCTCGTATGATCCATCGTCGCCAAAGCTTCCAGTTCCTTGAGTACCGTATCCTCACTCCATCCCTCTTTCGGCAGCGTTAAATGTCGCACAACGCCTGGTCCAGACGGCACAAGTTTCATTTGTAACTTTACAATAGCTTCGGAGACCTGTTTCTGGACTTGTGATCGTACTCCGGGTGCGCGCAGGAAAAGTCCATATAGTGTTCGGCGGATGGAGATATATGTATCAGCGACCGTCCCAAAGATCCCTCTTCCCTTTAACTTCAACAGCGCTTTTCTCGTCCATCGCAGGAGAAACAGGAAGAATATGATATTTCGAAATCTACTCAATTAGCTCTTGCCTTGCTGGTTGGACGAGTGCTCTTACAAGTCAATATTCAACGCCAGTAACTGCGAATTCGATCCTCCTTTCTTCAAGGACAATGAATTGCGCAGACTAACCGGCATTCGCGAGCTTCCAGGCATGATGAGTAGTTTACCTATGTGTTATGCTCATACGGTGCTGTCTTCGTTCAATACAGACTTCATTCAATTCGAAACTTGGAAACTGGTGCGATGCACATCTAATTTATCGTGGATGATATTCACCTCGGCTGTCCTAGTTCCAGCACATGTGGAATTTGCCGCTGCGATAAGGTTTAGCTTATCGAGCTTCATTGGCGAGGAACGACAGGGTATCCCATTCAGGTGAGCGGATTGGGAATGGAGAGCATACCGTTTTGGTGTTTCCCGACGGAGGAATTACCTTGAACAGGAGTATATTCGTGTCCAGTGTACGACTTGGTGGTTCAGTGGCCTGTTAGAATTTCTTTTGGGTTGGTTAGAGTTTTGGACGATACGATTGCCGACGTAAGCTGTGTGGCTATAGATCGAGGGTCTTTTTGCACGACATGCTCGTATTCCTACCTGGAACCAGAAAATGATAGATAGAAATGATCAAAAGACTCGAATTAATACCCCTACAACTCATTCCAGACAAGCCTTGCTCAGTTTGAATAAAGCTTCAAACCTGCCTTCAAACCAAATCCCGAAGAAAAGAATCGAAGATACAGTATGATAACTGCAACGGGTATGATCAAAAAATATAATGTACAAGCTCAAGCACCACCCAAGAACGCTTGCAAACGCCAGTTTCTAGAGTACCGGTATCCATGCAGAACAATCCCCCATGCAACGAAATATACAGGCGTATGCAAACATGTAATCATTTGGTCCCCCTTCTTTATAAACCCCCCGAAAACGCCATTATTGTGATAGATGCCCCTCTCGCATGTCGTAGATCATTAACTAGGCCTGTTTTCTATTGACCGCGGAATATTCTGTTGGATTTGGAAGGGTTGGTTTCATCTTGAATTGAATATCGTTCGCCATTGCTTTGAGTATTTTTGGGCCTCCTGAATACAATCTCGTCCAACGGTTTCGCAGTTTGCAAATCGGACTACGAAATCTCCGTCCTTGTATTTTCCTTCTGTCTGGGTATAATGATCTGGTTCGTACGCATTTATAATTCGTTGTGGTATAATGACGAGTTTTGACAGGATCGTTGGATGCCATTGGACAATATGTTCCTATAATATCGTTAGATGCGGAAAGATAGCAATTAGCAGATTCAAACTTACCAAGGCATGAGTATCTGCTTTCTGAAAGTTGTATGACCGATACAATGGATCAAACCACGTATCCAAGAAGAACTTGCTCCAATCTCCCCTCTTCAGAATAAAACTTCCCTGCGCCAAACCATCCTTATCCTGCGTGAGGACGAACTCGACATTCTCCCCTTTCAGATGTGGCCATGTCTTGATGACACTATCCGGAGGCACAATTGGCTGGTCCTTGATCATCAAGCTCTCAATTCGCTTTTTGTCCATAATATGCGTCTCGACTTTGAGTTCGGGGTTCATGATGAGGGAGTTTTGGTCGAGGTACCACACATAGGAACTATATGGAAACTTTGACAACGCGTGTCTCGTCGCTGGAACTCGCGCCCACGAAGTCGGTGATCCTCCTAGATCATAGTCTTTATTCGTTGGGAAAAAAGTGGCATAACCTGAATTCATTAGCACGGTCATTCCACCCTCCCCCATCAAGAAATCTTACCATGTTTCTTCGCATACCCTATCCTGTTCTCCTTAATCATCTTGATATACTCCTTACTATAATTAACCTCATCCACCACCGTGACAATAACCACCGGCGGCACCCCCGATGGAATCCCATCCCCACCCCCGACCAGCCTCGAAAGCAACCATAGTATCGAGCCCACCACCAAACTCCCAATCACCATCGCCTGGATCCTACTTCTCCTGATCGTCGGAAACCGCGGCGACCGCGGCGCATACTGCGGTGGATTCGAGGATTTCCTCGACGGTAAAGCTAGATGCATTGTGTCTCTTGATTTCGTGGCCTCGCGGCGCCACAACGACCCTCAATCAAAGATATCTCAAGAATATGTCCTCCCGTTTCGAAGATGTGGATCGCCTCGTATATCCCGTCGTGCTGTCCTCTTCCCCCGTATATGTTCGTACTTGGCGCGCTGACTGAGGAATTGGATCCAGCTGACAAGCAAAAGATCATGCGCCGAATTGCCTTCTCAACTCGCGACAAAAACACGTTGCGCAGACGTCGCGATCAAGGTGAGGTTAGAATAAGATTAAATTTTGATGAGATGAGAGCGGACTCCCGTGCTTTCTCAAAATTGTTACCAGAGTCAATAGGGATGCCCCCCGTTTCGAGTCAAGCGTCCAATCAGCTTTCCGCAATCTGTGATAAGAATGGAACTTTATTGGTAGGGGTGGGGGGTACGAGATATAAGACGTGCAATTTTATCGTACCACGGACGTTTTTGTGTGATTTGATATTGGCTGACATGAGATCTGCGTGCTTATATTTGGCCAATTTCTACCGTTTGTCTTTTGGATATGTCCCGTATCGGTACAGAATATCGTTCTGTTTGCGTCCTGTTTAAGCGTTCAGGGGTAGGGCAACCATAGCTGCCAAAATCCCAAGCGGCTGAACTTGGTTTAACTCCGAAAGGGTTTACCCGTTTCCGGTAGTCGGGTTACAGCTGAAAGCAGAGGAGCAGACCTCCGAAGCATTTTATGGTTCCAGTGATGTCAATCAAGATCCATATCTTCCAACGTCATTTGAATAGGAAGAGCACAGGAGCTAAGAGCTTGGTCAGTAAATAGGTAAGTATAAACTTTGTGAATATTTTTCTTTTCGGTATCTCATATCACTGCAATTCATATTGCGCTTGTATATTATTCATCATGTCGTCTTCGTTGATTCAATTGGAGTGTGGGTGTAACAATTATCCATGGGGAAAGAAGGGAAAGGAATCTTTGGCTGCTCAGTATGCTGCTTCTACCCCGGGTGGAAATTTCAAGCTGGATGAGAGTAAAGAATATGCTGAAGTATGTTCTCTATGCTATTGTGTTTTTGTTTCCTGAAAATGCTTGTTGAATCATTATTGCTTGCTTCACTTTCCTATATGTAGCGTTTCGTTGGACTTCAGAGCTTTTCAATCTCAAGATTCCATTGAGACATATTCAGAAATAATAGCAAGAAACCAGCACTTCAATTCAATGTCCCAGTATTTTTGGAGAAACCTACTGATATTTGTAGATGTGGTGCGGAACCTACCCCACCACCCCCTCCAGCATCCTCTCCACAGGAGAAGACCTTCAAAAACACCTCAACGCACACGCCGACCAGTTAATTGGCCCCTCAATCCTCAAAAAACACGGCACCGACCTCCCCTTCCTCCCAAAAATCCTCTCCATCGCAAAGGCCCTCCCCTTGCAAATCCACCCCGACAAGTCCCTCGCCGCCAAACTCCACAAGCAAGACCCGGAAAAATACAGCGACGACAACCATAAACCGGAAATCGCCGTCGCTTTAGGCAAATTCGAGGTTTTCGTCGGCTTTAAACCGTTGGAGAAGATTGAGAAGTTGTTTACCACGATCCCGGTACTGAAGGAGAAGTTTGGGGTGAAGGGGAAGTTGGAGAAGGAGGGGTTGAGGGAGCTTGTGGGGAAGATTTTGGGGGCGAGTGATGAGGAGATTGTAGGTGTGTATGAGAAGTTGAGGGGGATGAAGAAGGAGGAGTTTGGGGATGAAGGACATATCACTGATCTGTTGCCGAGATTGGCGGAGCAATATGATAAATCTGATCCCGGAAACCTCGTTGCTTTGTTGACGATGAATTTCTTGGTGTTGGAGAAGGGTGATGCTATTTTTGTTCCCGCTGAGTATGTTCCCTTCCTCAAATGTCTTACCATGCTAATGTGATATAGTGGCATTCACGCGTACCTCTCTGGAAATATCGTGGAATGTATGGCTCGTTCGGATAACGTTATAAACACCGGCTTCTGCCCACGCGCAGATAGAGATGATGTCTCCCTCTTCACAAACGCTCTTACATTCTCGCCTTCTTCGGGTGAGGACGCGCTTCTTAAGCCAACATCCTCGAACAAGGGTGTCTATGGCAAGACCAAAGTGTTGGCGCCGCCGATGAGTGAGTTTAACATGTTGGTAACTCAACTCGGACCAAGAGATAAGGAGACGATCAAGGCAATTGACGGACCAAGTGTGATATTGGTTACAGACGGTAAAGGAACTTTGAAGGCTGGAGGTGAAGTACAGAGTGCCAAGGAGGGGTACATCTTCTTCTTGGGTGCTGGGACTGAGTTGAATGTGACGAGTGATGATGGGTTGGAATTGCACATGGCTTATTGTGAGGCTTAAGCGGAGAAATATTTGTTTATATAATGACTAGAGTATGAAAAGTATGTATCAACTACAGCTGCCTCTGATTCCAGTATTGGTAGATTGGCCTGGAAGGCCGTGGAAAGAGCACCATGACTTCAAGAGTTTGGGCAGCGACAGTGCGTTGACTGACAAGCGGTCACCGAAAGTGAAATAGAACAAGACGCTCGTATCTCTAGGCTCCAGCAAGGATTCGATATTTGCACACAGACTAGTTGACACGCCATGGAGGAGATCTATTCGAGAGAATATTCGTGGCAACTTAAGAGTGTGCTGTTTGAACAGGAGCAATAGGAAAGGACGAAATGTGAGGAGGGTTGTAATACTTCAATTGTCGTACATGTTCGCTGATTACCAAACGCCTGACCATGTATCGCTAGTAAATCAATCATAATACTTATTCTGTGTGTTCTTGGTCATGGTCATCATCACCTTGAACATCGGCGACTCGTTCACCTGCTCTCTCAAGAGTTCGTCTTGACCAGGCCCTAACCCAAGTCCATAATGCCTACATCAGGTTAGCATCATATATCTTAACTTAGCCTGGTCTCACTTACAAATAAAAACGCAATAATTCCAACAATTATGATAAAGGAGAAGTTTCCTTCATTCCTTTCTCTGCGACCACGGCCACCTCCAACCAGGCCTGTCTGTCGAATATTCCACCAACTAATTGGATTCAGAGTGAAGAGGACCTTGACAAGCCCAATGACCCCTATAGACGACAATCCTTTCATAAAATGAACTACCCAACCACCATAGTCTTCAACATCATCTTCGAAATCTAGGTGTCCAACTCCATGACCGGTCGCAATAGAGGAGATTGTCGCAGCCGGCTCGAAGTAAAGGTTGAGAATAGGATCCGCTACAAATCCCAATAGAAATACCGTTATGAGCATAATGAATGCTGTAAGTCCAAGTTGAACAAGAGTGCTCTGAATAGCTCGACTCCATCTCATCCGCTCTAACCGGTATTGAAATTTGCAAGTAGGACATTCCCAATAATTTCGACGAGCATACGCAGGATCCGCATGTCTCCATTCCTGTAAACATCCTTCATGAACGTATTTCTGAGAACCTCGGCATTTGCATGGCCGTATAAGTCTGCCAGATTCAGGATCCGACGAAATATATTCGACCTTTGGTTTCGGTTTTAGAAAGGTGCTTAAACCTTCCGCAGCTGGCTCAAAGGATGGATGTACTTCTTCTAAGCATATCCTACATTGCCGTGTCGGATAGTGATCCCGCGCATTCGCAGAATTTTCCGTTTGTGGTGGTTCAGGTGTGGATTCTTCTGGAGAATCATCTCCCCGCACTTCTTCGCCTTCGTCTTCGGGTGTGAAAGAATAGGAATCTGATGATCGCGGAGGATGGTGGAAGTCAAATGCCGGCTGTGAAGTTGACGGTTCGGGCTTTGCTTCCATACCCTGAGGCCATTGCCAACCAGCTCCATCTGTAGCCATTTTGTCAACTGAACCTCACTCTGGATAATTGGATATAAGCGCAAGTGACATTGAAGTCTTGAAACCCAGCTCTTGCAATGCTGGTATCCTTTAGCTAAAACTCATCAGTAGCAAAGTAGAAATCGTGAACGAAGGAAATCAGTCATCAAGGTGGAGTATAAAGAAAGAGCGACATTGAAAGGTGGCTTGTATCTAGATTCCAGAAAGAGGAAGAAGCTCTCCGCCGATTTGACGGAGGGGCTGAAGCTTGAAGCGTGCCTGAGATTGCAGCCTGAAATTGGTGGCATCCACAACCTCACATTCGCGTCGCCTTTGCCTGGAGCTTGAGCATCAACCATCGCAGCGCTCCGGACCTCACCGTTTCACGAACTTACGATCCTCATCAATTCTTCTTCGGACTCATCGCCTCTACGTATACAACCCGAAAAGATTGTAGGATAAACTAGCAATATGGCGGACAGATATTCGTTCTCGTTGACTACCTTCTCCCCAAGGTAAGCTACATCTCCATAGCTACACAGTGCTTGTGTTTAGCTTTTGAATTATGGATTGTTGATCACAGCTAATCATTGACAGTGGAAAACTAGTACAGATAGGTTCGTACAGCACCGAAAGACGCGAGGAAGCTTTGCGAAGCTGCTTCACCGTTATAAGTCAATAAAGCTCCAGAACTAACACACAAACTAGAGTATGCTTTAAATGCAGTCAATCAAGGTGTTACTGCGTTAGGAATCAAAGGTACATTAGCAGAGATGTTGAGCCTATAGAAATTGCAATCTAATCAGATACACAGCTACAAACGGCATCGTCCTCGCAACAGAAAAGAAGTCCTCATCACCATTAATCGACCCACCCTCCCTCACAAAAGTCAGCACCATCACCCCAAACATCGGCATGGTATACTCAGGCATGGGCCCAGACTACCGCGTCCTAGTAGACAAAGCCCGCAAAGTATCGCACACCAACTACAAACGCATCTACAATGAATATCCCCCAACCAGAATATTAGTACAGGATGTCGCACGAGTGATGCAGGAAGCGACGCAATCAGGTGGTGTGAGACCGTATGGTGTGAGCTTGTTGATTGCAGGTTGGGACGAGGGAATTGAGCCAGAGACTGAGGATGCGGCGACGGCTGATACGCATCCGGATGAGAAGAAACCTAGTGGGAAGACTGGGGGGATCTTGAAGGGTGGTCCATCGTTATATCAGGTTGATCCCAGTGGTAGTTATTTCCCATGGAAAGCTACGGCTATTGGAAAGAGTGCTACGAGTGCGAAGACTTTCTTGGAGAAGAGATATACCGAGGGATTGGAGCTTGAGGATGCTGTACACATTGCTTTGTTGACATTGAAGGAGACTATCGAGGGTGAGATGAATGGAGAGACGGTTGAGATTGGTAAAGCCCCCCTGAAGTCCATCACGATACCCAGCTAATCATTTTCAGGTATCGTTGGACCACCAGCCCATCATCTCCTCGGTGTCGAAGGTGTCGAAGGCGCGCAAGGACCAAGATTCCGAAAGTTGACACCCCAGGAGATTGAGGATTACCTGACGAATCTATGAGCGTACTTGTTCTGCTTTACATCTGATTTCAAGCTTGGCACCGGTTATGTATTATAAAACGGCATCTTAGAGAGGCAAGACGAGCGTGAAAAGAGAAAAATATACCAAAACTCGGACTGACAATACTTGGTATTCTTGATTGTTAATATTATTTTATTTATTCTCATCATCAACGTCCATCCTTATCATCATCATCAGCCTTTCCAATCCTGTCATCACCGCTGACCGTTCCATCCGCCTCATGATCGACATCCATTCCATTGTCCCCATCATCATCATTCGTCTTTTCATCCTTCCCAACACTACGCCTGGCTTCCCCCCGATTCCTCTCAAATTCTATCGCTTGTTGCAGATTAAGATCCATCAAACACGACGCCACCAGGAACGTATTCACATCACACGGACGCTCATTATCCGGCTCACCATGCTCCAACTGCCTTTTCCTTCCCTCGCTCTCCACATACTTCTGTAACGCACTCTTCATTTTCATTTTCGCATCCAGCGTCACCTGTCTCGCTTTCAAATCCATAATGATCCCCAAATCCCGCGGATTCTCCACCACCACAAACGAGTTCTTATACCCCGTATGCACACTCTTGATAATGCCTCCCTCTTTCAACGGTAATGTTACTTCGGTCCATTCCGCCACGCTTTCCACATCGCCGAGTCCTAACTGCCCATTCGCATTACTGCCTAGCACGAATAGCTTGTGGTTGACGGTCAAAACTAACATGCAATCCTTGCCGCACGCGACGTCTAATATGTCGTGGCCGTGACAGTCGATCGAGACGGCATCATCGTCGAGGAGGGAGTTTATGGGATTAGGCTCCTCTTCGTTTTCTGGGCCGGGTGGTGGTTGACCCCAGATGTAGAGGTCGTTTCCGGTGGTGATGCCGGCTGTGAAGTAGGGTCCTGCTGAGATTTTGCGGATTCGGCCGGTTGGAAGATCGCGGACGCTGAGGATTGGATGGGGAGTCTTTGCCGGGCTAGAATTTCATCAGTTACGTACAGATGTGAATAGTCATGTGACTTACGTCTGATCGGTAACAGGTCGTGCTAATACTTGTGGATATCGTGAATCGCCCCAGCTTACTACTTCTCCGGTTGAGCTTAAGGCCTGGAAAGCGGTTGCGTTGGCGACGATCTGGACGACATCGGAAAATGGAAACGTCTCTTGATCACTTTTTTTTGTCCTGGTATGAGGATTTAAGTAATCAAAATATTGGATCGTAGGGGGGTTGCCAGCCATGATCGTGACCTCTCTTGTGTTGAAGGCGGTACACCATGCTTCTCTCACCATCCCGCAGAGTTGTCCGATAGGGTAGTCGAGATCATCTGGGAGTTTGGAGAGGATTTTGTTGTTGGCAAGGTAGTCTGTATCTGATCCGGTTTTGACTGGAAATTTTGTTAGTTTCTGAGTTTGGTCCTTGTAGGGAGTGAGAGATGAGATTATTGATGGTCAGAATTGTCAGAAGGGCATTCTCACCACAACACAACAAACTCACCTATCACACTATTGTATCCTCCCTTTAGAAAAGTTATATTCTCCTGATCAACGAGTCTCTTCGTCCACACCCGATAATCCTCATATTGCACCCCCTTCAACGCCGTCTTCTTTCCAAGATTCCTATTCCGCTCCTCCCCATCAAAATCCAACTGTCCCCACGCATTAAACCCACACGCCCATAACTCGGCGCCATACGGTTCCTCAGACGTAGGTGTCTCAAGAACAAAATTCGGCAACATGTTGAATGTATATTTGGTGGTGGTGGTCGCATGGTCAGCCGCATGATATTTCGGCCCCCACCTCAACCGAGCATCGTAAGCAGGAGCGCTGAGAAGGTTGAACCATCGTCACTTCCTTATTCAATTCATTCCTCGATCGGGGATACGAGATAGTCCAACTCGTCGTGCTGCAAGTATACGCATTCTGAGCATCTAGAACGAGAAGTCCAAGACGTGCAAAACGCGTCAAGCGTGTGTGCTTTTTCACGTCAATACGGTGCTGCCTATTCCTACCCCAGGCTCCCACTTATTATCCTTACGCACGACGTCAGAGTCCCGAGGTCCCTTTTCAGCCCTCTTCTCAGGAACGGGATCTTGTGTTTCTTTTTTGTTTTCATTTCTTGCCACTCGTTGAGATTGCTTGGAGCGCGGAATTTCGTTGTGGTTGTGGTGTTGATTTTGCTACCGAGTTTGAAAATCACGAGCTTGGAGCCGAGGACGAGCAGCATCGAATTCGCCAAAGCTTTGGAGTCAAGCTTGCAGGAATAAGCTTAATATAGCTTATTGGAGCTTAAGCTTTACTTTTATCCTTATCTCGAGCATATTCTGTGTACAACTTAGCCCTCCCCGACACGACACCCCTTCCGCATGGCATTCATCTATCGTTAAAACCTCATACGTCCACCCAACACATCAATATGAACCTTAATCTCCCAATCAGAACGGCGAGTAAAAGGAACGATGAGAGTCGGAAGCATTTTACCAATTATACGCCTACATCTTCGACGGAGGCTATCTCAGGACCAGTGAGGGAACCTGCGCCATTGAATGATCGGCTGATTGTTGGTTTGGATTTCGGGACTACTTACTCTGGGTGAGTTCTTTGACTATTCAACAGATTATTTGTGAGCAAATGATGTGAGGGGTTGGCGCGGTGGAGAGAAGTCTTCTTTTGTTAGACTGCGCATGGCTTCCACGAGGTGCTCTTTGAGACATGTTTTATAAAGACAAAGTCATTGTGCTTCTCCCTGAATTGACAAGAACTCTCTTATTGCCCATGTCTGAACTATACGAGGAACAGCTTCTATGTGCTGAGCTAACATTCGCATAGTGTCGCTGCAGTATACACATCCACCCCAGACGATGTCGAAATTATCAAAACCTGGCCTGGAGGCAATGGTATAACCTCAGATAAAGTGCCTACAGAAATCTCTTATGAATACCCACTGAATGCTCCTGAAGGCACGGAGCCGAAGATAAAATGGGGGTTTCAATTTCGACCCGAAGAATCACGTCTGCGTTGCATAAAGCTATTCTTAGATCGTTCTCAAAAGCTTCCTTTCTACGTCTCGCCTCTGGAAACCGCTGCGCAACTGAAGAAGTTCAACAAAAACGTGGTGGATGCTGTCAGTGACTATCTGACACAAGTTTACGAACACACTATGGAAACACTTACCAGGCGCTATGGAGAATCGTTCATGTCCTCGACCAAAGTAGAATTTGTCCTCACCTGCCCAGCTGTCTGGTCCGATGCTGCCAAAAACACTACTCTCCAAGCGGCAGAACGAGCAGGTATGGGTGCAAAAGCCGACATTCAAATGATCTCCGAACCAGAAGCAGCAGCAGTCTACACCTTGAAAGCAATCCAGCCCAACCATCTATCGGCCGGAGATAATTTCGTTGTCTGTGATGCAGGAGGTGGGACCGTAGATTTAATCGCATACAAAATCCTCTCTCTCAAACCCTTACGCGTGGAAGAGTCTGCGGTCGGTACTGGTGGACTTTGCGGAAGTGCATTCCTGAACTACAGATTCGAAGAACATGTCCGAGATCGAATCGGCAAAGAACGGTTCGACGAGATGAAACTTAAGAAAGCAAAATGCTGGCAAATGGGTCTCCGATACTGGGAAGAATTCGTCAAGCGAAACTTCAACGAGGAAGAACATGCTGAAGTCAATGTTCCCTTCCCCGGTCTTCCAGATGACGAAGAAGCAGGACTTGATTGCGGATTCCTTGTCATGACTGCCAAGCAGATTAAGGATATCTTTGAGCCCGTCGTAAAGGAAGTTTGCGATTTAGTTCAAGGCCAAGTCGATGGCATCCGCCAAAAAGGAGGAATCGTCTCGGGAATTGTTCTCGTGGGAGGATTTGGCCAGAGTAATTACCTATACACACGACTGAAATCCCATTTCAACACTGCTGCCCCGCCTCCTTATTCCGAACGGCCTACACACGCGCAAGCTACGGCGCTGATGCAAAACGGTAGCGTGGAGGTGATGCAACCTGTCAACGCTTGGACAGCGGTAGTTCGCGGTGCAGTGTTGAGGGGTTTGGAGGGTAGTATGGTAGTAAGTCGCAAGTCAAGGATGCATTATGGAACTAGTTACGCGACTGTCTATGATGAGGATAAACATAATGTTAGCGAGCGGTATTGGAGTCCGCTGTGGGAGAGGTGGATGGTTAGTGATCGGATGCAGTGGCATATTGCTAGTACGTTCTCCATTTGATATTGCTCCTCTCATACCCCCAATTTAAATCACATCTTGCTAACGTTCCCAAAGAAGGTGAAGCTCTAAGCGCAGCAACACCTATATCTTTCCACTACACTCGAAATTTTAGGTATATCCCCCTGTCCCCAATTCAAATTCTCATCTAACAACAGTAGACCCGGTCAATCCCTCCTAGTATCCGACGACCTAATCGCCTCAGACGCGGACGGCGATCCGCCCAACGCTTACTCTAGGGATCTAGTTAATGTTTGCACTTTAACCACGGGTATGTTCTCCCCTTCCTTCCATCCTTACCCTCTTCAATCCGTTCTGAACGTCGCTAACGCCCACCCAACAGATCTCGGCGCCGTCCCCAAATCCCTCTTCACCCGCTTAACCACCACCCGCGGTGTCGAATTCGATAACCTGGATTTCACCCTCGAGATGGTGGTGGAGAGCGCTGGGTTGGCGTTTGAACTTAAGGTGGATGGTTTTCGGTATGGGAGGGTGGAGGCGGATTTTCATTGATCTTTTCTTTGGGCTGGGAAAGGAGGGAAGAGTGTTTGGGGTATGAAGGGCGCGAAGGTGTATGGGTAGTTGGATGATTATTTGGGGATAAACAAAGGAAGAAGCAAGCGACGAGGAAATAAAGCTACAAGATGATGGTACAGAGAAGGAGATGTTAGGTGCTACATAGGCGGATGACATATTTACTTAACTAGTGATTTAAAGATAGATATATATCAAACATATGAAACTCACATCCATATCCATCATACCAAATCTCTGAAACCCCCTAGAGCTAATATTTTCTATAAATAACCCATCATCGCCCAAGTAAATAATAAGCTCGCCTTATACGAGGCGACGATTCACGAGGCGAACGACATAAGTGGACCACAGCTACCTTGGTGTCAGCCTTGGGGGAGTGCGTAAGGCTGTTTGGCTGATTGGAAATCATTCACTTATTCTTTAAACAAGTAGATAAAATAAGATATTTTGTTTTATTTGTGACTTGAGTATTTCTTGGTTTATTGATTTAACGGGGTTTCTTTGGAGCTTGGAAGTGAGTTGGTTGTAGAGGGGAGGTGGTTGGGTAAGTGACTAGGTAGGCTTAGGCGTGAGGCTGAGTTACATTTCGGAGGTACTTTAGGTACAAAGTTGGACCATTTCTCAGTCGATTGTAAAATCACCAGATTATTATCATATATGTAAGCTTCTAGATCAACATATTCTGGATTGGAGTGATTGACGGATCATATGTAGGTGGATGGATCTTTGATGGGATAACTCTGGAGTGGGATATATATTCGGTGGGAGCGGAGGTAATGTAAGTTTGAATAGTGTAATTGCCTATTTTTCTCAAGCCAGGTCGTAGAGGAGAGATGAGCTGATTCTGCTGCTAGTTCAAGGAGTATCTGAGAATGTTGAGGTGAGAAGTGTTGGTTCGAGATAAGTACCTACGTACTTACCCAATCGGATGTCCCGAGACGGGTTTGAAAGGAGTGTTCAATACCGCTCATTGAACAGTAAGTTTCCATTTATACAGGTCATGAAACCAATAATTGAATAATAGAAACGGAAAGGGTGGCTGGCTGGCTGCCAAGTTCCAACAGGAGGCTGGATAGCATAGTAAGTACCCATTCCATCTTCACATGAAAAAATAACCAGAATAAAATATCTCATGTTGTGTAAACGTAAAAATGACTCATAACCAGTTAACTACGCCAGAATCATAAATATTGAAAACTTAACTAACATTCAACGTATAGACCGAGTAGAGATTCTCGCAAGACCGAAACAAGCGACATCCCCATCATCAAAACGACATAACTGTCGTCCTTAGAAGCATGTATCCAAACGCCATATCCCATCATCATCATACATCATAACTTCATAAAAAAGGGTGTGCGCTGCGCCCTCGTCACCGCCTAGTCAGCCCTGTCGCGAGCCGTCGAGTTTGACCGCCATGTCGACGCACATATCGCTGTCAAAGCCGAGAAAAATCAAACAGTAAATTCCCTCATCTCGAGGACGAAAAGGAGGGATGCGAAAATAGAAAGAAGGTGAGTGGGTTTTGCCACCAGTGGCCAATTTTTCTGTTGGGCTCAGCCACAAAGTCATATGTCTGTCATCTATGTGCAACATAGATGCGGTATATATATGAGGGTCCCAGGCTGCGCCGGGAGAGAAGTTGTATGAAGGGTATCGTGGTGGGTATCGACTTCACCTAGCGATATACGTAGGTATCGTAATGTCGAGATTTTTCAGCTGGGTATGTGGATTTCCCCTTTCCGCTCTTAGGTTTACCCTCTTTTCTTCTGTGTCTATCTTCTCTTGCCTGGTTGTGTGGTCTGTGGGATTGTCTCTCTTCTCGTTCTCGTCTTTCTCTCTGCTCTGGAGTTACGAAACCATTACGCTGAAGACCTTCGCAGGCTGGTCGCTCGGAAGGGTTGACGAGCGCATAGTAATGCGCGTCATCAATGATACCAGTCCGATTTAGATGTTCGAGGAGAAAGTAATCTGGTCGAGTATGGGTCGCTGGTCGCGCGTTGGGATCCAGAGTTCGATTCTCATAGAAGTGCTGACCGATATGGTGCATTCGGGCTTCATAGTTCGACCTGGTATCACCATGACTTGCGCTATCGAACTCCACATCACAGATTGTGCAAATCAGCTTTGTCGGAAGAGGATTGTTCAAGAAATGGGATATGCCGTGTGCAATCCATTCTTGATGGTATTCGGGGTGGAATCGATATCGACAGCCGTTAAAAGTGTGTTCGCAAGGAAGGTCGTACCCACGATCGTAATCAACCGCCATTGCGAGTTGTTGGTTGAGATCGGGTAGCTGCCAGGGCGGAATGCTGGGAGCAGAAGAGGTAGTGGATGCAGATGACCTTCGACTACTTGCGTCGCTTTGATAGCTCGATCGACTTGCAGATGAGCGCGTGGAAGCTTCACTTGGTGGTGGGCTACCGGCGCTGCTGAACGACGATCGAGGGACTCGAGGGGAGTAGAGGGGTTTCGATACTGGATAGTGTCGTAAAGGTGCAACTCCGAATGGACGAGAGTCGTTGTCCAGGTCATTCAAATAATGCGAAAGTCGGTCTGATGTTCTCGCCATAACCAAAATCGACTGTTTGGTGGAGGAAGAAGGGTGGATCTGGAATTTGGAAAGTGGTGGTGTTGGTGAAAGACGAGTTGGACGATCAACAAGCTATGATGCTGGCTGGCAATGGACGAACTTCGAAGGATAATTCAAGCTGGACTCGAGGGCCAGCTCAGTCTCATCCAAGAATGTATGCCGCGCAAGCCGAGTCGAGTTGTCGACTTTGGACACGGGAATGCACCACTCGGAAATGTCGTGGTTGACAAGTAAAAGAGCTTGTCAAAAGTTGAGGGGTTGACGTGGAGGGGTGATTGTGAAGATCCAAATCGGCTTGGCGTGACCGAAACGACGACCACCAAAAGTCAGTCAAATTTCTTTTGTTTGAAGTATGGCTGGAATACCTCTCGGAAGTTGGATGATGGCGCGAGGATATGGAAGAAAAAGTTTTCAGAAGATATGTTCCCCTCATATGGATCACCAATGGGATATGTGGTTATCATGCCAACGAAGAGGGGGGATGAGACCGAGACTTCCTGCAAAGCAACGATCCAAGCAGCCACATCATTACAGGGGATCCAATCTACTTTCTCTATGGCCATCACGGAATCAATTCCAAAGCAAGCGCTTTGTTAGGAACAGCAGATGACATCCGGAGAAGCAAGATTGTACTACCATCGTTTTCATTCGTCTGAGAACGACGTGGTTACATTTCTTGGGTTTCTGGCCATCGAGGAATTGTACGCGCAAGCTTTGATTGGAGTTTGGGATATCAAGCTAGAGGAGTTTCCCATGCTATGTCCTGGATGTCTTCGTCAGTGACTCGTCAGGTTATACCGATACTGCGGGTTCCCATATCGCGTGTTTTTGACACGACGGCTCAACGAGACTACACAAACACAACAGCGGTTCATAGAATTCTATTCTCGTGCTCCCTATTTCCTAAAAACTCCTTGAGATGGGAGTGCCGGCCTGGAGTCAAGTGACTGTGTCTCATGCCGCTTATCTATCCCTCGAGTATCGAGATACATGGCAAGAGAACATGACAAGATAAATTTCATTGGAGGTTCACTGTCCTACAGTTTGACAGCTTTGTTTCCTCATGCCGTCTCCTGCGTGTATCAGTCTTGCATCCAATATTACTTACCCATTACTTACCCATACATCATTGTGCTAGTGCTTAATGGCGTTTCTGTCTGATAGGGTCAAGGCAAGCTTTGATATGAAGGCTACAACACATACGTGTCGAGCCTATACACCAGAAAAATGCCCTCACCGCTACAATGAAGGCTATACTTGTGGTTGATTTGATACTACTTATATTACAAGTGTAATTGGACGGTGGCAGCTCCGCTCAGTAGGTAATATCGGGTGCTTCTCAATCCGGAACCGCAAGAGCTAAACTACTCCATTCAGTACTCCACGAACGGTACCTCCCATCAGTGTAATCAGGAACTTGTTCTTGACCATTCATGAGGAATTTCCAACCTGGGAATTAATATGGTGTAAGTCACATACCCAAGATGGCTGCCATACCAGGAAGCATAAAATCCAAGGTGGAGTAGTGGTGCTGTGGCTTGAAGGTATCAAGTCGTTGAAGGGTCGTCCCATGTGCTAAGCGGAGGGGCCGCTGGAGACCCTCAAAACTTTTGAATTTTGTACCTAGGTATCTTTTAGGAGGCTCTGCGAGTCTGCTCTGGGGAAACCATATTTAGCCGTCCCGGTTGTGGTGATCGAAGATCCTTGATTGGCTTGCTCGAACAGCAAACACCACACTTTGACAGTAGGTCTCATTGGCTTGCAGAAGAAAGCATGAACCGCCGCAACGTTGACTAAGCCAGTTTCTTCCGTTCCGTCCATCTCAAGCTTCAAGAACCTGGAATGTGAAAGACAAACGAATTGCGTAAGCTTGTGGGAGTGGGGGTTTACGTATCACCAGACGAATTAGACAAATCAGTGTCTAAGACGTATTCCAATATATCATGCTGTGAAGCCGAAAGAGCTCTCCCTAGCCACTCGTGTCATTTTGAGCAAATTTGATAATGAAGGTGTAGCGATATGATCAAACTCGATGGACTTGGGATGTCTAAGGTTAAGATCACGAGCTGGAGGTCAAGGTCGAGGTCGTCCAGGGGATTAAGCGAGGATAGACTCCGACCCCACAATATTGTACTACTGTACTCGTCCAAGCCTTGAAGTTCAGATGAAGGACCTAATGATCTAAACCATCCAAATCCAGAGTCTAATGACTCGAGATAATGATTAGTTCCTCCTAGCTCAATTCAACTACCTCAAAGTCATACCCCTCTCAGCCCTGTGAGACTATCTCCACTTTTACCCGTACCCGTACCGTACCGGTCGCTCCAGGCAGACGTTATAACACTTTCTTTCAACATCACAACCAGCATCGAATTTCCAATCAATTGAAACTTCCTATGCTTCAATTCCGCCAAAAGATGTCTACGATCCCAGAATCGTATACCCTATCCCCCAAGCTGAAAACGAAACCATGAGTTCATCCCACCACGAAAAGAAACAACCCCGCTCTTTACAACATCGTACGCCCACCGCCAACACCAAATCGCCCATCGCAACACCACCACGCGCCGCACTCGGGAGATCTAAGATTGATCATGGCGATAACGCATCAATCAAGAGCGTCGCAACGGTAGATAGCACAGCTCCACCGAATGGAAATGAAGATTCAGATGGCGAGCTCGAAAGCGATAGGAAAAAGATCTCGGAATTGGAGAAGGAAGTGGAAACCATGGCCAGCGAATTCGAACGCGAACTCACGCAATTAAGTCACAAAGTGACCAACGAGCGCGAATCCTCCCAGTTCTGGCAGCAAAAACATACCGCCCTCCATCAAAGGTTTCTGGATACAGATACATCCTTACGACTCCTCCGGTCTGAAGTCGCGACGCTTCAGACCGCACAAGCCGCGAATGTGGAGAGGGATCGGGAGATCAAGACGCGGATTTCAAGTTTGATGCTAGATCGTGATGGGTTTCGGGAGGCATATCATGAGGCGGTGAAGGAGGTTGGGGAGAAGGAGGATGAGATTGCGATGTTGAGGAATCAGGTGAGGGGGTTGAAGAGTTGGGTTAGTAAGGGGGGACGAGGGGGGGAGGAACAGGTTAGTGATGAGGCTGTTGCGGAGGGGTGGGGGAAATTGGGGAATGGATTGCAGAATTGGGTTATTGTGCATTTTCGGAGGGTTAAGATTGGTATGTGTGATAACCTCTTTTTTACATCATCATATATCCAAATCGTTTCCTCAAGATCTTAATTTACAAACACCGGCCACTAAATCAAAATTTACCTATCTAGATACCTCGACCGCAACCCCCGAAACAAAAACCCACCTCACCACCCTCCTACCAAACCACGCCTCCCTCCCGGCAACCTGCAAAATCCACCTCATCCAATCCCTCCTCTCCCACCTCCTCCTAACCCACATCTTCTCCGCCTACTTCCCCGGCCTGCCCACCCCTCACGCCGCCTCTCTCGAATCCCTAGAAACCTACCTCTCCACCTTCGGCCCCCCAGAAACCCTCAACGCCTGGCGCGCCCAAACACTCTCGCTCCTCCGTCGCGCACCGCCTGAGAGTGATGCTCTGACTAGCAGCCTCACGGCGGAGCTAAATACGCTTTTGCATGCCCTAACATCTCTCCCCAGCACCCCAGCACGAGACGCCTCTCTCCTCCCGCTTCTACACTCCGCTATCACCCTTACGCAGTTGCTGCGCAGTCAAAAAGCAAGGTTTGAGATTCACATGCCTGCGATAGCAGCATCCGCTGGTGACGCTACGAAGGGAGGTGATAGCATGGAATTCGATCCCGAGACTATGGAAGATGTAGGGGGCTCTGAAGACGAAGGGGGTGAGAGGGAGGTTAAATTGGTTGTCTGGCCGGGCGTCATCAAATACGGGGATGAGAATGGGGAGAGAGTCGACTTACGGAATGTGGTTTGTCGGGTTAGGGTGTTGTGTGGTGAGGGATGAGGGATGTACACAACCCTCAAAAGAGAACTTCAAATATTGTCCTAGGGAATATATGCGGGAAGCAACGTTGTATATACCGGATTGACAAAAGCCGTCTGAATACTTACCTATGCGCATGACGTGAATGGCACATCATCGCGACCAGCACACATACTTTAGAAAAGTAAAAAAACGTGCCGAGGATTCGCACCACCAGATCTTCATATACCTAGCGCCAAAATATCGAGCTGCTACTAAGTCGTAAACATAACCTCGGATATCGCAGAACCACCTTGAATTGGCCACGTCCCGGGATTTTACCTTCTTATCGACCCCCTATACTGAATAAACACATGCTCAGTAAACCATATAATCATAACACCAAGTTAGTTATCTACATTGTATTTTTCGTGGTAGAGAAATTAAATCAGTAGGTATAGTAGGATGTGCTTTGTTGATTTTTGGCGCAAGGGAAAGGGGGAGGATTATGTTGTAGTAGATATATACGTCCGACAAACGCAATTTAAGAATAAATAGAAAATCCTGCGAAATAATAAATTAGCCGTTACCTTGTATAGATCATTCCCTCTCTCTACGAAATTTAGATTTTCGTATTTGTTCCTATATAATATACTACCAGACCCCCCCTCCCCCCCAAAAAACCGACTTCTTCTACTTATCTAAGCCTATATAATTTACAACCTATACCCTCACTTTCACACAACCGAACCGCATTCAACCACTTCATCCTCCCACCACAACCTAGACTCAGCCCTTTTATTTCTCTATACAAAACTACGTATCTCTATATCTTTAATCCACTCCCTTAGGACTAGCCCTTTACACTGAAGGGAACCCCGTATATTTTGGCTAGTCCCGCGCCTAGAAGTCCGTACTAGCGTCCGCGTTTTGAATTAGGTGATACGATACTAGAATTAAGCGTTGAGACGCTATGGCTATAAAGGTAAGCTTCGTGGGAGTAAGAAAGGAATCGTTAAATCCATAGGTAGAATCCAAGATTTCATGCTCTAGTGTCAATAGACTTGACATTCATCAGGTATACGGTACTACGCAAAACTGAAACTTCCTGATTGTTAGTTCGAGGGTTTGAATATATGCAGTGCTTATACTTTCACTTCTGCAATGTAGGTTGTTGCTTAAGTCTTCAAGGAAATCTTGTCGTTATTTCACGTTTGCGGTTGGAATGGAAGGGGTGTGTGTTTTATAGGTCAAATTCATGAGTTTCTTCTTTTCTGCTTTCGTCGTCGTGGGATATGCTTGGATAGTCCTTTCCATCCTTTCATATCACCTCATAAACCACTTCCCTCACCTTGTTTATCCCCTCCCCTTATCCCCTTCCCCATCCCATACCCCCTTCCTTCACCCACCCACATCCCCTACCCAGCAAAATAGCACCGCACACCCCCATCATAAAGCGAGCGCGAAGAAAAAAATCCATCCTAAAAGCATGCTGCTAGTCGTCGAAAATAAAGTGTGTCGTTGTGCGACAGAAAGCGAGGCGTGAGAGAGTATGCCATGCCGATAAAAGAAGTGATGTCCAGACGCCAGAGCTATGTATAAGCCACAGTCGATCGGTCCAGTTCAGGTTTGCTGTATAATTTCTCCCTCCACCCTTCTCCACCCCTCCCCCTCACCTCACCTACCCACTCCCCTGCGGCGGCGCAAAAAACTTCTTCAACACCTTCTCGACCTCCTCATACTCCTCCTTCACCGTCTCCAACGTCTCCTTGATGCGCTTCAGACACAACTCATCATCTTCCACGTCCGTGGTCCCCTCCTCGTCTTTTCCCTGCCCGTAATGCTGGATCTTCTCGCATGAGTCTTTTACTTTTGTGAGACCGAGGGTTGCGGAGGAGCCTTTGAGGAAGTGGCCGAGGGAGGAGAGGTCTTTGAGATCTTTTGCTTTTCTGGGATAATCTTAGCTTAAAATGGGAGCAGGGAGATGGTGGGTGGAGGGGCATGGAGGGGTGAAAAACGGGATAGGATAGCGGTACATACAGCGCATCATCCATCTTCTTAAACGTCTGCTCCGCCTGCTCAAAAAACCCAAACACGATACTCTTACTAAAGTCCCTCTCATCATCATCATCCATCTCGAGAATCTGCTCAAACGTCAACGAATCAATGCCATCTCCTAGATCGAGCACGAACGATCCTTCTTCGCTCTATGCACGCGTTAGCTCCCCTCCTTTAAACAACTAAATCTAGACGTAGAATTTGGAGATATTGAAAGCATACCCGCTCCTCTTCATGTTCTTCGCCGCCCGGCATATTTGCGCTCTGATCTCAGCGTTGATGTGTTGTTTTGATGGGGAGCGCGGCGCGTGGTGGGGTGGGGTGTAGGAAAGGTAGGAGGATGACGAGGGTGATGGTTATATATTAATCTCGTACTTGTATGTGGTGAATGGTATCTAGGTGTTCGAAAGCGTGCGTGAATGAGGTTCGTGGTCTAGGGATTTGTTTGTTTGAGTTGCGTGATGGATAAAGATCCCACCAAAAGGGCTACGTGACGGGGACGAGCCGAGAGTCGGTCGGGCGAGTCGGGTGATTCGGGTCAAGTGCCTTTGAACCTTTTTTTTTTGTGCTGAAGACCGGGCTGAGGGTGGTATTTCGCTGAGTGTGATTTAGTCGCACAAACTGATGGGTAATTTTCTTTTCCTTCTCGACGACCTATACGTCTGTTGCTTTGTCGAGTCTCAAGTGAGTGTTAAGTGTTAAGGTGAAAGTTGGGGGTGGGAAAGGGTTTATGTTGGGTCACGACGTGAGGTTGAGTATGGGATCTCCTCGCGTGGGCAAAGAGGGGAGGGGAGGGGAGGGGAAGGGAAGGGATCAGTCAGCGGTGATATAGGGCTTGTGAGGAGGGATATTAATAGAGTAATGGGCTGGTTATCCTGGTTATGTCGGATGTAATTCAAAGGCACTGGGTCTAGACCGGAGAGATTGAAGCGTGGCCGACGGGGCTGCTGGGTCAAACGAGGAGGAGATGGAGGGGCAGGTGATATCCTTGGGATGTGTATTGACAGGTGGTATAAACTTTTGTTATTCATTCTATCTTATTAAATCCAGCTAACCTAATCACCTCCTCACTCAAACATCTATTCCATCTCATACCTAATTAGTCCCTCCTACCAAACCATCCCCTTTACACACCTCTCACACATCACACCATAGGATAAAAGTACGGCTGAACCCCTAATGCAGCCCTCTCCCTCCCACACACACACAAAACCAAAGCCGTAAATTCACCGCCGTATTCCTCACCATTCACGCTTCCAACTGCCACTTGCCAATGACGCATTCGTTACGTCATCCCACATATCAGAATCTGTTTGTCTGTCAACCACTCATTTACGCCACCAGGGTCTGAGCGTAGAATCGCCCTCCAAAACAATTTCATCCTCGTTTTGATAGAGTTTGTATAAATACCGCGCGAGGGAATGAGGGTTGGGTTTGTGGTGTTTTATTTTGGATTCACTTGTTGTTGGAGAGGATGAGCGAAAGGTGAAGGAGATATGTCGAAGTGTCATCCGGCTCATGCGCCATCTCAAAGATCGGCATAACAAGCCACCAAGATCTAGACCTCTGGTGTGGCATACTTGTACAAAATCACAATATCGACTCACCTTCCGCGGCCAGATCGACGATCTAGCAACGGGCGAACTGCTCGAGCTGGAGCGTTTCGAGTGCCGGAGATGTGATCATTTCGGGTTTGGGTGCAGGAGGGTCGGTGGGTGTGTGATTGGACGCTGTGGTGTGGAAGTCGGTGGAAGAGGATACGGGAAAGGCGCGGAGAGAGTTGGATTTCGAAGCGACGGATGAATAGTTGCGAGTTTACGGAGGCAGGAGGAGGGTCTGATATCACGGGAAAAGAAGTGCTGCTGTGTGGTACACGGAATACGAGTGACGAGTCCCTCTCTTGGAATCGAACGGTCTAGACTGTTGCGGATGAATAGGCGAAGGGGAAGGCTGGGAGCGAACAAGTGTGGTATCGAAAAGGGACGGGCTATTATTCGAAAAGTAAGTATCAGTAACAACGTTTGTATGAGCATACCAGCCGCTCGGAATCTAAATCACTTCTTCCATTCTCACGTCGACAGTTCATATCAACCTCCACATATCATAACTCATAACCGCTCACAGTATTGCAGAGATTAGATTCCATCCTAGAGGAGTGCTCAAGCTGGATCCCGATGGCCCATAACACCGCTGTAGCATAGTCTTTCGATCATGAAGCGGCCTTTCCTATAAGTGTCAGAGAGTCCTGAAACACCAACAAACTCTGCGCCAATTCCATGAGCACCTTTGACACAACGGTGGGTATCGCTCAACCAAATCTACTCAAACAGAATTGGCACAGATGCCAGAACTGCATGCCACTACCCGCGTTAGAAATGAGGCTGATTTCCTCTCCTCGCTTGCTCAATACATCTCAAGCCAGTTTCATAAATCGCTAATATGCCTGTCACTTCTACTCAGCGCTTAAATGGAGCGGCCGGTCTTGAGACCTATGTAAGACACACCGACAGCGGCTTTTGGTATCATCAAGCTCTCAGAACAGTGCTATAAATTGAACTGGTATAAACGATACCCACTAAATTAGCGCAACCCTTCATGTACCTTAAGCATTAAATACTTGGACAGAATTCCCAAAACAGCCCTCTCAACGAAATTAAAACTCACATGTAGAACAATACCCCCAAACCAACCCCTCTCTCCCTCACATGTCTATTACTCTTTGTCTTTTCCCAAAAGAAAAGTACATCTCCGACTCCTACAAACAAGCAATCTTCCTCCCGTCAAACGCGTATTCTTGTCACGAAAAACAGCTCACGAACTCCTCCCGGGGTGTGGTTTCTATGAGATAAGACAAACTATTCATCTCACGGCCGGATGGAACACAGTCACGAATCTTGGGGACAAGATGAATCTTGCGGATAAAAATATAGGCCTTGGGAGATGGCGTTAGTTTTATCTCGAGGTGGGAGGGGACGAGGTAATGGTGCTTGTTGAAGGAAAAGAGGGTTGGTTGAGATTTTTTTTTCGGATGGAGATGTTTCGGGCTTGGGTTTTGCTTGGGGTTGGAGATGGGGGAAGTGTGGAGGAGACCTTGAGATGTGTAGATGTTGAAATACAGGGGTTTGAGGAAGTTGTATATGTCATGTTATGGATTACGTGGTTTAGTGTTTACGCAAGGAATCGATCTACGTGCGATAGGGTCATCTAGCTGTTGTGAAATTACCCGTAGGAGATCGTCATAGTAAATAGGTTTGGATGATCTATCGGAGCGTAATTTTCCCGGATAATAAAACATAACGCTTGAAATTCATGAAAATAGCTAACCAGAGCCACACGGTATTAAAACGCCAAACTCCCCGGTTGAAGGCGACAAATATCGATACCTACGCTTCACTATCCCAAACTTCCCAGAATCCAAGAAAAAAAAAAAGAAATATCGTACAAGAAAACCCCCTCCTCCCCGTCTACAAGCTAAGGCAACTTCCCATTCAAAATCTCCTGTCGACCAACTGGGTTCTCCTGTACCATCTCCCATTTCTCCACCTTCCCATCACCATCCACATCCTCATTTCTCATCTCGTCCATCTTCCTCTGTTCGTCTTCTGTCGGTGGTGTGGCGTCGGTGTTTGTGAAGACGTGATCCATTTTGTTGTCGATTTGTCGTTTGGCTTGGGGTACGTAGGTTAGATAGTTTGTGGCATCTTCGTCTGGGATGTCACGCTTGGCGGAGGGGTCGGATTCGGATTCGGTGGTAGGTTCGTCGGTTGGTTCTGGGGTGAGCTCGCCCCATTCGATGTCTTCATCCGCGGCTGGATCGGTGGAGTCGGTTGGGTCTTCTGAGGGGTCGGCTTCTGATGATGGGTCTGTGGTGTCGGATGTGGTGTCGCTGGTATCTGATGATGTGGAATCCGATAACGTTTCATCTGACGATGTGGAATCTGAGGTAGAATCGGTGGAATCTGAAGTCGAATCCGATGTTGAATCCGAAGATGTAGAATCCGATAATGTTTCATCTGATGTCGAGTCGGTAGGATCTGACATCTCATCTGGTGAAGTTGAATCAGATGACGGAGAATCCGAAGCTACGTCTGATACTGCTGCTCCATCTCCCGCTCCACTCTCTATCGTCTCCATTTCAGGATCTTCTCCCCCAGTTCCCGTCGAATCTCCTGATCCGGAAGAGTCCGATTTACTTTCCGACGTTGGTTCTGCGCTTCGCGTAGACGTAGATGTAGGTTTGGGTTTCGCTCCTCCCGTATATTTGTATTTAGGGACTCTCTTCTCTTTCAACTTCGGTGTTTCCGGCTCCGGAGTAGACGTCGCCTTCGAAAGAGCGGCATTTGCAATTGGTAACACACCTTCCAGTCCCGGTATAACTGGCATATTTGGTAGTACTTGAGGTTTTTGACCTAGGTCGTATTCATTTGTGGCATCGGGTTGCGGCGTTGGAGTTGCTTCCGACGAGTAAGTTGCGAAATCCGGGGCTTGCTCGTTGGAGCGAAGACATGCATCCCTTGCCTCCTGCGTCTTTCCTATACATTGAATTTGTCGTCGATCTAGGCCGCGGTACTCCACATCACCCGAAGATATCGCAGTCATAGTGCCCGTATCTTCCTCGACTCCTTCATCACCATATGAAGAAGGAATAGTCGTTGGTAAAGCAGTTGCTGTAGGACGAAGTGTGTAAGTGGTCTCCAATTTCGATCCAGCGGCTTTGGAGGGCGATCCGATTGGGACACAATTAGAATCTTTACCTTCGCAATCGGAGGAGAGATAAGGTGCGATGACAATAGGATTGGCTAAGGTAGTACTTAAGCCCGTGAGGGCTATTGTGAAGAGGATAGGTAGTTGCATGACTGGTTTTCGGAAATTTAGTGCAAGAATAAATGGACTGGTATTCCCCTTGGTTGTTCTGATTGCTGATGGGTTAAAGTAGTGAAGTGTGGATATGATGACTCCATGGTGTCGGGCTTTGGAGTACTTATATTACCTTTCAACAATTCGAAGGACCAAAATTTCGTAGGAGTTACTGTAATGTTCCTCAACTCCCGATATAAATCTTGTTGGTTTGACGGTCACGTTTTCGTGGGTGCGTTTCGCGTAATAGGACGACGATGTTGGTTGGAAATCCTTTTCGTTGGTCTGGCTCCCAAGACCGTTGGTATTTTCCAACCAACTCGGTAGATTTCGTAAACCATCTTATTTAGTACCAGAATTAATAAAAAGTGGCTCCTTCCGTGGATTTCCCTTCCTCTTCGCAATATAAACTGGCTGTGGATCATGCGTCTTATTCCGGCCAGTTGAAGCAACAGGTTCCGCCTTAACAGGTGATAATTCTCAAACTGTTGTAACAACAGCCTTTGCGCCTATGTTCATGCCAGTGACAGCTTTTATCGTCAAAAAGGAATACCAACCACTCCTGACATCATTTGTGAAATGTGGCTAGAGGCTGCGACCAACATGTAGCAATATGGTATTGATGTGCTCACTAGCAACAACACCAACCACACACACTACGTTTGACAACATCTCCATCATACAACTGCCCCAAATTGTTGGTATCAAGGCATCACAACACTCTCTTCCACCACATACTCCTCCCCCAACTCTTCATCATCAACTTTCTGAGCACCCATCCTACAAATAGCCACCTTCTCGACCTTAACATCCTTCATCCACACAAAATCCTCATAATCTTGTAATATCTCCTCTGCATTAATCGTTAAACGTGCTTTACGCTTTCCGTGACCAGCTTTTCCTTTTGTTTTATCTCGGACACCAGGAACATAGATGGTGTTCAAGATAGTAGCGTGCAGCAGTAACGGCCGAGTATCTTCGACCATGAGTTTTGCGTCGATAAATACTTGTTTGAGAGATTGACAGAAGGTCGTGAGTTGTGGGGAGGGAATTGGTGGTGCAAATAGGACGGATGTTGAGGACGGGTCGTGCATGCTTTCTATGCCTTGGAGAGTAATTGTCAAGCCTGGTGTCTGTTTCTGGGGCTCTAAATCTTTCGATTCATCGTCTTGGTGTTGTGTTGCGCCAGATTTTAGTAAAATTCCTTTCAAATCCAGTCGCTGGAGAATTTCCAATGCACTTTGTATCAACTCCGGTGTCACGAGACTCATAACACCAAGTGTAAGATGTAAAGAACCAAGAGGTCTTATGGCTTTCTCTGGAATACCGTCTGGATTTTCGGACGTTCTTGTAGTTGTCACTTTCTCTCTAAAGGCTGTCAATGATGATCGAAGTTGTGGCCTTGAGGTTGGTGTGATGAGAGGTATCATGAGGAAATGCGTGAGCCGCGCTGAGGGGGGTTTTGGAGGCATGCTCTTGGTTGAGGGGATTATTGGGATTCCAAATATCAGCAATCTCGAGAGACTCTCTAAATCATCTTCGTCTTCGGTGAGGCAATAGATGATGTGTATTGATGAAGCTGTAGAGTTGTCGTTGCGATGTCTGAAGAGATGGTCCAAGCTCCTCCGTTGTGAATTCGAAGTAGGTTCGAAGCGGGCCGACCCATAAGCTTTTGGTAGACTATCCTAACTCACCTCGGTGAATACAAATTAAACTACATCTTATAACTACTTGCTTATATCTCCCTTTTAAGGAAATCGGAATCGGAGAAGAAATCTAAGGAATATTTTGCTGGTTCCGACAGGGATTCCGGCAACATGCTTCGGCTCGGACCACTCATCGATCGGCTGGCTTGTTGTCCCGACAGCTGCCTTTCCGCGTCAAACGAAAATAACTAGCACGACAGCGACACTTTTACACACACTTTAAGAAATCTAGCTTTATTAGCTAGTCATATTATGAGCAATGATGGATGTCGATGAGCCTCCAACCTCGCCCGAGTCGTTCTCAGAAGAGGACTACGAAAAAGCGCCAAACGTTGACGAGGCTTCCATAAACGAGGCTCCCATAGCAAACGAGGTTGTTGAAGACCTCACCGCTGAGGAATGTATACCTTCGCCTGGCTCTATAGAAGCTCTGCAAGATGGCATAACGGTCATCAAAGCTAGGCCTTACCAAAAAGAAATGCTTGAGGAGAGCTTGAAGAAGAATATCATCGTTGCTGTGAGTTATGAGAAAGATGGAGGCTAGTCGGTTGTGGGTTTTGAGGATCTTTGCTAATTGGATTTCAAAGATGGATACTGGGAGTGGAAAGACCCATGTGTGAGTTAAACAACTCTAATTTTCTGCATTTTACATACCGAGTTGTCTCGATGTATTCTCGACTGCGTAGTAGTCAAGCTAATGTGATTCTGCAATTACAGCGCAATTATGAGAATGCTTCATGAAATCGAAATACTGCCCTCACACAAGGTCTGAAACCAAAGCTTCATATAGATGCATGTATTAACATTTTCAGATTATATGGTTTCTTGCCCCAACAGTCTCCTTAGGCGAGCAGCAATTCCACTCCATCAAATCTCAAATTGGCTCTGTCGAATCTATATTTCTCAGCAGCGCCGACAACGTCGATCGATGGACAGTCAAAAGTTTATGGGATGCTGTGCTAGAAAATGTCAAGATTGTTGTATCAACATATCAAGTTTTACTTGACGCATTGACTCATGGTTTTGTCGAAATGGAGGTACTGGGAATGATTGTTTTTGATGAAGGTAAGTCTACTTGTTTTCACTACAGACCAAGCTAATGTCACAAGTCCACAACTGTGTAAAGAAGCATCCTGGATCTAAAATAATGCGAAGCTTTTACCATCCAAGAAACGCTGCAGGACTAGATGTCCCTCATATTCTTGGACTTACAGCCAGCCCAGTAATGAGATCGGATCCTGATTCAGTAAATGAAATCGAACAGACTATGCATGCTATTTGCCGGACGCCAAAACAGCATCGTGCGGATCTTCTCCTTCAAGTCAAGCTACCGGTCTTGTCCGAAGTGACTTTTCGGACTCTTACATTCGCAGAAGAGTTTGCTAGCAATATACCCCTGATCAAACGTCTTGGAAGAGTCTACGCAAACCTCAGAATTGGTGATGATCCCTATGTTCAACGCTTACGACGAGATAATTCAGAAAGAAGCCAGCGAGCGCTAGACAAAGTTTATCAAAACCACAAGACTTGGTGTTCTGGTGAACTCAAAACTTTTCACACTACAGCACTAAAGATGTGGAGAGAGCTTGGAGTCTGGGCTGCAGAATTTTACATCATGGAAGTTCTAGCCAAATACGACAAGATTGCTTATGGTTCAGATGAATCTTTCGAAACTTCCTGGGATATAGCACCGGCAGAAAAAGCGTACTTGGCTAAAGCCCTCAACCAAGTTGACAAGACTCATACATCGAATCCTTTGCTAAGAACAGAATTCGACATTTCAGACAAGGTCGCTCAGCTTATTAAAGTCATGCTTGAACAGGATACATCGAAATTTCGCGGAATCATATTTGTACAAGAGAGAGCAGTTGTATCAGTCCTTGCTCAATTATTGTCGATTCATCCCCAAACTCGCAACATTTTCAAGATAGGTATCATGGTAGGTACTTCTACTAATGATTATCGCGGTCGAGAAATGGCCGATTTTGTCAATTTGGACTCCCAGAATGATGCTTTGATAGATTTTCGATCTGGAAAGTTGAATCTTCTAGTTGCCACTTCAGTTCTCGAGGAGGGTATAGATGTTCCGGCTTGTAACACTGTATTTTGTTTCCAGAAACCCGCAAACTTAAAGTCGTTCATTCAACGTCGAGGGCGTGCCCGACAGCGAGATTCGAAACTGATCATTTTCCATGAATTCGACGATACTAAGAAAACCGAATGGCGACAGTTGGAAGAAAACATGAGAAGGATGTACGAGGATGATCTCCGAGTACTTCAACAGCTGTCAATAACGGAAGAGGAAGAGTATCATGATGGCAGGTTCTTCCAAGTCGAAAGCACAGGAGCTCTTTTAAATCTTGACAATGCGGTATCGCATCTATATCATTTCTGCGCTACATTGCCATCAAAAGCATACGTTGATCTTAGACCAGACTTCATCTGTACTGAAGGGGACGCGAAACGAATACGAGCAAGAGTCATTCTACCTCTCTCTGTCAACGAATCTGTTCGCTTCGCTTCAAGTAAGGATTCTTGGACGAGTGAAAAGAATGCTATTAAAGATGCTGCTTTTGAAGCATATCTTGCGCTATATCGAGCAGGATTGGTCAACGAGAACTTACTGCCTTTGCTCCGACATGGCGTTGATGTTACGGAGCTAACTTCCACGAAGATTGAGACGCGAGCGTCTCTGATGGAGGTGAACGAGCAGATCAATCCTTGGTACAGATCCTTCCAGAGCGGCGACAATGCTCAAAAGCATAAAATCGGAATAACGCTCTCTGGGGCGGACTTGGACGACGTGAGTATAATTGGAACTCTTCCAGTATCCATTCCAGCACTTCAGCCTTTTACCTTGTATGTGGACAGCAAAACACAAGTTACAGTAAGCACTACAGCTTCAACATACATACCCAAAAATGAGCCACTGCAATCGATGTCATTACAGGAAACATGGAGTCTGCTGAATTCAGCTTTCGGCCAGCGATACACTATTCGACAGGAAGAGTTTGCGATGATGTTTTCAATACCGGAATCAAGTCTATCCAGTTCAGCAGAGAAGATCAGAGCTCAGGATTACAATTTTCCATCTCATGCTTTTGCATGTCCATTGATTTACGATATTTCGGAGCCTTTGATTCGATATGTATACAGAGATTTACTACGCTCCAAACCGTCCTTTGATGACATCCAACATCCACATCCAGACTACGAATCGGCACCCGACGGGCCTTACCTATCCTTACGGCGTCTACCGAAACGTGCTGACTTTCTCAACAAAGTCAATTGGGATGGCAAACCTCCTAGTAAAAAGAAGTATACATACGTCCTACCAATCTGGAGCTGCGTCGCCGATGGCATACCGTTCCGATACGTCCAGTTCGCTCTATTCATTCCATCAATAATCTATCAAGTATCCACTACCCTCCTCGCCCAAGATCTCTCATCAACCATCCTCGCCCCACTTCAACTCAAAGACCTTTCTCAATTAATCACTGCCATAACCTCTTCCCAGGCCAGTAGCACAAATAACTACCAGCGTCTTGAATTCTACGGCGACTCTATCCTAAAGCTTTGCACCTCAATCCAACTACTAGCTGAATACCCCCTCTGGCACGAAGGCTACCTATCCTCAAAGAAAGACCGTCTCGTAGCAAACTCCCGTCTCTCCCGCGCCTGTACAGAACTCGGACTCGACAAATACATAATCACCAAGCGATTCACAGGCGCAAAATGGCGTCCTCTCTACGCATCCACCTTCCTCATCCCAGAACCCCAGAAAAAACGAACACTATCTTCCAAAGTCCTAGCAGACGTAATCGAATCCCTAATCGGCCTCTCAGCAACCCAATCCGGCATCCCTCACGCCCTTCAAACCCTCCAACTCTTCCTCCCCGAACTCCCATGGCTCCCCTTCGCAACCCGCCAAACGACCCTCTACAACCTCGTCCCCTCCCTCCCCCTCCCACCAACCCTCCTCCTCTTACAAACAATCCTATGCCACACCTTCGCCAAACCAGCACTCCTGCTCGAAGCACTAACCCACGCCTCCTTCGCACCTCTCCCAGGCACCCCCTCGCAATCCCTCGAACGCCTCGAATTCTTAGGTGATTCCATCCTCGATCATTTAGTCGTGGAGGAAATGTACAGCCATAAACCGGAGCTAAATCACTTTCAAATGCACATCCTGAGAACCGCATGCGTGAATGCGGATTTCCTCGCTTTCGCATGTCTGGAGTTCGCTACGACTACCACTACCACTGCTATCGATCCTAGGACTAACCAGCCTGTCATGAAAACCACGAGGACGCCATTGTGTAAATACATACGCCACGCGTCGCCAAGTCTAGCGGCCAATATGAGCGCGACGATGGCCCGACACGCGGTGTTAAGGGAGGGCATTAAGAGGGCGTTGGAAGAGGGGACGCATTTTCCGTGGGCGAAGCTGGCGAGGTTGGAGGTGGGGAAGTGGTGTAGCGATGTTGTTGAATCTGTGTTGGGGGCGCTGTGGGTTGATTGTGGGGATATGGGGGTTTGTAAACGGTTTTTGGAGGATATGGGGGTTTTGGGGTTTGTGAGACGGTGTTTGAGGGGTGTGAAGGAGAAAGAGACCGGGGAAATGGATGGGGATGAGCGGGAGGGACAGGGAAGGAAGGATTTTGATCTTGGACTTGGTTTGGGTGTTCATTGTTGGCATCCGAAAGAGGAATTAGGTGTTCTTGTTGGGAATGGGAAGGTTAGGTATACGGTTTTTGATACTAGTCAAACTCCTACTACCACCTCTCCTCCCAATACCTCTACCTCCACCAACCCTACCACCACCAACCCTACCTCAACACAACCCCCTCCTCCTCCCACCACCCTCCCCAACCACCACCACGAAGAAATCCAAGACACAATCAAAGGCCCCTACGCCTGCACCATCTCCATAAACGACACCCCCCTCATCACCTGCTCAAACGGCGTGAGCAAGATGGAGATTATGACTAGGACTGCGGAGATGGGCGTTAGACTCTTACTCGCTAAGACGAAAGAAGAGTCGGAACGGGATCGTAGCTCGGAGGCTGGTAATGATGTTGTTATGAGTGGATGAAGCTTTGTTAGAATTTCTGTTTCAAAATGTCTGACGGGATTGGCTGGGTGAGAATTGATTGGCTGAAGTAGGTTATATCAAGAAGTGCGTATACAAAAAAGTTTGGTTTTGCGTTTGATGGTCGAATTGGGAGATGAAGGTGCGAGATTAGATGGCAAGAAGGGGATTGTGGGATTTAGTAAAGTGGGTTATAATAAAGTGCGTATATGGAAAAGTTTGGTTTTTGCTTACGATGGTTTTAAAGTAGATAGATAACGAATTTGAAATAAAGATTTATACTAATCTAAAAACAGTAAAATGGAGTTAGAATGTTAGCTTATTAAATATATATTAAATTATTAAATAACGTTTTATTTATATACCTCGAAAGGAAAGATTAAACACTTTCTCTATATTGTAACTACACCCTCCCTATACCTTCTCTATATAACCTACTAACTACCCCCCCTAACACCCTACTTCTCGATAAATTTAACCCCTACCTTCTTTTAAAACTAGATAACCTATTTAGAATACAAGTACTACTAGGACTTATATCTTCTAGTTATATTTATAGTAACCCCTTAAAATATAGAGGTTATAGATTTAAGTAGAAAAAAGTAAATAAGTTAGGTTAGCTGTAAAATTAGTTATTATATTAGGGTGTATAGAGGACAATTATCCTTGTTCTCTCTTAACCTCTAAACTAAACCCTAGTAGCCAAAAAATCACACACTAAAACAATCTTAACTTTAAATACTCCATCTACCCATCTCCCTTACTCCCCCTCCCCTCCATCCATCCTCCTCCCTATGCCTAATCTACCACCCGTCTAAACATCACCCGTACCTATACCCCGTTTCAAACCCCGTATCTAACATCAATGCCCAGCTCGTAATGAATCCGCAGTTCGTAAAAGAAAAACCTACCCCCACACAGGTACTTCGCATTTATAACGGTACACGAATGTTATGTCAGTCGAGAGGGGCTGCTTGGTTTATCTCTACTGAAAAACCCCTTATTCCTTTCTAACTCCATCCATTCTTATTCCCAGCCCTCCTCTCACCCCCTCCGCAATCCCATCCCCTCCCATTATTCACACCTAAAGCTAAACCTCTGTCCAACCAAAACCCTGCCCTCTATTAAAACGATTCATTTCACCTCCTCTAAACCAAAAAAGCTAGTCATCAAATAAACCACTTCTCCTTTCGATTCCTCTAGATATCTACTTTAGTCTTCTCCTCGTAAAGAGCCTTTCCTCTTCCTATTACCCACCTACCCCTACATTCCTCTTCTCTCCCTTTTCCCATCGCCAACTAATTCAAAGGCCAATCCCCAACCCCCAAAATTCACAAACCCACAAACCTTCCACCCCGTCTAGACTCTTCACAACACCATCCCCCCATTCTTATATGATCAGCTACAACCCGGGCCATTCTCGCATCTTCACACCCATCATCAAAAAACATAAACCCACTCCACTCCCATTCAAGAACTCGCGCTACCCCCTTCACATGTACAGGAAAACGATCACATACAAATTTCGAGACCGTTTAACATTGTGGTCCATTTAAACATGGTAGATTTAATTCCTTCTATACATCTATTGATTCTATTCTCACACCACCAACAACCCTCGCCTCTCCCATCAACCCCCACCCCTCTCATTATCACTATCAACTCCCCCTCTCCACGCACAAAAAATCACCATACCATACATACGAATTCCCGCTATAATTCAAAACATTGTAGTCCCATTTAAACATGGTAGAATTTAAGCTTATTCTATACATCTATCTATCCCCCTACCACCCACACCCTCCCCTCTTTCCATCCTCCCCTCTTCATCCCCCCCCTACCACCCACATCCTCCCCTCCGCTATCATACTCTCAAGGACTTCCTATAGTACAAGCAAGAAACCAGCCGGGACTAGCCAGTAGTACCATCCCACACAAATTACAAGTCTTAATCGCATTCTCAATATCAAATCAAGTGGGTATGAAACTCAACTCTGCACAACTCTGCACAAACACAAACCCCCCCCAAAAAGGTATCAAAACCACACTCCAAAAAAAGCATCAAAACATCGCACCTCAAAACTTTACAAGAACAAACAACACGTCCACAGTTCCAGTCAAGTAATCTTCAAAAAAAGTCTCAGTTTAAAATTCCCTTTCCATTCGCATTCCGATCCATTCCCCATTCTAATTGTCCATCTCATCTCATTCACACACCTCTCCTCCCTTTCCCTCCTCAATACACACCCCACCCCACTCCACCCTTCCGGGCATATACCCCCCAAATTCTAACTAACTACAAAACAAGCAAGGAAAAGTGTGTCTTCAGTATGTTCTTGTAATACAAACGTCGCTCCCATGCTTCCCCGCCCCATCCCGACGATTAAACAAGGACCGCTCTGCAAAGGAAAAAAAATCCCTCTCAGCCAGCCAGCTCAGCCCTTTCAAAAAAAAAAGAAAATTGTGTATATATAGAGAGGTACTTTGCAGTGTGTGTATGACAAATGAAAATAATCGGGCACAAAATCAGTTGCACTCGCATTGTGCGCGCGCGCGCGAAAAAAAAACACAGGGCCAGCGCAAAATAAATCTCCTAGCCCTGTTTGGTATCCCCTCCCTTAATAATTTCCCTAAACACCATGCAATGTAGATGCTGCAAAAACTTAAAAAACTTGAACTTTTCCTCCATGTTATGTGTGTGTGCGTGCTTGCCGTTGTTGAAATTTTTTCTTTCTGATGTACATACTAACAAAAATATACCCTTTCCTATTTCAGGGAATTTTTGTGTTTTAAAATCGATTTTGAGCCGCAAAGATGCTTGCTGCTGCAGATGCTGCCCACTCATTTTCTTCGCTGTCATATGGTGGTGTTGAAGATTGTTTTGGTTGACCTCGAACTTTTGATGGCGTGACTTGGGAAACGCCATGACCGAATAGAACAGCACTACCACTCGCCGATGGTGATGGTGTTGGGTATGGGTTGTTTAGACCAAGATTGCTATTGGATTGTCGAAGTGATTGACGGGAATCAGCTTGCATAGAATTCCGGTCCAACCGTTTCATAGCCTTATGCGTACTCGTTAACGCTTCGTCCAATAACTCGTCCTCCTCATCTGGTGTTTCATATTGTCGATGGGCAGCCGCCGGGACCTGTGACCTTCTCGTTCTGCTAGAAACTGGTCCACCAGCTGCACGAAGATTATCTACCGATCTTGGTTGTTGATGCGGTAGAGAATGATGCCGCTTGAGAACACTGTTTGGAGTTACCATATGTGTTGGTGGAACAGGTGCGTGCTGCGGGGAGTCGAGGTTTTGTTGAACATTTCGAAGAGCTTTATCCAAAGCCTCATAAGTATCAACTTTTTGAACCGGACTAGGTGCTTGTCCGTTGCTGTCAATGGCCATCGATGATCGGTTACTCGCCCATGGTCCGCATCCAGCTTGAGCCTCAATATCCATAGACTTTGGTGACATTGGTGTTTGAGATTGACGACCCGAGAACCTCCGCGCACGTTTCCGTAGATGTGAGAAGAAACTCTCTTTCTGTCCATTTGGTGGTGATGCAAGTCCTGTCTGGCCATTCAAGGCGGCTTCGGCCTGTTGTCGATGGAGATCGGCATAATGGTTTCCATTCGATGCAACAGACAATTGTCGTCCAATCTTCTTTGCAACCTTATCGTCCATGTTCTTTTGACCTCCATTATAAGCATCACTGTATGAAGGTGTTCGACTACTTGCTTGTGCTGTAACGGCATCAGAAAGTGGCGAGATCGGTTTAATCGTGGGGAGAATTGGCATCGGAGCCGCGTTTGATGATCCATTATTCCATGTGGCCCTCTTACTAGCGGCCGGTCTTGTCTTGACAACAGGAATATCCGTGGTGGAATGTGCAGGCGGCGATGGTCGAGGAGCGACATTTTCTTTTCCAACAGTTGGTGCAGGACTGGTTGTATCGGTCCGGCCGATCAAAGATTTTCTGAACCATGACTGTTTCGACGACAACGGTGGAATGATGTCTGTAGAATCCTTGGATCCGCGATAACTCAAGTCAGACTTTTGACGACCCAACATGCGTGATGCGGATGATTTTGGTCGCAGCGGATCGACTGCATCGTTGAAGAATTCGTGTGCAAGGGCCTGGGTTGATGTTGGGCGGGATTTTGGATCCCACATCAAACACCATGTGACGAAATTACTGAGCGATGCTGGCCATTGTGGGCTTTGAAGTATCGTATCCATCGCGTGAGGGGCCATCTTTGGGAAAGAGAATCCAAGTTTACCGGCCAACCGAGTCCCTTCTCTCCAGTCTCCACCACCTACTCTTGCACCGGATTTGCTGTACCAGTTTCCTGGGCTACCCATGATTTCGCACACTCTCCAAACCTGATCAACTTCATTCCCACCAGGGAACAACGGTTTCAATGTGGCAATCTCAACGGCCATTGCTCCGATCGCCCAGATATCGACAGGTGCCGAATACTCTCCGGCGCGTAACAAAACCTCAGGAGCACGGTACCACCTGGTAGAAACATAAGTAGTGTATGGCAATTTGGAATGGGTTTCTCTGGCGAGTCCAAAATCGGCAATCTTTACGGTGTAGTTCGGTGGTGTTGATGGAGGAGTAACCATGTTGGAGTATCGTCGGAAAGAGTTTGAAGAATCCTGCGCCGATGTCGACACGAGAATGTTTTCGGGTTTAATGTCGCGATGAAAGAAATGGTGAGCATGAATATGCTCGAGCCCTTGCATGATCTGGAATAAGATACTCTTCACGCTCCCTACGTCCAGACACTTGTGATCCCGTGCTTTCATTAATTGATAGAGATTCCCATCCATGTATTCCATGGCAATGTGAAGTTTCTTGGTGAAAGGATCGAGGAAAATGTCGAGAGCTGGGACAAGATGCTGGTGGTGTGGCAGTGTCCTCAGAAAGACGACTTCTCGAAGTTCCATACATGGTGCCAGCGATTCAAAGTTCTTCTTCATCGTCTTGATGGCGATCTACACATATCAGATTAGCTTGGACACTTCACAGTCATCCATGATCATTGCTCACCACTGTGCCTCGTCGTGCGACGCTGGAACCCGCCGAGCGGACTCTTGCGAGAACCACGCTACCAAAACTACCATCTCCAATATCCTTTAGAACCTCAAACCGATCCTCGAGCGCTTGACCGTTCGTGGATGCAGCCGTCGATGACCCTCGATGGGTCAAATCGTATGCTACCGTCATGGTGAGAGTCCGCCGTGGCGATTGTGTTTAGATGTGTGATTGTATCGCGATATAATCGTCTCGTAACGCGAATGGTGGTCGATGATGCTGAACTATCAACGCGAACTGATCAGAATGCCAACCTCGCGACTTTTTCCAGCCAGAGCTGATGAGATAATTCCACGTACCAAAATCTAGCACCTCGAAAGCCCTTTAAAAAGAGCTTGAAACAGTCACCGGTGCATGCAGAGTGTCGACGTAAGACTGTTCAGGACGAGATATTATGGCTGTTCTGGTGGTTCTTGATTCGACGGTCTAGATCGGGTGTCGGAAGATATTAGGTGTATTACTGTAAGATGCTGAACGATTGAACTTTTGGATTGGCGTATCTGGTGTATTTGGTGAATCTGTCGAGCGATCGGAGGAAGGACAGAATGCAGAAATGGTAAAGAAGGAATGAAGAAGGAAGCTCGAAAGGGTCTTGACTCTTGAGGGTCCCAAGGGGAGAAGAGCCGTTACCAGAAAACGGGTCCCTGACCGGGTGGGCCCACAAATTGCAGGCGAAAGCTCGTGGCCGATCACAACAGGAGGCCTCCGCGAAGCTTCCTGGTTTAGCGTAGGGGAAAGCGTGATAGGGGCGGGCTGGTGATGCTGGTGCTGGCGTTGGTCTTGGGTTTTCCGGAGCTTGGAATTAGTGTGGACTGAGTACGGTTTGCGGTTTGCGGTGTGTTGAGGCGTGGGGGAGGAGGATACGTTGTGTGTTGTTTCCTTTTTGGTGGTTGGAGCTGCCGTAGGAGGAAGAGGAATTGGGGCTGCGGAACGGTGTTGGACGTGGAAATCCCCGGTGCAGCAGAGCAGTTCAGAGGAAACGCGCGGATCGCATAAACTCTCGACAGGCAGACCGCTGAGACGACACAATTATTCGAATAATATTAATCAACTCTGCTTGACGGGTTTAATGGACGGAAACGCAGACCGGTCGGCAGTGGATTGCAACGCAGGCTTGTCACTGGGTGACACGGCGAAAAGGGAGAGCGAGGGAATCTTTTTTTCCAACCAAATCTCGGGGGGCATGAAGCTGCGAGGGTGCCCGGGGATGGTTGCGATTAATGGCCAATTTCGCTAAGATCCATCGACGTTCAGGCTTCAGGCTCAGAAAGCGCTTGGATCGGGCTCGTTGGGTGTTCTGGTCCTGGTTCGTCCTGACTCGTCCCTCCAGGTGTGTCAGCGTGGACCAAGCAATGGGATGAGTCGGTCTCCGTATGTCTGGATTGAATCGTGAAAATGGTCGTGCGGATGCGATGTGAAGCGCTGAATCGTGAGATGAGAGTGTATTGTGCGCGCGACGAGAGAGTATTATTTTCTTCGTGTTTGTCCGGTCAACGAGCAGCCAGTTTTTAATTGCTCGACGTGGCACCTGTTGACGAAATCTCCCAGGCGAAAAGGACAGGGTGATGGGAACGAGGGAACTTTTGACACGCGGATGATCCAGGCTTTGGCGGGGCGACAGGTATTGGTACAGGAGAGCGGTGGACAAAAGGTAGAGGGGTAAGTGGAAAGGAAGAACCGGAATGGATGGGATGAGGAAGGTCAATGGTCGTTGGATTAATGACTGTGTGTCGAAGGATCGTGGTGACGGGGTTGAAGGAGATGAGAAGAGTGTACAAAGTAGGGTGGTCGCAAGTGGTGGTATCAAGTCGCAACTAGTCGATGTTGGTCGCAGGGAGAGACTCTGAAAGTATTATTTTTACATCGAGCGAGGTGAAACACCAGAGACATCAAGAAGCATCACGAAAGGGAGCAAGAGAATTTCCACTCGGCGAGGGAAACTGCCTTCGACCATACTTCCCCAGTACTGGCTTCCTCCTCAACCTGACGTTACTTCGCACCAGCGCGTCGCGTCAGGAAAAGGCATCACATTTTGGCTGAGCGCTGACCATACTTCACCACCTCAACTCGCGACTGGATTCGTTTGTGATATGGCCTCCTACACGCCCTTCCATTCGTCCAAAATCCCGTTACCATGCGTGCATTGCTGCGCTACAATACACTCTGTATGGCTCCCACAGGCACATTATATCTGGTTGGTTCGTCGTCGCGGTTGGCCCCAAGATGACTGTGCCATCGCGCGACCTATTCAGAGACTGGCTGTGAAAAAGGGGATGACTGAGGACTTCGCATCAAGCAGGCCACTTCGCAAGCAGGAGGGGAAACATCGCTGCCCGCACATCTTTGCCTTCTCCAGGTCATGGTAGGCACCGTGTTATCAATACTATCGATTATCCTGCGAATCATCAAGTGATAAGCATAGCACGGTTGTAATAATCTTATCAGCTGAATTAATGGCTAGCAAACCAACTGTGTGTTTCGTCAATGCTCATGCCAAATGAAATCGTATACTCATGCCTCCAGGAAACAGTTGATGCAAACAAATTCGAGTGGATGGTTGGTAATCTTAGCACGCCGGCATATCACGAATCATTCGAACCATCAGATGAAGTCGTTGATACCAGCTCGACTAGACGTTTCGCCATGTCAATGCAACCACAAATATGTCTGAGAATACCGCAAACACGGACGTCGACTTGGACGATCTGCGTATGGTGAACTTGTCCGTGACCCCCTCACGATCTCGCGCCGCATTGCATGATTGTAGAAAATTTGAGTTTCGTAATTCAGGCCTGGTAATAAGTTTCTTTTATTCACATCCCACTATTATTTATCTAGTCTTGACTTCATCATCTATCCTGAGCTAAACATCACCTAAAAGAACACCTACATCATCCCTCCTCCCTCTAATTCCGACATCCCAAATCTACGGGCGCATCCGCCAACATGTCATCTCCAGCCCAGCCCCCTTTTTTGACATCCCCCATCTGCAGTCTCCACCCCGTACCTGAGCGAACCAAACACATGGCTCCATACGAGCTCGGGTACCTTTCTCACTAGCCCTTCCGTCTTCCGCTGCTGGGTCTACCCAACCAGATGCTGCTAAAAGAGGAAAAGAAGGTTTCAATTTCCAAGGTCGGGAGTCGGTGCCAATCATTATTGTGTTAATGAAGACTTATGAAGAATGATTGGATTTGAAAAAGTTGAGAAATGAAATGATGCGGACGTTTTCGTTCGCAGACTGCGATTGTTTGCGGCTGCAGCCCGGCAATTCAGAAAAAGTGGCGACTTACCATATTAAGCTGATTGCCATATGAAGCAGGGATTTGATTGCATGAAATAAACATCGGGCCCTGGTCCTGACGTCGATGACGATCAGATGAAGATGGAGTGTTTCAGGAATGCGGTGGGTTTTGGGGGGGTTCTAGAATGATTTTTTGGTGAAAAGGGGCATGAAGGGGGTGGATGGATTTTGATATTGGGATTGATTTTGAGGTGCTCGTGGATATGTGTGTGATGGGGATAAGGATTGAAAGGAAACAGGGAGGTTGAGTGTATGAGGTCATGTATATTTCTTGAACCTGCATCGCGAGTGCGTTTTGTGGATTTTCTTTTGTGGACTGGTGCTCTGCTGCTTTTATTGAGTTTTTGGATTATGATCGCGATTTAGAAAGAGAATATGCGGAAGCAGGTTGGATTTTCAGTACACGGGAATAAGAGACAAATGCAAAGGATATGAAATAGCAAGTGCTTTTCGATCTCTCTTGCAAACACGAGCTGTCTCGAGGAGAGCAATATCAATCTCTTTTGTCGACAGCGGAGAGAGCTTTACATCCTCAAACGATTTCGGATTGTCTTTCTGCAGTCTTATTCCCTTTTTCTCTCTATAATTTCTGCAGTCTTTGCAAAGATGTACTCTCTTTTGGCAAATACATCTCCTTGAAGCGATTTCTCGGAAGAGTCCATCACGAGAGCTACTCAGCGTCTCGAGTACAAGTGGAAATAGATAGTTAGGACGCGATGTCCTGCATTGTATTTTTACAACATGCTTGTTGCTATTGTATCGTACACCGTGTAGGTTCATGAGTAACGGCAATAAAGCTCGTTGTGAGGATGAAGTTTGAATTTAAATTTAGGAAGCCAGTGCGATTTTTAAGACCGAGAAGAAATGAGGACGGATAGGAAAAGAGAGAGGTTGATTGAGAGCAAGTGCTTTGAGTAGTGAAGGTGAGAGAGCTGGTGTCTCTGGCTTTCTTGTTGATGGATGGCGATCAAAAAGCTATCAGGAGAGATACAGCAGGTAAAGGTGCCAGAAGTATTTTATTTCTGGGCTCTCCGAAGATCGACTGGTTCCATATGCAGAGTGCCAGGCAAAAGGTTCTAAGCAATCCATCTATCCTCTGTTGAGAGAGGACATTGGGATTGGGAAGACTCATGAGAGGCAGCAGAAAGTTGGGAAACACACGCAAGAGGGTATAGATTCATCACCCCCACCCATCTTTACTACTCTCTCTCATACAGCGTCAACAATACAATCAAGCTGTTTGTGTCTGCTTAGCTTGAGCGATTGGTGAACAGTAAATACAATACCAGGAATTTTAAGTGGACCAACCACAATCACATCACCACCCGCATCGAAGCTACACGAAGCTACGCGACCGACACAAACCTCACCTTCACCTCGTTGTCCCGCAAGGCTATCTACCTGGATTCCTGATTTTCCAGGTAACCATTCCTGTCGTCGCTCCTTCCTCTTGACGTTCACTTTCCTCGGCATCTTCTCCGCTAGTTTTTAATTCCCACCAGACTAGCTCTGGGGTTCAACGTCAACAACACACAACACGCAGACCAAAGATCTGGGATCCTCATCCTCTACCTATCCTCATCATCTTTCAATCGAATCCGTAGATCCCTATCTTTACCTTGCGCTTTGCGATCTCTTTACCACGTCTCTACAGCATCACCACTTCCTCTCGACGAGTTTCGCGCCTCCACCTCACTTCTGAAAACAGATCCGATCTCAGCTACCATTAAAGTTTCGAGACACTGTATCCTCAAGATGACTGGCTGGAGTACAGCTTCCAAGTAAGTCGTCGAACAATACTCCATGGCTCACGATCTAACCAAAGGTGACAGGACGCCTGGCGTAATCCCCACACGGTAAGTCATCATGCGACGTGGTTGCACTAATTGCTTGCTAATGGAATCAAGTCTCGAGTGTTGGCAATGTCGTAAAGTCAAAGTTTCGGAGTTGTTTTCGAACAAACAAAAGAAGGAATATCTGGCAACCGTGGGTATGGCAAAAAGCGGTAGCGCGGCGCCAAAGATCAGATGTGATGAATGTACCAATGATCAACGTGTTGAGATGGTTTGGTACGTAGCATATTCTCGTTCTTGAAGCAAAGCTAACTTTCACGAAAGCCAAGGACCATGGTATGCCAACCTTTCTAAACGGGAGAGACGATGTACTAACTTCCACCCCGCTCTCAAAAACTCCCACTCAGCTCGTTCAGTAAAACTGCTAGGAAAAATGGAGCGAATCACGTAAGTAATTCTTGGAATATATATTTGAAGGAGTACTGACTATTCCAGTGGTGCATAGCATGTCAAAGTTGGAAATTGAGTGTCGAGCCCAGTGTCGCTGTTGGCCCAGCTCCAAATTCTAAGCTCGCACCGGATGAAACCCATGATTTGCCCGACTATGATAAAGGTGATTCCGAAGATGAGGAGCAGCACTATGGTAATGATGACCAATCTACTATTTATGAGACTGGCGTAAGTTGATCGTTTCTGTAAATGGAGACTTTTTGCTCACGAAAACAGATTCCAAGCAAGGCATGGTACAAGCATTCTCAGGTAGCCTCTACCGCAGACGCTTCGACTTTCATTTCAGATCCTGCGGTTGGAGCGGCTCAGAAGGGTTTTAGTTCTATGAATTTGGGTACGGAAAATAAACCTCCTCTTCCACATCTCCGAGGACCCGACTATAAACAAACCAAACAAAAACCAGCTGAGCCTGTCAACACTACGCCTAGTAAAGAGGCAAGCAGCGGGTTTAGTAAGACTAACGCATGGGGAGGAAATGAACCGTTTGTATGGAAGCCAGTTGGTCGTCGTGCCCGTCAATCCGAGTCTGTTAATGGTATGTTCCGATGTTGACCCCATACATTATATTATTCCTCTCTCCATACCTTTTCCTAGACCCTCGAAACCCACCTCAGAATTGCACTGACCTATCAACCAGGCTCTCAAAATACCTTCGAGCAACAAAGACAGAAATTTCTAGGCCCAAGAATTGTCTCCCGCCCTTCTTCCAGTTCCAGTTCTGACGAGGGTAATATACCATCTCAACCAACCGTCGCCAAGTGGCCAAATGCAGTTGCCAAACCCAAGAACCGCGGATCGGAAGCTCGAGCGCCTCAAGTAGATAATGGATGGGGCGGGTCATCTGCTAATAACGCAACCAGCAAGTGGGAAAGTGTAGCTGCTAAACCAAAGAAAGAAGTTCGAAGCCCACAAGCAAGCGTTTCACCTTCTAACATCTCAACCGGCAAGTGGGCAAAATGTACGCCAGCTCCCGAGGCCGCGCCTGTCGTCACCCGTGGCCCTTCTCCCCCACCGCCCGCGACTACTGGTCCTGCGTACAGATACAGTATCGATGGGGATAGCGATAGTGAATATGATTACTGAGTTTGGGGGATGAAGTAAGGGCTGTCACGGATTTTGTCTTGGTGATCTGCTGCTGGTGGATTTCAAGGTTGCTCGCTTTGCTTTCGAGATTTCTTTTGCATTGCATCGTTGACTTGAAAGATGGCGGTGGTGGTGGTGGATTTGATTCAGCGATCTAACAACTGTATCGGTTGTAATCCTGAGCCTTTTACTCTTGCTTCTGAGATGGCGGATTTGCTCTAACGGTCCATACAACTGTACGGTTGTGACCGTAGGTATTCTTGCTGTTTCTGAGATGGTGGATTCGCTTCAGCGGCTAGTATGATTGTGGACATTGGAGCGTATCGCTCTAAATTCACGGATCACAGCGTTGTATTTTCGATTTTAATGATAGATTGGTGGGGTAATGGGGGAAGGGGGAGAGCGTTGTTTTAGATCAGATAGATGAGATGAATTGAATCAAATCAAAATGAAAAGGGAATCTTGAGGGTTACTATGGAAGGGTGATAAAGGGTGAGATTGTTGCTGTGAGATCCCAGATTCTCAGATATCCTTCCCTTCTCCTCCCGAGATCTCCATGGATGTCTCCAAAGCACCCAACCAAGCTCTCCTTCATATGTACAGGTATGTGAGAGGGTGGGAGAGTCGTGGAGAAACAGTGAAGCGGATGACGGAAATTAATTTGTTTGGCTTTTGTGGCGTGGAAACGAAGGGGATGGGATTTGTTGCTGGGGGTTCTGATATGCTATCTTTTTCTGGGGGTTTTTCAGGGGGGAAGGGGAGGTATATGTGGGGGATGGGATGGGATGTAAAGGTAGATGGAAATAGTCGTGAGATAAGATAGCACGTCTTTGAAGTGGGGCAGAGAAAGCAAAGCAAGAGAGAGAGAGATGATCTAGCAACTACCAAGTCAACGTATAGCGTTTATAACATCTTGATAATAGTTATTAATATAGAAGAAATATGGAAACAACTTGAAGTGGACGGACGGGTAACAGAAACAAAGTTTGTTTGTGAAAAATTAACTATACTTGTTGATTGAATGAGAAGATTTTCACATACACTTACGCTAGACAAATATTCGATGGAAAGGATTTAGAAAATAATGTGATATAAAAGGACATATAAAAACAGAAGCTAAATTGGTATCTAAAACCCCTACCCTAATCCTAAACCCCAAAGAAAAAGAAAAAGAAAAAGAATTGGCTCATGGCACATGAAAACGTAAGATGGTCAAACTTCCTGCCCCCGCTAACACCCCCAGACCTTAACACACATCACGTCCCCCATTCCCCGTCAACCAACACACCTATTCCAGTCTTCCATCTAGTATCCCCTACTAGCATAATACCCCGTCCCCCTCGGCGGCTCCCTATACCAATCCTCAACCGGCGCACCCTGCCCTTGACCACCACCACCAACACCATGATCTACACTCCCCCTTCCACCCTCCCTCTCATACGCACCACCAGCACTCCCCACCCCCTCCTCCCTCAACCGATCCCACCGTTCCGCCTCCCTCGGACTACTAAACTCGCCAGTCACAAACGCCTCCTCTCCGCGCCCATAATCCTGACTCCCGCGTTTCCTCGCAGTTCTGATATCAATGGGCGGCGGTGGAGGCGGGAAAGTCGATGTAGCTGAGCCAGGGTACGTAGATGATGGGATAGGCGCGGTTGTGTATTTAGAGTCCAGATTCACAGGCTCAGAATGACGTCCATAGTTACGGATTGGCGGCGAACTGTCTCTCCTCCTCCTCGCACGTGGTTGAGTTTGCGGTGGGGGATTGAAATTCGAGCTAGTGTTGCTTTGGGTGCGATGATGTTGTGTTGGTTCGCGGGTAGGCAGGTCACGGGTTCGAGATGATGAGGATTCGCGACGGGTGGAGTCGCGGGTGGATTCTCTTCTCATGCTTGAGTCTCGACGGCCGTTGGTGCTGCTTTCTCTTTCGCGGCGATCGCTTCGGTTGGCGGATTCGCGTCTATCTCTGGATTCTCTGCGGCCGCTGGATTCGCGTCTGGTTGGGCGGGAATCGTCGTAGACTTTTCCCGCGCCGGGTTGGGCGCTGTATGGTTGTCTTTCGCGTTCGATTTTGACGGAGTCCTCGCTGACGTTTGAGTTGTCAGATGGAGTTCCGGCGTAGGGTTTGCGTTCTCTTTCGATTGGTTTGGATTTTGGTGCGGATTGGTGAATCTCGACTGGTGGACGACGAGCTTGGGACGTTGATGAATTCCTACTGAGGGTAGGACTTTTCGGCTTTTTATCCGAGGTTTGAACAAACTCCTCGATTGCCTTGTCGACTAACCTTTTTGAAGCTCGATCTTCTACCTCGGGTAAAAGGTGGCGAGATATCGCTTTTGGTAGTCTTTCAGGCTTTCCATCCACGGTTTGGCCGTCCGCGTCGATGGGACAATCGAGGACTACCTTTTCTAATCTTTTTGCTTCCTCTTCAGGATAAGCTAGTATCATCAAGGTCATGAGATGAGCGAATCCAAGAGGTGTAAGAGCTGGAATGGTTGGCTCATTACGGGTGTCGTCTTGAATGAGAAAGTGTTGACATCCGAGAGCTTGGAAGAATTTGGAAATGTTTTCATTGTTTTGTGATTTGAATATGCCTAAAAGTATAAGCATGGTATGGTAGTTGTGGGAATTGAACTCACTCGTAAGACCCTTAAGTTCCCTCTCGATAGGAAACTTGGAGTAGTATTCAGTAAGCTTGGCTGGCGTTACCACGATGCTTTTCTTTGGATTATAATCATCCACCTAACCTGTTAGTCGTGAACTTGGTATCTTGAGCACCAACATACAATATGATTTGCCAATCCCCGTAAGAATTGACCTAATCTTGGAGTAGGAGTTCCATCATTCTCAAACAATTGTCCCCATTTCAAATCAATCGTAGAAAGTTCAAGTTGTGAAAATGTGCGGGTTCCTGCTGGTCTTGTTTTTGGTTCTCTATTCGTAAATCTGACTCCTGGACCTTTGTCGGTAGGACTAACTGGAGGTGACTTTCGTGCCATGGGCGGTGGTGGAGGATAAGCTGACTTGCTAGGCAGTACTGGAGAAGGAGGAGTATAAACTCTACGGGTCGAAGGAGGGGAAACCGAACGATGGGATGAAGTCGAAGCAGATCGAGTCGATGATCTCCTCTGCATAGGTTCTGCTTTTGGTTGCCCGTCCATGCTGCCTGTCTGCTTCAAATGTTCGAGGACTAGTCGGGCGCAATATGTTAGCAACCGCAACAAGGCTCTGAGCGGCTGGAATCTCCGACTTACCTTCCTGCTTGATTCTCTCCGTGATGGCTGCAATCGTTTCCGCCGACACATGCTCAGAACTATCCGAGTCCATCGAAGTGGTACTCATCTTTTGCGCGCGGTTCTGCTTCAAAGGGGAAGCTCGTTGGCGATCGTCTGGTCGTCGTGGGATGTTATCTCTCGAGTCGGAATAGTAGTCGGTGGTGGGATAATGCTCTGGTATAGGATGGCTGGGTTCGAAAAAGGCCGACTCCCCATTGCCTCTCAGCCGACCGTACTCGTCATACTCGTATGCCATTGACACTTGAGGTGTGGGCGAGGCTGTGGTGGAAAGATGTCACCTCATGGGATCTCGGTCTTGCTGGTACTTTTGGGATGCAAGCGAGGCGGGACAATCCTGTTCGATTTCCAACTGCGGCTCAGCTGTAAAGTAGGCGAATGATGGTGGGACGAGTGAGCGGACGTTTGCGATCACGTTGAAGTATTCGTGCCCAAGAAATACGGAAGGGGTCATACAAAGGCTGTCGTGCAGGAGATGTAAGTTTGGATGGTAGTGGAGGTTGAAGGGTCTCAATGTTGACACTGATGACACTGGTTGACATCTGAGAATCTGGCTGCATGTATGACCACCCCGGTCCAGCTCGCTCGCCTCGAAGCTGTTGACCCATCAAGGCAAACTGCTTAAACTGCTTGAACTGCTTAAACTACAGCCGGGCGAGATCTTCATGACATCTGCGAGTTTGATTGATTACACCTTGCGCCAGTGTCGTTGCCACGTTCTGCTGCTCCAATCCGAGGAGAGGATTATATCCAGAACCCCTCAAACGTTCCCGCAATTACTATTAAATCGACGGCCACAGACTACGGACCACCAGGCACAAGTTTGAGCAAGGAAGGACGGACCACTGGGTCGTGTATACCTTCCTTCCTATTTGCTAATCGAACATTCTATAAATTGCTCGGGGACGGGCTTTGGAGCAAGGCTGCCAATGATTGCCATTATTGGTGGACTTGTGGTGAACGGACGACGGACCATCAGCGACGTCAGCGCAATCATCATTTCGAAGATCAGGCTTTGGCCATCATCTATCATATCAAATTACGGAAATTATTTCAGGAAATATCGCAGCCACATAATTTCTTCTTGAAGCGAGTAAATCGAGTTGCTTATTATGGAACAACCATTTTCCGGCCTGGATCTGATGACGGCATGAGGGATTGTTGGAGACAGGTGGACTTTGGCGATCTCATCCTCTGGATTCCTATGGGAGAGTCACATGAAATAATCACCAACCAGATTTACAGAAGGAAGCCTATCTACGCCTATCTCGTTAAGCTTTACGGAACCTTCCTTTTGGCCGCTTGTGAGAAAGAATACCTAAAATGGGCTGCTATTTCAACGTCAATTTGATGGTAGATTTAACTCTGTTGGTTGGTTACGGACCCGGACAAGCGACCGTGAAGGAGCTGCATTTGAAAATGACTTGACCTGTTACATGAAAGTATCCAGTACTAACTTCAAGAGTCACAGGAGATGGTCAGGAAAGACCAGCGGGTTCCTAAATCGAAGTAGTGGTCTCACAGTCAAGAGCCTGTTGTTGCTGTTGTTGATTTTGGATCCCTCCACATCAAAATCACCACCCATCAAACTAACTGCCTTATCTCTCCAACCTTCCCACATCCTCCGAACATCACATTAACACCCTCCTCACCGCCACATCATCAACTATTACATGACACGATGTATATCATCGGCTCGGCATTTACACACTCACTCAAACCGGGCGAAATCATGATACCCAACATCACGACTGCCTAAACCCCTCTTTCGATTATTAGTTTGTGCTTTTCGTCCGGGCGAAAGACTTTCTTTTGGGGGAGGCTGTGTGTTACCGATTAGGTATTCGGTAGGTTTGTGTTAGTTTATTTCGGTAGGTGGGTGTGATACTTGCACATGTTTTTGAGTTGGTAATGCAGATCGGATATAGGTATTGCGGCTGCTATTGCGTCTTACTACTTCTATCTGAGACATGGTTGACCTACGAGTGCAGCAGAGGCTTATGCTGCGGGAGTGAGAGGTTAAGATGAGGCTGCGAGTATGATTCCACAAGTAGTGAGTGGTACAGCTCAGGCGGGCTCCGAGTTCCGTTAAGTACCTTCTTTCTAAGCCTTGAGCTAGTTCTTTGGTAAGAGGTGAGTCGGGTAGGGGAACAACATGTTTACATTTCCGCTTGGCTGAAATTATATCTTTACTGCCTTCCTGCTCAAATCGTCAGATATTTCAGGATGAGGGTAGAAGCTATCTGTGTGTCCAAGAGACACTTCATGGTATTAGCCGTCTTGGTAAGGTTGCCGGCATTTCTGGTCGACTCTCTTGCGATCCTGAGAGAACATATTTCTTTTCGCTATGTCTAGTTGTATGAATCACAGAGCCAGTTTTGTGAGCACTTGAATGAACCCTCAAAATTTTTCCAGCAGCAAGATGTGTCATCAAACGTGGTGAAGTAGTAACATTTGACACTGCTTTCCAAGTAATGCAGTTCAAAATGGTAAAGTACTGTGGTTTCATCGCTTGAGACACAGGCTCGAATTCTGAGAAGGGAGTTGCTTGATCGTGCCTTCCTCTTCCAAATCCAATCTACTTTTCACGATGTATCCACCTCCGTTTCTCTTCAATTTCTTTTCAACCCCAGGAACCCTCTTGAATATTTCATGCTTCTTTTTGGATACCTTATCTTTCCGTGACCATGGGTTCTCGCCGAACAGGATCAAACAAAATCCCCATCGGAGGATACAGTCCTGATTCCAGACCTTGGGAAGTGGTCCTTCCGAGGAATTCACGAGGGAAAAGGAAGGAATGTGAACAGCTTCGAGATGATTATGAGCGGGACGACAGAAGGGCAGATGCTTGGAGACAAGATGATGATCGCGTCGGACACCGACACAATACCAGGGAAGCAGATAATTGGAGACGAGAGTATGACGATGGCATTCGAAACCAGCAGAATACTCGAAGGGCGGATCCCTGGAGACGGGAGCATGACGACGTTGAAAGAGACCAACAGTATAGTAGGAGGGCGGATCCGTGGAGATCAGATTATGACCGCGGACACAATCAACTGGATACCAGGGGAGCAGGTACTCGGAGACTAGAGTATGACAGCGGACGAAACCAATTGAATACCACATGGGCAGAAACGAGGAGATCAGATTATGACCGCGGACAGGACAAACAGAATATCAGAAGGGCGGGTCCCTGGTCACCACCGCATGATCGCGGACGCAATCAACAGGATACTAGGGGAGCAGATACCCGGAGACCAGAGTATAATGAGAGGCAAAATCAACCGAATACCAGAAGGGCGGGTCCCTGGTCACCACCGCATGATCGCGGACACAATCAACAGGATACCTGGAGGGCGGATACTTTGAGACCACATCATGACCGTGCACGAGCTATTGACAATCGGAACGATGAGAAGTAAAACGCGACTTCAAATTGATATAAGCATATTACTGACAGTGAAAAGTCCAAGGCCACAATCTCTTCAGTTTGTATCGAGAAGAGAACATCGGGAAGCTTTGAACATGCATGCGCAGCTGTTGAAAGAGCAATATTACCAGAGCCAGGCACGTATAAGTAAGAATCATATTGGAAAGGATGAATCCCAACGTGATTCGGTCGAATATATGAAGTAAGACACCATTCAATATTCCTAATCGAATCACTAACACTTTCTAGTAACAACACCCGTGTGGAAAATCATAAACGGCCGTATTCCTTCTATGGCCCGAACCGTTTTGACTTGACGCCCTTCAAGAGTATGAATACCTTCCAGAATGAGAGCCCTTGTGCACCGCCCAAACCACCTACCGCTGAAGAATTTAGAACGATCAAACCTGATGCTGGGACGCCTATCAAAAGTGAGATTTGTGGGTTCAACACTTCCACTGCCTCGCCGTTTGCTGACCCTTTGCAACAGTGACGCCTACTCAGAGAAAGAGAAAGAATCCAATCGAGTCTGAGCAAGGTAATCCAAAACCCGAACACCTCTTTCAAGACAGACGCTAATATACTAGAAGATTCACGAAAGAAAGCGAAAGTACTACAGACACATCTTCAAAAAGCACAATTTCCTCGAAATTCAACCTTAGACGATATGGCTGTCCCAGCCGCCCATGTAGAAATACCTGGACTTTCACTGATAAAACAGACAGTCGCACCATCTACGCCACTTCCGAAACTAGTAGCTCGAGGAGTCAAACTGGGGAGTGAATCCGTCACTTCTGACCAGAATACAATTCCACAACCAAGTCTCAAAACCCTAATCCAAACAATATCCTCCTTGCAAACCCAGCTCAACGCAAGTTTTCTACCAAACCCAGAGACTCCAATCAGATCTATCTCGTCCTCTCAAGCTCACCATAACGAAAATTTGCCGGTCAATAAGAATCTAGCAAATGTCACCCAGAGTTCGGCTCAGACGGATGCCTCGCCTATCGCGTTGTTGAGGACGAAGATGGTTAGTATTATTTCGAAGAACGCGACGAGAGAGGAGAAGTTGAGGGAGTTGAGGGAGTATAAGGGGATGATGGATGGGGCTTTTCAGAGTAATTTGGCGCTTCTGGGGGAGGGGGTGCCGGTAACTGGGGAGAATGAAGAAGAAGCGAATGGAAGGGGGAGGTAAGTGAGCTGAATGATGAGCAGGATAAGAGCGGGGATATGGAGAGGGATGAGAAGGAAAATCGCTCAGACAAGGAGGGCAGTGAACAGAATGATGGTGGAGTTCAGGAGAAGAATATAGAGGAGGATGAGAATGCAGATAAGGAGGGTGTTGAGCAGAATGACGAGCAGAATGGTCACCAGAACGATGAACAAAACAAGAGCGGGGATGTGGAGGTGGATGAAAAGGGAGATAAGAAGATTGGTGAGCAGGACAATGAGCAGAGTAAGAACGGGGTTATGGATGGGGATGAGAAGGGAGATAACTCAGATAAGGAGGGTAGTGAGCAGAATGATGATAGAGGTAAAGAAGAGAATAGGGATGGCGAGGATAAGAATGGCGAGGGTGGGAAGAGAGAGAGTACCGCTGACTCGGGGTATTATGGGGATACTGAACGTGCCCCTGAAAAGGGTTGTTTGGGTCAAGAGCAGGAAGAGAGTGAAAAGGGTGTAGAAGGTGGAGAGTGTAAGGAGAGTGTAGAGGGTGGAGAGATTCAAAAGGATGCAAAGGATGCAGAAGGTGGAGAAAGAGAGAAGAGTGCGAGTGAAGAGGATACGGATAGTGAGAGGGTTGAGAAGATTGTTAACATGGAGTGAGTTTGTGGGTCGTGGTGAGGTCTGGATGAGGTTTTGATTTGTGGTGGGGTTTTGGGTTGGTGGGTATGATTGCATGGGGTATTGTATGGGCTTGTATGCTTTTGAGTCTTGTATTGGATGAGGGGTTGTAGCTTTTTGGCGAAGGAGGTGGATGCTTGGAGGTATTCTCGGGACAGCGGTCAAATATTGGATAGTGCATCATGCATAGAATCAAAGCGTAGAGTCGAAGATGGAATAAGAAAACGAATATCTGTATGAAGATACTCGGATTGACTTTATCGAAAGTTGATATAGGGATGGGTTTCTGGCTTTTGTGCTGGCTTGTTTAGTCGTTTTGTGCTGGATGTTGTGGTGATTGGGAGGAGTGGTTATTAAGAGAGGTGTTGTTGGTATGCTCAGGATATGTCAAGACAACGAAGGAAGAGTTGGATGGTGTGGGTTCTTTTGTGTGGAGAGTAAGGATTCAAGTGGTGGGAGAGGAGTAGAGAGTGGAGAGTAGAGAGTGTTTTGTGAGAGTTTAGGGTTGTGTAGTGGAAGAGTGAGAGTAAATGTGTGAGAAAGTTTGGAGAGGGAGGGTTGTTGCCGAAAATTGGGGTTGTTGTCAATTTTGAATTCACTTTCCGGCGTGGTGTTCGGGGCGAGGGTAGGTGTAGTTGTTGACTGAGTAAGTGAATGTGATTTAGGGGTAAGATCGAGAAGTTTTGCTTGGTATTTTGCAAAGATTTGTGGGATGGTTTGAGGACTCAGGACAGGAATCGGCGGCGGCAATTGGTAGTGGGAGAGGGATGCGGGAGGGGAGGGTGAGAGGGTGAGGGTTTTTATGAGGGTGTTGTGGGTGTTGTGGGTGTAGTCTTAGGAGGGAGGAAGGGGAGGAAGAGAAAGGGGAGGGGAGAGGAGGCAGGGAAGTACGTTTTTGTAATCTTGGAAATTAATTTGTAAATTTGTGTTCTTTAGTGATGTTCTTAGCGGCTAATAGTTAGTTGTTATTTCTTAAAAAAAGAAAACTTTTCAATATAGAAGCTTGAGAATAAAAGAAAAGTTAGTGGAGTAGAAGGAATTTGAATAATTTTCTACTATGGGATGCGACAAGTATACGGTTTTAGTGTGAGGGACTAGGGGTGAAGGGAAGGGAAGTGCTAAGGGGAATGACGGGTGCCGGACAGTGTTTAAGGTATTTGGTTTTGTGGTTAATGTGTGGAAGATTAAGTGAGCTCACAGGGGAGGGGGGAGTTGTCAACGAAAGTTGGGTTGTCACCGATTTTCGACCTCTCGTTTCCTACCTCTAACCCTCCAACTCCAGGATTCGTCTACCGCAGGACCTCGCTGGCTGTAGGATTAATATAATGAAGTAATATGTTTATAGAAAATTAAGAGAGGGGAACAAAAAATTGGGAACAGCAAACAGAAAATCGTCCAGAAACAACGACAAGATTAAGGTGGATGTGGTTGATTGGTTAGGGGTGGGGGGATTTATGAGGGTGTTGTGGGTGTTGTGGGGTTTTTTGGGTGTGGTTTTCGGAGAGGGTAAGGTGAAGGGAGGGCGAGAGGGAAGATAAGTGGAAAGGGAGGATAAAAGCCGTTTCAAGGTAGGAGGAATAATAGAAGTAGTATTACGAAATATCGAGATTACAATCTCACGATAAATTAACAAGTAGTTTATCTATACTTGATTAGTGTTTTCTAGCGTACGATTTTATCTAAGGATTGATAATAGGAGATGGTAGGGGAGGGATGTTAAGTAGTAAGAGTTTTGCGGTTTAAGGGGCGCAGGGTCTATTGGGGAGATGATAGAGAGATTTGATGAGGGAAGAGGGGTAGGAGGTGTGACGGACGAGTTGTTTTTGGTTAAGGTGCTTTTGTGGATAGGGGCGTAAAATACAGAGGTAGTGTCACCGAAAACAAAGTTATCACTAATTGTGATTCCACAACTTGAAATGTAGTGTTTGCCCGTCAGATGTTCGAATTTAATAAAGGGAATTAGGAGAGAGGTTGTAATCTGAGCGGTATTTTATAGAGCCTTTAGGGGAAAATGGGTTTAGAATAGATACCGAATAATCGGATAAATCGTCGCGAAAGCTACGGGTGGATGTTTAGAGGGGGGTGGGGGTAGGGGTTTAAGGGGAGGTGTAGAGGTAGTGTTTTTGAGGGAGGGCTTGTAAGGTATAGGTATTTTTTAGGGAAGTAAGAGGATGGGAAGGGAAATTAAGTAGGAGGGTTGAAAAGGTAGGAGAAGAAACGGGAATAGATGGGGACGTTTGCGAAGCTTGGGGTGAAGAGCGTAGCATAATAGTGTGAAATTCATAGGGAAATGAGTGGACCGTTCTGGTGGTAGAGATGCCAGGTATTGTTAGTTATAGTAGATACTGTCACGATCCTGGAATCCAATTTAAGTCAGTATATACACGTACCTATAGGAGCTATATAGATCCTGCGATTACATGCTCCTTACCCCAATCGAGTTTCACAGTCTTATGCTTCAAGGACCACTGCGCAAGAACGTTGTTATACGCGACCCAGAAAAGAAACACCTATGGGACTTAAAAACCCCTGGAAACAAGCTGTTGGGAATACAAGTATCAACCAGAATATAACATTGACGTCCAAAGACTCGATACGAAAACGGACAACGAACTCGCGGTACAATTATTATCAATAAAAGAAGCCTACGAATTGTGGCATAGGGGGAGCAAAAAGATCAGTCGGCATGAAAAAAAAGAGCCGTGAGAACCTACCCGACGATCTTAAACAACTCTGTTCTGTGGGAAGGGGGTATGCAAGATTGTAAACGAGAGAATGAAAGGCTGGTTTTTGTCACCGAATTTTACATTACTACCGATCTTCGAACTTATTTTCCGGCGAAGGATTATTGAGAAGAATATAGAGGTTAGAGTAGTAATTAATATAATAGTAACAATAAATACTTTTAAGTTTAAAGCCTTACCGGCTTCGGAAGTACGCTTTATTATTATACTTCCATTCTTCTTTCCCACTCATCTGTCGAACAAGTTCCCTGATACTTTAACTTTGCAGATAACAACCAGGATCTTTGATTTCAATTCCTCTCCTCCTACTTTTGTTTAAAAGTTCTGTAAGTGTTTTTGTAGGTTTATAGGTGCGGTGGTGGCGCGGATCTTTAGCTTTTAATGTCGTATTTCCATATATTTAGATTACTTTAAGACAATTAATATATCGAGATTAGATATACCTTTAATAAGATTCCATCTTACCGCCTATCTAGAAAGGCCGTTTACTGGAAAAACTAACTACAATCGTCACTTTATTGTTTAGGCGGTGGTGCCTTAGTTTCGGGAAAAGAAAAGGATAGTTTTATTTTTAGGTATATAGAGAAAAGAGGGGAAAGATATATTTAAAAGAGAGGTGGAGATGGATTTTATATTCCACACAACCCTCGACTGGCTATTCAGTCTACCGAGATGTGGTGACGATAGAAGTAATGGTTAACTGGAGAGGGTAGTTCTACTAGTTCGTAATGTACGAGGTCAAAGGACGGTACGGGTTGGAATGTTTAAGGGTGTAAGGGAGATGAAAGGAGACGGATATATGGATAATTAGAAGAAAAGGAACGGGGTTTGTTGCCGAAAATAAAGCTATTGCCGATTTTAACATCCCGTTTCCTGGGTCGAATTCTAGGCGAAAGGAGGTGTGAATACGTAGTTGAAAGGAAGTATTTGAAGGAATATATTAGTACTATTCAGTAACATCTCAAATATCATGGTGTGCAAAGAAGAACAAACACAGAAGTGACGCTGGTGTAACAATCTTGTGTGCATCTGTAGACGCTGCAGGAGTTATTCAGGATATTGTTCTATGAGATACACACGACCTCATGTATCATACATCGAAACACTCAGCACCGAAAGCGAGATGCTCAGACTTACCCTCTCCATGTACAGTTGTCACCTCACATCAAAGTCATACACCGATATCATTCATTCATCGCACAGGTTTCATCAAAGCACTTTTCATTAATTTCTAAACCTATCTAAGGCGTCGATCTATTCGATTGCTCCTTCAAATGCTGCGCCTCAGCAAGTGCGATAGTGGTTGTATTAGCTTTGAGTTTATTAATGGTTTCGATGTATTCCTCGTAGGGATCGGAGTCGAAGACTATGCCTCCACCTGTATATCATTAGCATGGCGTCCATGAAGCATGTTAATGTGTAAAGAGGGTGGGGAAATGGTTAGGAGTGCATAGCACAAAAAGAAACAGAACGGAAAGGGAGATTTCAAAACTCACCAGCCTGCAAATAAGCAACCCCATCCTTAATAAGCATTGTCCTCAACGCAATACAAGTATCCATCTCCCCCTCCAGCTCGACCCCCTCACTATCCACACTACCGTACCCAAAATGCCCCACCGCACCCGCATAAACGCCTCTCTTCTCCTTTTCAAGTTCAGCAATCAATTCCATCGCCTTGACTTTCGGAGCTCCCGACGTGGTTCCAGCCGGGAAAATAGATCTGAACGCATCGAAGCGCGTTTTCCCTTTTCTCAGAACACCCGAGACCTGAGAGACGAGATGCTGAACATGGCTGAATTTCTCTACGACCATGAGACGGTCTACTTTTACAGTCGTAGGGTCGCAAACACGGTTTATATCATTCCGCGCGAGATCGACGAGCATAACATGTTCGGCTCTGTCTTTTAAAGAGTCTGAAAGTTCCTTTGCGAGTTTGGCGTCCAGTTCTGGGTCCATTGGCGCTCGCTTTACGGTTCCAGCGATAGGATGGGTTATTATTCGGCCATTTTCTCGCTTCACTAAGAGTTCTGGGGAGGCGCCGACGATTTGGAAGTCTTTGCAGTTGATGTAGAAGAGGTAGGGCGATGGGTTGACGTTTCGTAGTTTTCGGTATATGTTGAAGGGATGGAGGGATGTTGGTCTGGCGAATCGTTGTGAAGGAACGGCTTGGATGATATCTCCTGCAATGATATGTTCCTTTAAAGTTTTAACGTGCTTTTCGTAACCTTCCTGTCCGATATTTGAAACTGCCTCTTGGCCCTCTTGAATTGGTTGTTGGTGGGGTAGCGGGGTATGTTCTGAGCGCAAAACTTCCACGTATTCATCAATTGTCCTCCTGGCAGCTTCGTATGCTTTCTCAAGATCCTTTGGGTCGCTTGGCACATGTAGGTAGGTGATGACTTTTATTGTATCGAAGAAGCGATCGAATGCTACAATCGTGTCGAAGAGCATAAACAGCGACTCGGGGATTTTCAACACATCCTCCATCGGCCGTTTTGTCTTGGGTTCGAAATACTGCACGCAATCATAACCTACATATCCAATTGCGCCTCCAATCAAAGGTGGTAATCCCAGTCCAGGTACTTGGGCAACTCGACTTTGTGCTAGCTCTTTCTCCAGCAAAGGTAATGGATCGACTTCCGGGCCATGTCCTTTTCCAGTTTTCAGCACTTTCTTTGGTCCAGCACCCACAAAACTATATCTTCCTACTTTTTCTGTATTTGCGCTTTCGAATAAAAAGGAGAAATCGGATTTGGAATGGTCGGAGATTTTGAGATATGCGCCTGATGGTGTAAGAACTTCTGAAGATATTTGCGCATATACTGGTACTAGATCGGGCGCATTTGCCAACCCTCTCGTTTTAGAAAGGATTTCTCGCACGGTTTCGAGGGATGGCTGGAGATCTTCCTGTCAATTGTTAGCTGTGATTCTTGACTCATCGACTCATTGAATTACATACGCCCATTGCCATTGTGGCTGTTGAGCGAAGCTCTGTAATTTGAGGTTTCAAAAGTAAATGCTAAGCGATTGGAAAATCGGTGAAACAGTTGAATTGGAGCTATAAGAGATATGTGTCACCAGCAAGATAGTTGTCGAATTGTTGTCCCGAATTGTACTTCGGAAGCAGATAAATTAAACTCCGAATCGCGGGCAGCTTCACTCACCGCCTGTTTCTGCCCTCAAGAGCTTGGGCCTGTGCCGAATTTCAAGCTGGACCCTGCCCCGCCTTCTTGCCGAGAACCCAGCTTGAGCAGCTCAAAGGCTTGTCCCCCCATGTACGGAGTCAACCTATGTCTTGCTTTTGGTGAACCAAGATATCTCTCAATATGGTGAATTGGAGATATGAACTTTATGGATAGACAATCCCCTATGATCCCAATTCACAACCGACGGAAGAAGTGCTCGATACCGAAATCCCTTCAACCATGTCTCTCTCACTCCAAACGCTTGGATTCGGCCATACACGAACGTCCCCTCTCCGATTAAGCCAGCAATTCATGTCACCCTCTGCAATAATATCCTCATATCCCTCGCCTAGGTTTCAAAAAGTCGGACCGGTAGTGGCAGATACATCGGCGGATAATAAAGATGTTCTGATTGAGCGATTAAACGATCTTGTCCACCGACTTTCAACAGATCACTCATTGGATGATAGATTAGTATCGAAATTACATAGCGAGGTGGATAATTTCGAGATTGTCATGATCAAGGCGGATATAAGTCAGAAACTGGATAAGGAACTGGCGGCTGGAAAGGGGGAAACTTTATTTTCGGGACGGAAGGATGGTATTCGGACGCCAAAGACGCCGACGAGGAAAGTGAGCATACCAATGCCAGATAGTGTGTCGAGAAGTCCTCCAAAGAAGCAAGAGATGAATACGGAGGTTGCTACGAAAATAGCAGAGGAGGCAGAAGCGCTGGCCACTCAATTATCGAAAAGCATAGCGGAGTTGCAGCAGCGAAGGGAAGAAGCAGACGTAAGCTCACCCAAATTCCCTCATACCACAAAGTCCGAAAATAACTAACATACCCCCAGAAAATCCACGACCTCCTCATAACCCGCATCGAAACCAGCGCCGAGCAAATCCTCTTCCTCGAATACCACATCGCCGAAATGGAAGACGACTACGAAGCCAACCAATCCGAACTCCAATTCCTCCGCATCCAACTACAAGCCATACAGACCCAATACAACGAATTGCTGCCCCAGAATAGAGATGAGGAGTTGTCCGAGAGTATACGGAATTGGAAGATTGATTGGGAGGATATTGATCGGAGGTCGAAAGCCAGGAGGAAGAGGGGGCAGGATTCGAATGAGAGGATGGAGAGTGAGGTGTCTTTGAGTGTGAAGTGAGATGGGTTGTAACTTGGGATAGTGGGTGTATATTGGTGAGGGTATAGGGTGTATTTTCATATGGGTCACTATGGCGTTTGTGATATCCACTAGTATATGGTTGTGGATAGGTAATTTGTACTTTTAGCGATGTGATACCCTGAGTTGATTCGTGGGCAAGAATGCTGTTATAAGTTAGACGACGTCTAATTTAGCTGGAAAGGACGTGGATAAGATCACGATCATGACTAATGAAGTGTGTCAATTGCAAACATGTCCCATAGAACTGAATGAATTTTAATATAGAGTTTATATGTCTTAACCGTTTTCACATCTCATAACGAGTGCCACCTGAATTTTAAGCCCCAATACACCGCTCACTTCCCCAATTCCATTCCCAGTCCGAAAGTCAATTCCATGAATCCGTATCCCCCACCTAAAGTCCCTTACCAAGTAATAACCTGCGTCCTCGTAACCTCCTCCAAACTCTCCTCCCCAACCCTCTGCTGACACGTCAAAACCGCCCGTCTCAACGCAACATCATTATCAAACCCCACGCCATGAATCCGCGCCCACCCTGGCACTTGTCCATCAACCATAAACTCCTCCTCAACACGCATAGCCCACTCGCCCATCTTCCCCGCAAACAAACTATCCCACACGCCCTCCCGTCGCGAATACGTAAGCAGCAACTGTATCGCCCGTCGTCGGATAGCGCCTTCTCGACATTTATGCGACACGATGTAAAGGGGGATAATAACCATGCTGTCGAACGAGAATTTCGGGTCAGGTGGCCATTTGGATGTGTCTTTTTCGATGGAGACGAGTACGTCGGAGCAGAAGGCGACGGTTTCGGCGAAGCCGGGGAGGAATTGGTCGTACAGCATTTCGTCGGCGCAGCAGAGGATGAAGGTGCCGTGGATGGCGGTGTGGATGAAGATCTTGAGCATTTTGGCAAACAAAATACGTTCTGGGTCGCCTGAGGCGATGGTCTTGTTGAAGAGGGACGTGAAGGCGGAGACCCAGCGGTCACAGTCGTTGAGGAGGGATTGTTGAGTTGCTACGACTGCTGGGTCGGTTTCGCCCCACCAGCCGTTTACGGGGAACATCTTTTGCTTGCGGGGACGCACGCCGACGGAGAGGATGTGCATGGTGCGACGGGCGAGACCGTTGTTGTAGGATTCGGCTTCTTCGAGGGTGGTGAAGGTACTGGGCATGGCGTCCCAGAAGGCTTTCATGTTGCCTGAGACGAAGGGGTGTTCTTTCATCCAGCCGTCTTTGGCGAAGGAGATGGCTTGGACGTCGAGACGAGCGAAGATCTGGAGGAGGTCGTTGTTGTGGGCGGGCGTTGACAGAAGGGGGTTTGTGGCGCCGATTTCTTCTTTCCAGGCTTGGATTAGTTTGAAGCCGGTTTGGATTTGACTGAGAGTGTTAGTGGTGTTATGAGTAGGATAAGGGGATACGGACGCCATTGCTAGTGCTTGATTTCCATTCCATGCTTCGAAGCATAATGTGACAAGACAGCTCAAGAGGGCGAGTCTTAGATCTGGTTTATCTGTGCCAGCTCGCTCACGCATGTGCTTAAGAGCGAGTGCATATTGTTGTAAAGCAGTATCATGATGTCTGCGCAGTATCACTTTCTGGCTCGCATCTTCATCTGCTTTTGCTACAAGTTGACTGGTTTTATCAAGTGCTATATATCGAATTAGCGAGAATATGATTGACCTCCTTAATTAGCAAAGTTTACCTCCTAAAGCAATCACTGCATGACGAATAGACGGGTCAGATTGGGACGCCTGAAGCATAATTCTATGAAAGGTCTGAGCAGCAAATGGGGGAAGCAACTCAAAGGCAGTTTTCGTGCTGAACACTTCAAAATATCGTGATTCATCGTCATTTTGAAAGTGGCTCGCCGTAGGTGACACTCTCGTCACAGAGACAATTGCTTTTTCTGGTAGTTTAATCTGCGATAAATTCTCATACTTAAAGCCAGTGAAATTCTTGGGTGCTATTGACGCTTTTGATCGTGAAGCTTTTGGTTTTCGAGGCGGGTAACCTTGGACGTATTAGCAAAACTTTTCTCTTAAAACGTGCACCCCCTCAAGCAAGCGTCTTATTTCGACACACTTACCTCCACATACTGCCCCAAATTTGATGCATCGAATGCACTCCTAAATGATATCAATTTGTGACCCGGTTTACAAGCTTCGGCAGGGCTTCGTACGGGTTTCTCTTCCCCGCATTTTACTCGTCTTTCCTTGCACGTTATACACCCCGATTTAACCTTGGGCAACCCTCTCCGGGGAATTGCTTTAAAGCGGGTTGGAAGAGGAACAGATTCATCCGCCATAATCGCAAGCTTTCATCTTGATCCGGGCTGCAAGCAGATGGCGTCGAGGTCAGAACGTAAATGACATCTCGACTCTTGGATATCACAGAGCCTCAGCCGTTGCAAAGAATGATCTTGATTGTCAAGTACGGAAAACCGGCCCCGCTCTGTACCCTGCTCGGACGTTGTCCATTTGACCAATCCTTCCTCTTGCTGCATCCCAAAATAGCCCGGTGTTCCTACGGACTCGTGTCCAATAAATTGGTAGGAAAGAATTGAGAAATGTCTGAAGGATTGTCGCTAATGTGATGCGACTGAATATCAATGATGAAAATTAACAAGAATGAACTATCGTCCGCACAGTGACTAGACTGAAAGTTGATTGATGAATAACGGCAAGGAAAGGAGTGGCCTAACTGGCTACAGCATGTGCTGACAAGCCCTTTACCCTCATGCGTCCGGTTTGGGCATAGCATGGATAGAACTCGCAAGACCTGTTGACTCCAACGGGTCTGCTGTATTGAAAAGATGATCCCAAAGAAGAGCGAACAACTCTATACTTTATATCAAAACTTCCTTGACAGCAATCACGCACGAAGGCGTTAAGCATGGCTTATCCTGCCTGCATTATCTCGGTTGTCGTATTATGGGAGCCAGATGGAGATTCGTCGGAAAAATATCGTCAAGAATTGGAGGATAACGTCACGTGTGAGGACTGATAAGTTTGCCTTGCTTTAAAGGCAAAGTAATCTTAAGCGAGCTTTCCTTCCCCTCAGCGCTCCCAAGACTCCAAGAGCTGGCTACGATAAAGCTTCCCACCAAAAAAGCGTAACCAAACGAAGATCTCATGGCACATGCTTAAGCCGCCGTGAGCCTGCTCATGATCAAGCGTCTTTTTATCAATTGGATGTTGACCACAATTGGCCGGCGCTGATCTCGAAGCCACCAAAATTTACACAGCGGCACATCATGCTGCCAAGCGCAATGCTCACCACCCAAAGTGCAACAACTACACCACCTAGATGTGGCCAAGAAGAACCCCCTCGAGGCCATCCATCAACTTGCTTCGATGTTGCACAAACGATCATATATCTGACGGCGCGGCTGCGTCGCTGACGTAGTCATGCGGTATGGAACACTGAGCGAGCCGGCGGTCACTAGGATTGTCAAATACCAGAAATGCTGTATCAGTGTTCTGTCATAAAAGATTCAATAAGAGAGTTTGAGTGAACTGTCCTCCTTTTCTACATGGTAGTCTGCTTTCAAATATACGGTTCTACGGCCAATACTGCTAAGGGGCCTTCCAAGTGGAGAAGTTAGCCTAGAATCCGAAGTTATGGTACACTTCATCGAGGATCGGAATTGTGAACACCATTTTTTGTTGTTCTTGCCGCATCTCCCGGCAGCCTGGCCTGGCCTGGCCAGTCGAAATTGCCCTATCTTCTGGCGTTTGCGGTTGTTTTGGACTGGGGAATTGGGGAAGCGCGTAAAGTGCTGATCTGTGTCTGGGGTGCCCCAGATTCAGATAATGAGTAGTTGAACTTCCCCCGCGTAATATGATATCATTCCTCACCATTGTCAATAACTGCTTCCCCGCGTTTGTGTATATATTTCATTGCTTTCCACGGTGAAAATCACTAGCCATCTCCCACACTGGAAGGGTTCTTCCCCTTCTTTGATCGTTCCACATTAGCAAATACGCGACACTTGACAGATACAGAGGGCTACAGCCTGGAAATCCAGAGCAACATGTCTGAGGAAATACAATCAGGGTCATCGACAGAAGACCTCGATGGTCAAACTGTGAAAGGGTCCGTTGATCCAAATACTAACGTTGATGAACTGCGTTCAAACATCAATGCAAAGCTAGAAAACCCACTACGTGGCTTTACAACAAGGGAGCTTGCCGCAAAAGGGGAGGCTTATTGCAGAGACAATGGCATCAGTGATGAAGAGGACATCAGAGCCTTCCGTCTAGGCGCTGTCATTGCCCAGAATTTCGAGCTCTATGCGGACTGCGAAGGCCTCACTCCTGACGAGAACGACGCGTTGGAATCTGAAATTGAGCATAAATGGCGCCAACCATGGTACCTTTGGCTCATCGTTATACTCTGCTCAATATGTGCCGCTGTGCAAGGAATGGGTGAGTTGCAAGCAATCCTGCAATACACCTCTCGTTAATATATTTTGATAGATGAAACTGTCGTAAACGGCGCCCAGATCTTCTACTCCATACAATTCGGAATCGGAAACAAAACAAGCTCAAGAGACTCTTGGCTTGTCGGTCTTGTCAACTCTGCCCCGTATCTTTGTTGCGCTTTAATCGGTTGCTGGCTCACTGTCCCTATGAACAAGTATCTTGGGAGAAGAGGGACTGTCTTTTGGACCTGTGTCATATCCGCTGTAGCCTGTTTTGCGCAAGCCTTTACAAATAACTGGTGGGGGTGAGTAGATTTCTTTTCAACAACGGGATGCTCTTCAAAACAAGAGAGATACTGACAACTCGACAGCATGTTCGTCGCTCGCTTTGTCCTTGGATTTGGCATTGGACCCAAAAGTGCAACTGTACCTATCTATGCAGCCGAATGCGCTCCACCAAAAATTCGGGGAGCGCTTGTAATGCAATGGCAGATGTGGACAGGTAAGAAACAAAACCACAATCCTGTAAATTGCAGCTAACAGAAGACAGCATTTGGTATTATGCTCGGATTTGTTGCTGATCTCGCCTTTTATCACGTGCCTGACAGATCGGGGATCATTGGCCTTAACTGGCGTTTGATGATGGGTATGTTATGACCTATATCCTAACTTAACAGTATGATATAATCTAACCTACTACTAGGCTCTGCAATGTTCCCAGCTGTCATCGTTTGTTGCTTTGTGTTCATGTGCCCTGAGTCTCCACGATGGTACATGAGTAAGAACCGCCACCAAAAAGCATACCAGTCAATGTGCTCTTTACGATACAATAAGATTCAAGCAGCTCGTGATATCTTTTACATGCACACTTTATTAGAGATTGAAAAGGAGACTATGGTCCTCAAGAAGAACCCGATCTTGGAACTCATCAAAGTTCCACGCAACCGTCGTGCTTTCCAGGCTTCGGAGATCGTGATGTTTATGCAACAGGTATTTACTTCAAACCTTCCTAGCTACTTCTATTTACTCACATAGCTCTTAGTTCTGCGGAGTAAATGTAATTGCATATTACAGCAGTGAGATCTTCTTGGAATCCGGCTTCGACGAAATCAGAGCTCTTTCCGCCTCCCTAGGTTTCGGCATCATCAATTTTCTTTTTGCTCTTCCAGCAGTCTGGACAATCGACCGATTCGGCAGGCGCAACCTTCTCCTCACTACCTTCCCTATCATGTCCCTCTGTCTCTTCTTTACCGGCTTCAGTTTCTGGATCCCAGAGGGTTCAACTGCAAAAGTCGCTTGCATCGCTCTAGGTATCTATATATTTGGTATATTTTACTCACCCGGCCCCGGTCCTGTACCATTCACCTATTCCGCTGAAGCATACCCGCTTTATATCCGTCCTCTCGGAATGTCCTGCGCCACGGCCACGACCTGGTTCTTCAACTTCGTCTTGTCGATCACCTGGCCTTCCCTCCTTAAAGCGTTCAAACCACAAGGTGCATTCTCCTGGTACGCGTGCTGGAATATCATCGGTTTCCTAGGCGTTTTATTCTTCGTGCCTGAGACCAAGGGGCGCTCGCTTGAGGAGCTGGATCAGGTATTCAGTGTTCGCACGAGAGACCATGCTGCGTATGGCGCTAGACAAGTTGGGTACTTCATTAATAGGTATATATTGAGAAAGGATGTTGAGCCTGAGGACTTGTATGCCTTGAAGGAGGTTGAGCACCGTCCTGATAGCTATCAAACGGAGAAGCCTACGGATCCGGTGGAGAGGGTTTAGATGGCGGTTAAGAGAGAGATGGGCTGTTTGCGTCTGCGTTTGAAGTAATTGTATTTTGTAATAGCTTGTCCCAGATTTGGTAACTCCCTTCTGGTAGACAATTGTATTCTTGTTCATATGTCGGAGATTGTATCACAGTTCATTCTGACATAAAAACTTAACCCATCAATATCATCTTCCTCCTAAAAGTCTCTCTCGCTTAGCAACGTCACCTCCCCAAAACTGCAGCTTCTTCTCACAGAGCGGCCGCCTTTCCGCATCTAAAATGACAGCTGGCCCTTTCTCTGCCTCTTTATCACAGTTTTATTTACCGGCGGCAATTAAAGGCTGATAGAAGATCTGATGCCAAGAACTTGGGGTATCTCGATATAAGCCTCTTACACTTGGCATGTAGAAAGGGAAGCACCCATCGTGTGGTTCTGTGTCAGATATGATTGTTGATCGCCTATCTTTTGTCAATGGCATATTATCCTGCAGGGAGGTTGTCAGCTGGGGGTTGGAAAGGAGGTGAGGGACTGAAGCTGGGGGTATAAGAAGGTTGGTTTCTGGAGTTTGAATTGATTTTCTATCTTCTAAATCCAGCTCTCTGTGTCTGAATATCATTCGTCTTTGACACTCCTTGATTATCTACATTCGTCATTCTCCGGTCGTTGATACTTTTACTTCCCGTCGATTATTCATTTTCAGAATAGCCAGTCAAAATGCCAAAACTCTCAAAAGGTGCAAAGGGAGGGGTCAAGTCGAAGCCTGTGCTAGTTAAGAAGGATAAGGATGTGAAAGGGAAGAAAGAGAAGGAGGAGAAGGAAAAGAAGGAGAAAGAGCAGAAGGAGAAGGAGAAGGAGAAGGAGAAGAAACAAGCGGAAGATAAGAAGAAACAAGCTGAAAACAAGAAGAAAGACGAATTAGAGAAGAAGAAGAATGAGAAAGAAGACAATAACCATCAAAAAGGAACTAAAAAGAAGGAAACGCCTGAGCAACAGGAGAAGAGAGAGGAAGAGGAACGAGTGAAAGAGGAGAGGAGGGAGGCTAGGAGACAAAAGGTTCAGGAATTGAAGGATGCAGCTGAGGAGAGGGGATTTGACGAAGCTGGAGCTGTGGTGGGTGGGAGAACAGATGAAGGAGAGGGTGAGGACGAAGAGGTTGAAGTGGAAGATGAAGAGGAGCAGGAAGGGGAAGAAGAAGAAGAGGAAGAGGAGGGTGGAGAAGAAGAGGAAGGGGAAGAAGAAGAAGGGGCTGACGAACTAGTAGAAGGGGACGAGGGTGATGAGGAAGAAGGGGCTGATGAGCCAGTAGACGGAGAAGAAGAGGAAGGTGACGAGGAGGAGGAGGAGGGAGAGGGAGAGGATGGACCTGACAATGACGAAGAAGACGACGATGAGGAGAATCAAGATAATCAAGACGAAGATGGCGAGGAAGAGAATGAGGAAGAAAATGAGGAGGGTGAAGAGGAGGGTGAAGAGGATAAGGATGGCGGGGGTGAGGAGGGAGAGGATAAGCAAGAAGATGGGGGAAAGGGGAAGGTAGATAAAGGTAAGAAGAATAAAGAGTAGGGCGAAAGAGAGGTTGGCACTTGATGATAGGTTAGGTGAGGAATTGGTTGGGATGGGAGAGAAATAGGTAATTCGAATAGTGTGTCGTTAATGGAGAAACATACTTATGTGTAGGTAAAGGTTATACGTAGTACTTGATTTGAGAAGTTGGCGCTTTGTTCCGGTAGGGAGTTTAAGAATTTAGATTAAGTAGAGCGATATATTAGACTACATTTAGGTTAAAGGAACGTGATTTGATTTTTACCAGTTCTGTTTAGATATAATAGGTCGCAGACTTATTAGAATTTTAAAACAGGCAACAATCAACATTTTACTTCTATAACACATATATTTACTTCTTCTTCTCTTGTAAAAAAAACAACAACATGTTAAGGTCTCTTCAATATATCTCTCTCTACGCTCTAAAGAAATTAGAGATTTTTTAAATTTTGTATTTGTGTTAGTCGCGAAAAACAGCGCGAAGGAGGTTCTTGTCACTTCAAGAGCGAGATGAATAGCAGGAGTATTTTACTATGTACTTACGTCGCTGTCTAGTAATCAAATCTGAACCAGCTTTCTCATTTGTATGTTGTTAACAATAATTCAATGATATACTGTTTAATTTCCGCTAAAGATGTGGCGAGATATGTAGAACCTATAGATGGCGTCTACTAGTATGTAATTTATGATACTATTGCGATGTGTAGTTTACCACTTTTATACATGATCTCTCTTTACACAAAAAGGTGTGAACATTTCTTGATCATTGATAATTTCCTTCTTGATTCTTCATAAATAAGGCGAAAACGATCTTGGTATTAACCTCAAATTGATCTACCACTATCTCCAGCCGATAGCTATGGGAAGTTTAATCACGCTTTATACACTGCCAATCCAGTGACTCGGTGTCTACATTCGACACACCTCCGCATCTAACCCCATAATACAGAGGCTGAGACCAGAATTTCTGAGCTCCCAGTCACCCCTTAAACCCAGCAGCTGCACAAAGAACATAAGTCCGTGATTAGCTGCACATATACTTGGTCTTGAAAACCCGTCGTGACAATTCCACAGCACCAGATCATCGCTTTGTAATAGCCGAGCCCGTCAGCTCGGGTTCCTCACCATCCCCGATTATGTCATCTCCACCGCACTTCCTCTTTACGGCCATCACTTAGGTGGCTAAGTCGGTTATTGAAATGTAATTCTACGAGTTTCAGCTCAGTAACCCTCCACTTACTTTCAGCTATGGTATGAAAAAGAGTGAAGAGGTGAGAACACGTGACATCGCCCCCTTCTAAACCGGCTATCATCTTAAACGAGGCTCAAGATCATCGAAGCGGGATATCTCAGCCCCAGAGTTGTCTGGTATTGAAATTAGAAATGCCATGTGGGTGGGACTCGGGTATCTAGAGGGTGGCTGATACTTTGGTTGAGCTAGATTTATTTTCTTGATCAAAAGTCCTTTTTCACTCACACTTTCATCAACACTTCTCTTCAACATCTTGAAATCTTAACTCATCCCTCTCTTCAACCCAAGCTCAAAACTCCAAAAACCGCCAAAATGAGCCACCTCCCCCAATACCCAGTCCAACAAGAGCCCACAATCCCCCTCGTAGGCTTCCAACCCCCCTCACAAAAAGGCTACGCCCAAGTAAACCAATACACCACCGCACCCCTCCCCCAACCCGCCTACGAGAAAAGAATGGAAAACCGCAACAAATATAAAGAGCTTGCGAAAAAGCTCCACGCGCGACACAAAGCCATGGCCTTAACATCACGCGGCATCTCTGCCATACTCAACATGCTCATGTTCGCCTTCATGGCACTCGTAATAGTAGTATTCTACAGCACCCGCGACGACCAGGCGCTCGGCCGAGGAATCTGGCCGAAAAGCGGGAAAGAATGGCCGACTATTCTCTTGCTCGCAGCTTCGTTTCTGACGTTCGTCGGATCCGTGATCACGCTTGTGATATTCTGCTGTTGTTTCAAGCGGGCGGCGGAGAGTTGGAAATTAGCTGCGTTTGGATACGCGATACATATCCTTGCGTGGGTGGCCGTAACGACTATTTATCGGACCGAGAAACGGTTGGATGATCTTTGGGGGTGGAGTTGTAGTGATATTGCGACGAAGTTGCAGGATGAGGGACATGCAAGTGTGGATTTTAATAAGTTGTGTACGGTCCAGGTAAGTTCAACGAAGCCCACTTTAATAGAGTAGAAATGCTGACAGACCTAAGACAATAGCGTGGTACTTGTCACTCGTCGAGACAATTGTCAAGATTTTGTTTGCCATCGGCACTTTCTTCTTATTCCGAAAGAACAAGTACATCAACGCCAAGCTGAGGTTGACTGAAGGGCTGGGAGATGGTAGCATTGGGTTATTGAGCGCCTTCACATAAAGCATGACGCGCATACCAAATATTCGAGATTGCATTGAATTGGCGTTGGAAGTGGGCGGCTGAACAAGACAACCTGGAGAGAAAAATAAATAGATGGATCGGGGTAGAAGTAATTTTGATGTACAAAGATATCCATGGATGCCAGCGCGCACTTATATTCTCCTTTTCTTGTAAATAGGATAGCTCCGTGCGTGGAAAATTGGAAGACCGTAACTTTTGATTTTAGAATGAAGTTTCGCTTTATACAAATGTTTCTTGACTGGATGCTATCATACACCGATTGACTATGGTATGAGCATGCAGTGTAGACTTTGAGTCTAAACAAAAATCCGACGTATCGTAGAGTTTGCGAAGTGATCGAAAACCGTAAACTTCACTGTCATTCCCACTCTTCGTCTGAGGATTCCTGTGCCCATATATTCCACATACTTCCCACAAACTTCCAACAACAAAACATTCTTTCCCACCTCTAAAACCCAGCGGCCCGTTTCTTCTTTTTCCCTTTCTGGGCTGCCCGACTACCAAACGCTCCTCTATCTGGCTGCGTCATTGGCAGGTTGCTACTCTCTGGCTGCGAACTGAAATTATAACGAGAACCAGGCTGGGAATCTGTTGTTCGTATGGCCAAAGGTTGAGGCTCCACTGTCGTCGCTCTTGAAGACTGACGACTAAGATATTTCTCTGTCAATTTTTGACGGCGGAGATCTTCACGGCGTTTCTTCCGACTGTTCTCATCCGCACTTTCTGTGGCTACGGATGCTCTGTTAAAATCTTCCCAGGAGAACGCAGACGGATCACCTCCTACAGTCCATTGTGAGAGTATCTTTGATCTACCAGGATCAGGCCCACTTGCGATCGTCACGGCATATTTCCTTAACCGAGAGATGGCTGGATCTTCTGATGTTTCAGACGATGCATTGGTTGCATGAGAATAGACCGATGGTGTTCGTGTGGTGGTTCTTCCGCCATAAAGTGAATGTTGAGATGGCACGGGGGTCATTTCAGGTGAGAAGAAACCCGAGTCATCATCAGCACCTTGTGCCTTCCTTCGACTGATCACCTCAGTCGAATTTTCCACATCTTCTTCTCCACCATCAGATTTGAGATACGAAACCCCCACTGAGCTCAATCCTAAATCGATTGCTATTTGGCGGACCATCTTATGCTTTTGCAAACGCGAAGGCACAGAGACTTGGCTGGGTAAGTCAGCGATCCAAAGAGTGACCAATTGATCGTAGATGTTCAGAAAGTCGAAGAGCAGTGCTTGTGCACTGGGAGCTGCTGGAAAGCTCATCAAAGAGGGTGTAGTAAGAGCCAATGTGGTGAGCGTGAATTCATGTTGGTTCATGGCGTCATTTTGGAGAGATTGAATATATCCATGTAAAGCGGTACTGGCACCATCCAGCTCCTCCGAGAAAGTACTGTGATTTAATAACTCATATCTAGAATAATATTGATTAGTAGGTTGCTTGAAATGGTGTAAATCGAGTCCTTACATCGTCGTCAAGGGAAATCCGTCGGATGCCTTGGCCTGGTTGATGTAGTTATCTAAATGGGTGATTATCTCGTCCATTGTTGTAGATGGACTCGATGAATCCGGCAAGCTTTTCGGACTCGTATTTGGAAATATAATTTTGAAGATCTTTGTCCAGTTTACTCGCCTACGCAAGTCATTTTGCCTCATTTTCAGCGCTTCCAAATGCTGGTTCTGGACAGGATAGCCGGGTCGTTGATTCTCGACATCCTGATCATCTTCAGCATCGAGGAGTATGAAGTCGTCTTGGATGTACTTTTCGGAGAGAAGACCTCGGTTTTGTTTCCTGACTCTGAAGGTCGGGGCTCTCTTCCAGAATGCTGCTACTTTCAGCATCTGAGGCAGATCCTGATGAGCGACAAGCACAGCAGAGCCAAGTGCTAAATCATGCGAAAGCCCCCAAGCTTGAATGAAGACCAAGGAACCTTCAGAAATCTGTGGAGGAGTATCTGCGCTATCTTCGAACTCAACCTGCTTGAGAAGCAGAGCACTGATAAGCTCTTGCGAAACTCCCTTATTGCTAGACTCGGTTGACAACAAAAATGAACTTTGCCAGCATGTTGGTTCTGTCGAGTCGTTTGACGGCAGAAAGCCGTATACATTTATCAATTGGGTTTGGCTAGAAAACACTGCAATTGATACTACTGGAAGTTAGAAGAGCATTTGAAGCTACTTTGGAGGCACCCACCTAAATCAGCTTGTACAATGCAAAGTCGCAACGTTCGATCAAGCGAATCTCTGAAGTGCCGCTGAGAGAGAATGATCCTCGCCCCTGGCTCTTCGCCCTCGCCGTCTCCTGCGGGTGTAACATGTACCAAAATTATTCGAGAAGAAGTCAACACAAATAGTTGATTATGATCGGCTGGATTTTTCTTGGTGTCTAATATCCGCTCTGACTTCAACTTGATGCTTCGAAGATGTTTCGGCTGTCCTTTGAGATCGATGATGACGATCTGGCTTCTATCGATGTTTGCAATCGTACTCAGATCAGATATCCAAAAAGCTTTGTACCACCCATCAGTGCTTTCACGAGCCGGTACGCTTGATATAGCGTCAAGCTCAGAGTCATGATGGATACTACCAGTTTTGTCTGCAACAAGTTGCACGGATAATCGGGAGGATTTGGGGTTGCCCTCAATGTTCCATACAGACCAACGGCCGAGTGTGTCGATCAAAATGAACTGACGATTATACCATGGGTTAAAGGAAATGTCAATGTAGATCTCTGAATCATGCCTCACAGTTGCCATGCTTGCTACCGGATTTGCGTTCAATCGAGATAGAGGAAACGTTCCAGCTGGGACGCCTTTTCGAACGGAGTAGGGTTTGCCGAAAGTCGGATAGAAAACAGTTATTAACGTATCCTGCCTGACAGCTAGCCATGGACTAGCTTCGATGCTATCATCACAGACAGCAATTTGACGAATAACCCCTCCGGTACCCATCCAAAATGCCTCATCAGAACCATGGGTACTGTCCAAAGAAATGCTTGGACCTGATCTACTGCCCCATGCTAGCGCCTGCTTTCGAAGTCTGACAAGCTTCAAAATGTGGCCTGCCTCGCCACATGGTAATGCAATGAATCTGGAATTCTTGGAGGGGGAGTCTGCGTAACCTGTGGCTAAGATGTTCCCAGATCTATCTGGCGGGTTTGAAAGTCCCAATTTCTCAAATTTCACGAGCGTGGATAAAATGTCCTTAGCAAGAACGAAATCTGGGTTTGCTTTCAGGATTTTCTTCAGTTGAAATTTGCTTTCAACTGACGGCAACTGAGTAGTCTGGGGCAGATTTTGAATTGATGCTGGGAAACACTCTTTATATGGGGAGATTTGCCGAAATTCTTGCTCTAATGAATGTGAGCGGTGACTTCAAAAGACCATGACATGAGCTTACGGTGTTCAGGAGATCTAGAAAATATCCATTGTTTTTCTTCTACATCATATGTTGCTTGTCCCGGATGACCATAAGAAAGGTCGGTAGGCTTGCGGTCAGTCATTTGGTTTTGGTCGTTGGCGTGCCGGGAATTGTCTTATCCAACTCATTGCGATTTAACCAATATAAGCTATAGAAGTTACTCAACGAGACTGAGATTTTCCCTTGTGTGTTTTGTAAACGTCGTGATATGCTTTCGTTGAGGTCTTCAAAATTTGCGAAACGAATTCACTTCCTTATCTAATCGCGCCTAGTGGCACGTTCCCTCGGCAACAGCCTCGAGTGGATGTCAACACTGATGGCGATCACGCGTCCATACAATTCAGACACATCCAGGTCAAATTATCGCAAGAAACCTTACAACCTATTTTTGCTATTATTTTGTCCGTCGCAATCATGTCTACAGTATTCGAACCGTCTCTATCAACCAGCGCAATGCGCCCTCCTCTCAACTCAGCCGATGCGCCATCAATGGCCGATACACTTCCCAGCATCAATTTTGGATTCGATGAGCTGCGCGATCGCATGGCGAAGTTTACAATGAAGTTCGATACTTTCATTGAGCAGGGGAGAAAGCGCGTGTTGGAAGAGCGCAATCAGTTCCGAATGAACGTTGCTGAGTTGAAAGGTATGCAATTTCAAGCTATTTTGGAGTGCTATATCTAACCAATGAATAGAGGACCAACGGATGAAGAAGAAGGACATTGAGATTATGAGTTCAAAGACCGATAGCCATCAACAAACACTTGCGAAAGAAGCTGCCGAGACACACGAGATCCAAACCATGATTGCGACATTGAGCGCGCAAAGAGATTCACATCTCAGCACCAAGGAGGATTTGAAGCAGAAGATCAAGGACACGCAAAGGCAGATTGACGCTCGTCTTGCCGCCCAGAAAGCGCATGCGCAGTACATCGAAGCGCAAACCAAGTTCAATATACCGGAACTGGATTTCTACGAGTCGACTTTGTGCTTGACTATTGAGGGAGCTGGACAAGCTGACAGGCTGAAATTCACATATACGCATATCGACGACCGTGACTGGACTAGAGAAGCGTTTTTCGAGCTGGATATGGCAAAGAGGGATTATGAGATTGTGTATTGCAAGCCGAAACTGGAAAAGGAACATATTGAAAGAGTGGTCGACAGGCTGAATGAGACGAGGGAATTGCGGACGTGTTTGAAGGAAATGAGGGATCTGTTTGTGGAAACTATGAAAGCGTGATAACTGGATATAAGAAGTTCTTTTGCGATTTGGGCGTTCAATGGCTTCTGGTGCTGTCGTAATATACCTATCACAATACTCGAATATAACCTGGACAAATTATCTTCGTCAAGTCGTTGTAACTTTTATGACTCCAACTAGCATTCATCATGCGTGATTTGTTTTGGGTATCCCTACTCCATAACGCCAACATCCATCCATAGCCGTATCTCTCCGTAGATAGGTCGAGTGATAATTATCCTGTCGCAACTCGATGCTCCCCCAAACCGCTATCTCGACTTCAAAAATGCGCGCGTTCCCAGGACTAGACCTCAACCACCAGACACGGATGCCATTCTTATCCCATCAAGCCTTTGTATCATCATCCCTCATTCTGCTCAACCTGTCGCATAGTCTCCTCCCCATCCCTCTTCAACTCCTTAATAACAGTCTATCCCCGCATCAGCCAATTCCCCTACCTCCCCATTGGTCATACATACAGCAAGCGCCTCCGGATTAACCCCATTCTCAATCAGCGAGATACATATCGACAGCGTATGTCTATCCAGATTCGCATTCTATCCCACCATCAGTTCTCTTCCATCCATCACGCGGCATAGGGTTTTAGCGTACCAATAAAGTAGAGATCTCATGGAAGACATCGATGATTTGACGGACTTGCTGAATGTCTTTTGAGGATTCTGCGGGTGGCATGTTGAGGGTGTTTGGGGTTGTGCTGTTAGATCAAGTTGTGGTTTGGGTGGGGAGACGCGAGGTATCGCGTTGGGTGTTCGGCGCCGAGGGCTCCGATTGATTTCGCCCTCCTAAGCGACTGCTTTTTGGTAATACATCCCACCTTAAGGTTCTATTAAGTGTGACGTCTGAAGATCTAGATGCTTTGCTTACTGCAAAAGATTGACTCATATAAACTAACAGCATTTATATAACACGTATATCTTAAATAACACTCTCTAAGCCAAATATCTAAGCCCATTCACAAAAGTATCACTCATCTCTCCAAACATGTCCGCCGAAATCCTCGTCACAGGGACCTGCCAATGCGGCCGCGTAAAATACACCTCCACATCCCTCCCCAGAGACCTCAGCAACTGTTATTGTCTTTGCTGTCGTCGTCTCTCAGGCGGTCCCTTCCAAACCTCCGGCGAATTCCCCACCGAATCTGTAACCTTCACCACCGGCACATCAAGCATGCGCCAAACCTCCTATAGCGAGATCGCAGACCGGCAACACTGCGCTGAATGTGGGAGTCAAATTAGCATGCAGTACAAATGTGAGCCTGAGATTATATATCTGACGGTTGGCACGTTTGAGAATGTGAAAGGCGAGTTGCCGCCGGTGGGAAGACATATTTTTGTGGGGACGGGGAAGGTCGGAGGGTATTATGAGATTCCGAGGGATGGGGTGGTGAGGTATGAGAGCCATAGTGATGGGTTTGAGAAGAGGATTGCGGAGTGGAAGGAGAAGAATTTGGGAGAGGGGAGGGGGTGAAGGTTGGATAGTGTACTATATAACTTCGCTTCTAACGATAAGTCACCCGAGATGGAGAACACTTCTTGGAGCAAAGTCTTCACGGTGTCATACCACGAGGTATGAGATGCGTAGTGTTGGGTTTGAGAAGAGGATTGAGGAATGGAAGGAGCAAGGTTTGGGGTTAGAGAGGGGGTGAGGGCTCGATATTGTATATCTTCGCTTGTATCACAAAACCATCCACAACAGAGAACAATTCTCAAATCAACGTCTCACCCCTCCGCCCTCTCACATCTCTCCCCAATCCCCAACCCATCTCCCCCCTCACCTCCCCCCATAATATCCCCTGAAAAACCCACTCCTCCTCCACCCACCCCTCTCCCACTCCTCCCTACCACCCCAAAACCCATCTCCAGCTCTCACAGCCATAACTCTTTCCATTCTCTCCCTCCCTTGTCTCATTCTCCTACCCAGCCCTTTCACAAGATAGCCGCCGGGAGGAGCTATATAACCACCAGGAGGGAAATCGTCGTAGTCACTAGCAAAACGGCCTCCGCCGTACGGACCCAAGCCGCTGTGTCCACCGAGTGAAGAACCAGAGAAGGGACCGCCCATTCCTGGACCGCCGATGCCTGGTTGAGTGTCATCCCAGGGAGTCCAGGGAGGGAAGTTGGGGTAGTTGTTCATATTGATGGTGGCCCGGTGAAATGATCCGAGTATGGCATAAGTTCAGAAGAAAAGAAAAGTTGGGTAGGAAATTTTGAGGCATATGATGAATGAATTTGAAATACCTGAGTCTCTAGTGAGATGACCATGATAACATAAGTGATTCTGAATCTTTACGTTTAATGTCTCAGTGATATGATTCAAGAAAGTGTAGAAAGGTCCTGTCACAAATTAACCCACGAACCTTTTCTCAAGCACTCCAAGAAGAGAAACACTCTACGGAGCATCTCACCGTACTCCTCAACCTATAATCGAAAGATGTAGCACTGAGCAGTAACTCTCGGTTCTACGACTTGACTCCAGCACTCGAATATGGCTGCACTTTCCCCTCATAAAGTCTGATATACCACACCATCCCGGACACATTCACAACACGAACTCATGATACCCATTTCAATCGTTTTATAACACAGAGTAGATGAATGAAGTGCGTGAATAACAAGCGGATGATAATTATTGGTGGCCGCCTAGATAAGTAAGGTTGAAATTTTAGGTGAAATTCGTATTCGTATTCTAAAGGCTCGCTTGAGTCTTAAGAGTGAACGCCTGAGGTGAAGCAACAAGTCGAACAATGGAGGATCTTTGAGTCAATGACCACGACATTTCTAAAATAGGAGCAACGTGGCATAAACTGTCGACTGTTCGCCACTTGAACCTGATGTTCGCTACTTGCTAGAAGGCTCTAAGTCCGCGAAACCCGAATTTTGCGGCTAAGAAAATACACTTGTAATGTCAATCGACTCTCAGTCGCGAAAAGCTAATTGGGATAATTGTTCTCAAAGAGTATATTTGTATCTCACAATTCGATGATATTGATATAAGTCGCAAGACTCGAAAAGAGGAGTTCTGGTATTAAATGTCGTCTCCCTCGGAGCACATCCAACCGGTGCCCAGTGACGATAATTGTCCACTGTACACGCCTTCTATCTTAACATACAGTACAATATAACCGGAAGCGAAGTTTCTCTTCGTTTACGTCTGAATCTATGAATACACTTGTTGCGCCCCACCAGTCGTCTATTTGGTCTCTTCGCGGAGGAAGCTGATAATATGTTAGTGGTACCCTAATTGCGGATGAGGAGGCAGCATAACGTACGTGATCAAATCGTTACGGTCCTTCTCCTTCTTGAGTCCACCGAATGCCATCTTGGTTCCTGGAATGTATTTCTTTGGGTTCTCAAGGTACTCGAACTATTGATTTCTGATTAGAACCATTGTGCCTGCAGAACTGCGGAATACTCACAAGGGTACCGGTATTCCACTCAATACCCTTAGCCTTGTTGGCATCGGTGTATGAGAATCCCTCAACCTGACCAGTGTGACGTCCGAACAATCCGTGGAGGTTTGGGCCGATCTTGTTTCCCTCACCCTCTCCTAGGGTGTGGCACTGAGCGCAACGTGTCTTGAAGAGGTTGGCACCCTTCTTGGTATCTCCTGTAATTGCAATCTTGATCAGCATATGTTTTAAGATAGTCGGAGGCGTTTTGAGGCATCAAGGACAGCTCGGCGCATGAGAGCGGCGATGTCGTACGACGGTGCCGACGTTCTGAATTTTGAGGATCGAGGGGTTTGATGATAGAAGCTGCTGCGGACAAATTCTGAGGAGGATAGTTGATGTGGATGTGCTGTTGTTGGGTTCCGAAGTTGCCAGCTAATCGTCTCTGGTGGCGACCAAAGTCCATCAACAACTTCTCGGAAAACAACCAAGCAATTCGACCACTTTCATCGTTGTCGCCTCCCTTCAAAGTGCCGGTATGCCAGGTTCCAGAACCAAAATCCACGATGCTGTTGTTCAATGGCATCCAACAATCTCGGTGACGTGACCATGTCCAGAAAAAGCAGGCAAACAGCAAGGGAAGTGAACGTACCATCTTTGAAAGGCATTTTGGATAATTAAAATAATATAAGGACGTGAGAGGTATTAAACGGTCGTGAAGTCGTAGAGAGTAAGTTGGTCTGAAGGGTAGTGTGATGGTACGGAGGAAGGAGAGAAAAAAAGTTCGATGGAAGCTTTTGTTTACGGAAGAAGAACCCTGACATGACACGGCCTACTAATCCTTGCCTTGTAATTGGCTGAGGCTGAACGGGGAATCTCGGATGGCACAAATTCACTCTTCCAAGGTTATGGGATTGAGAAGTGATTGTATGGCAGAACATCGGATGTAAAGCAGATGAATAAGAATATTATACCAAGTCTAATCATTGAATTCATCTTGAGATAGTTACGCTACATTATGATGTTCTTGAATACTTTTTATTACCATGGGATTTGACATCTGCAAGGGGCAAAGGTAACTGTAGACTAAAATAAAGTTGCAAATGACTTCAATCCGCCGACAAGCCGGGATTTACCGACATCGCGACCGCAGCTTGGACAAAGCTTCATGAAAACATCAAATGATCACAATTGAAGCCATACCAAACCCAACCCGCAACAATGGCTTCCTCCGCGGCTCTAATCCCACGATTCCTCCTCCCACGACAAGGTGCGATCTGGCTACGAGCTTCAAGCGTTCGCAATGCCTCAAACAAAGCATCATCCGCCTCTAAAAAGGTGCCCAAAAAAGCTTCAAGCCCACCTGCAGCAGCAGGTAAGCCATCTTCAGCAGCAGGAAAGCCATTGGTGCTTGAAAAGCCTACCCATTTCCGACCGCCATCTCATGGACAGAGAAGAGTGAAGGAAGCGCCTAGATATCCTGGACCAAAACTGAGTGAAGAGGAGGAAGCGGCGAGGAAGACAAGGAAATACCCAAATATGATGCCTGCGGAGGGGACGTTTATGCATTGGTTTATCAATAATAAGAGTATACATTTGACGATTACTTTGGTAAGACCTCTTTATCACCACCGTTTATTTGAGGAGGGCGGCTTCTGCCTTTTCGCATACATTTCAATCCAATTATCTGGAACCATGCACTAACGTAATTTCAGGGCACACTGTTCACTCTAGCAACAACAGTATACTTCAACAACCTCAAGCGCTCCTCTCCATACGCGGATCTCCTCCCTGGCTTATCAGATGTCTTCTTCCACCCCATCCAATCCACCCGCACATTCGGCGAAGTAATCCGCCTAACAGGTGACTACAACACCATCCAAACAATGGAACGTCGCAAAGCCAAAGTCGAAGATGTAACAAAGAGAGATGCGTATAGAAAGGCGCATGGATTAGATAAGGATGAAGGGTTTGGTGGCTGGACTGCGAGAGCTGCGGGCGAGGAGATGGGTGGTGGACTTAGGGTTCCAGATGAGAAGCCTAAGGTGGCGGAGGTCGCTGTTGATGGAAAGGCGCAGACTGAGGACGAGAAGAAGATTTTGAATTTGGGTGGTGGCAAGTTGATGCTTCCTGACGGGACGATTGTTCTTGAGAAGGCTTACACAGCTGAACCGGTTGTAGAGAAGAAACCGTTGAGGAAGTGGCTCGGGATCTGGTAGGAGGTGATGTGTATACTCGTATGTTGACTGTATATTCTACGATGGGCAATCGTATTAAAGGGCGGTTTACATCACATTGGAAGCATTGTACATTAGAAATTCAAGCGAAAGCCATAATGAAATCCTAGACAGCCAGGAACTTTCCTTACAATAATTTGTATAGTCAAGCTAGCTCCTCGCTTCCAGCTAACATTAAAAGTTGGGAGGCTTGCATAGTTGTGTACAGTTCTACCTACCTGAACGTGATAAATAAGTCGAGCTAGTAGCTATTCGAACATAGGCGATTGGTGGCTTTGAAGTATACACACGAAGGATACCAGTATGTCATGCAAATCTTGCTTGTCGGATCATTGCTAGCAGTATATTAACATTCTACTCCTCGAGTACAAACCTTGGGTCAAAACTTGATAGTTTGAATCATGGGTCCACTACGAAAGGAAGTCCAGGAGTATTTACTGCCGAAACCGAAATCTTCACCGATGCCCCCGCTTGTTTTCACTTCCACACTCAGAGCTGTAATATTATAGAGTGAATAAAATCACATGGTTTTCTCGATTACAGTCTTAGCAAATGAAATTCATAGATTCACAGTTATGTTTGCAGTTCCAGGACTCCCTCAAACAAGAGCTCATCCATGTTTGCAGTTCCAGGTCTTCCTCCAACAGGAGCTCATCAATCACTTCAGGCTTGGGAAGTTAGGATGTACCTATTATCAGTCTGCTGGGTTCTAGAGTGCTATTTATTAAGTCAAGTGCTTGTAATGTTAGATTGAAAAGGCGGAATTTTTTACGTGTGGTCTGACACTTTGCGCGGGTTTTCTCGTCAGTTGTATCGAAGTGTTAACACTACATGAACCGATTAACATCTGCTTGAAAATCTATATCAATAAAGATGGGCTCATTTTACTAAAGGGGTATGTGAAATAGCCGAACCTTGGTTTAGTTGTGTTTATTGTGCTCGCTCTGTCCACGAGTCTAAACGGCCGCAGGACTGGATATTTTTTCGGCGCAATGGAAGGAAATTCTTTTAGTGCAGTTGTGATAGACTTTGTGAAGACTCATAATTACTTAGAATTGAGAAATTGTATATAACACTTTTCTTTGTGATTATGTAGTTGAACTTATTCCTAAACAGGAAAGTGTAGTTGCTGCCGAAAGGTAATCTGCTACCGATTTCCACTTCCTATTTTCTGATGGGTCTTGACATCCGAGATCGTATCTCATTAACCTTCAATTCTTCAGATATCCGAATCACCTAAGTCCACCAACCAATCTCGGCCACTTTTCATTCCCAAGTATCCTCCTTGTAAGTGAACACAGGCCAATCGAACTCTCAATTGTTGATGTGGAACTGCTATATCCCATAGCCATAAACGAAACTTTTTATACTCTTATGGACTTGTTTTTGAATCATTGTTATGTTGTAAATAGTGAAAATTTCTTTGATCATTCACACTATATTTAGGTACATCAAGTATTTAAATACCTTCCATCAAGCTACCACTTCTACAAATCATGAACTTTGAAACGGCCATATTCCATGGCCGTTTCTGCGGGTTTCCCCTCAAAATGAGCGTTTGTGATCGGAGACTACCTTAGGACGGTCTTGTGGCATTTTATGATACCGATCATTTCTGACTCGTACATTAGTAGCACTACCTTTTTTGAGAAACTAGTTAGAGAATATGATTTCGTTAAACGAGATGTTTGTCACCGAAAATCATAGCACTACCGTTTTTGACTGCCCTATTCGCTTTGAAGCATGGGATTTAAAGCAGGAAAAAGTTTAATCTAGAACTTTATAAATCAGTATTCAGGAGATACTAGAAGCCTCTTCGTTCTCCCCACAATCAGTAGCAGGGCCGAACATCTTCCTAAGCTCAATGTATTTATCGGCTCGCTATTTGATTCTTGCAATTAACACTAGGGCTAGGTATATATCTCATGCGCCCCACTATTCTCCACTTTGTGTGCTTAAAGTCATTTTAAAGAAAAAAAAAATACCAAACGAAAAGCTACAAAGTCTGCTAGGTAATTGTGGGAATTTTCGAAGGGTCTCAGCCAGGAATAAAGGTACCCGTTTAAATCATATACTCATTAGGTAGAAGGAGACAATTAAATAGCAAAGCTGTTTTTCAACGACTAGATGTAACGAGACATTTCGCGTTTCTTTCCACTATCACCGTCATTTTTGACACTCTACAAACACGGAAATTACAAATCGTCCAAACCAAAAATCCAAATTAGTCTTCCCATCCTCCACTCAAAACGATCTATTAAAACTATAAAAGCCCACCCCTCCTTCATCTTACCACAAACAGAAAACAACAATCATTGGGTTACAGTCTACCTCTTCTCTGCCAGAAAACGAGAACCTTCAGGACCTCAAATATTTAAAGCTTTTATTTCAGGTGTTTTCAAAGGTAAAAAGCCGCACTCAGTTGAAAGAAACAAGGAGGCTGGAAATTGCGCCAATTGTCGTAGAAGTTCGTCGCTGATTCCAAATTTGCCACCAATTCTTTCTTCCTGATGAATTTCAATGAACAGATTAAAAGACACACTTTACGGTGAAGTTGAAAAAGTGAAAATACAGTAATGTAGTCTTGAATCTCCGGTGTGATTCTATTTATAGTAGAGAACTGTAAGTATTAATAGCAAATCTCTTTTTTGTTCAACTTCCGTCCAAGTTATATTTACTACGAGATCTTTCACGATCTTTAGGGTCTTGAGTTACACTATCCAGGCATGCCTAAGTAGTGATTTATTAATTCTCTAATTACTAAGAAGAGATGGCATTACCTTACCTAGTTGCGGATGTTAGATTCTTTAAAGAATATTCTCTTAGTTTTGTCATCCCCTCTACCTACTAATGAGACCCCGTGCTCCTAGGCGCTCTAGCTTATAGATATTTGCGCAAGACATCATTAGCGAGGACCAAAACAGTGCTTTCTTATTTAAATCGGGTGTTTTGTATATGTGCCACGCCTGTAAAATGAATGATCGACGGTCGTGCCGCAATTCCCGCCGTCCTGAAAGGAGAACGAAAACTACGAGCTAATTATTACTCGAAATTCGATAGTCTGTATTCCTTCTTTCTACAACTTTTGGATTCTCAGTCGAGGATTTAAATCCAATCTGGATTTGTTTCACAGGCGCCAAGGGCGATTGCCCACATTTCCAGTAACTAAAATAGTACTGACAGTCCCGAATGTATTTACGTAATAACCCTTCACATACAAGAAAAACTATTTCCGCCTAAGTATAGTAACACGAAAATTCCGCACAAAACTTTATATATACTCCTACAAGTTTCTATACACATGTCATCTAAAAGAGTCTAATATTATCATTTTACTACTCGAATGTCGAGTTCTAAGACCGAGTATTACATTTGCTTACATAGAGGATTATCTCGATTTATAGATTTTCTCGAAGGACGTTCTGTAAAGTTAGAGAGATACTTAAAAATTCAAAAAGTATAAATTATTAAGTTACTACCGAAACTTAACTTACTATCGAATCTTTATACCCCTATTAGTTTAGAGTTCGTTTCTATAATAGATAAAATTACTATAAGCTGTTAAATACAGAAGTATTAGCTCTAAGTGTAAATTACCTTTTCTTACTTACTTACTTAAAAATAATCTTTAGTAACATTCTACTATTTCTATTCTTAGTCTTACTTAAAACTTAACGTCTATAACTATTTTTAATATTTTATTAATAGATATAAATTTCTATTTTATTAAAGAAGGTAAATCTCTATATTAAAAGCTTGAAAAGATAATATTTTTAGATAGATTTCTTTAAATTATAAAATTATCTTACTAAAGAGAGGCGACGTAGAGAGTTTAATAAGTAATAGAATAATAAAGTATATATAATCTTACGCCCTATATAAATACCTCGAACGCGAGATATCCGAACTATTGGATCCCGTTCTATGTCTTGCGCAAGGTACAGTAACCCTAGAGCTTGAATATATTGGAAAACTTGAAACTGTGTCCGGCTAATCAAAATTTTTGAGAGATTTACATTAGCTCTAATTGTGTAAATCTCTTGAGGGTTGATAAACGAGGAGTTCGTCACCGATTCTAAACCCACCACCGATTCCCTCCCTCTCAATACTCACAACAGTTGTTACATTTTCAGAAACACTTCCTAGTATAGAACTACAATCACAGAATTTAGCTATACCAAGATTATATCTCACTTACAAAAACCTTGCCCTGTAATAGCTACAGGCAAACAGACTCCACCCGGATGCCTTCCATTCTGTATCTATCTCTGGAGTAGAATATTAGGAACCTTCTAGATATAAGAACTAGTCTTTTCAAAGATTCTAGGGTATGAGTGCTAAGATTCTACAAAAGGGGTTGAGTCCGGGAAGCACGAATCATAATTCTTTTGAGATTTCCGGTTACTTTAGCGACCATTTCCAGATTTCCAAGAGATATGTACGATGCCAACACTCCATCCACATGTCGCGGAACATAAAACATAACGGTTTTATGCCCTCTCACAGGACCAGAAGTCAACATCTCACTCACGCCAACCAACTCACACATGCAAACTGCACACTTCAAATACGCAAAGGAAAACGCATCAAATTCCACTAGCATAAAAACCCCATGCTACTACCATCAATGGCAAGTGCTTCCCCACCCTCCCACTAATACATTTGCATTTCACAATATTCTGCAACGTAAAAGTCTCCCTTCCCCCCGTTTTCCCCTCCCCTCTCACAAAAGCGCCTCACCCAACCCCTCCCCCTCAAACCCCTCCTCCGCCAGTCTCTTCTTAACAACGCGTTCCCTCCTGGCCTCCCTCCCCTTCCGTTCCTTATCCAACCTCTGCACCATCCCAGGCTCACCCCTCTCATACCCCTCGGGCACATCGTCATCTTTATCGAGGTCAATCTCGCCGAGCAACAACACGTTCTCGCCGCGCACGAGGAAGATGCCGCGGGGGAAGTCGGCGTAGTAACCTGGGGTGGAGGGGGTGGGAGGGATGAATATGCGTTCGATGGTGGATTGGAGGACGAGGTTTGCTGGGGATGTTTAGTGGGAGGAAGGGGAAGGGAAAGGGAAATGGGGGGAAATACCGAATTGATCCCAGCTTCGAAGCACACCGATTAATTTCCTGCCGTCGCGGAGCGCAACCATAAGTTTTTCTGAGATGCATCGTATTAGCATACATCCTCAACCTCTACAACCCTCAATTCTCTCCCATCCTCTAGCCCTTCCAATCCCCCAATTTCCCCCCTCTTCTCCACCCCGATTCAGAGCACACTTACTATCAGTCAAATCCAACAACTGCGCAGCAGTCGTGAACATCTGCGGCGGCAACTGCTGCTGCTGCTGCGGTCCGCCTCCCATCGCCGCAACCTCATCATTAAGCGTGAGATGCTCCATTGCACCTCCTTCTGCTTCCGTATCGTCGGGGTGGTCGCTATTCGAAAGGTCGTTGGTTGCGCCAATCCATTATTGTCCTCGCGGTTTGGTGTGAGTGGTGGGACGCGATGAGAAGGTGACGATGGCGAAAAAGTGGAGATGATGTGGAGAGGTTCAGGTTGCACGTGTAGACGAAGGAGAGAATGAAAATAAAATCACGTACAGATGTATTTTGTATCAAATATTTATTTATGTGAATTTTCTATAGTTATATTACAAACGACCTTTTTTATACATATTAATATTGGTTCCCATTAATATTCACAAAACCCTTGTGATGGTGAAGAAGACGTTGGGAAAGAATTCAACTCTAACCACCCCCATGTTCATTTTATCATAAAAAATAAACTCTCAAAAGAATCAACAGGATTCCTCTCTTTCTTATCCATCAATAAAATTCTATATCTCGCCATGACCCAAAAACACCAATAACACCAACCTCCATATGCAAAAAGTAAAAGCTGACTGAGAAACTTCAGATCTCTTTTTTGGCCGCATATGGTCATTTTTATCGCGTCTGGAAAACATGCAGCTAAGCGGGAACCTTTCTTGTGAGCCTGCTCTAAAAGTGTCTTTTCAATAATGCCATATTCATGAGAAAGCAATGGCGGGTAGATCCGACTTGATTTTGTCTCTAGTGCAAGTTGAAGAAACAACAATGGATGCGAGAAGAAACCAGCTCAAGAGTCAAGCCCAATGCAGCCTCCCCAAATGGACACCTTTTTTTGTACCGAAAGAAACCAGCAATTCTCCCCTAGAATACTGGCCATTATGTTCACCGCGTATTCAACTCTTATGTGGTGAACCCGGGATCCTGACTCCCATTCAAATGGCGACCTGGAAACATCTGATCTTTGATTGGAGATAATGATCGCTCGAGATGTGATGGGTTTTCAGAACACCGGGCCCACGTGGCTACCTGGAGATAGTAGAGCGCTTCAAGGCTTCTATTAACTCCGGACGACCGTTCAAAGCCGACTCTGCTTCTTTAAACGTAGCCCATTGCCGATTGCGCTTATGTTTTTCCGGCCATTCCTCGTGTTCCGTGGTGACAGTGACTTCGAAGAATTGGTAGAGAGCCTTGGGAGCATCTTTCGACATTTGTTTTGGGGTTCTGGTTTCCTCAATGGTGCCCAAATCGTAGTCGATCTTGCATGAGATTCCGGCCTCTTCCCAAGCCTCACGTTGTGCAGCATCCATGCAACTTTCGTCCGTCTCCCAGCCGCCTTTTGGCATGACCCATCCGGATCGTCGAGTAGATTGAATTAAAAGGACATGTGTTTTGGCGGAATTTAAAGGAACGACACCGGCGACAAGTCTTTCTCCGTCATCACTGTAGCCTGTGTTGAGACATCTGTTAGTTGAGGGTCTTGAGGGGTGTGTCCCTTCTGGGCCAGGTACCGTGCGAAAGTTCAATGGGTTTGTACTTACGTTGTTTGGCTCTTCCGACTCGCGACTCCATAGGACGGTTGGTCATGATGCCGCAGTGCTGCACCAGCGCTGGTGCGTCTTGCGCGAGGTTTGGGTGTCGCACAATGAAAGTGTTTGTCGAAAGAAGTTCTTTGTTGGAGGGTCGACTCGCAAAAATATGTTTAGCTGGGTCGGGGGAGAGGTTCAAAGCTCCGTCATTTGGTGGGGTGAGAACGTGGTTCGGACGGTGAATTCTGCGAAGGCTTTCTGAATTGGCGTTACGAATCTGGAGCCGGCGCATTCGCTAACTATGAAATCGGTCCAGTTGAGATGTGATCAAACTGGTGACTTTGAATTATTTTGAGGATGGCCAAGTTGGGGCAGCCGCGTGGAAGTGAAGAGGGTTTTGTTGCTGAAGCTGCTGTGGACGCGAGCGCGAGCCGAGAATAATTCGAGGCAATTCCGGCAGGGCTAGAATCTAGGTAGACGTACCTAGGTAGCCTTCGACCAACAAAAACCTTGAAAGATGGTGTTGATTAGTCGGACGGTTGGGCGTCGGTTGTCTCGTGCTCTTCTTCTCTTCTTCAGCCTTTCTCGTGAGGTGAGGGCCGGCAATGGAACATGCGAAGTAGATGTACTTTTTGCGTTCTGACGTCTGAAGACCTGACCATGCCCTTAAAGGGTGGTCGCTACGCCAATGGTTTGATTGAATTGGTCTTCTTTGTAAACGGAACTGGGGCAAGTGTGGGAGTGGCCATGGACGGCTTGAGTGGCTGTCTGCGAAGAGCCACGCCGCCCACGCTGGCACCCCGTTTTGACTACTCGAGGGCTGTTGAAGTGCCAGGAGCAGGTCCGAAAGCAGAGCCTTGTGGAAGATTTTCTCTGGAATCGGAGACGAAGCGCGTGCCAGGGTGAAAGTTACCTTGAAGCTCTCCTAGGAAACACCAGAGAACGGAGTACGAGGAGCTGCATTGCATTGCAGTGTGCAGGTCATCACAATGTGGTGGGGGTGTTGCTTTTTCCTGCCATCCTCCCTCGACCACTTTTTGATACTGGCTCTTACTACTGGACTGCCACGCCTGGATGGATGAGATACGTACAACCGTGGGTTGCCAATTATCTCGTTACACGCCCAGTCATCCGGATTATGACTCGTTGACTTGGGAATAAATGATTGCCGCAGTTAGCCCAGAAGAGTTGATATCCCATGAAGTTGTGCTCCAGCCAACCGTGGCCCCAGACTTTCTCCATGCAAACGCTACTAGCTATTTTGATAGCAAAACATCCCACTCCCACACTCCTGGGCAGTTCCCATATAATACCGGCACATGGTGGAGAATAAAGTCTTCGACATCCATGAAGCTCAGGTGATTGTCATCTTCATACTAGCTTTGGTCTTTCGAACATCAGCCGTCTCTTCTTGTTGCGTGGTAGTTCCGGCCTTCACCGTTTGCCAATCGTCTGGGCTCCTCGCTTCACTTGACCTTCTCCCCTCCTCTCGGAGTCTCTCCTACGTCCGCACCTTGCACATACAACAATACAATAGCTCATTATCTCAACATATCAACGGGGCGTAAGGCCTTGGATCGTCCTGTCAACTATATCTACTACAACAAATCTGCTGTAATTATTACAGATATCCATCACGAATCCGCCCGCAACGGGCCTAGGCTGGAGGGACCTCACGCCTAGCCTCGCACTTGTACACCGGTACACTACACTACTCTTGATCAGATCGAGCATCGTGAGATTCTGCTAGACTGCAACTATTGCTCCTCCCACGGATCCGTTAATTCGTCCAGCTGTGGTGTAAGCCTTGGCATTTTGGGCAAACCTCTCGCATCACCAATTCCACAGTCCACTCCACTTCCACCAAGCAAACCGCAACCCCTCCTTCATTGCTCCGACATGTCGACCCCTGGCTCTGAGTCTTCGATACTGACTCCGGTTGGTAAGATTCCCCTTTCCCCTTCTCTGCACCACCTTGATCCATATGCCAATCGATTAGCCCCGTGTTGGAATTGTTCGACGACGTTAATTTAAACCTTTTGTCGAAGCTATTGACATGAATGTCGTGGCACTCGATTTCAGGAGAGGATACAAAAGCTTTCTGATCCTCTGCATATGCGAGCCGATCTCAATGCTTCATCCCACTCTCATTTTCGATTCTGGTCACTCTGGAGTTGCTCTGTGACGTTCTGAGTTACCATTTTGGTAAACCACCTTGGTGACCCCGCACTAGTACTCTATTCTTATAACCAACACGCTAGCATTATACTTACGCCGTGGCATTGACTCATTGTTGTGACTGAATAGATATAATGGCTGACCTGTGCCTACAGGATATCAGAATAACAGTTGTGGTTATTGTGGCAGTAAAACGGAAAGTCAGTCTCGAAAACGTAATTTTTTCATACTTCTTCCTAAGGAAATCTCACGATTTGTCAAAATTCTCAACAGAATTACTTCTCGGTCATAAGCATGACTATAAAATCTCTCTTTCAATACTGATCTTACCTATTTCATCTTTATTTACTTTTTGGCTCCGCAGGTTTTTCATATTATGCACAAACGACTTCGTTAAGCGCAGTGACATACCAACGTCTTCTCGATCGCGGGTGGAGAAGATCTGGGAAGCTCATCTACAAACCCGACCAAAGAGCATCATGCTGTCCACACTACACCATCCGACTAGACTCGGAGGCCTGTCGCCCAACTAGAGACCAACGACAAACGGTAAACCGGTTCAATAAGTTTATCCTCGGAGACTCTTATATCAAAGATGCCGCAAAGCTGTACCCACTGTCACGCGAGCAAGCCAAGAAACGTAATACCGATTTTGACGTGGTGGAACGGGTTCACGAGAGCGAGAAGAAGCTTCTGAAATCCCCTCCGGATCCTGCTCATTCCCTCGAGGTGACATTGGAACCAAACGACTACACGGACGAAAAGTTCAAGCTATTCGCAAACTACCAACGCGTCGTCCACCACGAACCACCTCACAAGATCAACAAAACCTCGTTCAAAAACTTCCTTTGCACATCGCCCATCCCGGCAAGTACAGCGACATTTGATGGCCGAGAACGGAAGTTGGGTTCATATCATCAGTGTTATAGAATCGATGGAAAGCTGGTTGCCGTGGGCGTACTGGATCTGCTACCACAATGTGTGAGCGCGGTTTATTTCATGTACCATGAAGAGGTACACCGCCATGGCTTTGGAAAGCTGGCTGCGATCAGAGAAATCGCGCTGGCGAAGGAGGAGGGGTATCCGTGGTGGTACGCGGGATTTTACATTCATAGGTAAGTCGGTTGGCTGCATACGCTTTGGAAGCACGAATCTGTTATGTTTCAGCAATGTTGTACAACAGATCTACCTATAGATGTCTAGTGTCACCCAAGTCGTGGATGGAAAATTGCTAATACCGACATAGCTGCGCAAAAATGAAATACAAAGCCGATTACACCCCTCAATACCTCCTCGACCCCGAATCATACACATGGAATCTCCTCGACGACACCCTAAAATCTCATCTCGACACCTCAAAATACTTCAGCTTATCCGCCCATTCCCATTCCCAACCTCAATCCAACCCAACACCGACCACCACCCCCTCCTCTTCCTCATTACCCACAAGCTCTCCCCCCTCCTCCCATCCCCTCTCCCCTCCCCCGCCATCTCATCCCTCCCAATCTTCCTCCGTCCAACTCCCATCCCAGGCCTCCTCACCCTCGCCGAACTCCAGTCCGCCAACCTCTCAGCCATAAAACTTCAAAACCGAAACCAGCTCTTCGAATGCTCGGACCTGTTGAACTGGGAGGAAAGTGATATCGCGGATCCGAGCAGTATCAAGGGGATTATCGCGGAGCTAGTGAGTGCGGTGGGGGTTGAGGTGGCAGAGGGGATGGTTGTGAAATTTGGGTAGTGGGAAGTCTCTTCACCCTCCGCCATTAAAGTCCAAATTGGGATTAATTTGAGTGTGTTGATCTATCGAATTGGAGAGTAGGAAGGAGAGTGAAGATTTGTTGAGGAAGTGTTGGAATTCCCTAGTTAGGAAAAAAGATAGACGACTATAAAAATTGGGAAAGAACAGAAATCGGGTTCCTAGACATCCCTCCTAGCTTCAAGATATACCCCTCCACTCAGGCCTCTAAAACATGTTTCGAGCCCCGAGGACGTACTCTCACTCAGACCCGTTGGTATTTTCAGATTTCCTTTGTCAGGTAAAATATAGAAATCATCTCCGCTTAGCCAAATACAACACTTCTCCCATACCAACTCTCTACTGCAAAGCAAAAATCACTGTTTACACGGCATTCGTGGAAAGGTACACCTAGGATGTGCGGATCCTATGAGGGAGTGCTATATTCGTTTTTCTCGCTAGCCAGACGAAAAGAACTGCAAAACTAGAAAACAAACGATGCATATCCTACAAACACAATACCTCACCAGTAGATAACCCAGTTCTCAGCGCAGGCTTAATCCACAATGAGCTTCTAACAACAAAGGAAAATCTACATAAATCACCCAAGTACAATTGTATTTCTGCGTTATAGCATAAGTCTTGGTTGTCCGGACTTGTGAGATTTGGATCTCGTGTTGAATTTACAGAATTCTTGTGAAAAGTAATATAGATATTAGAAGTTTTAGGCGAAAAGAGAAATTATGGCACTCGCTGATGTATTTCTCTCGGGGTGGATGCTTCTAATTATCTGAACAGTAACTTGAAAAGAGCTCGGTTCGCGAATCGCGAACTGTAGCGTTTATATCAATTGCCACCAAGGGAATAGTTTTTATTCCACAGACCCCAAACCGTGCTCCTTAATTCCCTACCCCTCTGACCTCTACCAGAAACAATCACTTTGCTATTCACTCGCCCTGTTCAACGTTTTATCAATCAACCAACCACGAGAACAGCACACACTTCAGAACCCTTCAAATATTATTTTGTCTTCTATTAACGCAACATCACGCACGCATCTGTACACAAGAACCGGGTATATCGCTCAAACATCAAGCACTCTTCGCAACCTCCATGACCTCCGGGCGAACCTTCGACAATATAGCAAGAACTTCGTTCCAGACTTGTTTTTGCATCTTCTCTCCTTCGGGACTGAATATGACTTCTGCTACCATCCTAAAAGCAAAGTGTCAGCACATGTAACCCAAAAATTCATCAAGGGGGCGGTAATTGAAAGGGAAAAAATATGTAAGGGGACACACTTCCTATACTCCTCATCACTCTGCGTATCCGTAACATACAACCCATTCTCCTCGCTCAACGCGGCTTTAATCACCGTCCTCGCGCCTCCTTCGGCGGTTTTGCAGCATAAGGTCATGAAGATATCTGCAACGAGACCGATTGCTGCGTTGGTTTTGTGGTGGCGGGCAAGGTTGGATTTTACCATTCCTAGTTTCGTCAACATCTCCTCCAGTAATGGATTTGCCCCAAAGAAAACTGATATATGTTTGGGGACTTACCAGGACACAACGGATTAACAACCACCTTCCCCTCCGCCAACGCCGCCACCTCACGCACACAGTACTGTAGTAAGAGTTTACTGATATAATAAATATCGACCTTCCCCGTCGGGAAATTCTCTGGCTTGGAATAGAAACCTAAGACGTCTGTTTGCGGCAGCGTAGAAAGAGGGACTTCGCGATGAACACCGGATGATACAACGCACAAATGACCTGTTCCGTTCGAGACTTTCTTGAGCCACGGTAGGAGCAGGAGAGCGAGTAAGGTGGTGCCAAGCACGTTTACTTGAATTCCCATCTCAAACCCCTCTGTGCTTGCTTCGAATTTAGTCATGTAACAGCCCGCGTTCAAAACTATGATGTCCAGTTTCTCCTCATCTTTGACCAGTGCTTCGGCGAATGCTGCGCTGCTAGAGAGGGTTGATTGGTCTAATTCGCGGATTTTGACGATGTTTGAAGTACCGGTTTGTTTTTCGATCTCAAGCTTTGCTGCTGAAGCGCTGGCGAGTGTACGGCCGGTTATTGTTACGGATGGGGCGCCGAGGTTTATGAAGTGGACTGCAGAGGCCAGTCCGAGTCCTGAGGTGCCGCCTGTGATGAGGATGTGTTTGTTTGTGAAGGAGCCGGAGGGCGGAAGAGGGGGAAGAGCGAATTTGTTGCGGTAGATTTCGGCCATTGTGAGAGTTTTGGATGGTGGTGTGAGAGAGAAACGTGTTTCTCGATAGATAGAGAGGAAGGTAGAAGAGAAAAGAAGATGGAGAAGAGAGAGAATTGGTGTCACAGAAACTCAAAGGTGAATCCGAAGCTAAAGTCCCTTCCCAAACCTACCTAGGTACAAACCAAGGGTCCCTCCTACCTCATGTACTCCCCGTATCTTCGTACCACCCCTCCCCAAAACCCATTGCTATCTCTCATCCCCATCCAACCCCCAGTAACACAAGATCGCAACCACCTCCCTGATAGGCCAGTTCGGGAATAAACATTTCCCACGGCTAAAATGGGCGGTCGAGATCTTGGTACTCGTACCTGCTGATGGTAAGGGACTTGTGATTGGGGGAGGAATCAAAAGGGGAGGCATGAGGGATAAGAGTGGAGTGAAGCAAGCGAGGAAGGAGGCAGGTGAAAGGCGTCTGGGCGAGATGAGGCGATTGCAGGGGGCGTTTTAGGCGTTAAGCCTTGCGCTAAAGGCGGGAAGGCCCGCTGAAAATTTGGGGAGTGATGAGGGGAGCTTGGATGCTGATGTTGAGCTGTATGAAGCATCTTTGCGACTTTCCACTTTACCACAACTGTACCTTCTCACACTACTACCTTACCTGAATATCGAAATCTAAGACACAGCTTGGGCTCACTCAACCCATGGCTCCCTCAGCCCTCCAACAAATCCTCCTCTCCCCCGCCGAACTATCCTACCTCCACACCTCCCTCTCATACACCCCTCCAATCCGTCCCGACGGCCGCACCTCAACCCAATTCCGCCCCTTAATAGCAGAATGTGACATCCTCCCGGGAACAAACGGTAGCGCGCGCATATGTTTCGCAGACGGCACCGAAGCAATCGTAGGAATCAAAGCAGAGGTCGAGAAATCGCGTCCTACATTCCGGGAAGACGAAGATGAGGGGAAGAAAGGCAGGAATGAGTGGGTGGAAATAAGTGTAGAGATTCCGGGGTTTAGAGATGATGATTCGATGCCTGTGTTTTTGGGAGCGATGTTGAGTGAGGCGTTGCTTGCGGATGGGAGTTTTGTCGAGAGGCTGTGGATTAATCGGAGGTTTCACTGGAAGATTTATTTAGATGTAAGTCTCTGAGTCTTCGTGACATGATTTTTGCTAATAGACATAGATTCTACTCCTTTCACAGCCACTATCATACCCATTACCACTCCTCTCACTAACCACCCACCTCGCCCTCCTCTCCACCCGTCTCCCCGCCCTAAAATCAGAACAAGACGAAGACCCCCTCTTCAACGACGACTGGGACGCGGCCGTCTACCTCTTCCCGCGCGAATCAGACATCGCCCGTCCACCTATCACTCTCCTCGTCATGGCCGTGGGATCCAACATTATTTTCGACCCTTCCAAAGAAGAACTCGCAGTCGCGGAATCCGTCCTCGCTGTGTCAGTAGCTGAACGTCCGACCGACGATGAAAGCAGGAGTTTGAAGTTGTTGGCTGTAAGAACGATTGACCCGCCGAGTCGACTTACGCAGCCTGGCGTCGCGAACGAGGTTAATACTGCGACGGGCGGGACGGCAGTGGGGAGTGTGGGGGAGCGCGTGTTGAAAAGGGAGATCAAAGGGGAGAAGGGGGTTTGGCAGCCGCCGAGGGGAGGGGCGAAGAGGGTACTTGTTAGGGAGATGATTAGACGGGTGCTGGAGCCGGGAGGCGTGGCTGATGAGGTGTTGGAGGGGTTGGAGGGTGTGGAGCTGGGCTGATTATGCTGTGAGACTGGGAAAAGATGTAGGTGGGAGGAATGTGGTGTTATACCCGTAGATGAGGAGATTAAAAATGTGTTAGTAATAGTGTCTGTAAGATATATCTTTACATTATCCGCTAAAAAAAGCCTTCCATCTCTCACATCAACCAGTTCACAAAAGCACTACTTCTCCATCCTCCCATCTTCTAAAACCCTTTATTTTGTACAAATCTTCACCAAGACAATAGCCCCCTACGGAAATTTCAAACCATACCCAATCCCACATAAAAACTTATTGAGGGCTGGTACTTTGTATTCAACATCAAAACACGCGGAGAATCCTTGTCTCACTGGGATGACTGACTTTGTTTTGGAATATAGCTGTATTAAGGGAGGATTATTTGATACTGGTAGTTGATGTATAGGTAGCGTTAGTTATTCAACACAGTTGATCCCAAATCTTTTTGAAAGATTTAGTTTAGATGTGTAGGGAGTGGAATCGGCAGTGAAAATCCTTTCGGCGACAACTAACCCCCTCACCCACAAATCTCCCTAGAAACAGTCATATTGTGCCTTCCTAACTTTCTACTAAAGAGCTTGCATTTCCTTAGCGAATAGGAAAAGGAGGAGTATTATTGCTTGGAAGATGAGATGCGGAGGCCACCGGATGGTCATTCCACAGTGATTGCACCTGTGTTTATGGTTATGTTGAAGGGCCGGGGGTCTTTATATATTGAGGGATCAGGGATTTTGGGGGAGGAGATCGTGGTGGGTTTTGAGGGGGGATGGGGGTTTGAGATTTGATGGGTAAGGATGATTTGATGGGTGGGGGTGATTTGATGGAGATGGGCAATGTTGTAGGAGATGGTCTGTTGTGAGTGTAGTACTGTGGTTTAACTGAATAAACCAAACTCATCAACTCTCCCTAGCCCACTAAAACCCTATTACATCCCAAAATCCCCGGTAACAACCCTTTAAAACACCACCTCCATCCCTCCATAACCTCACACCTCAAACCCATGGTGTCTGGCGGGTGGCGACGTTGCGGGAACCAGAAGAAATATGTTGTGTTAGAGAACACTGCTTTGACCCGAATCGCCGTGGAGAAAACTATCGTTTAATTTATCATTATCAATACAAAGTAACTGTACCCTCCCTACCATTTGTCACTCATACACTCTCAGCTATCATCTTCAGTCATACGTGTTCGCTTTCTTGGTGAGAGGGATCTCAATCGATGTTTTAACCTCCCAACGGATTCGTAAAGCCGACCTCGTAAAGTCTTGATCTCTGGTTGATCAAGAATTTCCTGACCAAGGGGTGAGCGAGCGAGCCGTCTTGCTTCTTTCAATTTACCTAAGCATTCGTTAAAGAGAACGTGCAATAAGAGGAGTAACTTACATTGTAACAAGCCCTCCAGCTTCTCACGTATTACGTCCATCGACATAGGGGTTTCAGCTAACCTACAAGCAAGATATTTCTTAGGCTTAGAATAACCTTGTCCTTTGTAGGGAAGTGGCTTGTTGAAAAGCCGCAGCCGGATTACCCATCCTTTAATAGTGTTATATCGCTTCAACATATTTGCCGATGCTACTGAACCCTTGCTTTCGTCGATCAGGTGGGCATGTTCCCAATGGGCATCGTTGAAGTCCCACGTCCTTCGATTTTCAGGGAAACCTATGCCCAGGAGCTGGCAGTAAATCCCAGCTAAACTTATCTGACCTTGCCTATGGTCTAGAGCCTCGTTCAACTCATATAGCTCTTGGAAGTCTAGAATTTTGCCGGACAGTAGACTATTACACCGTGCATGGCACAAAGTATTGCCACCTGCATTATCCCGGCCGGGATTTGAAGACATATATCTGGCAGCCTTCCTCTAACGATGCTCTGTAGAGCGAGAGGGGACCTAGACATTATTGAGCCAGAATAAGGACCCATAGGCGGGTATACAATCTTAGTTAAGGAAGCTTCTGGTAGTCTTTCCCATCTCTCTCGGTAGTTTAAAAGGGGAAGTCCTGTTCTCTTGCCCCAAGCCTGCTCCCAAAGATCATCCTGTTCCGCGAAAGAAAAGCCATGATCCTTCCAGAGGTCACCGAACCGTTTCTCACATTCCGTAATAATATTGGATGTCAAACCAGCCATAGTATCAGAAAGGTTGACCCCACAGTCTTCTTCTGAGATCATGGAAAGTTTTCCATTATCAGATGCCGTATAAATTGCTTCAAGGAGGCATGTCGCAAACACACTGCCTCCTGCTTGTCGCCCAGCGGTTTGGCTCACTGGCCAGGAAAGACTCTCATTCTCATTTCCCGCTGCCGTGATGATTGTTAAATTGAGAGCCGGTTTAGTATCGAAATGGTTGGACAGATTGGGATGGATTACCCAGCCCCCAGAATAGCAAGAGGTTGACAGTAGAGTTGTCTGGACCTTTGGGTTCAGCACTGATGCTAGCATCGACTTGTTCAACTTGTAGTGGCCATTTTCCTCACAACCTATGGAGATACCAGAAGTATCCTCTTCTCCGTGGCCAAATATTAACACAAGGACTGGGACACCTAACTTGTCCGCTTCTCCAATTTCCGATTTAAGGGTTGCAAGAAATCTCTCCAGAAGATCTTTTGGCTTCAAAACTCGGAATCCAGCTTCCATCTCATTATCTGGGAGCAATTTTGCGTCCATAACAATCCTTCGATCACCAGGAACTCCACTTGCGGGTCCGTGTAGGTATCGCCCGTGTTTGTTGATGAGGTCGGCAGGAGAACAGCTCGAAAGCCAAAGCTGGTTAGATAACTCCGCTACACTAGTGTCAGTATAACTTTGTATCTGTTAAAGGAATGACAGAAGTGGAAACCCTCGTTCCCTTACTTACGTCGCGAGCGAAGCATTTGATAGAATGAAAAGAAATCAGAGAAAAACCATCCATCTCGATCTGGAGCGGCCATAGATTCAGGTATCCCGCATACCGCAATGACTCTCGTCCCTTTTTGAATATCTGGAGGACATTGCGCGGTAAATTCGATACCCTCGATCCCTCCATATGGTCCCGGTTGTCTTCCATAACCTCCGCAACTTGAGGGCTGTACCTTAGTTATGTGACTGGAAGCCATTTTGAACCTTTTCAGTAGAAGAATTCTGGAAAAAGAATCGTGTCGTGGGACTGAACGGGAATGAAAGAATTGCTTAGACTTCGGGATGCTGCGAACAAGAAAGAAAGATGGTGGTCCTTGATTTATGGTCTTCCTTGGTGGGTCCCGACTAATTGTTGAGTAGCGCTGTGATTCACATCATAACTTCGCTTCATGTAACTTGGCTTCTTGCTAAGACCGGGTTGTGATGTAAGGTACCCGTAACTCTCCACATGTACTAACCAGTAACCAAACTAATCACTAGGTTAGGTAAACGACTACCGTCATTATAGATCGCAACAGAAGTGGCGGCTTTTCAAACATTAGCAGTAGGTACGTAGCTTGGGTAACTCCCTATACGAAAGTTAAAGACTTATGCCGATCTATATACTAGAAATAATAATCAGGGACCTAAGAAAAGAAACTAGTAACTACTTAGATTAAGCTAATAGGCCATGTCTCGTAAGAGAAGTTATAGAGGTAATACGAGTTATAGAGGCTTAGAGAGTAGAAGAAGCGTTTAAAAAGTTGTATATTAGGTAGAAGGTAGGAGATAGGTTTTTTCGAAGGAGAGTAGAGCCAAATAGTACTTAAATTAATTGTAGTTTATTGCCCGGTTTCTAACAAGAAGATCTTCTAAAATCAAATTTATTTTGGGTATTTTAGACTATTATTCTCTTTTTCACTCTCTTTAGTTTCTTGCTTCCTAGAATTATCTATTACTAATCACTATTTTCAAGTTATGTTGTTAGTCTAGAATACCGATAAGTTCGAGTATTTTATCCTTATATTTTGAAAATATAGCAATATAAACTAATAAGTTCAAAAAACAATAATTTCTAGAGTTCTACCTCGTAATAACATTCTTTCGAAAAGGGGTAAACAGAAGAACAAAAAACCGCGAATTGGCAAGAAAGACTAAACTATAGTTATCAGCGGTGATGACTTCGATGAGTTACTTGCGCGTATACCGGCGATCAAAGATTTTACCGTCAGCTCAGTTATTCAAGATACGATGTCAGATTGCGTAGTAATACTTCCCTGTTTTAGACGCTTCTGGAAAATAAAATGTGTAATTAAGCGAGGGACTAATTCGGTAGTGAGGTATGATTCGGTGACAGAGTTTTCATCATTCAACGAGTGTTTATCAGTGATCTTCCTGTATAAATAATTTGATCTCCTAGGAAACACCAATAGCCAAGTTAAGAATTCTTCCAAACTACACATTAATGACTTTATCCTCATTCATAATGGAGTATGTGATTCTGGATCGAAATCAGGTGCAATGCTCCCCGAGTGACGAAACATGATAATAACGCGGCAATCACCGAATCTTTGGAAGGGGGAAGAGAGATTGAAATGTTTTTTAAGTACTTGCGGTCAGCGGCAGTGGTGTTTTGAAAATAAAACACATAATAAAGTTACTGGAAGACATCGAGATAATGTTGAGCTTTTTGGCGACTGGATATTTGATAAGTGACTGATACATAAAGGCAAAGCCCTAGCTTTTGTACTGAGGACAATCTGAACACATTTTTGGTCATCGGTGTTGAACCTATTTAATCAAGCTGGAGGGTGATCTTTCAAAGTGATACTGCGAAAGGTCAATGTGGTTCTGAGGAGTTTACTGGGTCTTTTTGGTACCAGTTTTAGATAAGCCTAATAGTAAGTAAAACATTATCATTGAACTCATCACTACATGAACCATACCATCAAGAAACATTAACTTCCATGAACCTTTCAAGAACTCACTACCGACTGGCTCCCTACCCTGGTATAAACGCTGCCTTGGAATCACCTGCGAAAAGTGCATGCATTCCCGAATTCCTAAACCTCTCAATCCCCAACCAAACCCCTTTATGCTCCCCCACTCATCACCACGCCTTCACCCTTCTCACTTTTCTCACTCTTCTTATCACTCCCTTTCTTCCTCATCCTACCCATCTTCTCACTCAAAAAAGAAGGCATAAACCTAATCGCCTTGCAAAGCGCTTTCACCTACGCCCAAAGATCAGTAACTCATTCCTACCCCACCAACTTCCATTTTTAAGCACTTACACCCTTTCCACCCTCCCTCCACGCCCTCGCCAAGTGCACCTTCGCAGCTCTCCCCTCTTCCCTCGCAACTCTCGCCTGTCTTCTCGTGCGATACTCTTTCTCTGCTCTTTGGGCTGTGATGTACGCGGATGAGGCGTCGCGTTTTAGGGTTCGTAAGTCGAGTCTACGATCATCAAATTAACACAGTTCAAATTTGACGAAAAGTGGAATTTACTCAGTTCCGCTTGTTCCAGGTCTTTTTGCTTCTGGCTTCGGAATGAATGGCAAGGGTTTGGTAGTTTGTTTCTCTGGAGCTGATCGCGTTGGCGCTCTTGAGGTTGAGGTCGATGTGCGTTGGCGTGTTGGTTTTGGCGGTGCAGTTGATGTTGTAGTTTGTGGACGGGTTGGCAGATTGGGTGGTGATGAGGTTGGTGTTGCTGTACCTGGTGGTGCGGGAACTGGAATTGATGGTTTGGCCATGTCGGATTGCTTCGTTTCTGGAGGTCCAATTCTTGGGTTATTTGAGACGGTCTCTTGTGTTTGTTTGTGACCAAAATAGTTTAAATACATAATTACGGAAAAGGTGAATCGATCAATAGGTAAGGAGAAGTGTAAGGACTCGTTCTTTCAGCAGTTTTCTCCGGAGGGATTATCTTGTCTTGGTTGTCCTCTTATCCCAAGTTGATGCTTTCGCAGTCCTCCAATTTGAAATGAGAAGTTCATGCTTTCGAACATTCCACAAACTCATCCTTGCACCGTTCTCGCACCCCGAATCTTAGGGTTCGAATATTTCCTTCTGGAAGTTAGCGATAGTATGCGGGGAAGTTAAAATTCATGACTCTTCGTAAGAAGGAGGAGTTCACGAATGCGCTGGCATTCGTAGTATCATTAGAAAATGCGTTTGATTGGTTGTTTCGGAAAAGCATGTAATATTCTGGACGAGAATGCATTGATGGGAAGGATAGGGGTAATTGTTGTTGCTAAGCGAGAGCGTTGGAAGGGGGATTATCCCAGAAGCGATTTCCTCGAAAGTAATAACACCATAAAGTATACCTTTCTCAGTTCCCATAAACAAGACTTTCTTCGATAGAGAACATGTTGAACCAATTTTCTCATCGAATGAGAGTGATTTTAAGTTCATAGACCTGTGATCTGTAGAATAGGTAAAATTACGAATTGCACTCGAATCGCTAGTAACTTGGACGAATTCGACAAACAAAATCTTCGAATGCCTGAATTCTATATACGGGTTTTCTTCTACACACTTATGTGAATGATTTTCTTCAAAGTTGTTGCTAGGTCTAGAAGAAAACCGAATTATCATTCGCTTTACTTTTCGCAAAACCTCGATTCGGTATTTTGATATTCCCATGTCGCCTTCTCTTCAAACAACACATGTATCGCCACTATAAAAGCATAGATACCATATACCACATACTTTCAAAACAAGCTGTCCGGTCAAGCCATCCAAGCAGACTTTTAGCAACTCTCCTAATTAACCCTGTCTCTTGAAGAAATATTTTTGTTGCGACAAGAACTCTAGACCTCTTGAAATCCCTCCCTTGTGTAAATCTTTAGCTAGAGGCTTTGAATATGCGTGATTCTCACTATATAGAAGATAGGGTTATTACTAAAAAGAAAGTTGTCACCGAAAACAATCTACCGAATTGATATAAGCGAGCTACTCGCTTTTTTTGTATCTGCCTTAATGATTTTTGTTTCCAACGTTCTCTTCCCGTATTAATAGGATTAAGCATTATACTACAAAATATAAACGTACGATCCAACCGTTATCTAAACCGGTACTTGAATTTCTAAACATAAGAAGGGGTGGGGGTTTATATTCTATTATTCTAGGAATTGTTAGCTTGAGTTTTACGTTGAATAGTTGCTATTAGGTACGAGAAATATTCTTATCGTATGTGACTTTTAAAAGCTTCGACATACTCCTACCTTTTAGAAGAGCGGAATTGAATAGGCTACCGGAGAATAAACAATCAATAACAAACTCTTCCGAAATTGAATTATATTTTATAAGCCCAATACCATATAGTAGTCCTCGTTTTTAAAACAATATAGTATCGTATTATCGAGCCTAATTAAAGTGGAAACAAATTAATAGTAATCTAATAGTCGACTATCTTCGAGTACGTCTAAGTGAAGTAACACTTTAAATACGGAGATAAACTTATTTCATCTTCTATTATTCTATTAATCCGACGATCTGATCTTCCACGCAACTAGTGCTGCATTTGACGTTATTCTTGAGGACACTCAAATAACAATCCCCGTCATACATTCAAAAATGTTCTCGCTAAATCAACAGGCTATACATCGTACTCTACTTTTATTGTCTTCCTTACATTTTCAGTTGTTGCTGCCGAAAAGTGAATCACTATCGAAGTTTGCGTATTTCAAAAACTCATTGATTCAAATCAATAAGTGACACAAAGCCAGGGAGTCTTTCCAATACTGTCTAATTTAGCAGCTTGCAGAAGTTTGAATCCTGTCTTTTTCCCCATTAGAAAGTGTACTCTGACTGCGAATTGCTGTGAGTACTTAATTTTACCACTCTAGAGTTCACATATTTTTATAAATTGACGCCTTCTAGAAAGCAATAGTGACTCCTTTTTTTTGGAAAGCTTCCGGGCCCTCGTTACTAGTGGATACACAGTTGAGCAAAAGGATTGCTGAGTTTCCGCAGTAAAATAATGAGTTTATCTTCTGTACTAAATTATATGTAAAGTTAGGTGTATGTATTCTAGTTCTATTATATAGCTTTAGTGGTTTTTCTTAGGGTATAGGAGGTGTAAATTGTAAGCGAGATATAATAGAATAGACAATGATTCATCTGTCTATTGGCCTAGAGAGATACCTATTAGGGTGGAGAGTAAGATAGTAAGTAGTAAAGTATTAGTTGTAAAATTTAATACTTAAGTAAGATATAAGGCTTTCTCTAAATACTAGAGTAAGATTAAAGTAAGATTAACTAAACCTCAAAATATCGAATTATTATTCCAAAACATCTTCTTTAATCTATAATGCTATATCCACGAATCTTACTTATTAATAAATATAACAATTACAATATTAATTTACAGCCGGCGATTCTACAATAATAACAGTCTCCCTCTCTACCTCGATCAAGAAACTTAGACGAGTTAGACCGAAGTCACATTCTTGATTACATTAAAGTCCATTTCCTTAGATAATCCTCTTTAAATACGAATGAACCTAATTGACGAACATAATAAGCAGTCGGCTACAAGCTGTTACGAAGCATGATTGGTTAGTTCGGTGGAAGGAATGTGTAAATCTGTTCTATATATTTACATGAGTCTAAATACGAATCCTCTTTTACTTTCAATATTTATGACCGAACCTACAAAGTAGTCTAGTTAATTTAGTTTGAGAGTAGTGTTTGCTGCCGGAAATCAAACTGTCACCGATTTCTATCTCACTGCTCTACAACTACCAGCACTACTACCAATTTACATGTAAATGATAGAACTGATAATAATTACCAGTTTTTCGGTTTATTAAAGACTACGAGGACAAAACGGGCCCGGAGGAAATCTCCAAGGGTAAAATTCGACTTCAAAGATTAGTGGATGTTGCTTCCGAAAAGACTCATTTCTCCTTCTTTTATAAACACAACATTACAGAAAAACAGTCAGACTTCCAATTCCCCGAATTCTAAAGAAAATATCAACTCACCCCTTCGTACCACCCTTACACCCACCAGTGTTACGCATTAGGTAACCAAGGTATATACCTAGAGCAATAAAAGGTTGGTACCCTACCTTTTAGGAGGAGCTCGGGTAAGGTACCCGGAAATATAAATCGGGTAGGTACCCGGGTTACCTGTATACAAAAGTACGCGCTAAGGGATTCCGGCTACCTTTTTAGGTCACGTTGTACCTAGAAAAATACTCCCGGGTAGGTACCAAGGTATACCTTACCTTTTGCGGAACACTGGCACCCACTCCATTCTCCTCTCTTCTCCACTCTCCCATCATTCCAACCATCAATCCACACTCAATAATCCTCACTCACCTTATAAAAGCATATTCCCACCTGTAAGTTATAGATCATCTTCTCAATATTCGGCTATCCCTCTCTCTAGGAAGCTGTCTTATTATCGTTGTTTATTGAGTTGTCGATTTAATAGTTGGTAGATAGTAAAATTGTGAAAAGAATCAGAAGAGGTAGTAGCAGAAAAGTGGTGAGAGATAAAGGCGGGGAAGAGTGTTGCTGCCGAATACTAAATTGCTGCCGAAATCATTTGCGTGTTATTAAGTGGTTGATGTTTAATCGATTGAAGCGTGTGTAAGCAGAGTAATTGTTATAAGTTATAGCATAAGAATTAAAGACCCAGGTTTGTATGTCTCTTCAAGGTGTCCGATCACATGGCGGGGTCTTGCTGTGTTCATGAATGGTAGCGACATCTACGTATGTTCTGAAGAAACATTTTCTTATTTTTATGCACCTCCTGTACAGATATTAGTAAACCTTTTCATCCTTGCTTCAAGACGACTTCCCAGCCCCTTCCCATTATCCTCACACACATTCACTTTACTCACTCCCCTCCGCCTATCACTCTCCCTCTCACATCCAAAACCCATTCTCAGAACCTCTGCCACATGACCATAAAATCACACTCCCAAGCTTAACTTCAAATCTCAAGATGGACATTGAAATTTCCACTGATGGTTTCTGGCAAGTTGTATCTATTTACAAATCTTTCGTGGTCACGACCAGACAATCAGGACATGATAGATTTTGAAAAGGAAAGGAGACGGGGAAAGTGAATAATAGTTAGTAAGAGGTGAAAACGGGATAAAGAGGAGTGTCGCTGCCGAAACTTATCTCACCACCGAAAAGGTCGTCACGTCTTGAATATCTTCAAGCTTTGCGCATGGAATGAAAAAATGTTTACATCCGTGTAGTGATTTCCGACAGAGTGACGGCACGGAACATGAAATTGCTTGGATGTGTTCCATCCAAGGTTCCTCAACAATCAACCGAGCCAACGAAACCCGTATTTTAGTCTATTTAAGTCTTACGCAACTTCAGTCTTTATATACATCGCCCTCCCAGCCTACTAGGCCAGGCGTGCAATCTCTCCATGATTTTAACAATAAAAGGTTCTTTGGCCTTTCCCTATCGCGTGAGAAAAGTATACTTGGTAAGTTGCTAGTAAGTATAAGTTTGTCACATGCAACCTTTCAAATAACAACATTTATATATGTAAATTCATCAGATCTAATCCCGTTCCCCCCAGTCTTATATACACCTTCTTTCCCCTTTCACGCAGTAACATAAATCCCCCTCCTAATCCCCTGCACAACCCTCCAATCCACACCCACCCACTCCCTCAGTCCCTTTCCCAGTCCCGTCTCAAGCACCAACGCCGCCACCAAATTCCCAAACACGCGACTCCCCATATCATTCAAATGCGTAAAATCGGTCGGCTCAAGATTATACGTCGTAGCTTTCGCCAGCCCAATCGCGTTCAAGTAATTCATGCTCGCGAGATTGAGGTCCACGTATGTGACGTCGAGGGATTTAGCGACGGCGATGGTGGCGAGGCGTTCGTTCTCGAGGTTGCGGGTTACGAGGCCGGAGGCGTTGAAGTTGCGGCGGGAGAGGGAGGTTACGAGGATGGGTGTTGCGTTTAGATCGAGGATTTGCTGGGCGAGTGAGCGTAGGTTGGTCGAGTACTGGGCGAGCGAGATGTTTGCGGCGGGTTTTTGGTCGTTGTGTCCGAACTAAACGGGTTAGTTCTAATTCCAATTTCGAATTAAAGAGGAGGATATACCGAGATAGTGACAAACGGCCTATACTTCCCTTCCGCCTCTCTCACGCCCTTTAACACATTCGCCCAATCCCCTCCAGCGACGAAACTCACTGTCGTCGCGCCGTTGTGTCCGTAGTTCGTGCCTTTGGCGCCGTTCTTGAGGGTGGAGAGGAAACCGGTGCCCCAGCCGCCGCCTTTGGAGGTGTTGGTGAGGGCTTGGATGGCGGTTGTAGAGTCGCCGGCGAGGAAGAAGGCGGGAGGTAGGAGATGGGTGTCGGTTCTTGAGGCGAAGGGGAGGAGGGAGGCGGTTGTTAGGGAGGAGAGAAAGATGAGGGGGGTGAGGATGTGCATTTTGAAGGGTTGGGTGGGTGATGGGGATTGAATGGCAAGCTTCTCAGTTCAATGATCAAAGATCTCAAAACCGGGGACGTCAAGCTCATATATCCTCTCCCTCCCCCACCATGCTCCCAAGACCTAAACAATCTAATTTTCCATCCATCGTCCCAAATGACGATTTACCCCTCGGATCGTTCCATTCATCCATGACTCTTCCCCTTGACCTCACACCCCCAATCCCCGAATCTTGCTTTCGAAGTCCCCACGCAGAACCAAACTCCCCTAATTCTCTATGCAGATGCAGGTCCAGTGTTGAAAGTTTTTCCACCTACAATATTCAAGACGAAGTACGGAGAATTTAAAGTTCTGGGTCGATGTGGTTCGCGGCAGTATGTCCCGAATCTATGGGGTTTGCGGGGAATGAACCTAGAACCAAGATCCCATTCTCGGCTAATTTGGTCTAGATGTCATTTGAAGACCTGCATGAATGTTATTATTTGAGATTTCATGTAAACGATTTGCATACGATATGCATACTTACGACTTGTATACCCACTTCGAAAAGCATGGAGTATTTGCTCTAGAATCAACTCTGGTTAAAGCCAGCAAGAGATCGCTTGTAGCTTCTAGTATCAACACTCTCAGTGCTCACCCCCAACTTCACAATTCAAGTCTCACTCAAAATGTAAACCACAAGAGTGACATTTTAGTATCATACAACCCTTTTCATTCATCTCTAATCTCTCCTACAGACACCTTCTCTCGCCTCCACTTCCCCAAAGGTTATTATGTACTCAATCGAAAAACTAAAAAAAGTGAAAAAAACACCCAAACCAAATGCATACAACTTTCAACGCTGATCAATTCGATTCAATACCCCAAGGGACCAATATCCAGTCCCCTCCCATTCCCAAGACAATAAAAAAAGTAGTAAGTCGGCGGCAAGGTCTCAATGGACCGTAGTAAGTTCCTCTTTCAAAACTTCGGTTCTCTCATGTGCAAATCAAAAAGCTTTATGTGAATTTCCCTTTCCTGGTTCCGCTTCTTTGTACAAGGAATACATCCAACCCAGTCACCTATCTCATCTCCCATGCAAAATAAAGTCAACTCTATTCCACGCGCTGCCGGTGCCACTATGTTTTTAATGAGGCTCGGTCATGAGAAGAATGCGTTGTAAAGCAGATAACACCAATCCCTAATCGTTGATTAAATTGATATTCTAACGACAAGAGAAAACGCCTATGAAGCCCTCTCATTAATGATCGTAACCAGCTCCACGTTGCCATGGACTATTAAAATTAGCTTTTGCCGTGACTACGTTAAGTGAACATCATACCTAGAATTGTTCTGGGCTCTGAATGCAGGGCCGTTGTTGCTTTGCGGTTGATAATTTTGTGACAGGCTCGCCGTCGAATGGTTATCTCTGTATGGAGCTGGAGAAGGCGAAACATTCGCTGATCTGTCTTGATAGTTTGGAGGCGAACCTCTTGTGCCCGCTGGGAACAGTGGCATCGAAGGGTCAATGGGTGAGTGAGGAGGTTCTCTGTAATTGTTGGCTCCGGAATTAGCCGTTGATGGTGGAAGTGGCATGTTGGCTGGGTGTCTCATCGAGTCTGATGACCAAGAATCATTGTCATCGTCTAGATCGAGGTTGTGCTTGTATCCTCCCTTGGTGTCCCCACGAGCAGTAACTCCTAGGGCATCAAGCTCAGTGTTGAGAGCTGTTTGCGACTTGATGAATGATGCACGGTCGTCACTCATTGGTTGATAACGAGTATCAGGGTTCTTGCGGATGAAGGCGTAAATAGTGGCGATCAAGACAAGGATAAGGAGAACCAGTGAGAAGGCGGCGTTGATGACGAAGAAGATGACACCCATGATACCAGTGACCATACCAGGTTGGTTGAAGATCTCGGTAAATACCAAAAGGAAGATGGTGTTCAAGAAGTTGATGGCGCAGATAGAGATGTTGAAGGTGTTTGTGCTCTTGTCCATCCATGGCCGAATAACACTCGCGCCAATCAGAGCAATTGCCTCAATAAGGAGAAGTGCAATAGCTTGAACGGTTCCATTTCCTTGACCAAAGGCAATGAACATTCCCTTAACAAGAATATAAACTAGAGTTGGAAGGATAAAGTAATAAGCGGTAGCCCTGAATTGAACATAGAGGAAACCCCATTTGTTGAGAGCTGCAGGGTCGGAGTAGAGGATATAAGCCGGGTTTTTGTGCATCTCGACGGATCTTTTGGCAAGTCGAATAACTTTCATGGCTGCCCATGCAAGTGTTCCGGTCATACCGAAGAAGAAAAAGATGGCAAGCACAACCTCAGCAGGAGAGTCGACCTGAGTAAACTCCCACAAGCAAAGGACGGTCATTTGTGGGTAACCAATGAGGACCATTCTGAACATGATGCCCTTGAGAACAGTGAACCATCCATTTCGGAAATCCTGGAACTTGTCGCTCTTCATCCACTTCATCTTGACAGCGAGTTCGCAGAAACCTTTGAACAGAGCTACGAATAAGATGGTGAAAACGATAAAGATACAAAAGAAAGCTAGACCAGTTAGGAAAATGTTGGTAGCTTCGATACCGGCTCTGAACGCAACACGCTTGATTCCTCGAACAATAGATGTTCCGGTTACAGTATCCGTTCCGGCGTTGTTGCTTCGAGTGTGAAGTTGGTGAGCACGTGTAAGAAGATTGATGGTTTGATCAACTGATCTCTTTGCGAATTGCATGCCGACGGATCGCTTTTCGACTCGTACGGAGGTTGTCGTCAGGGTATTGAAAAGGGTGTCTGGAGTTCCTCCTGTAGACTTTTGATACCAGGTTGCAATGTCTTGCATGAAATTAACCTCGATAATACCCATAGTCCAGTCGAAGTTCTGGGTCCAGGCTTGGACAATCGGAGGCATAGATACCGCAGTCATGCCAAACATGGCTTGAGCCTGGAAATAACCAAAGAGGGATAGAGCGTTTGCAGCAACGTGAGCAGCTGTGTTGGAGTGACCCAAACCAGAAGTAACGGCAGAAGCGACCAGTGCCAAACCCGCGATGACTGCAGTTGTCCATCCGACACCTTTTTGGTCGACAGTTTGACCGTTCGAAAGGTCAGCCTCCACACAGGCAAGACTGACCAACGGATTGGATGTTGCGTTGATGTGAATTTTGACGGTTGCGTCTAAATCAGGAACGCCATATGCGATACCTGGGATCTGGTTGATAATGTCCTGCTCGAGCTGAATATTGGATTTAATATCGATTTGTCCAGTTGCCATGGGGCACAATCCCGTCATATCCTCAATGGTACATGGATCAAAGGTCTTCTTGACCACGGACAGACCATATGCCGTGACTTCGATACCGAAGGAAACATTTCCTTGAATGGACGAGACACCGACAATATCGAAGGTGAAAGTTCTGTTATCAGGCGTAAAGATGACATCGAACAAGCTGGCTGTGAAACTCGAATTGCTCTGGCAAGAGTTGAGGGATTTAGATTCGATTAAACGGATGGCTGAAGCGCCGGATAGAAAGGTAAGGAGAGTTGTCAGGTAGACAAAAGGCGATAGTATGGACGACCGCATGATGGCGATTATATGTTGACGAAAGCCGTCGCGGCGGTGATGAACTCGTTGGTGGTGTTCTCGTCGTTTCCAAGCGACCGATCGCCTTCAAAGAGCTGTTGTTGGCCAAGTATTATCCCAAACACTGTCCTTCACAACAATCGCACGGAATGAAATGGGTTGATAGCGGATCTAACAGACTCGTTGGGATAGCATCTGCAAGATATCGTGATGGTGGTGATGAAGATTTACGAATCGTCTTGGTGTTCTGGAACGACAGGATTTCGAGTTCGCAGGAGAGGTGAGAAAGGTCCAGCTCACAAACGAGGGAATGCTGCGATGGCGGCGAGATGTCGAAATCGAATTCGCGTCGAGAACGAGAGATCGACGGCGAAGGGGGATGAGATGCTTATGGAGTTTGGCTGTCGTGGATTATGAACAAGACAGGGTGAAGGAGTTGACTTCGTAAGGTTGGAAATAAAGGGAGTTGCAGGTGAGCAGCAGCGAGGAGGCGGGAAGCCGGGAGGGTGCGAGATAGACTTTGGACGGGGTGAGCAGAGCAACGACTCCTGGCTGCTCCTGGCTAAGGCTGGCTTGGGGGGGAGTAAAAGCGGACAAGGCGACGTGTGCTTGTACGGTGGCCGGGTTTCTAAGAATGAATCCGAATGCTTGTGTGAATGTGATTGGGATGCTTTCATGTTTTATGGGGCTCATGGCTGGAAGAGGATTGCGTGGCTACGGCGGCCTTTATACCACACTTCAGCCGTAAACAATGATTCCGTTCTTGGAGTTTATCCACACTCGTATTGGTCTGACGCCGTCTTCAGCTTATTTTCAGCATCGCCTCATGCCGCGACGATTTTACCGGCCCGGCAACGACCATGTTTAGATGTCTGCATCTTTCAAGAGCTGAATTGTTTATTTGTCTATTATTGCGTACTCCTCGTCTTCGCCCGCTTTCCACAGCTGTGGTTGTCTCAATCGATGAGAGTACAGCATTCCTGCCAATGCTGTTTCTTTGACGGATTCATATCAAAACGACCCCTGGCCGCGAAGCACGATTCATAACGAGTACGAGACGAATACAATTTACAGAATACGGCAACACGTCGGAATTGCTTAAAGCCGTTTTGCTGCAAATAGACTCATCTCTCAAAATGCTCGTATATCTTTCGCCATTCTATGAATTTGCCTCAACTCTTCGCAGACTCAGGTGGGAAATGGCTAAGTCTTAGTCAGGTTGCTAGTAAACTTTTTCTTGTCTTATTCATCGCTAAATTACTACTAACAATTGGGGCAATTGCTTACCTTTTGCGGCGGCGATACGAAAACCGCATAGAGTGGTATTTCGTATTACGTCTTGGCTCAGGTACGCCAGATGTTGAATCAGCCCCTAGCAAATGCATGAAATCTTGTTCCTAACATCTCCAGATCTCGAATACATCATCATGACTCCAAATGCAAACAAATAGAGATGTTTGGAACATTGTGACGCTTCACCACAGCAATCTGATGTTTTGTTCAAACCGAAAACATCGTCTCAACTACTGGTGTTTGAAGTTCGTCGATACTGTAACAGGTTCCGTCTTGGACTGGGCGCGTGAAAATGATAATTTCCCTGAGAGGGCGCACCCCTCGTTTTCGGCAACCCAGAAAACACTTGCACAGCCCACCTCATCAGGTTGTTGTCTAGCAAACTGGCGTCCACTTTCTATCAAAATTATTCGTTGGCCTAATCCTCTGCATCCATCAGCCGTTTGAAAAGGACGTTCGACATGTAAGACACTGCCATGGCTCGTGGAATCGTGGCGGACCTGGACGTGATCAATCCCTATCCTTTTACAGCTTCAATCATATCCAGCGTCTATCTATTCGAAGATTGTACGAGTAATACATCCAACATCTGCCAACATCTTGACGAATTTACCGCCAAGTTGGCTACGGTCTTGGTCTAGGTCTTTGGCTCGGCGCTCTGTGGCCATTCATGTGTTCCCCGTTGCGGTTCAACGGCAGTCCGAGAAGTCAAAAGCACTTGAACACAACGCGCGGTTTGAGAACTCATGCCTTGTACAAGATACATGGCCGAGATCCTGCGGGTACTCATCATCGGAGGTGTCACTGTTTACCGGCGTTGGTGCTCAAACCGGGATCGACGTCTTCGAGGCATAAGGTGTATCAAAAGTCGCCTCAATTTCCTCACTGACGAGAGCTGCAGAACAAACGTATAATGTTTCTTCTCAGATCTGAAAAGCTTCTTTGTGGCACAGTTATATCTGCATATCTGGACAAACCAGTCAAATCCTTCGAGATGCAACGGTCGAGATGTTCTGTACATGATCTTCCGGGTGACCTGAACCTTATTTATTTTTAGATCAGTCACGATATGATGCTTTCTCACCTATATCAGATGAAACATTTCGTTGAGTATCCGAATAGAAGAGTTTGGATTTGTTTAAACCACCAGATGAGATTCTCCAGTCATTACCAACACTTTCAAATAGAATAATCGTAACAGGTAAGCAAATGTTACATTCCACAAAGTTGGGTTCGCTAGTCTGCTCGTGCTAAGCCTTTGAGGATGGTGATGCGACAGCAAAAATACATATGTAAAGATTATTAAATTGGCACTGGAGGAGAAGCGTTGATGAACTAAAATCTAGATTCGTAAAACAAGTATCAAACACCATTCTAGTATTGATTTCTATAATACCAATAATGACTTGTCAATTCATATTTTCAAATAGCTTCCATTTTCCTCGGACCAAGCGGCAAGAACCGGGCAACGCGACACTGTCAATTGACAACGATCAACACTAGCAAAACGTAAATAGCTTATTCATTCTCTGTGACAACACCTTTTTTATTGCAACGGCGCTTCTATTTCGTTGCCAGCAACCATAGTAGCCCAAATTGATGATCTTATGAACGAACTGGAGAGATTAAAATGCTCGACAAATTATAACGCTATCTCCGTTTTGGCTATCAGGTCTTTCGCTTCAAACAATCAAGTCAGGCACACAACATCATGTCTGGACTTCATACTCTCCCACGTCTGACGAGAAGCGTTAAATGCCGTCCTCAACTCTCCATACGACAAGCACGACCTTTCTCAGCATGCTCGCGGTGTCAAACAGATGGCGTCTACCAAGAGCTCACAGCCATGCGAACACGAATGCCCTTCATCGAAGCACTCAGAGCGCAACAGGATAACAAAGATGCATCCAATAAACCTGCAACACCAAATCCAGCATCTCGAGATTTAACCCCAAAAAGCATGGAAGACAGCTACGTTAAAGTCGTGAGTCACCTGACCGTCCTACTCTGTTCTTGACCTAACAAATCTCCAGATCTTACCGCTTGCACGAGACCCATGGCTTTTGGATCGCTATATCAGCGCGTCCGGTCATATTAGACTTGGAACGCTTTTCATGGATCTCGATGCTTTGGCTGGTGTGGTTGCTTATAAGCATACTGGGGATGCAGTCATGACTGTCACTGCTGCTGTGGATAGGATCACCCTTCAGAGACCTTTGAAAGAAATTTGTGATTTGGAATTGAGTGGACGGGTTACATTTGCTACGGGAAGAAGTAGTATGGAAGTCTCCCTCCAAGTCGCGAAAGCACCTGCGGAGGGTCAGGCAGCACAAGAAGATGATATCCTAATGACCTGCGCTTTCACCATGGTAATTTCCACTCATTCCCCTTACACCCCTTTTCTAACAGACCAAGGTATCACTCGACCCAACAACCAAAAAATCCGTCCCAATAAGCCCACTAAACCCCACAACACCAGAAGAAAAGAAACTCTTCGATCAAGGCCAAAAGAACTACAATCTAAAGAAAGCCGCTTCAAAACTCGCGCTAAGGAAACAGACGCCCAATGACGAAGAATCAGATCTCATCCACGCGTTATGGCTTCAGCAACTCGGATGGCATGATCCCAATACGCAACATCGGAAACCGGATAATGCGTTGAGTATGGCGAAGACGCAGATTCAGAGTGTACAGATTATGCAGCCGCAGTAGTAAGTCCTCCAATCTTACCGATAGACATTGTATATTGACAGAATATTAGTCGCAATCGACACAATTTCATGATCTTCGGCGGTTTCCTCCTAAAATCCACATTCGAACTCGCATTCACATGTGTAGCATCAATGTCCCATACCCGACCTACATTCATCGCGCTCGATCCGTCTACATTCGAGAATCCGGTCCCCGTGGGATCGGTGTTGTATCTCACTGCCACGGTTGCTTATACGGATAGTCCGTTGTTAGATGAGGGCGTCGTAGGCAGTGAGACTGGTAGAGCGCTGAGGGATCGGAAAGTTAGTGCGGAGGGGATGACGAGGGTTCAGGTTAGGGTTGATAGTAAGGTTAAGAGTGTCGAGCATGATGGGGAGACTAAGGGGACGGGAGTTTTCAGTAAGTAGTCTCTATTTTCTTAGCTATATTGTTGATTTTGTGTTGGTGTACTGATGAAAGTAGATTATACGTTTGAGGTAAAGAAGGATATCAAGGTTGTTCCGGAGACTTATGCGCAGATGATGATGTTTTTGGATGCGAGACGGAGGTGTATTCATTTAGATAATAAGTCGGATGTTGCTGGTGAGGGAGAGCAGGCTCAGGAGGGTTTGATGACTTGATTTTCGGTGGACATAACAATCAGTAAAGACTAGGTTTTGAATACTTGTTTACTAAAAGGGTGTTACAGAGCTTATTGGATGGAGAATTGCACTCTTGTAGCAGCTTGGTAGGCTCTCACTGAGCCATGCTGGAGGTTTGGAATTGAACCAACTACGTTACTGACCGCTTTAACACTGTTCTAGAGGATTTGTTTGGAGAAGCTTCTTAAAGCTCAATTATATCCTATGCGACCCAGTTGTAACTATGCTCCCAATATCTACAAGCCCTCATCTAAATATCACGAATGGGTATTGCCTCATCTACACAAGCTCATGAATATCACAAAATGCACCAACGCCACGCAATGCACCACCCAAAATTCAAGCCAACATAGCCGTTCTCTCCTCCTCTTGCTCCCTCTGTCTTACCTTCGCCCTCTCTTTACTAGGCAACTTACTCGTCGGTACCTCCGGCAGCACAGGCTGAACATCAGCCTCCACCCTCCCCACAACCTCCATCTCCAACGCCGCCAACTCATCTTCCACCTCATCCTCATCCTGATTCGAAATCTTCCCCCCAAGCATATCACTAACCTCCTACACCCACATTAGCCCTGTTTCACCCCACGCCCCCCCTAAAACTTACCTGCTGATAAGCAACCGCCTCCGCCGTCTCTCCCATCAACATCTCGACCCTATCCAACCCCCCCCATCTCCCGATGAATCTCCTTCAACACACTCGTTCCCTGTTCCAGTCCAAACACCACATCCTTCTGCACCAGCGCGAACTCCACGCTGCTCGTCAGCTGCTCCAGCTGCTCGAGCTGCTTATCCGTCTTCGCGAGCAGCGACTCCTGGTATTTCTTGCGGCGGAGCGCGAGGAGCGCGCGTTTCTTGTCGCCCGCGGCGAGCATTTGGCGGGCGATGGACGTTTCGCGGTCCGTGAGGACGGTGATACGACGTTGGTATTGGTGGAGTTTGTCGCGCTGGTTTTTCATGTCGAGGATTGCTCTGCAATGAAGGTGTTAGTGAGGGTTCCTAGGGACGGGGTTTGGCTGCTGCTGGTGTAGTTGAGGGCAGGGAAATTTGGAGGGCAGGAAACGCACTTATCCTGCGCAGATATCTTGTGCGTGCTACTGTTGTTGCCCATTGTGAATACAGCTGGGTGTTCTCTACTGGGTGATAGAGCATGCTGTCGCAGCACTTAAGGGTGCTGGAGGGGCTTCGTCATTGAAGGTGCTCGTGTGAGGTAGACATGGGTTCGGCTCGGCGATTGCGTTCGATAAGCGGTAAATTAATGTTCCGGACAGGGTCTTGATGGACAATTTTTTGGAATCGCGGGACAAATTATGGTGAAAGGGATTTGGTAATTCTGGAAATGATGGTAAATCGAGGTCCCAGACCGACTTTGACGCAGGCGCTGGATAAAGAGGTGAGCAAGTGCACAAAGATTGCTTTTTCATGGTCAAAATTTGATTTTGTGTAGATATATCAAGTTGTTCGCAAACTCTCCGACGAACAGGCGCAATTCGAAAATGGAGGAAAGAAACTTACGACTGCGGTGGTGTATGATTCGATCAAGCACTCAAATTCGAGCTTGAAAAGACGCAGTAAAAAGTTGTTAGAAGATTGTATTGAAAGAGTCCTAAAAGTTATAAAAGAAGAGGAACAGGAACTGGACGACGATGAATCGCTAGATGGAGACTTCGAGGGTATCGAGGAGAATCCAGCACCACGGATTAAGGATCACAATATCATGAATAAGAGCATTACTCGAATGTGGTCGAAGCCAAGTTCTGCGAGTATGACACCGAGAGAGGGGACCCCGCCGGTCATGGAAGTTGTCTCGTCAAGTGTCACAATACAAGATGCACCAAATGGACAGACTGATTCTCCAGCGAAAGCCGACCGTCAGCCAAATGGGGAGCCGAAAATGAAGAGAAGGAAGGCGGAAAGAACACCGGCGAAAGAAGTCGATCGAACACCACCTACAGACATCTCACTGGACAATTTAGGAGGGGTTGAGAGTGTGATTGAGGAACTCAATGAGCTTGTCGCTATGCCTATGTTATACCCCGATACATATATCAGAACTGGAATCCAACCTCCTAGGGGCGTATTACTTCATGGACCTCCAGGATGCGGGAAAACCATGATTGCGAATGCTTTCGCTGCGGAGATCGGAGTCTCGTTCATACCACTTTCTGCGCCATCGCTGGTAGCAGGTATGTCAGGAGAGTCAGAGAAGAAGATAAGGGAGATATTTGACGAAGCTAAGAGAATGGCTCCCTGTCTTGTCTTTATTGATGAGATTGATGTGATCATGGGGAAGCGAGAAAGTGCTCAGCGGGAGATGGAAAAGAGAATAGTAGCTCAAATGTTAACATGTATGGATGACATGGCACTAGAGAAGACCGGAGGGAAACCAGTGATCATTATTGCTGCCACAAATCGACCCGACAGTCTAGATCCAGCTCTACGGCGAGCAGGGAGATTCAACAAGGAGATAAACCTGGGTGTACCAAACGAACAAGCTCGCGAAAAGATCTTACGCGCACTTACGCAAAAGCTCATACTCGCAGAGGATTTCGATTTTCGCACACTCGCAAAAATGACGCCGGGATTTGTTGGAGCCGATTTGAACGATGTTGTGTCTGTCGCGGGTACGGAAGCGATGAAGCGAATGATGGCTGTATTGAAGGAACGCTCCGCCACAGATATGGATTTGGATCTGGATGTCGATACACCACCAACAGCACCCGCGCTTCTGATCCTCCGATCTCTGGTCGCTCACGCGGGAGAATCATCACCTGATGGGGATTTCTCGATTAAATATGATGATTTTCTTACTGCGATTCCGAAAGTCCAGCCATCTGCTAAGCGAGAGGGCTTTGCTACGATTCCAGACACGACATGGGCACATATTGGCGCCCTTCATGAGGTTCGTGAGCAGTTGGAGATGGCAATAGTAGAGCCCATCAAGCGACCTGAGTCTTTCGCAAGAGTAGGTATCACAGCGCCAACAGGTGTACTTCTCTGGGGTCCTCCTGGATGTGGTAAAACTCTCCTCGCCAAAGCCGTAGCAAACGAGTCAAAAGCAAACTTCATCTCCATCAAAGGCCCCGAACTCCTCAACAAATACGTCGGAGAATCCGAACGCGCCGTTCGGCAAGTGTTTGAACGCGCGCGGTCTTCAGTCCCTTGCATTCTCTTCTTCGACGAACTCGACGCTCTAGTACCCAAACGAGAAGACTCTCTCTCCGAAGCAAGCAGCAAAGTCGTCAACACCCTCCTCACAGAACTCGACGGCCTCTCGAGTCGCGCAGGCATCTACGTCGTCGCCGCCACCAACCGTCCAGACATGATCGACCCCGCCATGCTCCGTCCCGGCCGTCTCGGCACATCCGTCTTCGTCGACCTGCCTACCCCCGACGAGCGCGTCGAGATCCTCAAAGCGCTCTACAAGAAGGCTCTCCCACTTGCGGCGCCCGAAGAGGTTGAGGCGCTCGATACGGTGGCCAGAGATGAGCGTTGTACCGGGTATTCAGGGGCGGATCTGGGGAATTTGCATCAGGCGGCGGCGGTGGCGGCGTTGAAGAGGGAGATGGGCGCGGGTATGGGTGAGGAGGGATTGGTTATTGAGGGGAGGGATTGGGAGGTTGCGTTGGGGACGGTCAAGGCTAGTGTTAAGGATGCGAGGAAGTATTTGAGGTTGAAGGAGAGGGGGATGTAGGTTGGGGTTTGAGGTGTTAGGGTGGTGATGTGAGAGATTATATCGGTTAGGTGGTTGTTGAATTTAGTTGAATCTTCTCGAGGACTTAATTATGACATTGAAGCCCCAGTTGTTCGAACAACACAATAAATCCGTTGATGCACCCAGTAGATTCTTCATCAAAGAGACACAGTATAACTTACCTCATCCAACCATCCTCACTCAATTCTCCTTCACTCCCCGTTCAAGCACGCGTCTTCACCAACGCCCCAAAAACCCGTCAGAGTAGAAACGTAGATGTTACTAAACAGTTGAGACGTCGTGGAATATATCTACGCATATCATCAACATACTTTTACTCATAACAATGCAGCAAGTATCAGACAGAGTACATGGGAACAGCTCCAGCGTGCTATTGAAATAGAGAACAAGATGATTTAAGTTTTCTTTCGTATGGATAGAGAAGAGATGGTAAATGTTTTATTGGAACAAGAGGTGCTTTTTTTGGTTTCAGAGGGGGAAATGGGAAATCAATGACAGGTTACTTTTCGGTGGAAACTGTCTTCTCTCCTTTTAAGTTTTTGGTCTTATCTGCTACGCCAGAACACGTACAACTGAATATCACCGTAACCAGTCACACCTTGGGAGAGTCGTTCCAGATCACTAGTCTACTCGTCCGGGGGTCTCCCCCGCCCAGCAGTATTGCCATTGTCTTCCCAATTTCCATTGTATGCTGCATGGTTTCTTTGAGGTGACGCAGTGAATTTTATACTTTATTCTCCTAGAGAAGTCGTGCTACGATTAAACAATACATTTGCAACCACTTACCTCTTACCTCCCACAGAGATTCTAGGTTTAGGATATTTGGATACTTAAGTGAGTAGCCAAATATCTATCCTGCTGTTTTGAGTTAGATTGAGAATGTCCCCTTTGTCCTTGGATGCAGGTACTCTGACATTCGAAAACCTGTGTATTTCAAATATATCTCGTGTCCTTACACAAGAATAAATCGAATAACTAATTACGCTCCTCCCTACACACAATACTTCGAACTTAACACAATTCCCCCATCTATAGCTAGAAACCTAAATCAACATCCCACTATCATTCATAATCTGGTCAATGACTAAGATAAAAGCCCACCGAATTTTTTGCAGGTTTAATATACATGCCCAAAACCAGGCGAATAACATCCACATTGTGTAGACTCCTTCTGATGTAGTGAAAACCCTAGTTATTTTGTGTTAGAGTATACAGGAGTTCGTTTACCGTATCAAGTGAGAGGTACAAGACTGCAGATTGAGTCAGTAAAACCGTTTTAATTAGCGGAAGTGGCTTCGGTAGTGACCTTAGTTTCGGTGACAGACCTATTTGGATGAGATGTTGAAAAGTGGGACTTGTTTGTGAGATAAATAGTAATTTCTTTCATAATTAATTAAACCCAATATTACAATAAATCACAACTTAACATTAAGGTAATTAAGAGAACAGACATCGCTTCTGTGTCGACTATTGCCTGCAAGGAGCCTGGGAACGCCCCGATGGCACTAAGGTTGGATTAGCAGTTAGGATGTAGATTTATATAGGTAGCGAAATGAATATCCTCGTGTATATCTATTAGAAGTAAACAGTAGATTTGGCTTAGTTTCAAGAAAATCTATTTACATTAGAATCTAGTAATTTTGTTAACTTAGCATCTACTTAGTTCTTTAGCTTTATTATATTAACACGTTTCTTTCTTTTTCAAAAAAAAAACCCCCCTTTAGTAAGTAAATCGGCCTTGTGTAATGTGTATACAATAAGTTCCTTAAGTACTACCTAGGTAAGTTTATATAAACCTAAAATCCTCGATCTAACCCTAGATCCTTATAATTATAGACAGATGTTATAAGAGAATTCTTGAGAAATCTCTTCTCAAACAAGTAAACGACTTATTGACACTTATCTCTTTAAGACGAATATTTCTTTTCCGAGCGAGTTCTAAAGTTTAGAAAGTGTAAGTTTAAATTCGGTGACAATAAAGCTTTTGTTAACAACTTACTAATCCGGATTAATATTTTAGATTTACAATACTAGAGTTATATAACGTATAGAAGGTAGAAATTAACAGTAGTAGTCACGAGGTGGATTCTATAAGAGGATTTTAAAGTAATTATTTTAGGATAGTAACGCTTAGTAGGTATACTTAAGCTCTCTTTATATCTTAAAATAGATTAGGTAATTATTATTCTTTATACTTTAAGTTCTAGGATCCCTAGTTAATTTTAATAGAAAATAATTAGCTATAAAGTCGTTATATATTCGATAAATATATAGAAGTACTCGAAGCCTTAGAGGTAGAAACCTATAGTCGAATTCGTTAGTATTATAGAAAGAGTTATAGGCACCTTTATTTAAGTTTCTAATTATACACTAAATAAAACTCAATAGTTCTAGTTACTCTCTATACGTATAAAATTTTTCTCAGGAGGAAATCTTTACTAACCTTAAGTATATATAAAGAAAAGCTTTTTTCAAATTTTAATTATTTAGATTCTAAACACCTTAATAAATCAATACGTATTAATCTGTTCATTAGTCGGAAAACTAAGAATTGAAAGAAAGTAATTTATTATATATTAAAACAAACGAGTATACTATAGTTTAAATTTGTTAAGTCTTTAGTATTCTTCCACATTAGCTTATATACCGTGTAAGAAGTAATTTACAAGTAGAATTTCGACTTCTTTATATTAGTTGCGTGTTCGCGTTTAGTTTTCTAAATGAATTATTACTTAAATAATTCTATATTATTTCAGTAACTACTCTTTAACACCCAAAAGTATCTCGAATTTATACGACTTGTGAGCTTCTCTATATAATAAGCCTAAAGGTGTACAGCCTAAACTTAGTCACTAATGAATGAAATTTCATTCCACTACGATTCAACAGATTTGTGGTCGCTATCCTTGTTAGCTCGGCTCAAAATGTATGTAAATATAAATTCGGCAGCAATCACATTTTCGGCAGCAACATCTATTTCACCACTATTTTCTTGCAAAGTAAATGAGTGAGATTCCGGCAACACAATTAATACAAAATTTGGCTTAGCAGAAACACTGTAAACTATTCTCTTACTCTATGCTATTCTCGCAATCCTAAGACACATTGGAGCTGCTAAGTGACTAGAGGTTCTTGGATATAGAAACGGAATTCGTTTTACAACTATAAATAGCTTTTCTTCCGTTAATAAGATATTCTCTAGGTAGTTTGAAAGCACGAAGCCAGTCGTTGAATACTGAATTCTCTTCACATGAGAATCTCTAACTGGACGTAGACTCAGCTTGAATTCTATTCTTCCGTGACTAAATAGAACGCTAACACAAAACATTAAACGAACTATTTATTATGTTAGTTAAACAGTTAAATACCGCGGTTACCGTGTAAATAATGTCTCCATCTCTCATTCAACTTCAATTTCGAACTTACATTATTTAATCCCTTTCGTATATACATCTCCCCATTTACTAACTTCGACTTCTTTCGCCCAACCTAAGGAATCTTCTAAGAGAATCAAATTCCAGGCACAACTGGGATGTAATCTAAGAAGTGTACTACAAATCAACTTTTCATATCTGGCAGTTACGATACAGTAAGGAGGACAACATCTTACATTTACGATATCCCTTACTACTCCTACTAAACCAATAGGTTACAATTTATAATTCTGAATCGAAATACCAACGTACAGAACAGAATCCTCAAAGTGCTGCTGTTGTAAGAGTAGAAGCAACCGATGCAACCATCTCCTCACATGATTTTCAACAAATACGTACTAAAGCGGGAAACGTATCGATGCGTAAAACGTGACAAAAACACAGGGCTGCTATGTATGGGACGAAGTGAACACTTCACGTCTAAATGATACTTTACGACTTGTTGATTTCGGCAGCAACTTCAAGATCGGTGACAAACCCCGGTCTAATCTGAATGAGCGTCGCAAGATCAACCCAGTCTAAGCTCGTGTACTTAGAGTTCCAATGAGATTGACTGACCTGCAGGTTGAATCGCCTGTTACAAAATCTTAGGTGAGCTATTTCCAATAAAAGGTAAAGGTGATTTATATCCTAAGTTATTTGGAAAGTTCTAACAGCTGGTGTGACTTCGAGTGATTTAAATTAGATCAGGGTGTTGAATTTGGGTTCCATTAATTTGCAGTTTTAGTACCAAATAGAAAAATATTTTATGACGAGCTTTCCAGCGCATGTAGAACTAATAACGACAACTATTATCATTTGAATTACCAGATGTTGGAAAGAACGATCTAATTACTCTTTTACTAAATTGCTTGCGACTTGACGTCTTCAAGCAGCGGACTATTACAGATAGTGCTGTATAGAACCGTCAAACATTGAGATATTACCGTCAATCTCAAGTCAACATATTGTCCTTCTAGTCTCTACTAAGAATTGGAAACACGATCAACAATAAAGTCACACTTCTCTTAAACATTGGATCCTTTGACCTTGGCTACTGTTATAAATCAATACATCTCTTTAAAAAACCAGCCCATCCATCACATTTTACCCTTTGTGCTCTTTCTAACTCAGTCCTCAGCAGCATATAAAAAAGAGCACCTACTTGGCCTGAAGAGATAAAACTTGCCGGTGCCAGGGTACACTGCAATCCAACCACTGCTATTCCCTCAGGTCAATGATTCAAACCCTTTAAACCCCTCAAATCACTCTGTCTTAATTGACCTCCAACCCAAAGTCCTTTGACACTTTCTTTTCGAAAGTTTCGGAAAAGCAGCAAGTAACTCAAATCGACAGCAAATTTAAATTCGATGAAGAAATTTTCTCGGCCAACACTCATTCCATAATCAATTCCTGGTGACGGTCACGACAGACCGCACCAGAAATTTACATGGTTTTGACAGACAATACATCAATACTTGAGTATTTTATTTCTATAGATAACATTTGTTGGTTCCCAGCGCTTTCTCTACTTGGCCTGATCTGTTACAGTTATTTTGGAAGTGTCTTCTTTATTCCTAAGTTTCCACATTTTGCATATTTAGGAATTACACGGATAACCGCTTGAATTGCTAAATAATAGAAAAGAGTTCATTACTCCCCACACTCGACTACGTCAGAACTACACGGTATCATGAGATGATACCTTTGATCTAGTAGACATATCATCCTCCAACTATCTGCTCCAAAATTAGCAGCCTCCCAATCAAGAGTACAACACTACTCCCCAAAAAATCCCACCTACAACGTTTTCCATTCCCAAATTTAATGACTAAAATACCACTTATCTCCTAAAGTTTGCATCCTCCAAACCCCTATTACACATTCTCAACTTCCAAACCCCCCAATTCATCCCACCACCATATATAACCCATGAAACACCTTGTGCTCAAGTAGCTCAAAAACACCATTCAGTCTCCCACATCAGTGCAAGTATTCTAATATTAAGCTCAACACCACACCACCAATATAATTCCCTCAAACCTCCAATTCCAGCCTTTTCCTTGTTTCTCTCAACCACCCTCCTCCGACATCTATCCCCCTTTTTTTTAAGTGATGCAAAATCGGCAGCACCCCCAAAATTGGTGACAATACCGCCTCCCAAACTACCAACCGACCACTTCCACACTCGACATAAATTCCCTCTATAAAACAGGAAAGAAACAAGAAAGTAGAACACACAACGCCACGCCAAAAGAATCAAACACCACCCTCCCAGCCATATCTCCACCATTTCAGAGCAACATTACCGTTATTTAGTTTGATTTCTCTTAACAGGCCGCCGCAAAGACATTTAAATCCAAGCTTCCCAAAATAAAGAATCATGACTCAGGGTTCTAAACCACACCTATGTGATAGGGAAGTGATATATCATACATACAAGCATCAACTGTAGATAACCGCATCTCCGACTGGGCTCTAAATGGCAGAACCTCCTTATTATGCCATAAGCTTAGGGCAGACATTAGAACCGATAAGCAGCTTGAATAGGTATTTTATTCGAAACAGAGTTGAAAAGATTATATCTTAAAACGACCATTGACGAAATATCGTAAATCTCGTCAACTGTTCTGAGCGAATGACGTGCTACGACTGCGACCTATCTTGTACATCACGAGCTGGACTACCTTGGTCGGTCTGGACAACGTCACACTTTCGTAGGTCAGCTAGATTTGAGTGATAATGTTTATTACATTTAGTATGCCTGGCGAAAGCCATCAGGATATCTGATCTCATCAGATAATGATACACGAATAATGTCGCTCGGTATGATATACAGTAAGCAAATCCTTTTGCTTAATACCCATCCCACGCCATCCAAAACGATGCCTTGTACACCAAAAATGCTTAAACATACTCCTTCAGTTGTGATAATGACATACCAAAATCCGCCTATGCCTACCCCTTATCAAAATGTTGGTAATGATAGCATACCATCAACTCCTTAAAGATAACAGAACTCCTCCAAATGCAGGGTATCAAGATGCCGCATCCGCCTGGTTTAATGGCTGCCGGAGCCGAAATTGTAAATGGTTTCCAAGAATAAGGGAATGGCAGGTACAATAGACCATGCCAATCCCCGGTTTGGATTCAAAAATGCATCAGAACATATGGCCGTTTCTATAGGCCGCTATGAAGAAAGAAAAATTGCTTAATCCAGAACTACGACCTGTCTCCGGACTGGTTCTTGGCGACTTCGATATGGTGCTGGGACTGGTTCCAAAGGCCGTGTAGTCCTCTCTCTAATAAAAATGGGGGCCTGGTCCTGGGTTCCATGGAAACGTTCGGCAGGACGGCGATTATCTTCATAAATGACTGGACGGTGTTGTATTTCGTGTTCGTACCTGGTCAGAATACCATAGTCAGCTAACAATTACAGAAGCCAAACAATTTAATCTTACATCGGTCTTTCAGTATATTCTAGTGGAGGCCTTGCTCGAGTGGATACTGGAATTGGAAAAGCTCTCCGCTCTTGTTCTTCATAATCATGCCGGAACCCGGGAGCATATATCGCTGAGCGTACAGGACGACTACTTGGCGTGGCATTCGATGCTTCTCCAACATGTACGGAACCATTTATACGCGATTGAGAAAAGTTATGAATGAAAGCTTGGTCGATGACATCTCGACCAACACCGGCATCATAAGAACGAGAAACTCTGGTTTGAACAGGAAAATTTGGAGTCTGCGATCTACGGAGAGGTTGCTGGTAGTCTGAATCGACCTGCCTTGACCCGTGAGCATCTTCAACAGGTCTTGGGCTATAAAAGTTCTCCGGTCTACTCTCATGTCTCAGGCGATGATGAGATACCTCACCAGGAGAAATGACAGGGTATGCTGATGTGAGATGGCGTACGACAGTCCCGCCATTCTGTTGGGCTGGGTCATATACCTCTGCTCTTCTGAAATGCTCAGGTGGGCGTCCAATGAAACGAGTATCTGGCACATCATATATAGGAATGCTTCTTCCGCTGGCGGTAATATACGAAGAAGCTGGTGCCCCAGACATACTCGGACTAGGTCTATCGTGACTTATTCTGGTCCCAGGGGATGACCGTCTTAGCGGAAGAGATGAGGGTGATGGCAAATGAGAATCAGCAATTGATGTTGCACCATGTTCATGGGACGGCAAAGGTCTGAAACGACCTGAATCTTCCTCGTGAACCACACGCCGGCGTTTGTTTTGAGGGCTGTCATCATCAATCACAATGAATTGCCGCTGTGGCGGGGGAAGCCTTCGAGACTCGATCACCTGTCTAGGATATGAATCCTGACGGCGACCGAAAGTCTCAGGTCTCGGATGACGCTCTTCTGTGGGCATCAAAGTACGAGTAACATCGCTCGGGGTTGACTCAATAGAAGGAACAAGCAAATCTTGAAAACCGTGTCTGTGAGAAGATCCGCTCACAACTTGTGATGGTCTGTTGTCCCTGAAAGACTGAACTGGAATGCCACGATGTGGCTGCATGCCTTGGTTAATGTAGTGATCTGGTAGTTGTCTCACGATTACCTGGTCTCTTTGTGGCCTATTATCCAGAGGTTGTGTACGTTGCGAGTAAGATGGTTCCTGTAAAGGTTAGTCTTCCGGGGGTGGTAAAAAGCTGTCAGAGTAATTCGGCCATGTGAAGTGAGCTTACCATGCGCGCAGCTGGACCTTCTGCATAGCGTCGTGAGTCCATATCGGTGCGACCATGAACTGAAGTCGGTCTTGTATCAGCCTGTTGTTGTGAATATCGAGGTGCTATTGACATATCAGATGGATGCCTGCCTGTGCCCTGCTCAAGGCGTGTATCAGACTGTGCCGCAAGGGGACGGTGCGACGGATCTTGTTGTCGGTGCAAAGCATCATCCCAAGCCGCTTGATAGCGCTTGAATCCTCTCTGTGTTTTCTTTGGTCCTTGTGGTTTAGGCTTCATCCTAGATCGAGTGCGAGAAGAAATAGCACCCGGTTGGGCAGGGCGATTCTCGCTTTGTACTTGCCGTGCGATACTTGAGATGTCGGAATCTTGGGGACCCGGCGATAGGGCAGGTCGGTGTTGATTCCGAGAAGTTGGTTGGGCCAGAAGTTCTGGAGAACTGGTCGAGGAGATTTCACCTTCTTCGTCGGAACTATCGTCCTCAGAGCTACTATCTCCCTCATCCTCGGAATCGGTTATGACTACAACTTCACGTAGAATTTCGTCCATTTGATCACGACCAGTCTCTTCGTCACCTCGCCACTTGAAGATGAAATCTAAGCAGACAGACTCGACAACCTTTCGGGCATTAACCCAACTTGTCTCTCTGAGAAGCTTGTCGTACCTAGTGTGAGTATGCCGGATGTGAGCGAGTACAGCAAGTTGAACACGTCGGGACAAAGGAAGATCAGCTTGTAGTCCTACAGTTGGCTCACCGTGAAACAAGACACCCTATTCGCATTAGTACTAAGATGAGTCCTGTGGGTCGCATGGAATGCTCACCTTTTGAAAAGCATGCTCGATTATCATCTGCCGATCGGTGTTTGGTATTCGTGGAAAAAGATCCCTAATCGCTGCATCGGCTTGCTTGTTGATTTCTTCCTGGGATTCGGGAATTGGTTCGATAGCGCCCGGCTCGTAGTTTGGGCGATTAATAACTGAATCGCCGACCACCTGGCGAGCTTCTTCGACTATCGATTCGCGAAAATGGCATCCGGTCCTATGCACGAATTCGGATATCTTGGAGTTCTCTTCCTTGGATGCCTAGTAGCATATTAGCGACCGTTGATGTATAATTGAAGCCGAACGTCTTACCGACACGATGAATATCATAGCTCCCCTTTCTCTCGACAATTCTTTGCAAGCATTCGTCATAACTGGATCTCCAAAAGGAATAAATACGAATCCGGGCGGAGGATTCGTATCGTTGGTGACCTGTAGAAATGGTAAGCATTCGTCAATCACACTTCGAAGCATCTGCCAACCTGATATTCCAGCTTCTTCTTCTTTTCTGTATTCTCTGCAAACTCGAAATACGACTGGTATTTCGATTTGACCTTGGGTACATCTAATTTGCCAACAAGATGGGCAGGAGCCGGTCCTGCCCACATCGCAGCTGTAATCTTCGCCTTGTCCTTCTTCCGTTTCTCCAACTTATTCTTTCGTCGCTCCTCTTTCGCTATTTGCATAGCCTTAGAGTCTTGTGCGGCTGGCTGTCCAGTATGGCTAGCTACATGCTTCGATGCAGCTCGCGCCTGCGCCGCCTTGACAATGTTCTTGTTCTTCTTTTTACCCATCGCGACAGTCACGAACCTACCTTCATGAAAGATCCTACAATAAACGGTCAGTGCGCCTACGTGCGCTGGAAAGCACGTTTATCAAAATAATTCTAGTGTCAAAGACTGCGTAGATGGACTACGTTTGGCAGAGGCAAAGAAAAATCCTGGAGCGGGCGATACTTAGGTTTGGGAGGAGATGGAATCGTCGGGCGTCAAGATCTTGTCGGGTCGGCGCTGGAGCAGTTCGTCCCCTTTCAGCCTAGCGCATAATTCAACGTGTGAGCATAAGTTCATTCATGCACAAAATTAATGCAACACTATGAAGTACTTACCACGATCATTTTCGCCTCTGCTGGCTTCCACGATCAAGCTGTCATAGAACTGATTCAGCACACATCTATAAGCTAGTTTATCAATCTAGAACTTAATGATCAGTACGTTTATTAATTGTCAGCGAACCTCAAATTCGAAAAGATGATGTATCTTGCAGGAGTATTTTGTATTCCTTCTCATAAATCTACTTAATAAGTATGCTAGCTCTTCTTATAGACACGAGTGAGCTTCAATGGTATCAAATCCCTCGACACTTTTCATATCTACAAATCAAAACCCTTCCACGCCACCCAAATGAACTGCTTGGACTAATCAAATCCCCACAACTCCAATGATATGCAAAGCCTCGCTTTAATCCTCAAGAGCATTAATCTGTTTCTTGATAAACTCAAAAACCGAAAAGAAAATTGAGTTGACCACACAAGATCTTCCCATAGAGACCCCAAGTCCTCTGTACATACGCCTATTAAAGAATTGGATCTTTGGCGGCGGTTTGGCCTGTTGCCCTCTGCAAACCGTCAAGCAATTTCGTTGGTAGATGCTTTTAGCAGAGTCTATGGGATAGATAAGAGCCCAGCTCGCAACACCACAAAATCCACCAGCACACAGCACCGCCAATGGGTTCGTAGGCGATGAATCCCCAGAGTATGTTGTAAGAAGTTGCTTGCTACTTTCGTATGTCATGAAGTAAATCGCGGTGCCGAGGGTATCTCGCACTGACTGGCATTAGTACATGCCCCACAGCCTGGCGACAAGAATACGTACTCAGGTGTAGATTGAACCCAGAATATAGCCCAGCGAATCCACGATGTTTCACAATGTTCTTGGCCGTTTGAAATGTACCTTTATTCTGATAACTTGCTGCAACTTCTCGAGTAGAAACCGAGGGGTCAGAAACGCTTGATCTGTTTCGGTCGGCCATCAAAACTGATACTTGAGCACTTAATTTCGTCAGCTCGAAGGGACCTAAAAATTGTCAATAACAGCCCGTAGTCAACCGTTGTATGTCTCCCAAACTCACATGCTACCAATGTAATGAAGGACCCAGCAGTAGCTCCAGCAGCTCCAAAGCATGCGACAGTCGAGAGATTGGGATATGTTCCAAGCGTGTTGACATGAGATAGCGGATCCACCCCAAAATTCCGTTTGAACCACGCCGAATAAGTGTATTTCGACCTTTGATAGACACTGAAAGAGATCGTCCTGACCAAGGTGACGCTGGCCATAGGTGCCAGTACTCCCCTAAAGAACCCGCGCAGTCTCTCTGTTTGGTATGTATGTCGAACGCAATCTGCGAAGCTATTGTATTTGTATGTCTGCATGCGGGTCTTCATCGAATCTAGGGGAAACTGTGTATTTGTCATTGGGAGCACTCGCAAGGCATTGAAGGGAGACTTACAGCACCAAACGTAGAGAAGATACTGCTCACAGATGCAGCAACTTCTGTCCGATACCTCTTGATCCATCTCCTCTGTCTATGCTCTGCCCCTCCTGAATCACCTTCTGCCATATCAGCTCCCTTGTTTATATTTCGATAGGAGTCGGAATTGGGCGGCACGCCGATGTTCCAGGTCTGCGATGGGGATCTGCAGGAAAACGCAGTTCCTCAACGCTCCAGTGATAAAGTCATAGGAGCTTTCACCTCCATAGATAGGGCGATTTCTTGTTCGATGAAACCGCCACGCTATGGTTCACTTGCCAGTTGCAAAGTTGGGACGAAATGAAGCACAGCACAACTGAATTATGCGGGGTCGTAGATTTGGGTACAAAAGTACATGGAACCTTTTTGACGGAAGCACAAAGGTATGGATCACCACCCTTGAGCTGAGTGAGGGATATGTATGGGGTTGGGGCGTTTTGGCTTGTGAAGACCGGCACGAGATCTGGGCCAGTAAAGAGAGGCCTCGAGCAAGATAACCGGGACATGCGCACGGCCACCGTAGAATTCTCCTTCAAACCCCAGCAGCCGTCGAACTCCGGAGTAAACGAAGGTCCTCCAGTAGGAGACGACAAGAGGAACTTTGGCGATTCAAGCGCAACCTTTATTCGATTTCCATCTATTTCGATATGACTTCACATCTACATTGCTTTTACAAAGCACTCTTCCTTATTCTCAACCATTTTAGGGAGCCTCAATATTTCGACTCTTTAAAAGCAAATCGTATTTTAGGTAGAAAGCTCTCTACATGTTGAGAGAGAAGGGAGGTCAAAATAAACTGAAAATTAGTTTCTTTGCTTCAAAACTAATTTCGTCAGAGTACAATTGAGTATGAATTAGTCTCGCACTTGTTGAAAATATCTAATGGGTGATAAACTCTCTCTCTTCACTCTTGAAAAGCAAACTCCCTAGCTGTCACTGACAAACATGCTGAAGTCTTTCGTTTTTTCAACCCCCAGACATCACACCCTTAGGGTCCTCAGAGGGGATAATAATAGCATTTTAAGTGACAGAATATTGTCTTGTCGTAAAAGCTTGTCGGTCTTTTTATTTGTAAGTCCACAGAGTATAGTTTATGCTCACGATGCAGAGGAAGATGCTAATTTGAGCAATTGAGAAGTCGTTAGGGCCATGGTCCCTAAAGCAGAGTAGGACATATCATAAACTCAGAAAGAACATAGCTTGGAGAGCAATGAACCACTGACTGCTTCATGTTCGCCTGGACTATATACGTACTATGAATTAGCATAGATGGCAGGATCAAGCATTCAACGGACATCCTTTAGTTTCTATGCTCAAGTCTCAAAATCCCAATGGGGTCGATTTCGTGCTACAGTGCTCCGTTTCACTTGGATACGAGAAAACGAGCTGAACTATAAATCATGGACCTTTCTCCAGGTCTGGGATAATGATCTATCAAACTTCACATCGAACTAAATGTAACAATCAAGGAATTCTGAGCCAAAAAGATTGGTATTAAGGTGATCAATACTAGATGTTCAAGACTGGTCGGCTGAGGCAGGAAGAAGAGCAGCTTGAGGTTAAAGCGCTAGATAAAGCATATATTCATATAGTTCCACCGGTAATCACGGCTAAAGCACTATCGAACGTTAGGATGCAGAGACGATTCAGACGAAAGGCTGATAGAGAAGTGTGACAAGTCCAGTTACGTAACATATATACAACTAGAAAATCTATACCATTTCTAGGTCAACTTGTATCATAAAAACGAACAATATGCGCCTCACTCCATTTCCTCCTTTCCTCGCGGGCTTGGCTCTCGCCGAGGCACAAAAGCGTATGGCCCATGGTTGGAGATACGGAGGGTTTTATGAAAGATGAGTAAAATGTAGTCATAAGTCCCTGACATCGAAGTCAACTCGTCTATTACTGGAGGTGGTAAGTATATCAATCTTTCACAACCTGCCCACAGGGAAAAGCCCAATATTTAACATACGTAGCTGCAACACCATTTACCGCCACCGTAACGTCGACTGCATGTACCGCTACCGTAACAGACATTAAGACTACTACAACTGTCTTGACTCAACTGACACTGAAACCGAGACATTGATAGAGTTAAGAACCGAGTTTATAACTGAGACAGAAACTGAAATATTGACCGCTACCGTGACGGACGTCGCGAGTGTCTTGGCTTCAACCGAGACAGAAACCAAAACAACAACAAATACACTTGCTACGACAGAGACAGAGACAGAAATTTTGACCTCCACCAATACTTCATGAGTCGATGAAAGCGCCCTGGAAAGAAAACGATTTCTGACCCTACCCACTAGATATGACCTGACCCAACTGTCGGATTCGACGCTTATTCCCGTTGCGTGTCAGTGTTTCCATAAAAACGACAGTACCGCCGGTATACAATGAGGATGGAAGCTGGGCAAATTACCGTTTTTCCTGTCTTGGACGATGAAGAAGCGTGTCCCGAGATACGAGGCATTGCTACAGCGAAGAATTTGCGGGAAGAGAGAGGTTTAGTGCGTGTAGAGGGAGATGTATTGACAGGTGGCATATAAGATGAACAATAGGACCTAAGGTCTTTTAAAGTATTTGTAGAGTGGTATGATTGGTATTTCAATTTTATAAATCGTACAGATGTTTCCTTTAAAGACCAAACAATCTTTAGTTATTGTTCTGAGCTTGTCGGATTGAGATCCAGGTATGCTGAGGGTGCCGATGAATTTTCCTCAGGTCCCATTTCCCAGGCTGATCAATCCGATACTACGAGATGTTAGTTGAGTTGATTATAATAGAATGGAAATTTCAGACCTAAAGACGGGGCTTATCTTCTGTATTGTCCCATCTACAACAGCGGCTCACATAGCTGGTGACCTCTTCAGATTCAGTTCTTGAATTAGCGAATCCCCACCCAAAGCGTCACCGGTCAAGTCTACGTGCTCCGATAATGGTACTCGGCATTGCGTATGAAGCGGCGTGTGAAGGTCGTTATCCAAAACAGCCAATTTCCTGAATCTTGCTCCAGCTCGTTGCTTGCTTGGATAGTACTAGGCACATCATCTCAGACACATATTCATACTGTCATTCAACATGGCCAACGTCATGTCATAATTTACGGTAGCAGTCCGTTCCAGATGGTCCTTTGTCGATTCTGGCTTCGAAGAATCATACAACCTGTTGCCGTGTTAGTACGTAGTCGAAGCAGCTTCATCAAATTCTGACTTTGGCTTAAGACCGTATCTCCTCTCCCAACTCTTCTTAAAAAGCAAGTTCCTAAGTATTTTATGCTCCAATCCAGCTTCTTTTGCAGCGTAACCTAGGAATTCCACAGTGTTGTCGATTCTTTTTTGATTGAACATGGATGGGGGATCAGAACGAAACGCTTCTCGAAGTGTATCTCGTGCAATATATCTGGCCGGTTTGGAGAACTGAACTCCGTGAAGAAGGCCTCTGTACAAGTGCCTATAAGCGTGTATGACCTCAATCGCGGTCGGGGTCGACATAGCTATACCGAAATGTGCTATGAATAATGTTTGAGTGAGCTGAGCTGAAAGACCGTCGTCGTCGTCTCATACAAATTTTACTTCCCAGAGCAGGGGCTCGAAGTGGGTCGGCAACATACGCTCTACGGGGACGGATTAAATCGTGATTTTTGGTACATGGCTCGTGCCCTCTACCACACCAAACTCGCCCACCAACTTACGCACTTACAACTATATATCTAAGGAAATAAAGGCTTAGAAATTCACAGAAGCTCCTATCTACCCAAGAATAGTTCTAAGTTCTATAATATAGAACAAGAAAGTAATTATTTTCCACTGTTGTGGTGGAATCGTGGTAGATAGGCCAGGTGTACCAAAAATCAGGATTTAATCCGTCCCCGTAGAGATACGGAACAGTCCCTGTCGAACCGCGCCGGCACTGCAACCCGCATGCAGCTGCTTCACGTGCGCGGGCGCCTTCAATATCAATACTTGTCCAGCTCGTAGGATCAGCGTCATCGGTTGTAACGACAGATTTTATTTCGAATTTGTTGTTTGAAAGACACGTTACTCAAGATCTATCAAATGATACCCAAATCCACCCAATGACATCTCTCGTGTCAGACTTCATTATCAATCCTGTCTTGCGAACCGCTCGCCGTTTCTCTCGATCTGGCACTCCTGGTGACGGTCCTCCGAACAGCAATCGACACGATGCGGCGGTTGAGGGTATAGCAGAGCAGTTGGAAGGATTGGAGGGCCCAGCGACCAGAAGTATCAGGACCGAGAGCATTCTCAGCGATGAGGTTCTAACATCGTCGCCTATCGAGACCGGTCATGGTCTGGACGCTGAGTTGGAGGCTCTAGAGGTGGGCCGACCCCCAAGTGCGCCCGCAGCCTTTGGCCATGTACCGATGAACCTTGGTTCATTTCGCCCGCACTCAACACAGGTCGACGATGATGTTTCCGATAATCCTTCTTTTGGGATACCCGATCGGTTTCGCACAGCTTCGATAGCTGGCACGGCGCATTCAGGGCAGAGTATGGAGAACTTAGGAATGAGTCCCGCCGAGGGGCGTTCGCGGAGCAATACTCAGGATCGGACAAGATCGGGGTCGGGTACCCATCATAGGCATATTTCTCTACCGGCGGACGACGGCATGGGCCCTTTGCGGCAGCAGATAAGAAACATACAAGCTATGGAGGTTACGGGGCAAGAAAAGGCACGTTTGATGCACCAGTTGATCACTCGAGGATATAATCAGGCACAAACGGTTCATACAAAGCCGCAGATAGCAGTGCCTACACCGGGGGATATGGTTAGTCAAGAACGACCCACGACTCCCGAGTCTTTGGCATCCTTTCTTTGGCAAATGAATGGCATGTCGGAAAATGCTTCCCCCAGCCAGCAACATACATTTCACCTTTCGCCGGACGACCTTAAACGTACATACGCACCGCCGGATCCTCCGGAAGTAGATGAAGATGGAGACGTGGTTATTGTTGAAGAAACGGAACCACAACTGGGCTGTAAACATTACAAGCGAAATGTCAAATTGCAATGTTCGGCTTGCGCAAAATGGTACACTTGCAGGTTGTGTCATGACGAGGTAGAGGATCATATTTTGGACCGAAAAGCGACAAAAAACATGCTGTGTATGCTGTGCGGGTGCGCTCAAGGGGCTAGTGAGTTCTGCTTTGAGTGTGGCGAGAGGACTGCGTGGTATTACTGTGGTGTCTGCAAACTATGGGACAACGATTCAAATAAGTGGATATATCATTGCAATGACTGTGGAATATGCCGTAGGGGCCGGGGATTGGGGAAGGACTTCTTTCATTGCAAGGTAAGACGATTCGATTTCTCCCTGAATTTCATACTGATAATTCTACAGACGTGTGGTGTTTGCATGTCAATGTCGGTGGAAAAGAATCACAAGTGTATTGAACGAGTTTCGGACTGCGACTGCCCTATCTGCGGGGAATACATGTTTACCTCCCCACATCCGGTGGTGTTCATGTTATGCGGACATAGCATACACAAGAGGTGTTATGACGAGCACATGAATACATCATACAAATGTCCAATATGTAGCAAAAGTACGGTCAATATGGAGACGCAATTCCGGAACCTGGATCGAGCAATTGATGGCCAACCAATGCCTCCTCAATTCCGAGATACCAAAGCCATGGTATCATGCAATGACTGCTATGCCAAAAGTGCTGTCAAGTACCACTGGCTGGGTCTGAAATGTGCAATTTGCCACTCATATAATACCGCACAACTTTCGATCTTGAGCGATCCTGCAGTTGAGGTCCCTCCCATCGAAAGCGTCGAACCGGAGGTAGAACCGATGAATATTCCCGGTGGAGATATGGCTGCATCTGGATTACTTACCGTGGGCGTACCGCGTAATAGAAGGCATTCTTCACACTCAGGGCCGCAAGTCTCGGCAAGTGGTTCACGTCGCTTCTCTCCTTACCCATTACCTGGCCGGATTGGCAGATCGGTATCTCCCGTACGAGGTATAGGTTTCTTCTTCGAACCTCCTCGCCCGAATCCGACAGTCGAAACGGACGACTCGTTAGATGACGAAGACGAACTTGACTTCTGGGGTCGAGACGGCCCGCGAAGTGTGGCTTCGGGAGAGCTGGCAGATATGGTGGAAGCGGACGAAGATCTTGAAGAGGAGTCATCAGATGACGACTCCGCGATGGATGATTGCGAGGATGAGGGTGAAGAGGAAGAAGATCGATTTGCTTTATTCGGTCATCGCTAATCAGTTTTTGGGTATGGCATAGAGTTATAATGGCGCTTGGGATTGGTAGTGTGACATAATGATGGATGGGGATACTGGTGACACTGGATGGATTCGGGGAGTTTAGACGGTAGATTGGGGATTGGATGTGATACATACTTTTTGTACAGCCTTGGAAATAATTAGTCTTTTCCAGTTTATGAATACAATGTCTTTATGATAGATTCTGCTGGTTTGGTGTCTCTGTGGGATCGCGTGTCTGCGACTTTATGATCCTTTTAAGTGCACGTTTTTCTAAACACGACTTCAAGCATATAGGTGCTACCCTAGTGTCAAATCAAAGGAAGCATATACGCCTCGCCGTGGTCCGATTAGTTCGATGTCTGAGGCGCATAATAATTTGATCAAAATGCACAATGTTGAGCCCTTTGTTTTGACACCGTTTGTTTCGACACGAATGTCTCTTTCACATGAAGAAAGACATCACACAAGGGCCCTCACGAAGACGACCAAAAAGAGTCCGTGGAACACCACTTCAAAATGGCGCGTTACATCACAGCAGAAGTGTAGCTGATAGTAGAAACATGGGAGCGTTGGGGAACAGAGTGGACGAGCAGCTTGATACCGGAGAGATACGATACAACACCGTCCATTTCGTCAGTCAAGCTGACAGAATATCTTGTATTTCTTCAATTCCTTTCGGTAAATATAAACCATCCAAGATTTACCTCTTCTTCATTATAATTTAAGCTACAGAATATCCACGAGGTCTGCCACTTATATTGTCCAAACGCGAGCACGCATGATCTACTTGGTCTCGCGGCGGACAGTAATACGTGGACCTCCAAGGCTCCCATACTTGGTATTTTTTAAACAGAGATTGAAATGGTTTGTTTTCTAGAAATAATAGACGAAATTGCCGATATTTCGTCAATTGTCCCAAACAAATATCGAAGTTCGACTGCTAATTGAATTGTCAACCGCAAGCCAGTTAGAAATCATTCAAGTCGCTCCCAACCTGCTCACCCAAAATCGCGATGCACAATAAAAGTGTCAAGACTCGCTATCTACTTGGGGGAATTGAAGAAATAACGATGTTTCATTCACTGTTTTCGAGAAATATGAAAAGTTTGTCCTGTTTGGAAATTGTCGTGGCAAGAGCCTGTTTCGTTTAAGTGGATAGGGATGGGTCTGTAGAAAGACACGACCACTCGTAGACTGGATGAGGGCTTCGTTGGTAATTCAATAATTGCTGGTGACCATGACGAAATAGGCTCTAGTGGAATACCAATTTATGTCTATGAGCGTTAAATATAGTTTTGGAAGCACACATAGATACTCTCACCGATCAGGATGTTCAAGACCATGGAACTCACCCTTGACTTCCGAAGAGAATCTATTTACTATGAATGATTGACGAAATAGAGGATATTGTGTCAAGATGATACACTAATTATGCAATGTTGTGTCAACTTAATGGCAGAAATATGGTGTTGTGAAAGCCCCTATCTTGTCCACCGCCAGCCACCCCATCCTCACGGTATCAAAGGCAATCAAAACACGATAGTTACTCAAAGCAATACACGAAATATCGGTATTTTGTCAATTGCTTTGAATAAATTAGAAAATCACAGCCTGTGTTCAGAAGTGAAGTCAAGATGTCCAGCCTCGCTTAATTTGATAAGGGGTAGAGACCGGTAGAAACGAATGGAAAACACTGCCACACATCTTGAGCCTCAATGAATCGATTCACCTTCAAAAGAAGCCCATGACATCCATGCCTTCCAGGTTGTTCGACGTGATACGCTAGCATAAGCGAGATCCAGCTGTCTATAAAAGAATCTGTTGCTCCCAGATTTTTCCTTTTCTTTTCTTCTTTCCTTTTCAGCTCTCTTTGCCACATGGCTTAGATCAAGTGTAGTATCTGTTCTTTTCAGTTTAATCTCTGAAAGTTGACTACGGTCAACACAAAGATTATACTTATTTTTGTTCGTCGGAGGGGAACCGCCAGGCTTGCCTGTGTTCTCTTCCACTGTGTTCTCGGTCTTACACTGCTTCCGAGTAACGCGACCTTTTCATTGCTCATTCTGGCTGAGGCTGGGGTGGTGAAGAAGAGTGATTTTTTTTGTTTGTTGTTGTTGGCGACATTGGCTCGATTGATGGGTGAAGAACGCATGATGCTGGATTTTATAGATAGAAAGGAAAGGAAAAGAAGCGGAGCCCTATGGTTAGAAAGCTTGTAAGATGTATATAGATTAATTGAAAAGCTATGGATAGATCGATTTGATGATGTTGTCGCGATGATTTGAGACGCGAATGGTGAGTATCATGAGTCGAAGGAAGACGGCAGAGTTTTCGCGGCCTCGCGATGGACAAAACAAGTGGTATCGAAAGACGATATTTCTAGGATCAATTTGATGAAATATCGTATATTCAGTAGATCAACTTGGAACCATGAGGCATATTCCGTCAATTGTGTTGACTGACTGAGACTTTAGGTCGAGTTATGCCTCCCAAACATTAGTGGGCAGGTAACTGACCCTTATTTTGTTGCTCGAGGCGGCATCGTGAACGTGTGTGGAAATTCATCAGATCGAGTGACATCTACCAGTCGAAAATATATATTCGCGTCGCAGTAACCTCAATCCGTAATCCAAATCGTGCCGTATTGACCATCTCTTAAAATTTTGCAAAATCCGTTGTGTGGCAGCCTTTAAAAGCATTCACCTGAAAATTTCGTGACCACAACATCATCAACCATCACAACACCATGGCGGACATCAACGACCCAGGAATGGTCAACTCCAAGATCTTCGAGGATCTCCAGAAGAAGATCGACGACGACGCAGAGACTCGCGAGCAGCTGCGCGCGTTTCTGCAAACCTTGGAGCGTCAAGGACGAGTCGCTCAATCCGTCCTCTCACGCGCCCATTCCACACCGGTCGCCCATCGTAAGTCGCTTTCAAATCACTCGGAATCGCTTCTAATTGTCTCAAGTCCAACCGGTAATCACGGCCGCGGAGGCAAGCATCAGAGATGAAATCGAAACAATCGGGCAGCTCGCCGCGGTGGCGTCGAATTCTCCTTATTACAAGTATGTCACACCACCATGCACGATCCCGATTTCAGCTAACATCAGTAGATACAACGGCATGTGGACGCGCGAGGTTCAGAATGTAGTTTTCTCTATCCTCATGTGCGGATGGCTTGGTGGGATGGCGACAGCGAGCAACCCCGCGTCAGCAGGCAAACTTCTCACGATCGAAGAAGTCGGCTCTATTTTGAACGGTACCTCTAACTCCCCAAATTATCTACATTAAAATTCATGAAAGCTAATATTTCTAGTCCCCGTGAACCTCAAAGACCAAGACGCCTTCCACATCACCATCGAAGAATACCTGCAATCCCTCATCACGCTCATCGAAGAGCTGGCGCGTCTCGCCATCAACTCCGTTACGCTGGGCGACTACCAACGTCCGCTGGAGATTAGCACTTTTGTGAAAGATCTCCATGCCGGATTTCAGATTCTGAATCTGAAGAATGATTCACTCAGAAGGAGGAGCGATGGGATTAAGTATAATGTGAAGAAGATTGAGGATATTGTGTATGATCTTAGTTTGAGGAATTTGGTGCCGAAGCCAGAGGCTTCCAACTAAGGTAAGTTGTACTGTGAGATAGGCAGTATGGAATGATTAGCTTGGGAGGTGGCTTTGTCTGGTGTAGGTACGGGTATTATTGTGGTGAGCATTGCTATATGGCGATGAAGGACTATCAGGGTGTAGGAACTGGAAGATGTACGGTAGTAGGTGATCAATGTAGCAGAAATCAATGTTCGGAGGATCCCTTTGCAAATGGGACACAATTTCACAGATATGTGTTATGCCTCGGACACTCGATAGTGTTGAGTGCACTTCATGCCGACCTGGTTGTACCAAGTGAAGCTATTCTCTCACAACGAATGCTAATGCGGCTATAGATACATTCCGGCCTACCTTCTTCCCCTCTCGAATTTCGACTGAACCAGAACACTTTGATCAATATTTTATCTGCCTTTCCAGCGGCACTCCTAGGCATACGGCAGTTCCCATGCCGAGGCTCAACCCCACACATCACAGCTAATGGCAAAAGCACTTCTAGGGCGCCCATCCCGCAAATTATTATCCAATCAAGATTTGGATATCTCTCATCTCCCATCTAGCACTTAAGCTTACTTCTGTCATTGCGCCTGAAATCTCCTAATTGTGCGGATCTTTGCCTGTCCGGAGGAGTTGATCTTCTCTGCCCAAGCAGGTGGGAAGAGTTGGCTATTATTCACTATAAACAGTAGTTTGAAGAAATGTAGGTTATATGGGAAGAACCCCTCGATCTTTGCGTCTGTAAGTTACAATTTCAATTTTCGTTTACAGTTATCAATCAAATTGCAACATGTATTCGTTTATCGTTGCTGTGGCAGTCCTGTTGAACCTCTCGCAAGCCTTTCCGGGCATGGCTCAGAAGAGAAATATTGCCAGTATCACAGGAGATCGTCTTACGACCGTGGCCGAACCAGTTCAAGCTCGAGATACAGCTGCTGCGTACCCACCGTTCTTAGGAAAGAGAGCAGCAGATGTTCGCTCGCCATGCCCAGGACTCAACAGCCTCGCAAACCATGATATCTGCCCTCGCTCAGGAAAAGGATACACGGTTCCAATACTCACCAAATGCTTGAAGGATGGACTGAATGTCGGAGGAGACTTTGCATTAGTTGTCGGTACCACTGGAATAGGATCCAATCCAAACCCTCTCACTCTTCAATTCGATCTCGATCAACTCGACCGCCATAACATCTTCATCGAGCACGATGCTTCACTCTCTCGCGCCGACACAATCGCTGGCGATAATCACAGCTTCAACCAAACCATTTGGGATACTGTTCTCGACTACTACACCGGGATGTCAGATACCAGTATCCCGGTCGCAGCAAAGGCCAAATACAATCGAGTCACCACAGAAGCGGAAAGAGACCCAGCATTTTTTTACGGACCAGTCCAATTCGTTCTCAGCTACGGCGAGACCGCACTATATCTAAGCACCATGGGCGATCCAATCACCGGCGTAGCACCAATCGAGTATGTTCGTGCGTTGTTCGAAGAAGAGAGACTTCCGTATCAAGAAGGATGGAAACCGACGACTACGCCTACCACGTTGGCGACACTTGGTGCTATGGTGCTGGAGTTGAATGCTGCAAATGGAGAGGTGCTACCGGAGGGATTGATTCTGGGAGAGAGTAGTTTGAGGGCTGTATTCAAAGGCTTGGATCCGATTACTGGGGCGGTTCTGAGTCCGATTTTGCAGACTATTTCGGGGTTGTTGGGGGTTATTGCGTAGGTAGGTTCATGATAGTGCGTTTGGTGGGCTTTCCGTTGCAATTAGAGCGTGTTCCGGTGCAAAAATTTCTGTTAGTTGTCGGAAACGTTAGCAAAAGATGACCAGATCACTTCATCGTGCCTGCCCTTTATCTTATAAAAGTGCCCAAGTTTAGAGTTTCGTCGATTTCGCGCATGAAATTTTGGATACTATTTTCAAATATCATTTTCAAAGTATAATCTTACATTCAGACCGCTTAGTCCTTCGCAATGGGAAACTCCATCAGTCGCAACTCGTATCTTCTGGCAGGTCCATGTTCTGCCAGAGAAGTCATATGGCACTATGTTAACGAAACTGTGTTGCCAGAGTGAGTTCATGCTGAACTGCCCAGTCCGTAATTGTGGAATAAATGCTGATTCCACGTCAGGCAAGCTCAATGTATCGATTACAATTATATACTAGAGAGCCATTGCTGCAAAGATTTAACATGTAGACCGAACAAACGTTTGGATCAAGAATTCCACCGGTACATGTGGGATGACTGGTGGCACCTGGGAAACCCATTTGCAGGAAGCGATCGCAACATCGAATGGTCTGGAATTGGAGGGTGCACCTGGCATTTTAAGGGCGGGAATTATGATGGAACAGAGCCTGGACTTTATGTCCTACCTTTCAAGAGGCCCAAACCATCATCTTGTTCAGAAGATTTTTCAGAAGGTTCTTCAGAGTCTTCTTTAGAAGACCCGTGACGAGGTTTTGAAATCTGGGGTAGTTCGTTACACAGCGCAACTCGATTCGGTCTAGTGTGCTTTGTCTGGGCCTCGGTCACTTTCACATGCGGCGCATCTCTTGACACTCGGAGGGACTGCCGTTCGCATCATTACCTCTTTTAATACTTCTACCACCCACGACATATCTTACTTCATTACAGCCTGTCCAACATTACTTAACTGCAAAATCATTCCATATCTCATACACACTTAACACCACAATCCACGATGTCTCTCAAAAATGGTAGGACTTCCGGATCCAATCGTGGTATTCCCCGACTGACATAACTCAAGATGCTTTTCCCTCTTCCGAGGCCTTCGATTCTATCAATGCTGCGCTCCAATCCTCAGACGCCGAGCGAAAAGACGCTATCAAGCAGGGAAATGCTGTTTTCGCTTTCACATTAAAGAATAAGGAGGGAGCTACCGAAAGCTGGCATATTGATCTGAAAGAGAAGGGAGAGGTTGGAAAGGGTCTCGGAACCAAGCCAAATGGTAAGCACACCCACCTACTGGCTGAAGCTCATGAGTTTAAGCTAACGGCATCTGTTTGCAGTTACCCTCTCATTATCAGACGACGAGTTCGGTAAATTGATTGCCGGAAAGGCGAACGCACAACGCCTGTTCATGTCGGGAAAGCTCAAGGTTAAGGGAGATGTGATGAAGGCTACGAAGATGGAGCCCATTTTATCAAAGGCGAGGGCTGTCCAGGCGAAGCTATAGATGTATAAATCATACAAATTACAGTTCGCACCTGCTTGTACCTGAAATCGTGGGGGTTGGCATGTGATAAAGGTGTACAGTACTGGCGTATATATCATTTTTCGAATGATTTTCTGACCTATCCGGGCCATCAATCTAGATTGGGTGATTTTTAGCTGTGTCGCAGACTGTTCTGCTCTTTTTTGTCTCTCTGATATGGTATGTCACTACTGTACCTTCCCATCCCTTTCTTTGCACCGATCCTCCTTTCTTCGGAGAGCTGTCAAAGACTACGAACACAAACGTTACCAAAGAAGGACGTATCCAGGGCAAGTACCAGCTTGTTTTTGTCCATGGTCCTTGGAATCAACACTTTCGATATCGAGAGATTCCCAGCTACATTGTCATCTGGACATATTGCTCAAACAATTCAACGCTGTACTCGCTGGAATCTAATGCGCCAACCATTTTCACTGGCACCAGGTCGTATAACCTAAATCAGGTTTATGATTCAATGCCTCCTAAAGATCACTCTCGAGAGAGTGTTCAGAACATCGTTGGAATCGAACGAGACGCTATAGTCGTCCTAGCAGGTTTATTCGAGCTGGATAGCAGAGATATATGAAGGCAAACCGTGTCTTCTTTGTCTACATACAAAGCAGGAATTAAGAAGACACGACCAGGCTTAAAGGCTCACTTGATATCTGAAGGTTGTAGTAGGGACAAGTGAATTAATTCACTGGATGCTGATGAATTGAGACAGTCTTGTAGAACGAGGAGCACAAGAATGAGATTGATTTGGTGGTGAATAAGTTATGCTAGCTAGCATAAATATCTTGTAAGTTGGAAAAAGCCTCGCCATTCAAACAAATACTATCGACATCCTGCAACCCTCATCTGCCCCGAAATTCGAATTCAGTTGATCAACCACAATATTTACTTCGCGGGCCCACATTTATTTGCCGCCTGATCACCTGATCACGATCTTTGCACTCGAAATCCTGTTGACTTAATCCTTGCTTGTTACCATTTCTCTCGGTCTCCTAAACAACATCCATCAACGCGCAATCACAACACTCGACGGAAATCCTTCCCCGATTCCCTTCTTCGTTGGATTGGAGATGCTTCACAACTAGCCTTACTGCGCGCATCTCTGCAAACCACTGCGCACTCGAAGCGGCAACAACAGTCACTCGAGTCGTTCTTGTCATCTAGTTGCCCTCAGGCCGTTGAATTTCACGACCTCCGGCGACTCTGCGACGCGCACAATCTCCTCCTCTCAGAACGGCCGAACACCACGGCTTCGGACGGGATAGATAATCGCGATCATGGATCAACCTCAACGCGCTAACGCGGCGCAACTGGCTGCGAGAAATATCAAAGCAAAGCCAAAGAGCAGAGCAAATAGGCCAGGGTTTTCTTCGCAGCCTGGTTCCGCAAATGCTGTTCCACAGTTTGCCCCGATGCCTCAGCAGGGAACGAATAGTTTCAACTCTGGAGGTAGCAGTAGAGGATTGTTTGGAGGGGCAGTTCAAGCACCGTCGACGTTCAATTTCTCTACAAACAATGGCCCATCATTATCATTTCCTCCTACGAACTTTGGATCGAGCAACACATTCGGAGGGAACCAAAGTCCCGCTCCCGAGTCAGAAAGAGTGGAGGATTCACGGAATCCCAAAAGACAATTTCAAGGTGCTTCACAATCCGGTCAACAGAATGCTACGTTCCAAACCCCGAATATCTTTGGACAGCAGAATGGCTCAGCGAATCCGTTCGCGCCCGCAGCTCCTGCGAGTAATGGGTTTTCGTTTGGCAACTCGCAGCCGTCTGTCAACCAAAGCTTTCCTCCTACTGCGACACCAGGTCAGAGCGCGAGCAATCCCTTCAACTTTGCTCCTGCGGCGGCTCCAGCTCCAAAGAGCCCATTCACTTTCGCTCCCGCTTCAACGCAGTCCCCAGCTCAAGCACCCTCGTCGCTCTTCAACTTTGGAAATACAAATACGACGCCAGCGAAACCTGCAGACGCTCCATTTTCGTTTGGCCAAACAAATACAACTTCGGCGGCCAGCGTGGGCTCTACCCCAACTACAAGTGCTCCCGCTTCTAGTGGCTGGAACTTCAACTCGACAACTGCTCCTGGACCTGCGAGCTCAGGAATCAACTTCAATTCGACGCCAACCACAAGTGCTCCTGCGAGCTCCGGCTTTAGTTTTAATCCTACACCAGCAGCAGCCGCGCCTGCGAGTCCAGCGATTAACTTTGGCTCTAAACCAACTGCAAGTGCACCAGCGGCTTCAGCACCTTTCAGTTTTGGTTCAACTGCTACGACGTCTGCACCAACTAATAATCTTTTTGGCAAGACACCTTCGCAACCTGGCTCTCCATCTACGAATCTGTTTGGAGCGACAACGCAATCTCAATCCCCAAATCCATTCGCCCATTTGAACCAACCCACGCCCTCTCCGACTGAACCTTTGAGCAAGGGAGAGCAGAGTAATGCGAAGCCCGAGACAAGTTACTTTGGCAGCCAGACGCAGAAGCCAGCGGCAAGTCCTTTTCAATTTGGAAGCCAAGAACAGAAACCCGCTACACCAACGACCAATGCCTTTACTGGCCAACAATCAACACCTGCGCCGGTTACAACCAATCTTTTTGGTGGTCAACAACCTGCTCCTTCGCAAGCACCAGCCACCAACTTCTTTGGCAGCCTTGGTCAGACACCTGTCAAGCCTACCAATGACCTGTTCAGTAATTCATCAGCGACTCCCGCAAACACAGCTGATAGTTCATCTGGCAATGAAGAGAACACCGCCCCAAAGACCGATTTGTTCGGTACTCAAGGGCAGAATACACCAAAACCTGCCAGTAGTCTTTTCCAAAATACGGAGAAAACACCAGCAAAGGCTTCGAGTAGTCCGTTCTCATTTGGACAGACACCAGCGAAGAATGTTGATAATGTTAATGTATTCAACACAACGCCTCAAGCTCCACCCAAGCCAAATCCCTTTGCGAACCTGAACAAGCCAGCTTCGGCTCTCACAGCATCGAATGGAGCTTCAGAATCCGCGAGCAAGCCAGCCACAAATGGAATGTTTGGTAATGCTTCGACGAAGGCTACTGGCTCTAGCTCGAGCAACCTCTTTGGCAATACGACGTCGCCAGCAGCACCTGCTAGTGAGCCCTTGAGCACTCTTAACCAACCGCTCAATCAACCAGCTCCGCAAGCGAGCACGACTTTGAGTAATGGAGCCGGAAACAACACCAAACCAGTCACAAATGTGTTCTCCATGAATAAAGCGCAGCCACCTCCTAGTCAAAGCACTAGTTCACCGCAGCAACCTGCGCCAGCCCAAGCAGCGCCGTTGTTAAAATCAACATATTCTGCACACGTTCCCCACACTCCAGCTGTCTCTTCTCGGCTTAGAGAAGTTCAAAGTGCAGAAGGCGACAACATAGACAAAGACGTCGATGCGCCGGAGGAACCACTGCACCCAGAGTCATTCGTCCAGTCATTGGGTCAAAATGGGCTGAAGAATATTGATGGCGATCCACAAAAATATCCCGAGCAATTTCCTGGGATGGAATATGCAAGCAGATATCCGATCGAGAAGATGGACCCCTTGATTCCGGATCATTTCACAACGGACCAGAAACTTGAGTTCTACTATGCTTACCGAATGCGTGCACTCAACAAGGCTTTGCAGAGATATTTCAATAGTATCGGACTCACCGACAACATATTCCCAGCAATTGCATACTATAATTCCTTGAGAGAAGTGATTCTGCAAAGAACCGCCCCAGATCTCAAGCTGCAGTCCATTGCTCAATCAGAAACCTCCAAAGCGAAGAGCCGGGCCAAGCCAGCCAGTCCTGTCAAGGAACGCAATCAGCCTGCTGTTTCCAAACCCTCGGATGCTTCGAAAAATACTCGTTCTTCACAACCTTCTCTGAATGGCAATACGCCCTCGTTACCACCACCACAGTCATCATTCTTCAAATCCGCGCCTTCACTGCCACCGCCTCAATCATCGCCTGCAAAGGCCTCTCCATCTCCCGCCCCTTCGCAACCTCCACAGCCATCACTTCCTAAGTTCAACCCAACTCCTTCCTCTCAGAGTTTGGCTCCTAGCCCATCTGCCTCAAAGGGTAAGCGGAAGGGCGAAGACTTCACCAAAGATGATTTCGAAGCTAGCGAAGCATCCAGTCCCTTGAAGAGAGCGAAGATGCAAAGCTCGACTGGCTCTAACACTTCCAATCTGTTCAAGAATGCTCTCAATAGTCCTGCTAAGCCACTCCCAGCGCAAGGAGCTCTGGAAAAGGCTGCGGCTGCCACCCCAGAAAAGCCAAAGGTCAATCCATTCGCAAAGCTTCCCGGAACATCTTCACCTGCAAAGCCAGGTCCCCCGCCTGCTTTCTCATTTGGTGCCGCCTCAACAACTCCAAAAGCATCACCGGCAAAGGCAGCTGCTGCACCATCTTTTTCCTTTGGGACGGAATCGACTACTCCAAAAGCGTCACCCGCAAAGCCAATGTTTAGTGGGTTTCCTACTCCTGCTGCAGCCGCTCCAGCTTCGGCACCGAAGGCTGCTACTGGTGGCTCAAGTAACTTTCTTGCCCAGTTTGGCGCAAAGGCCAAGGATGACGAAGCTGCAAACGAGAAGAAGCTTATGCAAAGAGCAATGGATGAAGACTATGATTCAGATGATGATAAGGAAGAGTGGATAGCCAACTACAAGAAAAAGAGAGCAGAGGAGCTGAACGCTTTGAAGGCAATCAAAGACAAGCCTACTTCAGCCATTCCCTCTGTTAGCGGTAGCGTCAACTTCCTTTCCCAGTTTGGCGCTAAAGCCAAGGATGACGAAGCTGCAAACGAAAAGAAGCTCATGCAGAGGGCAATGGACGAAGACTATGATTCAGATGATGACAAGGAGGAATGGATAGCTAATTACAAGAAGAAGAGAGCAGAGGAACTGAAAGCCTTGGAGGAGGCTAAGAAGACTGCAACTGGTTTTAGTTTGAAGCCAAAAAGTGGTTCTTCTGAATCGAAGCCTGCTGGTGGCTTTGTTTTCAAACCATCTTCAGATACTTCGTCGGAAAAATCCAAATCTTCCGGGTTTGTGTTCAAGCCGACCGAGTCTTCATCTTCTCAAGCTGCGAAGGAGACGTCAACAAAATCTTCTCCATTCCCCTCCGTGGCTCAGCCAAAGCCCTTACTTGGCCAGTCCGCCACAGCAAAATCTTCGGGTTCGAGCGTGTTTGAGAGTTTGAATAGCACCAGAGCCCCAACGCCCACTTTCTCCTTCGGTGCTCCAGTTCCTGATACTCAAACAACTGCGCCAGTATTCGAGGGCTTGTTTGGTCATCTATCCAAGCAAAACAGTGAAGAAGGAAGCAACAAGGAGAATAGTGATGAAGACGATGATGGGCACGAAAGTGATTCGGAAAACAAGGATCCCAACTATGATCCGAAGAAGGATAAGAATCCCGACAGTCCCAGCACACCAGTGGAGGAGACTGGTGCGGGTATTGCTTCTACCAAGAAAGCGACGAATCCATTCTCATTCGGTAGTTCAACACCAACACCGGCTGCCAAAACTGGTTCGCTTTTTGGTACACCGTCTAATTCTGGCACCACTACACCAAAGCCCAGTCTATTTGATAGGATCACGCGTGATAGCAATGGTCAGCCTGTTAAGGATACTTCTGAAGAGAAGGAAAATACTAAGCCTGCTCCAACAAACTTATTTGGATCACTCAACAAGGCTCCTGGATCACCTGCCGATCAAACGTGGAAGCCAGACACCCCAATCAAGTTTGGAGGCAATGGTGCCAGTACGGACGAAAACAGTTCCCTTAAACCAGCCAATCCTTTTGGCAGTTTGTTTGGCACAGCTCCCGCTGTGACCGTTCAAGCTGCCACACCTACCAAGCCAGCCGCTCCATTTGGCAATTTGTTCGGCACATCCAAGCCAGCCACTGCTAATGGGTCAGGTACCAGCACTCCATCGTTGTTTGCAGGATTAAATGCTCCCAAGCCTGGTGCTTCCACTGTTGGCTTTGGCTTTGGGGCTGCAAGTGGATCATCGTCACTTTTCCCTTCGGCAGCAGCTTCAACAACCACTTCTCGCGCCACTACACCAGGTGGAACTACCGATGGTGATAGTGCTGCGGAAAACGCCGACCCTGATGCAGAAAAGCATGCTCAACTAGATCTATCTGAACAAGCTCCTGGTGAAGAGGATGAGAAGAGACTTTTTGAGATTCGTGCGAAAGCATCGAAATATGATAATAATGCTTGGTCGACAAAGGGTACTGGGCTTTTGAGAGTTCTCAAACACAATGATACCAACAATACCAGAATTCTCATTCGGACTGATATTGGTAACATTGTTCTAAACAAATCATTACTGTCTGGCGTGGATTATGTGGCTACTCAAAAGACGGTCAAGCTTATGACCGCGAGTGAAGATGGAAAGGGGCTGGAGACCTGGATTCTGCAGGTGAAGACTGCTGATTCGGCTACGAAACTTGCGGAGACACTTGAGGCCAATAAGGCGGATTCTTGATTGCTTGTACAAGTCAGAGAATAATGGCACAAATTCAACATATCAAAGTCCACACAGATTATGGACAAGGGAATATTAGATGAGGTATACCTCCCCTGCACGCTGCGGGACAAGAGAATGTGTAAGAAGCACACGACGGAGGCAAATGAAAAATTTGGTGGCATGGGCGGAGCATGGGATATGGCGTTGCATAGCGATATTGAATACAAGTAAATTTGTTCCGGGGGTCGTTTGTTAGATTATTAGAATGGTTTAATCCTTGACCTGTTCTCTTTGCTTTCTGGCTGGGTTCTTGTGATGTGGATATAGCATGGGGGTTGTTGAGGGCTTCTTTATTGTAATTATGTTCAGGCCCCGGGGGGTTGAGTAGATATGTTCAGGAGTGGAATATGAAGCAGATTCTTGATGAAAGTGTTTGATTTGTGCAAGTGATGGTCGTTGATGGTGTATTAAGTGACTTGAATTAACTTGAGGTAAATTAAGTTGAGTAAGGTATTTTGCTTAAACTCAAATCAACTCATACCCAAGTCACTCATGGATAAGCTGATTGATTTGAGTAAGTTGTGGACACACTAATCTTGAAAACTGATTACTTGTAAGTGACATGTCGAGTTTTAATACCCAATGTCTTCCTGGCGTAGATGTATCTCTGTTAGTGCTTTCTCTGGCAGGCTCTTTCCCTATAAAGTCATCAACTTAAAGCTTGCCTGCCTGCTTTCCTTTGAAACTTCAATATCCAGTGCTTTTGAGGATTGGAAATAGTAGAGATAAATTCAATATTCACAAGGACATTTTGGACGTCTAAAAGCGAATGTATGTTATTGAGTTTGTAATTCTAGAGATGGTGTGATGTGCATGTAGGGTTAAAATGGGTTTCAAGAAGGCGATCTAGGATCTAACACGCAGATTAAAGCCATTCTGTTCATTTCTTTTTCAAGCACTAGTTACATGATATGTCAGAATTTCATAGATCCGTTACTAGTATACAAAATGCATCCTTTATCAATTTGCTATAAAGTCTCTTCTCTCTCAAAACTCGATGTCCTCGATCACATCAGCTCTGCAAATCGCTCTTACTCGTCCAGAATATACACACCTTTCATTTCCCCTTCATTTCTCTACTCTCACCCACCAGCCCCAGCAATCCTCGCACTCCTCCTTCTCGGCCCCGAAAGTCTCGTCTGAGGTTCACCTGGAACACCAGCACTCTCCCCTTTCCTCTTCAGAAGTCCGACTTTCTCCCCCTTTCCCGTCGCCCTCTCAGTACTCCCTTCACTTCCCTCAACAGCCATATCGTGCACCCACCTCTCCACCCTCCTCCTCCTATCCTCCACCCCCACATTTCCCACCTGACTAGCGAAAACCCGTCTCTTCCTCCTCCCCGCCTCTTCTCCAGCACTCGATAACCGGCGTTTACGAGTCCCTTCTGCTTCAGCGGGGTGTGAGAATAACTTCCTCCTTACATTTTCATTTTCAAAATTTACGTGCCGGGTTTGGGTGCTGGTGGTTTGTGTTTCGTTATCATCATCCTCGTCATTCTCATCGTCCTCGTCTGATGTTTTGGAATGTATGGTATGGATCCCATCATCATCATCATCCTCGTCGCTTAAGTCTTCCGACTCTCTCTCAATCACCCTAATCGCAAGGATCAAGAACATGAGGTCATCTAGCTCCTGCTGCTGCTGGATTGAGTCGAGGATTAGTTGGTATAGTTGCTGCTGGGTGTTCATTAATGATTTCGACATAGTGATGTGAGATTTATGTGATATGATGATGTGAAATGATATGAATTTGCCTGGGTGCATGGGACTGTGGATGATGAGGGGGCGGAAGTTGCCACGCTCTAGCGGTTTGGTTAGTTGAGTTTGGGTTTGAACTAGTGTTTTGGCCGAACATCGCTTAAAACATATAATACGATTTATTGTGACCGAAAAGGCAATTGTATGTCAGAGTTCAAGGATCCTTTCATGAGATTCTTCTCGAAGCATCACAGACCTTACTCTTTCAATTTGTTCTTCTCTTCCTACCCTAAAGACTTTATCACGCAGTGACACGCACCCCCCGTCTGGACAACACTCCCCCTCTCCATCTCCATCATATCTCCTCCCTCACTTCCTCCCCCTCTTATTCCTCCTCTTCGCCTCCGAAGCCTTCGTAGACGACTGCGCATTCTTTGCAGCCTGTTGAGAAGAGCTTTTCCCTGCTCCGGCAGTCTCTTTAGGCGATTGTTGTGATTTCATTGCTTCTGTTGCCACCTGACGAACAGGCGCAGGAATTGAATTTCCCTCTCGATTGACAGACTCAACCCTCGGAATGTGTGGAGTCTTGGTATTTCCAGTACTGTTAAATTCAGCAGGTCCAGCAATCCCCTTAGGACGTTGAGCACCACGGAGTTTCGGAAAGTCAGTACTCGCGTTTTTAGGATCACTAGCAGAGCCAGACGATTCCCTATTCTTCGCTGCTTGTTGAGAAGAGCCTTTCTTTCCTCCATTTAGGACTAAACCCATAACTCTGTCCACACTATCGTGCTCAACAGCAGAAAGCTCAGGGCTTGAGTAGCAGGTAAAGCTCAAACCTTGTCCGTTACGAGTTACTTCGGGGCTGGAAGGAGGTTGGCTGACGCTCAGGTTATCGACGAGATGCTGCAGCTGAGCTGTAACGGCTTCGGTCTCTTCGAGCGTTGGACCTTTGATATATGAAGTACTGGCGTTCTTGTAATTTCCTGTAATATCAGATATGACAGCTCCAGCACTCTCATCTTTACTTCCTCCAGCAGCGTCAGATCTCGCAGCTCCAACAACCACCTTCTCAGAATCCCCAGCCGTAGAACTCACACCCTTCCTATACCCACCAGTTCCACCGGTCGCTTCCCTAACCCACGCCTCATCAGCAATGAAATCAAGATCATCCTCAAACGCATCCCTGCCAGCGACGAACTCAACATCATCTTCGAAATCCAAAGACGTCTTGATCGTCCCGACTTTCGAGGGTGTATTGCCCATGGTGAATCTAGACATTGTTTCGCGAGGACTGTTCTACGAGACATGATGGTGTGTGAACATGTGTATGTATATAGATTGTTTGAAGGGAGGGTGTATGTGTTTGTGGGGACGGTGTTTGTGAGATGGTATGAGTGTTGGGAGAGAGTCATTTATGTTTCCTGTTTATGTTTTACTGCTTATGAGATGATTCCTCTTCATATATGAGACGTAAGAGAGAGACAAGCATTTGTTTACCTTTATATGGACTTATGACACTCCTACATTTCCAAACTTCCATAACCTTGGTTTTCTTCTCTATTTGTTGAATACACTTTTCCACACTATCGAAAGTATCTTTCATACCCATTTTTTTGCAGGTACAGACTACTTCTCCATTCCAAAGTATTCTTAAATAAAAACTAATTACGGGCAAGCAAAGGTGACATGAACTTAAATAATCTATTTTCAAACATCCGAATCCTCATATCCCCTTACTTCAAAGTCCCATCGAAGAGAGGCTCAAAACATTCATGTCTTCAAAGTGTTGTTCTGTAATTCCATTCTGATTTTCACGCCTACGACTTACTTTAGTTTCAAAGAGAACCGCTGGTTCAAATTATGGCATTGATATCCTCGTTAAGCACATCCTAAAACCCACAGTATGCAAACCAGCTCAATCTCCCACCTAACAAGAATTAAACCTTCTTCATTTAGTTAAGGAATAAAAACACATGAGCTTAACAACCTGTAAGGCGGCAAGTTATATACACCTAGATTGACTGCCTACACTAATAGAATAACTCAGAGGATGAGATATTCGCAGGTATAGAAAATCTGAATAGTGATACAGATCAGGAGATGATACATCCTGACTTAGTTACTTAAACACTAAACCCAAAAATACCTGCACCATCTCATTTTCACATTCTCAAGAGCCACTAGACGAAACACAATTACCCATCACCCCAAAACACAACCATCAAACCACCTCTAACTCCCAACTTACTTCCAACCCTCAAATCACAGCACCACCATGACCCTCCAACAACCCATGTCCAACACACACACATCCATACATCCCACCCCCCTCCCCCCTCCCACCACAAAAACCCCAAACAACCTCCTCCCTCCCACTTCACCCACCCAAATAAAAACCACTCCACACCACAAAACCACACACCTCAGATTCCCATCCACAGCCCCAGCCCACCCACGCCCTCCCCCTTACCACACACCCTATCCAACTCAAACCAGTCAAACCATTCAAACCAATTAACCAAGAAAGGAAAAATACCACCATCCATGAAAAAAAACCACACACCCAGTAATTTCCCGAATATAATTGCCATTCTACACAGAAAACCACACGAACCACACTCGCGAAACACGAGACTGGGTTAGAACCGATTTAGTATTACATTAATTCCTCAGAGGTCTAGATTATCTTCTTCTGTCCTTACAATTTACAATTTACAAAACCTCTACAGAGACTCTCCCTCGCTAGAAAAAAAAAACAGTAATTTGGTTTTCCGTGTTAAACCTCATATTTCCCATGATTTCTTTCTAGTATCAGTTAAGCATATCATGTATGAAGTAACCTTACCTACTCACTCACGCCTATCACATCACATCAGTCAGATCGCCGATAACAGGCACATGCATGATAAGTTTCCAAACGAATGTGTTATTTCTACTACGATATATCTCCTTCCTCTTATCCCCCATCCTATCCATGCATCCACCACTATCCACCCATCCACTCATCTCATCCACATCTCGCTAACTAACAAACGGGGTATGCAACAAGATACAAAAACCCCCAAACGTACCCGTCCACTTCCAAGAGACAAACGCGAAAAGAAAAAAGAAAGATTCCAAGATCATCCTCTCATACCTCGCTTCCAGGCTGGTGTTTTGACTTTGTGGTTTGTGTGTGTGTATTGGTAAGTGAAAATCATATATTTTGAACAATCTTTTTCATCTCAAAGGTACCCCGCAATCATCAACAAAGAGACCAACCAACCAACCAGAGCAAACCAATCCCGAGGAAAGAGGAACATAGACCACCACGCCCCGAGATAATTTCGAGACCAGCCATTGTTTATAGACTTCCAAAGAAAACACAAATACACACAAACCACGGAACAGGCGCCAAAAGATGAGAACGCGTACCCCAAACCTTCGCTGTTTAACCAAAACATAAATGCAAATTAGAAACCCATGAACACAATCCAAGGTTTGATAATATCTGCATCGTCTCACTCTTCAACATCGTATTCTTGAGACGCACCAGTCGAAGCAAAAAATGAAGAAGTTGATGTACTTGTAATCTCAAATGTTGTTATTAAGGACTCGGTAATTTCGTTTGATCGTAAAGGGTAAAAGCAATGAACAATATGCACAGTCGAATGCAATATCAAATTGGCAGGTGAATGATTGTATATCAAACAATAGGGATCTACCCTTGTTGACAATTTTGTCGTAGAGACTCTTAAAATTGAGTGCTCTTTCTCTTCTCAACCGATGTGAGAACGAGCATTTGTGCCTTGCGTTGACCTTCAATTGGTTCAACCTTCTTTCCTCCGTTCTTGAAAACGGCAGCAAAGCTACCACCAACGGATTGACCTTCATCACTGCTGACGCTAGCAGCTGTGAAGTTGCTATCAAATGATGCAACGGATTTGCGCTCGAGGGAATGCTCCTTTTGACGAGAAGATGGGCGATCAGAACCGATTGCACCATGAGCAGAAGTTCGAGAGCTTCCCAAACTTGGACGGCCGGAGAGGCTTCCACTTCCACTGCGACCACTGTCCGAATCATTGTCAGATGAAACTGAAAAGGCTACCTCGCCAGTCTCTGACACTGGAGACATACTGCCTGAGCTGCTTCCAGGTCCTTTACGACGTTCCAAACCAGCACGAACAAGATTGTGAACAGCATTTCGGCGTGTACGAGTAGCAAAGTTCTTGCTACCTTCAAACTTGGTGGTTGGCTTGGAGACCAGTTCATCGAGAGGAGGTGGACCGCGAGGTTGACGGATTGGGTGTTCACCCGCACGGGATTGACCAGGACCGAATGCTGCTGCGCTTGGGGTTTGTGGGAAGCCCTGAGATTTTGGCAGCATGGCAGATCTTGCGGCTCCTTCAACGGGAGTTGTGTTATCGATGGCCACGGCCATGGAGTTAGCCTTGCGGTGTCCACGGCGGAAAGCACCCGCGGATGGTGGCGGCAACGGAGCATGATCTTGTGGAGGTGATTGTGCCTTTTTCGGTGGGCTGATGCTTCGGGTAAAGTTTGCGGCATCCGATGGTGGTGGTGGTGAGACCTGGAATCGTGGTGTACCTGGTTGTTGGGGTGGAGAGTAGTGGATGTTTGATTGGGCGGTCTGGGCTTGTTGGCTCATGTACTGCGCAGCTTGTCCAGTGTGGTCCATGAAGTAGGTCTGTTGTCCGGTCGCCGGGTCATAGTATGAGTACACGCCTGGCTGAGCGCCCATGACTGGTGCAATAATGGGCTGCATGTTTTGCTTGACCTGTTGTTGCTGGTACATGTTCTGAGGAGTAACTGGAGGAGTAGCAAATTGTTGCTGTCCCATACCCAAATTCATGCCTTGGAATTGTTGATGAACGCTCATCAGTTGTTGTTGGAGGCGTTGTTGCTGCTCCGCAAGGTACATGTTGGTAGCAACAAGCTGAGCGTACAGGTTTGGGTCCATGTTCTCTTGATTCTGCTCATCAATCTGAATCGCTGGAGGAGCCAAGATCTGCTCTGCGACTGGGTACATTTGTCTTTGAGCGTTCATCTGGCTGTAACCGTTCTGTTGATTTTGATGAGGGAAGCTGGTCTTGGGTCCACCATATGACTCCTCCTTGGCGTAGATGCTGGCTCCGAGACCTCCGAGGTTGTGCTGAAGTTGAGTTGGAGGAGCGGTAGAAGGAAAGTTGCTGGTGGTGGCAGATTTGGGGGCCGTTCTCAACCCAGCAAGCAAATGGGATCGTGATGTTCGTGGTGTGGGAGCACCGTTATCAAGATGATCGGACTGCCTTGGGGTTTGGAAGGAGAGACGTTTCAAATTGGCTCCGTTTGCACGTCTAGAAGCAAAGCCAGAACCGGGCATTCCCAATCCATTGCTGGAAGGGAAGTTGTTGTATGACATCTGAGCAAGACCGCCTGCGTCCATTTCTGCGATGTTATACCGGTATGAAGGTGATGGTTGATCGAGGCGGATTGACAGGATGATCGAAAATTCGACGTCAAGAGAGTGAAGGCGGTCGAAGGGTGATGCTCAAGATAAGAGCAAGTCGAAAAGTATTATTGGAATTATAGGATCGATAGAGATATCGATCGAGTTGTATGTAAGACAAGAAGAATTATGTATGTGTAAGCTCTGAGCAGAGGCAAGCCTTTGATGCAGGCAGCAGTGGAGAGAAGACTCGAAAGTTTGTAATGAATAGCGTGTTGCTTGTTGCAAGATCCAAGAGTGTCGAAAACGTGCGACCGAGAGGAAACGAGAACGCGTCGTTGAGTATGTGTCGGAAGGTTGAAATTACAGAGATGTTTCCCTTGATCGAAAGACCAGAGGCGAGCTCGTGATCGATGGTGTAATAACAAGTGCGGTCGAGTGGGCGGAGTCGAGGAAGAAGAAAGCGCGATGCTCTGCAATCAACAAAGAGCGACCGGTTCGGAAAACGATGAAAGAGCAGGAGGCGAAGGATGCTGATTGTTGGAAATGACGACGATGGCGAGAAAAGTCAGCGAGCAAGCGAAGAACAGACGACGGAGCGGCAGGCAGGGCAAGAGCGAAGCAGGTTCGATATTAATTGATGTTGGGGGTTTTCAAGCTGTGTATATGTGTGCGAAGAAGACACCACAGAAGTCCAAGCTGAAGGGGGGTGGTCAGAAGTTCGCGGCCGGATGGCGTAGGGATTGACGGAAGGATTGCAAAGTTCTTTGGGTGCGACGGGTGGACGAACAAAGGGTCACGACCAGTCGGGGCAGACTCCAGGATCTGGATGTGAAGATGAAAATATCTCGATGCTTGCGGAGGGAAGTGGATGCGCTGCGATGCTGAGGCGAAGAGTATTCGGGCGGCTCTGGCGTGTATTGGCGTGGTGCTGGTGCTGGTGCTAATGTTTTTCTCTCTGGGAGGAGTCAATCTGACGGGGAACAAGAACAATGCAACTGATCGCGACGATTAAACAATCTTGCGCTGCAGAAGAGCTCGAAGAGTTGAGGAGTGCGAACAGGACACGGACGACGACAACAACAAGAGGGGGAGGAAATAGAAGAAGGGGCGGTGTGTGGTTGAAGAGGAAGAGGAGGAAAAGGAGGTCGAGCGAACGAGCTGCGAGAGTCGCTTCGAGACGAGACGGGCGGCGGAGAGGTGGAGGGTCGTGAGTGTGGGTCTCAGCGTGCAGCAGGACTAGCGCGTGTTGGAGTGGAAAGAGAGTTTGGATGGTTGGCTGGAGAGGAGCGAGGAGTCAGGAGCCACAGCCAAACACCGCCAAATCCTGACTCCTTCACGCAAGTCACAGACAGGCCAATCAAGCTGATTCAACACGTGAAGCAAATCACTCCACTATGCCGAACGTGGCAAGAATCGCAACGACGCAGGGGGTGAGCAGATGGGACCAGGATTCGGACGGTGCGTGTTTTGTCAATTAAGGGGGAGATCCACTGCTGATCAAAGGTCGAGGTCAAAGGGTCCAAGCCAGTCCAGTCCAGTGCAGTTTGCTGCTGCTGCGAGCTGATTGTGATGGTACTGCAAGATTGTATGGGTAAGAAGACTTTGGTAGGACAACATCACGCTTGATGCTTCCGCTTCTCAGCGGCTGCAACTAGCAACTCTGGTAAGTGCTTACTGCTTTCCCGTTTGATCGGACAGCACATGGGAAATAAAGTAGATGTACAAATTCAAGAATAGCCTTCTGTTGTGTTGATTCAAGCATCCGAGTTGGTTGGTCCAGGATCTTTACACATCGGCAATTCTCCATTTAGCGATTCACGGCGTCAATCTTAGCTTTACGAATACTATTGGATGTAGTAATACACGATACCCGCCTCAATCTTCACTTACCAATCTCGTGCATTTATTATCATCATTGGCAGAATCATTGCAGATCTATCTCTATCAAATCAGCCCAGATCATCATGATAGCAACGGTTATCGATCCTCTCAAGCCTCGATTGTGAATCCGAATCAACAGAATTGTGGCTCACGATCTGATATTCTATTCCTAGAGCCCCTCCTCTAATATCACTCACACAGCCGCGATCTCCACTATTGCAGAAGATCGTCTCATCAAGGGACTTCAACCCGGAAACCAAACCTTTCGACCCGCATCTACGAGGCACTTCAAAGTACAGTAGAATATCACTCCACAACTCTGAAGCCTCTCAAGTATTCCCAAAGATCTAATTAAGGGTCCTGTTTCTTGTACTGTGTATGTTCATACGAAATACCCAAGAAAATAGCCATCCAAACGTAAGCGAGTCATGCCTCCCTCAATCACAACAAACCCATTTACAGTAGTTCCATGCACAAAATACGAACCCTCCGTCCCCAAAACCTGCACCTAAACCCCATCCATCCATCCCAACAATCTCCAAAAACCCAAAATATATCCGAAATGATCCCCATCTAGACCACGCACTTCATCTCAATCTCATGCCTACCTAAGTCGCCCCCACCATCCCATCCACATAAACGAACACTCACAAGCGCTTTCATGCAAGCCGTCCGCACCCATCAACCAAACAACCCAGGCCCACAGCCGCTACCGCTATCGAAATCTCTCGTAGCCGCAACGACACATGCAGCACTTCGTGGTCGAGATTGATACGATGGGGTTGCGCTTGAGGCGTCTTTCTTACCGTTGAGTTATTTCAGTATACCATCACGATGAGCTTAGGAAGAAGGGTTGTGCTGATCAATTGAAGAAGGTATTGTGATCCGCGCATTCGGTGGAGTGAGATGATGTGCGGATTTTCTGGAGTACAGAAATTCATGTGTATGAAGCACCGTGTCATGAGTCCACTTCTCCAGGCCTTGCATTTCCCGTCGTCGCTGCTTGTTTTATTTAAACAAATCGACTCCACAGCACTTTAGACGGTGCTGGAACTTGCGCACCCCATCACTTCCACACGAGGAAATCTTGCACGTGTTATTGAATCATGATATACGTGTTTAGAGAATGCATAACTTATAGTGACGAATAATGCAACCCTTCTAAATAGAATGTTCCCTGGGTGTTGGGGTTCTGAAACGCGATCCTTCGTTTTCTCAAACACTGCCTTGACAGGGGGGTTCGGTTCGTGGGCCGTGGGTTGGGGGGTGATATTTTTGGTAAGCGAGGTGTAACTGCCAGTGGCTGCGTAGCTCGAATGCGTGGTGTGATTATGGATAAGATGAATGAATAGTGATATAGAGATTATGTAAAGGGTAGGAAAAGGGTATAAATGTTCGGAAAGATATCGAGTAAATACCCTAGCAAGCTTAAGTTTACAATGTAAAATAATACTTCCTCACCTACCAACATATACCTAATTCCCCATCTACTAACCACTACGATAGATTCCCCTAAAACAATAAAAGCAGATCGAATTCTGAGAATTTGGCGCGTTGAGGTGCTGATGTTTACAGGTTTGAGGTGTGAATGATAGTTAGATGGAGGGGAGGAAAGGATGGTTATTTTGCTAAGAGGGAGTGGGAAGTCGTGTTAGTCGGATCTTGTTAGTGATGGGTGTGTTTTTTGTTGACGAATATATGACTCCTACATAGGTACTATGAAAGCATAGGTACTATGGCGATGAAAGTTGAGTCTTACGATACCAAGGTACTCATCTTACAAACACAAGAACCATACTATCATACCTCTCCTCACTCACAAGTGCTCAGCTGCATAAGTATATATTCCTATACAAACCACACCGTTCACCCAATCAAAACCTTTTCTCATACGAGTTTCAACATTAGTGATCAACCGCCCAAGAAGTCCCGTCATGTCCGCCCTGAATTTCGAAAACGACTGTATCTACGTGTGGACATCTATTTCACGCGTGACGAGAGATGTTAGGGGCGAGAGGACTAGTTACGTTGTGACTGTTGGATGGCGAGTTCTTTCACCTACCAATAACCAGCCTACAAATCCTAGACCCAATCTAATTACCTCGCCAATGGCCCCTTCAAGCACGACGCCGCCAAGGGTTGATAGTCTGGGGATTATACGTAGAATGCCGATACCTCCACTTGTGCCCCAAACATCCGCGATTGCACAAGGTATAGCCAGGATGAGAGCTGAGGAGGCTGCTGAACAAGCGAGAGGGAATGGGCGTGAAGAGGTAGACAGGACGTCGACTCTGAGTAGCTGCTCGCCAGGTTTTTGATATTGAATTTCGAGATTCTAGTTGCAAATTGATCTGAGTCTTTCCTTTGAAGAGGTTTTCATCTTCTGTGTTTCTGCTCTGTGATAGTCGCCTTGACATGTACTCTCATGTCTTCTTGTTGCTTGGACCTCCTAACCGCAGATTGTCTTCGTACAAGGTCGTATCGTTTGACTGACGATTGTGTATGTCTCCAATCTGCACCTGCTTGGCTCTGTCGCTTCTTCCATTCATCTCGGCTCTTTCTTCTCAATCCAATCCGTAGTCTGGTCACTCCGTAACTTTGCCTTCATCAAACTTAACCACCATCCCACCTCACACACCCTCCAAAATGCCCAAAACCCTCTCCTCAACCCCACCATCCTCATCACCCTCCCACCCTTCCTCTTCCCCATCTCCACCCCTCCCCTCCAGCCCATTGACCCCCCTCATAACCCTCAGCACCAGCAACCTCATCCGCTCCAACTCCCTCTCCACCTCCCCACCCCTAACAACCACATTCCCCTCCACATCACCTAACCCCTTCACCAACTCCCCCAACGCCTTATAACTCTCTACTTTCTCCCTCGCCGTACTTCGCCGGTCATCCAATTCCACCAATCGAGCTTGTAACGCGCTGTATCGTTCCGCATCCTCTGATTCTTCATCATCCGGCCACGTCGGCGGGAGTTGTTCTATAACCTCCTCTTTCGCTACAATCATCAGCATCACACCCAAAATCAAGCCCTGAACACAATATTACGCACATAAATCCACACCCCTCCTCATCCACTCCTCTCCATGTCCCTCACTCGCAGAAGCCGCAGCATTCCAATACAGCCGATCGATCTGCTCCGCAACATGCCGTGTCGCTTGGGGCGTGAAAATCCGTTTATTGTGTTGACGAACGAGGGTGTTTGTTTTTTCGAGGACGGTGGTGATGGTTTTTGGGGGGATGGAGGGGTCTTGGACGGGGTTGGGGGGATTGGAGGACGGTTTTAGAGGGGTTGAGAGGAGGGATATTTGGGTTGTTAGGAAGGAGGTTTTTAGGGCGGGGATTGTGGGGTTAGTTGTCATTTTGGTGGTGGTTTTGCGGTGGTCTGGTGGTGTTGTAGGAGGAGATTCGGGGATCTGGTTTGGGTTGACGCGATGAATGAGGGGAGACGCGTTGGGGCACGGGCCGCTTCAAGGTCAAAATGTCATTGAACAACTAATTACCTAAGGTACGTCCCGATCCAAGTCCAGACTTCATCTAAGAATTGATTCTGTTTATAGCTGATGCTTTGGGTTTAAAGTGTCATTGCTGTGTGTTTACTCGGGAATCATATTCCCAACTCATATCCCCCTCCACGCACAACATCCGATGGGACAACATCCACTCTCCCCTCATCAAACAAGGATCGTAACTCTCATACAAGGGGTCAACAACCGGGAAATAAACCCATCCAGCCTTGTCCCAACACCACCCCAATGATTGGACCATCCACCCTGTCACCACGCTTCAATTTCCAAAGAAAAGCACCAACCGTAATATGACGAGCAACAATAACCCGAGCGCGTGCCAGAAAATGGGAACTAATCCTCCTTCACGAACCGTTTCTAGCTCCATGTCCTCCCAGCGCAAATGTCACAACCCAAGATACCCGAAGAAAAGGTGAAGCCGCGAGATGTGTCGAGTGAGGAAATGGAATTGGCGCGACTTGGACGGGAGTTGGAGGGTTTGGAGAGGAGATTGGGGGTGTGGGAGTCGTTGAAGTTGCATCGGGTTGCGGTTTTATATGGTCAGTTCTTGAATTCGGGATTTGGGAAATGGGAAATGGACTAATGAGGTCGTAGTTCTGGCAGCATATTCTTGCGCTGCTGTATACGTGAGGATTCCATTTGCGCGACGGGAATAGCGACTGATTTGGATAGGGATATGATTCGATTGCGAATAACACTACTCTGGCGATGCCGGCATTCCAAATCTATTTCGGTGATTTTAGCGAACATTTGAATTCTTACTACATCGAATCGATATGGACGTCCCTGTGGGCTTCAATGACTGGTGTAGGACAGATTGTTGGGTCTGCGATTGCTGGTCCGGTGTCACAGAGGGTGGGCAGACGATGGACTGCTATGGGTTCGGGAGCAATCACTGTAAGAGGTTTTGGGATTGCTATTCAAGGGGTCATATGCTGATTTTGTCTAGATTGTGGGGGTTGCGATACAGTATGTTGCTGTCAAGAAAGGTGTGCTGTTGGTTGGAAAGATGATCAATGGTGTTGCTGTTGGAGGACTGTTAAGTGTTGGGACAACTTATGCTTCCGAGGTCAGTCATCATCAGTTGATGTGCAACATCAACTTTTCTGATTATTTTTAGGTAGCACCACCTCGTGTTCGCGGTGTCCTACTTGGAGGATTTACTTTCTTCGTGGTGGTTATGCAATGTGTTGGACTTGGAATCATACGTTCGCTTGTCCCAAATCTACGACCAGCGGCATTTCGAACAGCTCTTGGCCTTCAATGGCTCGTTGGCGGAATCCCAATTGTTGCCTTCTTCTTCTCTCCAGAGTAAGTCTTGCATGTCTCACCTCGCTTAACCACTAACATCCCAGATCCCCAAACTACCTCATCCTCAGAGGACGTACACAAGAAGCAAAAGCATCCATAGGACGAATCTACGGCACAAACAACTGCATAGACGCACGTCTAGCCCACCTTCAAGCCGGAATCGATCATGAAAGCCAAAAGTCCAACTCATCAGCAAGCTATCTCGCCTGCTTCCGAGCCACCGATCGCAAACGCACTTTAACAGTCTGCCTCCTAATGTTCGGCAATGGTCTCATAGGCTCCGCCTTCCTAACTCAAAACATCTACTTCCTAGGCCTCGCCGGTCTCGCCGCCAAAACAGCCATCTCAATCAACATCGCCGGATTCGGACTCGCCCTCCTTTTGATCCCCCTCTCTTGGCTCTTCATCGACAAAATCGGTCGTCGACCCCTCTATCTCATCGGCGCAGGCGGGAACGCCATAGGCATGCTCATCATCGGCGCTCTCGGATACTCTTACACCAATCCAACCGTCTGGGCCGTCGGCGTCATTCTCAATCTCCTGATCACATGGCAACTCTTCACGATCTATACCGTCTCCTGGTCGCTAGCACCAGAACTCTCATCGTACACCCTCCGTCAACAAACACAATCTATTGGCGTCGCTGTCCAGGCATTCACAACTTGGTTCTTCGCTTTCGTCACGCCGTACCTGTATAACGTCGGCTCCTCCTCTGGCAATCTGGGCGCGAAAACGGGCTTTATATTCATGGCTACTAGTTTGATTCTGTTCGCTTGGTCATGGTATTGGATTCCTGAGACTAAGGGGCTGGGCACGGAGGAGATTGATATGTTGTATGAACGAAGCATACCACCGAGGTTCTGGGGGAAGGAGATGAGTAGACTAAGGAGAGGTGCCGAAGATGAGAGGGAGGAGCGGAGGAAGAGGGAGGATGTTGAGTTGAAGGAGTTTGAGGCTGGTGGGGATACGAGGGTTGGGTTTGGAGGTGGGAGGGACGAGTTTGGGTTGTGATGGCTGTCGTTATGTATTATGTGGGCTGTAGGGAAAAGGTGCCATGAGATGGGCTGGGGACTTAGATGTGTGATGTTTACAATGATGGATACCCCTTTTTGTTTTCTTTTGTATTTTATTTGGTTTGCCATAGGGGGGATTGGGTGAGTGTTTGAATGTAGATATATATTTCTTGGGATATATAGGGGATGAATGTACGATGAGTTAACCTGATAATACCTCTAACAAGTGCGAAGTGAAGAAACTCCACACCCATATACGATCTCGAAAGTGAACACCACCCCATCCCTCCCTTCATTACACACCTCACCTCAACCTCACTTCCCATCGTCCCCCACCAAGCTCATCTGTTTATATTTACACCTCCCTCCCCCTTCCCCTAACTCTGCGTCACCACGTCTCTCCTAGAAATCGCGACATGCAACAAACCCCTCACATCAACACCTCCTAACACTGTGAGGCTATCCTAGAAAATGCGATGTGCAACAAATGGTACAAGTGTGGAGGGTTCACCTTTACTTATATAGGGCAAAGAGAGGGAAGGGCAAGGGGGAAGGGTTTGTTGCATGTCGCTAGGGTTAGGACGCTGGGGGTTTGGGTTAGGAGAGGATGTGTAGGCTAACCAATCATCTGGAAAGATTCAACCTCTAGAGCGCTCCTAGAAAGTGCGATGTGTAACAAAATATCTGGGTGATTCACTTTTAAGCGTCTGGGGAGGGTTTGTTGCATATCGCGATTGTTAGGATGTAGGTGTTTAATATACGGAAAGATGTATGAATTGAGAGGAGAGTGGTAGGAGTAGGGGGGTTAGCTTAGGATAGTATATAGGAGAGATTAGGTAGGCTGTTCTAGAAAGTACGATGTATAACAAAACATATAAAGGTGTATAATCTACCTTTAAGGGTATATAGGGACGGGGAGGGTTTGTTATATGTCGCGATTTTTAGGATACTACTTTCTAGTAAAGAATAGAGTAGAGGCTTAGAATAGTGTGTAGGAGAGAGTATAATAGCTTTGTAGAGGGGGACCTTAGGAGGGGGGTCCTAGAAAGTGCGATGTATAATAAAATATTATAGAGTGTGCGATTCACTGCCGGTTTAAGGGATAGGGGTTTTGTTGCATGCCGCAGTTTCTAGCATATGCGATGGGAGATGTGAGGTTAGAGATGTGCTCGGGATAGTTAGATGGTGGTGATTGGGGAGAAGTGAGGGGAAGTCAATAGTAGAATAGAAGGGGTATATACAACACTCGAAAAAGCAGAAGGATGGTTTTCTCATTCCTCAAAACCAGCACATAAACATCTCTGTGTCGTTCATGAGAAACAACCGACATTTTCTATTCTCCGACTGCAAATATCTTCCCAAGATAGTTTAGATAAAAGTAGGCAAAGCACTTAGATAGATATGCGCACGAGATTGTCACTTTTGAAGTAACATGCTTAGTATCTCCTGACGGACTACGCGGTCTTTTCCGAAGGTCGTACTGCCTTTAGGAGGAGAGACATACGCAGAGTTTCTTAGAATAAAAGGATGGAAGCCATGTAGTGTTCATCGACTGTATTTTCCGAGTAAGTTGAGGGTTTTAAAGAGTAGTAGACAATGACACAATCGCAACACATATTAGATATAGAAATGTCTTTCGGAAAGTCGGGAGAGTATACGACTTGTAGAATAAGCTTGTAAACCAGAAATAAGTGTAGAAAACGTTAAATACACTAAAGCCTATTAACGACAAAAGCCCGAGAATTACAAATATCTAGTCTTAAACAAAGCTATCCTTAACGCAGAATCGAAAACGTTGTAAGATTAAATATTTAGTAACATTGAAAAGGATACATTCGTAACAAAGATAGATCTTTCGGCCTACATCTAATTCTGATCCGTACTACAAATACAATCCCAAAGCTAAAACCCCTTAACATTTTGAATTCATGATGTGTTCGACCAAAGGCCAAACTTAACAGATTACTTCTACCGTTTACGTCTATATCATACGTAAGCTTTCCGAGTTTCGAAATTTGATAAGTGGCGGACTGAATAATAATCAAACCTGGTCGTAGTCTCTATCCTTTGCACGCCTTCATCACCCGAGTCTCTAAATGACCATCAGTGTCCTAAATGCGGACGATAGGTTGTTTGAACCTTGAAGTAAACTTAGTAGTTTCTTACTTTGACTTTCAATGAGCAGAAGGCAAAAGTTCTGCAGTTCTGAGAATAAGCTTATAATAGAAGCGTGCAAGCACCGTGAAGTACTAGGCTTTGAACATATGAGGGGCGTATAGTATTTATATATATTGACTTTCACTATCTTTACGTAGAGCAGTATCTCTGCGTTGAAGTGATATCAAATGTACTACATTATTCGAGGGGTCGATGGAATTTTGGGCAACTTGGGAATTTGGAAGCTTGTACCAAGTATAATGATCTTCATTTATATTCCAATTCAGGCTGTCATTGATCAGTAATCACTTATGGCCCTCTCCATTATCTCAAATGTGTGCTCCGAAATAAGCTGAGCTGACTAGACTCATCCGGGTCCAAATGATGCCAAAGTCCTGAAGAGCAAGTCCCATTGCAATGCCACTCATCCCATCGCGTCTGAAGTCAAAAGAAGATCAACATCAAAAAATAGCATGATACAAAGACATTGCTAAAGCCCGATAACTCCTACAACTCACAACCAAGCACTCCGCCTCCCACATCCACTCACCACCCTTCCTCCCCCAAGCCAACCCCAGTGTAACCCGCGCGAAATGCAACAAAACCCCCTCCAACACCCTCCAAACCACCCCCAAAACAAGTCACAGCACCACCTAAGAAACGAGCTATCAAAACTCCGCGTCCATCCTTTCAACCAATGGCTTCTAAACTTCTAGCCTCGTTCGCTAAAGACAGATGTGGCTGCAGATGATGTCTCGGACCGAGTCAGTGGTTGCGGATGTGATTGGTGGATGTGGGTGGTTTAATGTAATGGAGATCTGATGGATTTGCTTTGGGTGGTGGTTACACGGTGAAAAGGATGATGTGGAGGTTATGTGAGATGGCGGGGATGAGATGTGTGGTGTTATTTGTTGGGTAGTTGGGTTCTTGGTGATGGTTCCACGACCAGCATTGCCGTTCTTTTGATCGACAACGGGATGCTCAAGAAGATCAAGGATATGTTGATTTGAGATATGATTTGGTAGAGCTAGCATGATTCTATACTCTCTTATTCGATTGGTGTGACAAATACAAGCAAATGGTCGGCGATGCCAAGGACAGGTTAAATGGAGTCGGTCGAGCTTCCGAGACTCGAAGACCCCATCGAAGAGACTAGTTGCCCAAACATTTTTGTCATGGCTACAAGTTCCTTTGATAGCTTCGGCTTGTGTTATCCCTTCCTGAAGTGTAACTTCTCTCTTCCTGGTAGCATCTCCTGTCCAAAGCTCGGCTGATGAGCATTTCGGTATGCAAAGGCATTGACGTATTAAGCCATGGCCTTCCAGACCAGGAGTCGGTTGCTACTGGTTTCGGTGTAGATATTGCTGCCCATTCCCAATAAACTATCATGCTCGAGCATGATCCGCGGTTCAAAATCTTGTGGATGAAGAAGTGTAGTGGTGTACCTAGAGTTTACTAGGCTTGTACCATGGGCGGAACTAGTCTGTATCTTGCGTACAAGATTCGGCCAGAATAGCCCGTAGATGAAGGTATCGTATCGACACTCGAACGTAATCGTCGTCGAAATCCCCTTTGACATTCTTTGCCCATCCACCACCCCCCTAATTACCCACCCCCCTATAAACCTCCCTCAAATCAAACCCATCCACCTCCCCCTCACTCACCTCCCCCACAACCCTCCCCGGCCGTCCGCCCACCACCGAAAAACTCGGAATCACCATATTCGGCGGGACAACCGTCCCATCCAGCACCCGCGCATAGTCCTTGATAATCGCAAACTTGCCAATCACACAACCCGCGCCGATCGAGACATGCGAGCCTATTAATGCGGCTTCGACGATCGTGCCGGGCCCGATGAGGACGTGGTCGGCGATTTTGAGTGGGTAGTGTGAGAATGTGCTGCCAAAAACCATCAGCTCATGCTGTAAATATGAGGGGGAGGAGGAGGGGAGGAGAAAAAGAAGGTACCCTTTATACATCTTCCCCGGCGGTCTCAACTCGCACCCCCGACTGAAGAAACAATACCGTCCAATAGCAACCGCGACCGGATTCCCCTTGCCCTCGCTGCTGCTGCTGGGATACGTGCGCAGGAGGTCGCCGCGGATGATGACTTCGGCTTGGATGACTGTCTTTCCGCCGAGGATGATGTTCGTTGTGCCGATGATCTGGGAGCGGCGGGAGACTTTGTTGCCGGTGTCCTGGGGGTGTGTTAGTTGGGAAGAAGGGAGGAGGAGGTCAAGCGTACGGTTTCGATGTATTCGCCTTTGACGGGCTTTTTGGACATGGTGGTGGGGTTAAATGGTGTGAGTTCGTGGTAAATTGAGGATATTTGGGTGGGAAATCTCCATTGGGGTTCGGAAGTACGAGATCTTGAGGCTCAAGTGTTGAGTTGCGCAAGTTGTGTTCACGATGGCGCGCCTGCGATGAGGGAGACGCGTTTCGGCTCGGCCCGTACTCGTACGCCGTACTTAGGTGGGGTGAAATGAGTACTATACGTTACAGCTATGTAAATATTTTTAATACATATAAAGTATATGTTCATTCGATTTGTAACTCAGGATTCTATAGGAGTCTTGATAGGATGAATTTCCGAATTTTCAGACAAGTAATCAGAGTTATGCCAAAAGTTCGATTATCGCCGGCATAGCTATCATTCAGCTACTATCTCAACGATTTCCAAATAGCATTGCCAGCTTTCAAACCCTCTCAAATTCGTGTTCAAAAACTAAGTTCCATGTCAGTCGTACAAAATCTAGTCCAAGAGATACCCTCCATGCAAACCTCTGTTAACAACCCGAAACGCTCTTCAAAACCAACCTCCAAGGCACCAACTCCCTTGACCCCAAAAACAATAACTTCAAATAATCGGACCAAAAGGCTGCTCATACATAGTAAACGCCGAAACCGGCAGCCTCCTCGTCCCCGCCCATGACCATCGAATCAGGGAACGCTGACTATTCGTGTCAGTGAGTGCCGATCAACAACACCCCACCGACGGGACTAACAAAGCCGTATTATCCAACTCGCTGGCCTCCTCGTTTTCTCCATCGACGTATTTGGTACCCTCTCGTACAAAGACTCCCTCACTAGCGATTTCCCAGCCTTTACCGGCTCGTTTTATATATTCCACTACCCGAGGAGTTAGTGCGAGGTTTCTCGCCAGCTTTGCGTATTTGGGTGGGTAAGGAGAAAATGGGACGGATCGATATCCTACCAGCCATTAACCAAGCATCCCTATCCGCCGCGTCTCCAGATTCAAAGACCTGGAGATGTTTGTAATTGCCACGCGAGGGAGAATTGAACAACTGCCGAACGACAGAGGCATAACAAGAATTTCTTTCCATCCACAGATCCTCTGCTTCAACTTGCACCATCTTGCTCGCTTGATTCAGGATATCGTTTCTAGGTACAAGCTGAACAAACAGCTTATCAAGTCTAGGCAGATTATCTGTCAAACTCCGAAAATGTCTTTCCATTGGGAATATGCCGATATAAGACATGTCACTTATCGTAGGGCTGATAAAGGATTTGTGCTCGGCTTGTTCTGCACCCACAAGATCTGATAGGATCTTCTCGTGTGTTAGCATTTGGTGACTTGTAGGGGCTTTAACAGCTTACCGAGGGTGCTTGCCGTAGCCAGAACTCATATGTAGCGTATGCTCTGATGAAAGAGCCTTCGTTGAGTAAGAAGGAAGTCCAGGGACGAATATCGAATAAAGGGGAAGATTTGGCACGAGTCAGCTCCCACGGCTCTGCATCATGCTCTTGCACATTTGCATCCCCAGCTGCGAGACTGATTTCAAGACCTGCCGCGTTAGGACTCGCTTTGTCTACCGTTAGATCGTCCATCATCTGATCAAGATCTTCACGACCAAAATCGGCCTGGTCATTTACAAAGTTTGCAGCCTTCGCGGCAGGACTACCTACTGGCATAGCAGGCCTCCGAAGCCGCAAATAATGACAAGGACAATCAAAATTCCACGCATCCGAAAGATACACATTGCATGCAGCAAGTGGCCCCAGAGACGCCGGATGCGCAACAACAAGAAGCTCACTCGGATCAATAACCTTAAAAATAGTATCCCAAACCGACGCGAAGCCGCTTAACCTATACTCGCCATTCGTAAGATGTGCAATCTTCTTATCACGTACTAGCAAGACAAAACTAGTGATATATTTCCGCAAGGAATTTCGGGTTGCGAAAGCCAAGAAGGGTGCAATATGGTCGTTTAAGAGCGGTCTTTTGGTTTCTGGGTCGGAAACTACGAGGCGGGCATGTCTGAACAGTGTTGGGATGACCAAACTCCTCCATGCCTTTGTGACTTGTGATATTGATTTGAGGTTTGCGGTGTTTGAATCGGTCACGGCAAAGGTAGGTTCGTCATCGAGGCCAAAATCGGAGGGCTTGGAGGCGTCGAGGTAGTCGAATATATGACAGAGGAGCTCGTTTGGTAGGTCGCGTATGTGGCAAGTCTCGGCTGGGGAGGGAATGATATTGGAAGTAGATGCCATTGAGCTCGAGGTTGTACTTGAAATAACTTTCGCAAAGTCACTGTCCTGTAGATTTCTCTAATATCGCAAGCCAGGTCGTAGGCACCGGAGTTATGGATAAGGTTTCGAATTAGGCAGCAGCTACATGAATGAATTAGCACATGTTTATCCAGATACATAGGATACCAGTTTCACAGGTACCTGGATGAATGCGGAACTGCAAGAAGCTCCTGTGGTGATGGTGGTATTGAAAAAGTTGTGACTTAAGCTATCTCGGCCGAGGTGTGTACAGTACGTCAGTGTATGGGAGTGCACGGACTATATGGTTGCAATCGGACGAGATCGTGGGGTAAATTTGGTGGGGTATTAAGTGAAACCAAACACGACCTCGCGGTAGACAAAAGAAGTGGCAGTCGAAGCACGATATTTCTTCTAAGTTAACGAATATCGGTACTAAGTGGATTAATTTAGAACAATATTAAATATTTCCTTAATTATCTTAAGTAAATGAGAGACTTCTTAAGCTCAATTCGAAGTCGACTTATTTAGTCCAAAAATTAGCAGGCAGGTAACTGTCACTTATTTTGTCCTTCACGAGCACGACTTCGAACAGAGCTCAAAAACTCCCATTTACTTCACAAACGACATGATAGTTATAATATTCCAAGTTAATCCACTAAATATACCAATTTCGTCAACCTGTTCGAAGAAATGTCTTGTTTCGACTGCCGCCTATTTTATCCTCCGCGAGCCTGCCACGTTACAATAACCATGTGCTTACAAGGAAAAACTAGCATTGACTTGACAATAGTAAACAGGTCTTCCCCAACATCCATCCGTCGACCATGCCTTCGCTGAACGTGCCTGACAAGCATGATCTAACCAACACTCATCTTCTTCGTAGCCGAGACTATTTCACACTGTATCCCGATTATCAACGAACCCACATTCACTAACGATTCCAATGATACGAGCTCCAAGACGCTCGCCACGGATCTTGCAGAACACCCCACGCGCAGTGGTCCACCCAACTAGGCAGGTTACTGTCTCTTATAAGAGGATGGGAATTAATTTGGCTCAAGTTGGATTTCAGCTTTGAATTCGTGTTAGTAATAGAAACTCAGGAAGAGAAGGAGAGGTTTTCTTACGATCTGATTGATCAACAATTTCCTAGCACTGATAAAGTATTCCGGGCATTTTACAGTATCATGATCGATCATGAGCCTGAAAGTCCACTCCAAGCACACTGCCATCCTTAGTCGTAAGTTCTGTCTTCCTCGAAATAGGGGACTTTGAATCCCGCGTGTGTCTACGCTGGTTGTCTGATAATACTACTGTAGGTTTACTGTTTGACCGATGACCCGGCAACACCACCAAAATACTAGCCATTCGTGTCTCTTCAGAAACTCATCGATGGCCTGAAGCCGCTGTTCCTCGGTTGTAAAAGGTATTCCTTGTGGGTTATCGGCGGTTGGAAAATAGCCCATTTCGGAAAGCATCCACCTGGACAATCAGCAAGACATAAAGTACGATACATTCTTCACTCACAACATAGCCGGAAGCGTTCCTTCTGATATCATCAATTTAAATACTCTTTTGTCCGTGTCCTCAAGCAATTTGGCGACTGTTAAATCGGGATAGACCAGGCGAAAAGGCACCGGAACTTCTCGGCGACCACCTTGAACATGCCCACTGAGTGGGCCATTGAAAAACACTGTTGTTTGTAGTATTGTCCCAACGTTGTCCTTATTCAATGTGAAGTGGCCGTAAGGATACTCAGGATGAGGTATCAATTCAGGCCGTATGTCCGCCCCCACGTTATTTATTTCACAAACGGTGTTGAATACCGCAATTGATGTGTAAGGCACATTCCCCATCAATATCCTGGTAGGAATGTTATGGGTTTGTAGTGGAACATTAAAATGAAGATTGGGATATTGGGTCTTGGATAAAGCTCTCTCAACAGCTACCTTGAGCCTCGCCCTCGCCTCAGGAGCATCTGTCCCAGGTCAGCGTCTCAGAATACATTTGGCAAGGATACACGTACCGCAATAGATCTTGTCGTCAGTAGCGTGACCCTTCGGATTCCACTCTTCGGTTTCGTCCATTTTGTGACCAGTCTGTCTGTTACCCATTGCCTACTTGAAAGTCGAAGATTCGTCGATAACCGGGTCTTCGGAGTAGTTTACTGGAAAGGAGAACCGATAGTAATATCCGGAGAAAACCGCCAAAAAGAAGATACCGTTACAAAGGTAGTGATATTGGGAGAGAGCGATCCAAAATGGAATAGCAGCTCGGATCGGTGTTAAGTTGAGAGAAAGAAAGACGAAGCTCAAAGGTCCCGAAGAGAGATGCTTCCTGGTTGCGAGCCGGTGATCCCAAGCGAGAACTCTATCGAGGTGTCGCCATGGACTGTGTCCAGTGTTCTTTCCTCGATTGGATACTCGGCAAATCATTACATAAACCCATGTGCAAGAGTACTGTACAGGACTGGATAGACCTAGAGCCAGTTATTGCCCTAGATTAACATCAGTATCACTCACAACCAAACAGATCTCACAAATAAGCATCCCTCTCACTCAAACACACCAATCAACTCCAAGAAACAAGGAATAGCTTATCAATTCAATTACATTCAATTGACACCCCCCAAAAACTATCTAAATACAAGTATGTGAGTATAAATAATAGGGTATAACGAATGACCACAGAAGCCCAAAATAATGCAATAAATATGCGTGGAAAATCCAAATAATCAAGGAAGGGTATAAATAACACGATGAGAATTTTAACAATGTTCAAAGACTCCAGTCCTGATGCGGTGAGCGTATGTGAAAGTGTCGATAAGAATGTGCCGTCGTTCGTGGTATTATGCAGTAGTATCATAGGAGGTCAGGTCATCGTGTATAGTTGTCGGGTCTTCTCACATCATCATCAACCTCGTCGTCCTCCTTTCCATTCGGTTTGTACCGACACCCAAACCGCCATTTCCAAATGACTTCGGCTGTTGGGACCTCTTCCACGCGTCTCGCTCGCAGTAGACACGACCGTTCATCTCAAAGTAGTCACGCTTCAGAATCCTCTTGCAGTCCGCGCAAGCGAGGCAGTGGGGATGGAATTTCTGCTTGCGTTCGCTTTCGAGATATTGCCCTTCGATACCTTTATCACAAGTGGTGCACGTGCTGCCGTTGAGCTTGTGGTAATGACGTTCGCAATATGGGGCGTCGTCAATAACATAGAAGGTTGCGGTCTTGAAAGGTTCCTGGCACGTATTGCAAACGAAACAATGCTTGTGGTATCGACCGGTTAGTCTACCATCGGCCGAGGAGATTGATTTGCCCTTGATAGGCTCGCTACATCCTTTGCAATTACCTTTCGAAGATGCTGGTCGTCGGTCTGAATTGTTGCGTGAATAGTCTGGTCTGGATGTATTGAGTGGTGCTGGGGATAAGCGACCATGCTGGATTGCTGGATCCATTGGCGATTCTGGTGCCAACATCATGTTCTTCAGGACTGGTGGTGGGGCCAATGGTCTCGCGAATTGCTCCGTACTTTTGATTGGCGATGCGTTCAAACCTGAACTTGCCGGCTGAAGATTCCTTGGAGGTGATCGTGGCGAAGATTTCTCTTTCTGGGGTGACATGGACAAGGTGGTTTCCAGATCAGCCATCAAGCTATCCACAGGACTTACTTCCGCGATTTCTCCTCTGATTGATCGTGGTGGGCTTCGTGGTGGACTAGAACGAGAGCTTGCTTGGCTGGTAGCACTAAATCCAGATGTGTCAGAAGATTGCGAATCCGTTGGGGTATGATATGGATTGCCAATTCCAAATTCTGCAGCAAGATTGAGGTCTGGAACTGGTGGAACATTTCCCGCTGGGGTCTGGAGTCGAGGTCTGATAAGACTTGCTCCCCGCGGAGGCAGAGGTCTGGAAAGAATAGGACCTGAGATAGAAGGCTTCACGTTATGGCGTTCTCTTGAACTTGGTATTGGATCTGTTGGCCGCCGTAATGGACCAGCTTGACTTGGATTCTCCAGAGGAAACGTCTGCGATCTGCTCTCGGACCGCAGAGGTTCCTGGTAGCTTTCTGGCTCTGCTGTGGGTGCTCCAAATCCACCATATCCATTCTTCTTTGAACCTTTGCCTGAAAATTCTGATCTGGAGCCATTCGAACCACCTGTCAACGTTCTCTGGTGTCCAGGCTCGGTTGTTGAAGGTCTGTTGATGGGCTCGTCCTCATCGGTCCTTGACCCCATGATCATATCCTTTAAACTTCCTTCTGACCCTTGTTTGCGGTGCGCCGGTGCCGGCACCTTCTCTACTGCTTCCACCTCTTTCCGTCGCTTCATATCGAAAGGACCAGGCGCAATAGTGTTCATTCTCTGAAGAAATCCACCGCTTGATGGTGTCCTCGGGCTTACTGGCGCATACATAGGATCGGCCGCTGTAAGTTGTCCTCCATATCCGCGCGCTTGCTGTGGTTTCAGTCGAGACTGGTTTTGTGGTGTCGGAAACGTGGGAAAGGGGGAATCCAGGTTTGAGGAAAAGAATTCGGGGGACGAGGGGATTCTAAACAACGGGGCCGTGGCGCTTCGTAGAGGCTGTTTATAGGGTGAGTTTCGCCCATCGACTGAAGAGCCATATCTTGATGACGAAGCGCTGACTGGTGTTAATTGATCTTGTGGGAAGTATGGCCTGTCTAATTTTGAGTCAGCATGATGTTTCTGACGATGTAGAGTACACATACTCGCAGCTGATGTATCGACCCTTGGTGGTAGGTTTTTTGACGGTCTGAAAGGCGCCGGTTTGTTGGAAGGAACTTGCTGAGGTGGCATTTTGTCAAAGGTACTAGATGATTCTAAAGGAGGAGTAGCTAGAAGGAGTCAGATAATGGGCAGTTTGAGCTTCTTGCGTAACGTACGTTCACTGAATCCCCCACATATGTGATCTCCCAACTGTGAAATATCGATATCTCTAGCACACATGGAGCATTTTATTGTCGGTAAGAACCCAGATTGCCGGGTTGACGTCGCCATCCTGTATTATATCTATCCGTCTCCTATCCTCGAGCTTCTAGTGATGATATGCTCCGCAAAACACGAATCGCTGGTGTCACAGACCGGCGGTGAGGGAGCTTGCTTTTGAAGTTTCACAGCAAGCAAAAGATGCGACCAGGAAATAACTATAGCCTGATACTATGCAACGCGCAATGGCGAACGTTTCTGTTGTGTTATGGTCCGAGAGTCGACTATCAAGGTGGTTGCAGTAATAAGTAGCGAGCTTTGTCCTGAGCTTCAGCGTCGAAAGTCCCGCGCACGATCAAGTGAGGGTAATTTGCTTAGATTGACTGATGATAAGTATATTTGTAATGCAAGATAGAAGCAATCCAAGACCGGCTGGAGATGTAAAGACTGTGGATGAGATAATATCTTTCGCGATGCAGTTTGCAGAGAAAATGTAAGAGTGAGAACAATTTGTGAGGCTCGAGAGTGTTCAGCCAGATGTCTCGAGGGTTGTCGCTTGCAGCGCGAGAGAGGCTAAGATCAGGGACAAGTGCTGATTGCCCCTGTTCCTGGACCGAGCTCGCTTCAGGGTTGGTTGATAGGTGACTGCTTCAGGACTTCCCCTGAGGGTCAACTTCTCCGCGATTAACCAATGTTTTAAGAAGAAGGGATCAGCGATTTCAGCACTGACTGTGTTTCTTGACTAAAGAAGATCTTGTTTGTAGATGATGATCGAGTGCTGACGGAGAAGTCTTTAGGTTAAGGTTTGTTGGCTGGAAACGATTGGAAAAATATTCACTCATGTGCATGTTGAGTAAAGCCAGTCAAGCCCAGGCGTTGACTGGTCTCGATTTGTCCCTCAATATCGAGAAGAACCCCACTGCGGTAATGTATCTAGAACCACTAATGAAGCCACAATAAAGAGAGACTACCAAGATAGCCTGACGTGAAGACGGGCACCACGAACGGTTACCGCAATGTCCCATATAAAATATCAAGAAGGGAAAGGCTCGATGGTGAGAAGAATTTGATCAAAGTTATGCCTCACCAGGCTCGATTATGCATGTTTGATACCATCCCGCTAGACGTCGTAGTTTCGCTTGTGGAGAGGCGGGAGGTCAGATATCTTCGTAAAACCCATCTTCTGTGCGTTCTGCAACAGAGACAAAAGCTCAAGTCTCCCCACCGTTATCATGATCCGTCGAAAGACTTTCACATCGTCAGTTTGGTTGGTTTCTATGGTGATCAGTGGCCATCCAAATCCATCACCATATCAGGCATTCAAACCGTCACTGGCCTGTCCATCAGAATGAGTGTCGAAATAAAATCTCCGGGACTCAGGGGCAATTTGACCGTGAGGCGTTCGGCTCAGGACCCTGATAGATGATCATCAGGAAACGCTTCCCAAAGCATCAACCAGATAATTAACCGTATTTTCCCCATTTCATGTCAAGTGGCTTAGGTTGTCCCAAAAGGGAGATGAATGTAACTTGGTGATAAAGATGCATCTTTTGAGCCGTTTTCCCCTTTGTTATGCCGATGTTGGTGAATGATTTGAAATGATCATTTGGACAGGTCTCACATCTGATTGTTTGTTTTTCGCCATCGGGATGGATCGAAATGTAGGCAAACGTGCCCATTTACCAGAAACGTGCTTCGGTGTTTGTTCAATTGCGGACGCTTTGTTGCCCATGTGAATTTTGATCAATCGAGATATGTTATCTCTTTCCTTGACCCTGACCTTGCCCTGGCCTCGTGGAATGAATGACATGCATTTGATCAAACTCTTTATTCCTTCAAATGATAAGGAAGATTGAAGATGACAACCAACTGGTTTCCCTGTTGATTTTAATGTGCTTAATCTCGTTGGTTTGCAGCCGTCGTTGCAATCGATCGAGTCTGAACTTCATCCAAGATTCGACAACTCGCGAAATTTCGGCTGTATGGGCATTACGGCCAAATCTAACATCAGTAGTTGTTGTAATACCGGTAATCATGGGTTTTGAGGGGGATTGTATGAAAGCGATCATGTGAGTTGAGTCTACCATTGTCTCGCGTTGTTGTTTGTTGCGCCGATATTTTTGTCCCAAGAGCTCCATTGATGTTTCTCATGCGGCACCACTCGTATGACTGGTTGACCTAATTACATACCAAATCTCCAGCTCATAATTACGTCGAAATATCGAGGTATGACCCCAATGCTACATAGCAGACTTGTACCTCTTCGCGCATTGCTGGCGCCAACTAAACTCTTTCCAGGCTGTCGGGAAGACCGGATCATTTTACTTCAACACCACCAATTCATCGCCTCTCGGTCCTCACCAGAACCTCAATGAGGCTTCCAGAACAAAGCTGTAAGGCTCAAAACGTCTTTTGCGCACCAAACACGTAAGCCTCTACGACGTTTATCGTATCAAAAATGGTGCTTCATGATTTCGTCGATCATTCACATCCTACCATTTCATACTCATAGTCAGCTGGATCACAACCAATCTGAGCTCAGCGGTTATATTAGGCCAATGATTTTCTACAATGAGGGAGTTAGAAAAAGAATGTCTTGTAAATTCTCCGCACTTACGACGGTTCTCATTTTGGCTTTGGATGCATTTCGTCGAATCAATTCATTTGTTCTAAGTTTTTTCAAGAATGGGATGCTCTTGCGGTGAGTAGAGCAGATGCGGACCAAGGGATTTTTGCAAACCCAAGAGTTCGAGACTTGAGATATGTTGACCGCCATTTGATATCGGAGGCGGAGAGTAATAATTCCGCTTCAATCTTCTGATGCTGATCTATTTCATGATATACTCCGTAGAACTGTGTGTTTCTTCTTCGTTGGACACGCGAGCATGATGTACCGGTGACACAGCATCTAGCGGCTGCAAAAATGATGAGGAGGCGTATTATTCTTAAATCTGAAGAAAACGGTCAAGATAAATACTTTTTGATCTTCCTCCTCAAAATCAAACAATTCTACCAATGGCCCTCCGGCAGCAGGCTGATCACGTGTTGTTCAGCCAGTGGAGGCTCATAGATTATCAATTGATTGATTTGTGCATTTAATATTTGAAGATCAAAAAACGCTTCAACTACTTGCACTTCATGTCCTCTCCTCGCGCGGTCACAGAGATCATCTTCTCAATCTCCCCTCCAGAAGATTGTGCAGTGCCAAACATGCACCGGCCAAGCGGGTACTTTCAATGTCCACAAGATACTTGCCACGAATCTCACGATAGTACTCTCCATGCGGGTACATCAATCCAGTGTAGTGTACTTTATCCTGATGCCTTCGTTGGCGGATTCGAGTAGTCGTACTGGATCGTACCGTACCTTTACCCCACTATCAGTTACGCCCTCCTTTGGCGGGGCAATCGAGGGCCGCTGCTCCCGAAAATCTCCCTACTCAAAATACATAAACATACCATCTCCCTCCCTCCTTCCTTCCTCAACACCACAACACACAACACTTCCTTCCCAAACTCATTCCAAGCTAGCACCGACCTTTTTTCCTACCTCCCTCAAATAGATCGCACTCCCGAGTGTGATCACCAACATCGTCAAAACGTTTTCCAATCTTCTCAACTCGTACGCATTTTTAATTCCACCACTAATACACTCATTTGAACATTCTTCTCGCTTTCATTATCCTCAGAAAACACAGATTTGCATCCGCAGGACCTACAGCTAATATATCTAGATCGCATCATCCGTTCGCAGGAGCCCGCTGCTCTTCACCCGCTGGGGCATCGGACTCTCCATTCGTTAGATAAATCATCTTCGAATCACAAATCCAATACCACCGTCTCTATCTTCCAGTCAATCAAACCAACAATCTGACAAGATGGCTCCTCACGCAGACGACAGCAAGGTCTCCTCGAACGGAGCTGCAACCACCTCTACAAACAAGGATCTCTTCACCGTAAACTCCCCCAACGTTGTTTACACTGACAATGAGATCAACACCAAATACACTTACCGCACCACCTTGGTCAACGAGACTGCCGATGGCAAGTTCGAGGCAATCCCAAAAGAGGTCCTCTACGATTTCAAGGTTGATCGTAAGATCCCAAAGACTGGCATGATGCTTGTCGGATGGGGTGGAAACAACGGTACAACAGTCACTGCTGGTATCATTGCCAACCGTCGTGGCCTTTCTTGGGACACTCGTGAAGGTCCTCGAGCTGCTAACTACTATGGCTCGGTCGTCATGGGTTCTACCATGAAGCTCGGGACCAATGCCAAGACTGCCAAAGATGTCAACATCCCATTCCAAAACGTCTTGCCAATGGTCCACCCCAATGATCTCGCCATTGGTGGTTGGGATATCAGTGGTATGAACCTCTCTGCTGCCATGGACAGAGCTGGTGTTCTCGAGCCAACTCTCAAGGCTCAGATCAAGAAGGAGATGACTGAGATGGTTCCTCTTCCCAGCATCTACTACCCTGACTTCATTGCTGCCAATCAAGAAGATCGTGCCGACAACCTGATCCCAGGTAGCAAGGCTTCTCTTGCACATGTTGAGCAGATTCGCAAGGACATTCGGTAAGCATCCATTGAACATCATCCAGTTCATCTGCTAACATTTCTCAGTGACTTCAAGGCCAAGCATGGTTTGGACAAGGTCATCGTTCAATGGACCGCCAACACTGAGCGATTCGCAGAGCTCATCGAGGGTGTCAACGATACTGCCGAGAACCTCATGAAGGCCATTGAGAATGGACACGAAGAGGTTGCACCATCAACCGTCTTTGCTGTTGCTTCCATCCTTGAGGGTGCTCCTTTCATCAACGGTTCCCCACAAAACACATTCGTTCCAGGTGCCATTCAACTAGCTGAACAACACAATGCTTTCATCGGTGGAGATGATTTCAAGTCTGGACAGACCAAGATGAAGTCTGCTCTTGTTGACTTCTTGATCAGTGCTGGTATCAAGCTTACTTCCATTGCTAGCTACAACCATCTTGGTAACAATGATGGCAAGAATCTCAGTTCTCACAAGCAATTCAGATCCAAGGAGATCTCCAAGTCCAATGTTGTTGATGACATGGTCGAGGCAAACTCTGTGCTCTACGCTCCAGGTGAACACCCAGATCACACTGTTGTCATCAAGTACATGCCAGCTGTTGGAGACAACAAGCGTGCCTTGGATGAGTACTATGCTGAGATCTTCATGGGTGGTCACCAAACCATTTCGTAAGTCATTCCATATCCACGATCAGACTTGTACTAACAATCACAGCCTCTTCAACGTCTGCGAAGACTCTCTCCTCGCATCACCATTGATCATCGATCTTGTTATCATTGCCGAAATGATGACTCGAATTCAATGGAAGGCTCACTCTACCGATGGTGCCACCACCAAGGATTTCGGAAACTTCCACAGCGTTCTTAGCATTCTCAGCTACATGCTTAAGGCACCATTGACCCCACCTGGAACACCAGTCATTAATGCTCTTGCCAAGCAAAGAGCTGCTTTGACTAACATTTTCCGGGCTTGTGTTGGTCTGGAGCCAGAGAGTGATATGACCTTGGAGCACAAGTTGTTCTAGATTGTTGTTTGGTTGGACTGATTTGGTTTTTGTGGTATCGTTGCTTGGATGGTTTGATGGAATGTGATGGGTTGATCGCTGGGTTGTTTATCTTTGGTGAAAAGTGCCATTATTCATTCTTTAAACAGACATAAATTGAAGATAACTGTTTTGAAATTCTCGGCCTTTTGCCATTTCTCGTGTCTCACTCTTGAATATGATTGCCCTTGCCTTCCGTCGCAGGGTGTTGAATTTCCGTATGTCATCACGTTTCGACTTTCAGCACATTTCAACATACTTTGGTAGTGACGATACCTTGACTTATATGCTGCAACTCCTGCCGGGTACTTGTGTGCCACACACCTCCGACGAATTGCTCATAAGCGCTATTCCAAATATTCTGAGACTGAGACTGAGACCGTGATGCTTTTGTTAAATAAGTACAAGATGATGCTAGCTAACGATATACTCAAACACAACAGCAAGATTACATATTATTTTCCAAGTGTATAATAGAATTGTATGGTTTTGGAATTGAATCGGTAGTTTGTTCAAGCGATTGTTCTTTGGATGTCATTTTTGGTGGGTGGTGGGTTCTTTTCATTTGTTTGTGCGGCAATTATCCTCGTCCTTATATAGAAGTCGATACTTGAAGTGTATAATTACAATGTGATGTTAGCTAAGGATATGGTCGAACATATTAGCAAGATTACATGTTATTTTCTAAGTGTATAGTGCGAATTATATGGTTTTGGAATTGAACGAGCACTTTTGTTCAAGCGATGCTTTCTTGTGTTTCGCCCTCGTGGGTGGTGCTTTTCATTTGGTTGTGGGGTAATGTCGTTGTGCTTATTGTATCCGCTTTCATTTTTGATGATAGTGCGTTGTTGATGGATTAATACATCACGTTTAGGACGGCTGATCTCCCTATTGCGGCTTCGGAGTTGGTGCCTGCCCAGCCGATCACGAGATGGATGCGGAGGCCGAGGAGGCGGTCTTGGATGGCTTGGATGTGGGGGAGTGTGAGCGTGGCGAGGGTTTCAAGGGATGTGTTGAGGAGGGTTTGGAAGGCCTGACGAAGGAGGTTAGTTAGTTAGTTTGGGCTGGAGGGGAGGGGGTATGAGGTAGAACAGGGAAAAATAAATAAATAAGTGTATGAGGGGATTTGAGAATATGCTGGATATGTGGGGAGGTGGGAGAGGTGAGAAGGAGAGTGCGTCGATACAAGGGGAGAAGCGAGTGAGGACGTTAGGTTAGATATAGGTGAGAAGGGAGTTAATGAGAGCAATCTGGATTTTGGCAAGGGAATAAGGAAGAGCTTCAAGTTTCAAGGTTGGAGGAGAATGAGGGTAGGTATTGAGGTTAAGCAATGTTGATGGTGTATGAAAAAACAGAGCTTACACGAGGCGACCACAACAGTTTCGAGGAATCTATAGAGCCAGTTTCGTCTATCATGGGATGTGGACCTATGATTTTCGGGTTGAGGACTAGGTTGATGGTGGTTTTGCAGGTGGGACAGGGTGTTTGGGGTGTGTTTGAGAAAAGTTGGATTCCGCAGCTTTGAGCAGTTAGTATTGGTATGATTAGAGATTCCAAAGTGGAGAGGAATATTGACGGGAGTGATGGAGAAAGGGAAAGTACTTACCACTCCCCATACATGACCATATTCCTCCTCCACAGCCTAACAAGATCCATCTCCACAATCACAACACTAACAAACCCCGTGAACGTCTGTTCGGGATTCGCTCTTACCCTACCCATCGTCAGCGTCACCCGAAAACAAGACATAAGACAAGAGATACCAAACATCCAACTCCCCAACCGTAAAAAACATCCGATTAACCCCCCCTTCCGCAGCCTCAACATCCCACACTCCCTCCGGAAACCCCAAACACAGACTCTCCTTTTGCCTCACACGCCCGGCATAATCTCTCAACCACCCCGCATCCGCGAACTCAGGATCAATCTCCACCATCGTCGCTTTCGTGAGACCTAGACTCCCTTTCCCCGCCGGCGTGACCCTGAAACCAGGGTTGGAGAGGAGGAGAATGGTATGATTGGGTTTCCATGATTTGATGGAGGGGAGGAGCTCGTTCCATATCGTGAGGCGGATTTCGGCTGTATGGTCGAAGAGTGTGATGTCGCGTAAGATGTTCTCGCCGCCTTGTTTTCGTGCTAATTTCTTCTCTGCCCCGATGCTCTTGACGCAAACCAGAATCTTCACACCAGAAACCCCGTCATGGCCACCAGCGAGGTAGGAAGCTAGTGTCATAAGTCCCGTCAACGATTGTGATTTGACATAGTTGAGAGGCGCACGACAGATAGAAGGGCTGGATTCGCTGGTGTGGATGAGGATGTGATCAGAGGTGACGCGGCCGGGGAAGATGTTTGCGTAGAGGGATACGCCTGGAGTGTTGTGTGTGGGATTCTTGGAAGGTTCGCTGATGAAGGACGTCCAGATTGTGAGGAGGAGGCCGAGGGTTAGAGTGTATGGGGTTTGGGCGAAGTATAGTTTGACCTGATGAACATCAGCACTTAGATATGTTTATGTGGGTTTTTGGGATGGGAGGTACAGAGATGACACTGCTATCATCTTTGATCAGCAGATAATGCCATCCTGCGGCTGATTTCTCCTTCTGCGATGTCCCGCGGATGGTGCTTAGATTTACGATTCGTCCGTTGAATGTTACCGGGAGTGGACCGGGGACGAGGGAGGAGATAGTGAGTTGGGTGTACTCGCGCGTGGGATTCCATGGGCGTGTTAAGGGGTCTTGAGCGGCGAGGAGTTCGGATTCGGTGAAGCCGTCGCCTGGTGGGGAGGGTTGTGACGATGTTGGTTCTGGGATTGAGGTTGAGGCTGGGAGTTCGGGTTGGTAGAAGGATTGGATGGTAGGATAGGATGAAGGCATTCTGGTGATGGGCGTGGTAGTATGATGATGATTGGGGGTGACGAGAGGTGTGGTAGAGCTGGGAGAGTTGGAGAGTTGTGAGAGCTGTAAACGCGACGCGACGTGATAGAAATATAGGAAACACTGGGATCCAAGCTGCCGCAGAATATAGGGGGCCTTGTTCTGTCAATTCCAATGCCCTTGGAATATGGCATTCAGCCGTGATAGAATAATGTTCCATGAACGTTTTGGAAGGTGAACTGCAGACTTAAATATCAAGAAATGGCGCAATTTGAGGTTCTCTCAGATTCTGCTATGCCGTGTCAACATTGACCTGTAAGCAATACACACTGTACTTCTCCGCAGAGCAATTCAGCGTGTAGGTCCAGGGCTGGCTCATTGCATGAACTTTTGAATGAAATATCCTCTGCGCGACTATCGATATTGAAAGACCGAAAATTAAGGGGAAAGAAAGCTGTCCAAATATGAAGAGAGAGTATGATACTGCAGCTGACCACTGCAACCAGGGGTTTATATATATAAGCACTTAATGAAAAGGAGTATAGTATAATACTTGCTTGAATATTATGATGGACAGACTTAGTCTCGGAGACCCAGAATTGAATCGCTTTCCATCTATGTGGGTAGCTAGCGGAGTCCTTCGCTATCATAACTCGAATCCTCTCTGCTACTTTAGTCTGTAGTGAGCACGTAGTACCGGGATATTAGCTGGTCTCGATTTCATCGTCGAGGCTGCGTTATCGATTTTTCCCTGCCAGTGCTCGTGTAAGCCGTGGAGAAACCTCTCATGCTTCGCGCATTTGATCTTGTCCGCCTTCCAACTCCGAGAACTCCTTCCATTATAACCTCGTCATGAACTTCCCACCACCTTGGTATATGTAATCTTCTCCACATTGACACTCTCAACGCCATTCGCATCCTTCCGTAACTGGTAGACATAAAGCGTTAAACCCAAACCCTGAACCTACACCGCGTATCAGCACACTGCCCGACCATCTCTACCAACAGAATGTATATGCCAACTTACATCCATCAAACAAAAACTCGGAACCATCTCCTCTCCATCCCCCACCCACCCCGTAGTAAACGCTCCCGTCGCACTCCCCGGATTCACAAAAAACTTATTCTCATACTCAAACGCATCAAATCTATGCGTTCCGCCCCAACACAACACATCCACATCCATCTTATTCGCTTCCGCCAGCATCAGATCCATCTCCATCGGAGCCACCATGCTAAACCCCTCCAAGAACCCTATTTTTAGCGACCCATGCGTTACCGTTTGCGCGAGTGGTAAGGATGTGGCGTCGGCGTCGAACCTTCCTTTCACGATCTTTAGGTCGGGGGATATGGAGCGGAGGTAGTCGTATGTAGGTTTGTCTGTGAGGTTTCCTAGACAGAGCGTTTGTCCGATTTTACCGGGTGTTAGGAGTTTTCTGAACTTTGAGAGAGTGTGTCAGTGCGCAATTGAGAGATCAGTTTGCTGGGAGAAGGGGTACCTTTAATGGTATGTCTATTGCTCGGTCTGGAATATGGAGATCCCCAATTACGAGGACCAGGCGGGATGTCATGATTGCAGGGGAATTGAGAGTTGTGCGGATATGGCGGGGAGATGGATTGAGCAGGCAGTAGGCAGGCTGGATTATTGTATCATGAATTCTGCGGAAAGGTAGGAATTGAAGTGCAGTGGTATAATAGAAACCGAATACCTTCCCCAGCCACAGGCGTCGCAAGACGTTGAAGCTATCCAAGCTTCGTCAGGCATCTACAAATCTCTCAGGCACCAACTCCCCCCCACCATTTGGTCTTGACCTCGTCTTTGCAGAATTGTTGAAATTCATTTTTTTAAAAACTATTCTTTCGAGTCCTTCATTACTTGCCGTATCATGAATTCTTGAATAGGTCAAAGGTCGTCGGACCACATCTGCGAGATATTAAGGAAAGAAAGGAGAGCACCTCGCTTAGCAGCCTTAGCTCGAAGTAACTACCAGAAGAGACCTAGAGAGTATGCCAAATCTATCACAGAAAATTGTAAAAACATTACACAAGAGTCTCTCAAACACGGCAGCCAGTTACCGCCCGAAACACTCCCCAAAACAGAAAAAAATCAAGTCTCTCAGCTCATGAACTCATCAAGTCACAAATTAACTCTCTGACGGGCTACCACGTCGTTAGTAATCGTCCACACCACCACAACTGCACAGTGTTTACTCACGAATCGAACCCCGGTCTCCCGCGCTCTGTCAGTTTCTTGACAAGCGGAAATCATAACCACTAGACCATCAAAGATGCTTAATCACATTGGGTGGGTGATTGGATTGGGGAAATGTGTATCTTTTGGGTATTTATTGGGAGATGTGGTAACCAAGGAAATGATAGGAGGAGGGAACTGGGGGATCGTTGGAGGTTGAATTTCGGGGGTTGGGTTGTGAGGTTGGAGCTGTGCTCTAGGTTCTTGAGATGCTATGAATGAGATTGTTCAGCTGTCTCTGTGAGCAGCTTGATTATTAGAGTTCTCCCGAACTTGTCGGAACGAACCAGTGAAGCGAGAAACGACAGCTAAATCTGCTAGGAGTAAAACTTTCCCTCTCTTAGCCTTGTTGCTGTATGTCCTCCTTATCGCCATGGCTAGGTGAAAGTCCACAAAGAATTCTGTCACCACTCTCCACGATGACCTGAGGTTTAGATCTTGTTAAGTGTCTTCTAAAAAAAGAGTTTGGCTCGACTCGCTAATTTGATTATGTTATGAATTCGCACGTATCAATCACCCACGCCATTATGTAATAAATGTCGCTAATTGATCACATACGTTCTTGACACGTGTTTGGGTAGGCACAGGTTACTAGCTATTGGATGAGGTGGATAATCAGGTTATACTATACTGCAGCGGTATTTCTTACGCCAAGATGTTTCCACAGAGACCGTAACCTGTATGTCCTATTGGCCATACCTTATATCCAAATGACTTCATTGGCTAAGGCGGTGCTTACAATAGAAAATACCAGAAAGCTTGGCGGATTTATTACCCCTGTAGTATAGTACTTCAGCTGAGAATTCTGATTTTGATTCGTGGTGGATTCCTTCTCTTCTACGATATGGCTTCTAATTTCTCTTGTCAAGTATCTTACTAAGTCTTCAGAAAATAAGTGCAAAGGAGTTTCAATAGGTTATATCAATCGACGTTGGTGTAACTCGTAAATATTACTACTATTATCTACTTATACCAACGTGTTTTCGCTTACATGAAACCGTTTGAGTCGTGATAGGTCGCCAAATTCAAGCACTTTCATACTTCCGGCTATTTTGGACATTGGCTCAGTGAAATATCATTCATTTGCGAGAAAGGGGGAAACAAGGAGAAATTTGGAGCATTAAGGCATCATAAGTCCTTATTATTGGGCCTCATTCACTTGGGGCGCACGTGATAGATTGACAAAACGCCATCGAGCAAAGAGCAAATTGATTCATGAATCTAAGAGGTGTTTTAACAGGTCATTTCTACTTCTAAATTCCAGAAAGTTCCTCAAAAACTGTATCTTCTGTTTAGTTTCAATCCTGTCCCCTGAGTTTATGCTCATTCAATTGCGTGATTATTTACACGTCATGAGAGGTTTTTGAGAGGCATGCTTCTTTGCTGATCTCATTTGCTATTAACATAGATGAGGAAGCTATCAACAATTTGCAATACTTTCAAGTTTTATGATTTAAATCGACACAGGTACAGTATTGGCTTTCAAGGTTTTCTTCATTAGAAAAGCTAAAAAGCAACAGAGTATATCCTCGCATCGAATACATATAGAGCGAGGAGCATTCAACGACCGCAATAGATCAATGCATTACCAATGGAAAGTTCATCATTCAACGAATAAGAAATGCTTTAGAGTCAGAACAGAAATGCAGATGTCATGTGAAATCTGATTCGCTCCGGACTTAACACCGGACCTTTGCTCCGGGTGTCAAACAATTAAGCGAGCTGTACTCTGACGACTGGATTTCAACCGCAGCCTAACACAAACACTTGCATCAGCTAAAAGAGGGGAAAGAGCTTGGGGTAGATGATCTTTGCATATCAGATGGGATTCACAAGTTCTCGGTTCTGAATTCCATTCCACTTGTGGTGGTAGCCCCGGTGAGAGTGGGAATGCTCCAAGCGTCTGCGCTCAAACAGCTCTTAACACAAGGATTACTTGCTTGAATCAATACTCTTTAGCTCCACGCTGATAAATTCAGAAGGATCAAGTGGCCGGTAGGAAAATAAGTGGGATGGGAGGTATGGTATTATTGTACCGAGACGGATGAAATAGTCCTTTTCCTGTATTATGGATTCCCAATTCAGCGGTGAGACCTACTTATTTATCACTAATAGTGATTCAATCATTATGAACCATGACTGATGTTTCCAGTCTAACCTCTTTTCAATCAACGAATTTCAAATTTGCGGTCAAAAATCGTTGAGTTTTACACCGCATTCTTGATGCCGTACATGCGCCTTAGTCTTATCAGATTTCGGCAAGTTTCACATCAGTAAACTCTTGGTGCTGTAACCATAGACAAGGTTACAGTTTCGGAGAACTAGCTGTTTTGAATTGCATCAAGTGGTACAGATATAGAATCTTCGTGGTTGGTTGCGTACTCATAGGCCGGCATATCACTCACTGGAACGTGCACGTCAACGTCATCTCCAAATCGAAAACGTTCATGTACTTTAAGTTGAGATATTCCAATTAAAATCCGATCGTGTCTATTGATTCCCCTTATCCGTCTTCTTCGCAATTTACAGTCTTCAAAATGGCTGACATTCACCCACTCCAAGCTATCCAGCAAACCATTGGCGCCGCTGGTGGTGACCCTCGGCCAATGCAGCGTGCATCACTCTTCCAGAATGCTAATGACGGTCCTGCCAAAATTATTGCAAAGGTTTCTGGAGTGCAGAGTGGTGGAATTCGCGAAGATGATGGCCCATACTTCACAAACAATGAGGGTATTCCGTTCCCGGATCCAGCTCACAGCAAAACTGTTGGTGGTCTGCCACTAGTTAGCGACACATTTTTGCTCCAGAAGCAACAGCACTTCAACAGGAGTAAAAACCTGGAAAGTAAGTAGAACACGTCACAAGTTTCATATTGAAATAAAATATTAACGCAAATAGGAATGGTGCACCCTTGTGGTAGTGGTGCTTTTGGTTACTTTGAGACGACTGCAGATGTATCAGATTTGACCAAGGTCAGAGAAACTTCAAAATCCATTCGTTTAAATCTATATATCTAACAATACAAAGGCCAATTTTCTCAGCGGCAAAGGTGTGAAGACACCAGTTTTCATGCGATTTTCTACTGTTACACTTGGACGCGAATTTCCAGATCTAGCCCGTAACCCACGTGGATTTGCCATCAAATTCTACACGGGCGAGGGTAATTATGATATCGTTGGACTTAACTTCGTAAGAACTTCTGCCTCTAATGTTGTGATTTTATCTAATGCATAATAGCCCGTTTTCTTCTGCAGAGATCCAATTCAAGGTCCAGATGTCATCCGCTCACAATCCCGGAACCCAAAGAACTTCTTACTTGATTACAACTCGCTCTTTGATCTGCTTGCTCTAACTCCTGAGGCCAATCATGCAGGCATGATGTTCTTCAGTGATCACGGGACCCCTAAAGGATGGCGCAACAACCACGGATATGGTTGCCACACCTTCAAGTGGGTCAACAAAGAGGGAAAGTTTGTTTACATCAAGTATCATTTCCTTGCCAAACACGGCCAACACCAGTTCACAGCCGACGAGGCTATCAAACTTAGTGGTCAAGACCCGGATTACTCCAAGCGTGAGCTATGGGATGGTTTGGAGAAGGGAGAAGAGGTTGAGTGGACAGCTAGCGTGCAAATCATGCAACCTCACGAGGCAGACCCAAACACTCTAGGATTTGATCCATTTGATGTTACCAAAGTCTGGCCAAGATCCCAGTTCCCAGTGCGTATTTAAAATCTCTCTTCAGCCAAATCGAATGCTAACAATGCAACAGATGCACGAATTTGGAAGACTCGTTCTGAACAAGAACCCCGAGAACTTCCACCGTGACGTTGAGCAAGCTGCATTCTCACCCGGAAGTATGGTACCAGGAATTGAGGACAGTCCCGACCCATTGCTGCAATTCCGTATGTTCTTCTACCGAGATGCTCAATACCACCGTATTGGTGTCAATCTCCACCAAGTCCCCGTAAACTGCCCTTTTATGTCTGGATCTCTAAGTTCGCTTAACTTTGACGGAGCAACTCGCAACGATGCAAATCACGGAGGCAATCCACAATACGCGCCCAACTCTTTCAAGCACAAGTTCCGTCCAGACACTGCTGAGGCGCCATATATGGTTTCCGACAACATTGTGTCTCGTAAGAGTCATTACCACCACGAGGGCAAGCTTTCCGACTACGATCAAGCGAGAGATCTGTACCAGAAAGTCATGTCAGAGCAGCAAAGAACGAACTTACATTACAACACTTCTAACATGCTTCGATTCGTCGATACCAATGTCATCAAGATCGGATACCTCGCTCAGCTCTGGAACATCGATCCATCATACTCCCAGGCGGTTTATGATGGACTTCCAGAAGCAGCAAGGGATTTCCAGTTCGTGGAAGTCCAGAACAAGGCCAAGGGAGCCGAGCTTGCAGGGAAGGAGGCAAAGTTCCGGCCAAGCCAGGCTTCAGAGAGGCTCGTTGGTTTCAATCCGGACATGCCCATTTACAACGTTTGAATGAATATTATGATGATGTTGGAGTTATTGGGTCATATAGTCTAGCCATATGTAGTTAATTCAATTCACTGTTACACCTCGGATGTATGTCTTTCAGATCCGTGAATAAACCACCGGTATTATGCATAATTAGTGCCAGCTCCTGGAGATCGTAGTCAGGCACCCTACATTCGGTTGGCAATTTGCGGGATGATCCTGTGGCTCGGTCGTACAAACCGAAGCAACAGCCATGACCTCTTCGTTCCCCTGATCATGACGAAAGGTAGAAATGGAGTTACCAAATATTGAACATGTACATATATGTAGTCTTCCGACTTTCATTTAAAACCAAATCAAAATTCCAAAATCATACTCTACAACTAAAATGTCTCGAAAACTTTGCATCACAGCCGTAGACGGCCAAACCGGCTTCCTAATAGCAGAACTCCTCCTCACCAACCCCGACTTCACCAACAAAATCGACTCAATCATCGGTCTCGCCCTCGACCCCGAATCTCAAAAATGCAAAGACCTCAAGAAACTTGGCGCAGAAATCGTGCATCACGTTCCCGGCACCGAGAAGAAAGTCGTCCAGATTCTCAAAAGCACCGGCGCAGATACGATCTGCTTGATCCCGCCAGCGCACAAGGAGAAGTACCAGATCACAGTGGAACTTGTCACCGCGGCGAAGAAAGCGGGAGTGCAGAATGTTTGTCTACTGAGTTCTGCTGGGGCTGATCTGGCGGATATGAAGAAACAGCCAAGGTTGAGAGAATTTATTGAGATTGAGAATTTGGTTTTGGCGGCGAAGGGTGATCCGAGTACGCCGCTTGGTCATTCTCCTGTCGTTATTCGGTGAGTTCTTATGCTAAAATTTGCGGTTGAAAGGGAATCTAACGTTACCAGTGCTGGCTTTTACATGGAGAATCTGCTGGTATATGGACCTCAGGTAAAGAAGGAATCTGTCATACCTCTGCCAGTTGGGGAGACACACAAGTTCGCTCCAGTGGCTCTTGGTGTAAGTTTTTAATGTGCATATTTCGAAGTTCCTACCTGACATAATGTTTATAGGATGTCGCACTTGTGGCAGCACATGTTTGCTCCGGAAAAGGCGCACACGGATTTGACGACAAACATCGTGGGCAGCTCATCGTACTTACAGGCATGTCTCATTTCTGTCACACTTTCATTCTAAAACTGATATATTCAGGTCCTATGCTGGCTGCTGGCAAAGAGCTCGCAGAAGCGGCACATCAAGCCTTAGGTGAAAACCTGAGTTTTGAAAATATCTCCGAGTACGTGCATTCCCCCGAAATCTCTTCCTCCTGTACCTGCTGACAAAATTCATTAGGCACGAAGCCAAGAAAGTCCTCCAACAACAAGCAGAGTCTGACTCCTCCGAAATCGAATATCTACTGGAATATTACTCCTTGGTTCGTGAAGGAAAGACTAATTACATTTCCACGCTCGCTTTCCATGATGTGACTGGTCAACATCCACAGGAGCCGGTGGAATGGTTCAAAATCTATGCAGAGGAGTTTAGAGCTGAACATCCTAATAAGAAGAGGAAGCAGAAGAAATGAGAGGTTTGAGAAAATGGGATCATTTTAGGTTTTCTGGGGGGTTTGTAGGAGTAAACAAAATTGAATATCTCACATGATTCTATGATCAGTCAAACGGTGGTATCGGTGATTTCTTTTGTGACACTTTACTAGCTAGAAAATTCGAGTGATGAGAGTTAATAGAATCATTAAACTCAAAAGGTTTTCTTAGATCTCCATTTTAATTCACGATCTATTCCAAACTACACAACCTGGTACTATTCAACCCTCAACTTCACCAAATGTACAACATCTAGTTCTTCTTCTCCTCTGGAAACTTCCTAAACATGTCACCCAACTTATCAATCGGCGCCGTCATCAATCCCACCACAGTCTCAAACGGTGGCCTGGCCGGAGCCATCGGATGGCTTCTCGTAGGAACAAAGTGCTTGGTACGGCCAAACGACCCCGCCAGAGCCTCGCTGTCATCCTCTGAAAGTGCGGTCTCAAGGGCAGGAAGATCATCATTCTCCTCCTCCTTCATATGCTCCGTGAGATCTTTCATCAGAGCATCGAGAGTTGGAAAGAATTCCGAATCTGAAGGTGTGAGCTTTTGGAAAGTGTTTAAGGCTTCCTTCACCTGTCCAATTCGTGAGCATTGTTTAAAAGTTCGAATGGTTGGCACGTACCGATTGATGTTCAGCACGATCCTTCTCAGCCATGAGATTTCCCTGTCCTCCCAAATGCTTCTGAAACGCAGGATAGACTACCAATTCCTCCCCAATAGAGTGTCGAGCGAGCTCCCACGTGAACTGATTCTGCCAGCGAACCTTGGTCTCATCATCCCTCGCATTGCGGATATTATCAGCATACTCCTTGAGCTCCGCATGATCCTTCTTGATCACCTCTGAGATTCTAGACATTGCAGGTCTTGTCGTGAAGAAAGTTCGCTTAAGTGTATGGATTGCCGGTTGTCTTGCTGAGAAGGGGATTTTCATGAGGATAGACATTTCGGATGGTGGCCACTCTGGCTTGACTACGAAGCTACTTATAGAGAGGTGAAATCGTCTTATTGGAGGTTACGGTATCGTGTAACCTCTTCTTCATATTTATTTCGTTGCTTCTGCAATACCTCATTCTTAATTCCAGACCGTATGTGATAAAACGTGTTTGCAAATAAGCGGAGAGCTATTGGCGGGATGTTTTCTCCTTAATGCAGGAACGGGATGACAGTTTTGTTCTTATCCTTAATTGTCAAGAGCTCGGACACTGTTTTGTTATTTGAAAACAAAAGCGCTTTCATTGGTAGGAGAGAGTTCCCTCGTATGCCCAGGATGCGGGGAACGCTAAGCGAAAAGGGGGGCATTTGGCGTGACGTCGGTAGGCTCGTTTCCTTGTTTGAAGACGACGACCTCATACTATTTACATCAATATTGTAGCATATGATCAGCCGTCGTACAAGAAAATATACTTGTTATATGCATAATCCAATCGGAATTTGTTTGAGTCATATGTTTACTTTTCACGGATTTTCACCACAGACAAGAGCGAAGTCTAAGGCATTTGGTTGAAGCCGGTTTCCTGGCTTACCAAACAGAGCATGGAAAGTAATAAAATGAAAGTACGCAATATACGCTCCAACTGATGGTGTTGTTATTGACGTAAGCTTACGAGCATCTTTACCATAAACATCCTTCAGAATTCCATGTTCAAGGTCAAAGCGTTGCCGGACGCTTCTCCGCTGGCTTGCACCGTGCATTTACTTCGGTGCTGGTAAGCATTAAATCATTCATTTCTATAATGTCTGACTTTAAACATACATTAATTCGCCTTGTTTGGTTAGTGCTGTGATGGCCTATATCATGCAAGTAATTCACAGCATGTCACTAAATGATCACAGGCACTTGAAGTTCGGCTCTAGACAAATGCAAGAGCCCGAGAACACAAATTACCAGTCAACGTCACAGTTGTTTAAAATCGGAATTCAAGTGATATCATGTTAGATACAAAGAAAATGAATCGAGCTCTCTGCTTACCAGAACTTCACGTCTTTTCTGCAGTGAAGTGATCACATTCTCACATCTTTTCCGCGGAAGCATTTCTCAGACCAACGCAAATCACTATGCTCTACACCGGCTCTTGCTACTGTCGAGCAATCAAGTTTGAATTCGACGTCAAACCCGAGGACGCCCGGACATCTCTTTGTCACTGCCATAACTGCAAGGTATCTTTCCACCCACCACTCAGACTGAGACACCTTGATGGCTGATTCCATCCAGAAATTCTTTGGGACGAATTATGGATTAACTACTAAGATCCCGGCTTCGGCATTCAATATTACCCAAGGGACTCCCAAGGTCCATGAAGCAGATAATGGCTCAGGTAGCTTGCTGCATCGGGAGTTCTGTAGTGAGTGCGGTGGTGGAATTTTGGAATATGGAGTTCGTTGTTATTGAAACATAGCGGCTATTATATGCTAACGGGAATAGGAACAAGCGAAGAATGATTTCAGATATGTGATGTATGGCACCATTGACAACTCTGAGGGGTTGGATCCAAAAGGGGAGTTCTTCTGCAGATATCGAAATGAGTGGATGCCCGAAATCCCTGGTAAGCGTCCAGCTGTATGTTTTGACTGATAATTAATTTCATGTCATAGATATATTTCACAAGCAAAAGATCCAGGAGTAGAAGGGAGGCTATCGTGAGGGTTGGGGTTTGAATAAGTAGCCTGAAAGTCCCCACTCAAGGGGAACCAATAAAATCTTCCAAACCAAAGCACGAAATGATGCACTTTTGAAAACAATTCACTGGTGCCTTACACGGTCTATGTGTTACCATAAATTATGTCATAAACTTAATGCCCCTGATTTCATTATCCTTTTGTATAATTTCTTATTTACGACTTGGAACTTCCGTCATACGTCATCGCGTAGGGATATCAACTGGTTTTGTCCCAGTACCTCACTTATAAAGTCGACCACCTCCCAAGAAGATCCATCATTTGGTAAACAAACACATCCTCAAAACTTCAAACCACAAAACTTTGAACCTCACTTCAAAACAAACCAGAAACCTTCTCACACAAAACAACATCATCATGTCAGACAACCCAGGAAACTTCGCCAACAGACCCAAGGAGGAGGTCCAGGCAATCGCCAGCAAGGGCGGAAAAGCCAGCCACGGCGGCGGCGGTGGTAGCTCTGGTGGTTCTGACGACACAACCTCATCCTCAACCGGCAACACCAACCCAGGAAACTTTGCCAACAGACCCACGGAGGAGGTTCAAGCTATTGCAAGCAAGGGAGGAAAGGCTAGCCATGGAGGTGGAGGAGGTTCGGGTGGCTCAGATGATACGACATCATCGTCGACCGGAAACACGAACCCAGGAAATTTTGCGAATAGACCAAAGGAGGAGGTGCAGGCGATTGCGAGTAAGGGAGGGAAGTCTAGTTAAGGGTCTTCGATGAGTTTTGATCTGAGTCTGTGTATGAGGGATGAGATGGTTTGGAGTGAAGGCTGGACCTGATTTTACTTGTATAATATGGGACAATGGAAATGAAACTCTCAAACTACATGGCACCCACTTCTTCTTCTGCGTGTCTTTCGATTTTGATTTTCCCAAATTTGGGAAGAACGCCGCGTGACGACTCTTCATCGTGACAATGTGTCTTGAAGCGCTCAAGAAATCTCCTGAGTTTGCAGTGTCGGTATTAAGGCAAGAAGAAATTTACATCAAAGTCCCTCTGAGAATCAGCTCTGTGTAGTTTGCATACACGATTCTCTAAAGAGTTGTCGAAAACGTTCCTGGCTTAATGCGATATTATCACTTGTCGTTGTTGGTCAAGGGCCACCAACAGTCATTACGAATGCTATCTTTCTGTTTCATATCAAGTGAATCCACGGCTTCTAGTTGAGCTAAATTTGGCAATGTGACGATTCCAGAGATGCCAACACTTGATGCCGGATGCTGACAACTTACAGTCCTCTATCATCTGTTTCTATGATACCCGCAATGTCAGAACCGCGTGTGCCGCTGAGCTTTCGAAGATGTAGTTTGGTGTTCTACAAGACTTTAGTTCATCGCACCTTGATTTATATGGCATCCCTCACAAACTAGCAGGTTCTGGTCGCTTAAGTCACTGTAATGGTTGTGGTTGACAAAATGTACGTCGACAAATTATTCAGGGTAACAACAGTCAGTTGACAAAGGGTTTTAAAAGTTTCTAGCAAATTTAATACAACTTAAATATCCAATTCGGCTCTTTCCTTTCCTGGTCTTCTGAGGAAAAGTAGACTTCTTGTAAGAAAAAGTATGTTCAGAAAGCTTCGACCAAGGCTGTACTACAGTCACCAAGGATATTGGAAAAGTGAAGTCCTTTCCAGAATTACTCAGGTCATTGTGAAAAGAAAACAAGCTCGGTAAGCAGATTTTCAAAATTCCACCAGATTCACTACAATAGTAACGCTCGCTGATATGAAGCGGGGTAGGTTCAAAGGACTACCTCACTTCCGTTTTCAAGAACAACAAACATTCTTCATGTTATTGAAACGCTTGTATAAGATCCAGGAAGAACTACAACCGTTGAGAATGAAGAGCGCTTGAGTATCGAACGCTCGCTTCCTCGTATCATCGTAAAGAAGAATCCTGCGATCTACACTGGACAACGCAAATGCTTCCTACGAACACCAAGGCTTCAGCTTTCTTCCTACCGCTCAGCTTCAACTGAAATTCTACTGGCGCAGATATTGATTTACGCCTCAAAACTAAGGGACCCCCCGGTGGAGACCATTCGATTGACCAGGCCACCTCGCTTAATATCTCAACTGCTATGTAAGCCTCTTGAGGATCTTTCCACTTCAGATTTTCCTTCAAACCCTCAACTCTGTCAAGCCTCCTCCAACCAATATCTCGAGTCATATTCCTTGAATTTGATAAATTCTTCAACAATTGTCTCAGGCATCCCGCCACCGAAGAGAAGATCAATATGTTCTGTGGTTTGTCATAACCTTCGTTTCATTGGAGATCGACGTACTCACCTTCTACCAGATGATTCCGTAGATCGGCTGCGGTTGAAGACTGCTATTGAGAAATGGAATAGTCAAAACGAAAAGAGAGTTTTTACAGACTCCTTCATCGATAAGGCAGATAAAAAATTCTCGCAGCGTATTCTGCTTCCACATCTAGGCGAGCCATATGTGCCTCTACGTGTGTGCCACAAACAGAATGAGATAATTCGGCATGAGTCTGCTCTCAGCTACACAAGCTCTCGATATTTGAAGGCGTCGCCTTGGGCGCTTATCAACCAAGAGAGTCATCAACGAAGGCACTTGAGGCCGACAATTTTCTTCCATGGCCCACTCGCTGGCAGAAGTGATGTGGAAAAGGAACTGCCACTTATATTGAGAGAGGCCTCACCAAATGGACAGCCCCTACAAAGTAATATCAGAGGACTATGCAATAAGGCAGACACGAATATGCGAGAGGCGATTATAACTTTCGGAGCGCTTCCAATCATGAGGTGAAGGACCATTCTCTGATTGCTTTTATTTGCTAACCCGAGTAGATGGATTTTGTTCCAGATCGGCTTCTTCCCAGAAAACGAGCAGAAACAAGGCATCCCATTTGACACTACAGAACTTCGAATTGAAGCTATCCGTGCCTTTATCGATGACAATGAGTGGGTGGTTCTTTGGTGGATGGTGCAATGCGTTGGACAAAACTTGATCGTGCAATGGTACTATCAAACAGGACTTCTCGAAGACCCAGATCTACTAGTTGTGAGGGAGAACGGGAGAGAAAATTTTAAGATGCGCTTGGTGGTACTTCTCGAAGCTTGCTTCAGGCTTGTCATCGACCACGACGTGAAAGCAGGGACTACTTGGAATGGTGGACAAGTTCGTTCTAACACAGTAATTGGCAGACAGGTATGCCATCATTCACGAATTTTAAAACACGTAGCTAATGAAAACTTCAGTTAACCGATGTTTGGAGAGGTCTTTCTAGCCACCCACTCGTTTCGCCGACGAATGCGGAGAATTTCGAGGACCACTGCGCGAATATTCATCCCAGAAATATGAAGGGCTGGGATGGACTTTGTGATGGTAGGCCAATACCTTAAACGATACATACACACTTGACATGGAAGAGATGCATGCTACACATGCGTATATTACTTAGTCAGTGGCGTTTCGAGAGTCAAGTGGAGGACAATATGGATCAACCTATTACCAAAATTCAGTGAGAAGATTTGACGGATTTGAGGAAGGATTGCTTCGTTGTTTTCCGCTTTCGACATGCCTTATAGGCAACCTGAAAGGAAAGCTCTTTGATATCACTGGAGAAATATCCCATACACTTCCACTTTCGACATGCCAGACGGGCAACCTGAAATAGAGATCATCTGATATCACTTCAGAATTACTTTACACACATCCTCAAAAGTTAGTCAATTGATATTTGGTTTATACGCTTAAAAAAAAATTTCGGCAAAGCCGCAAAAAGATCCTAATGTGTCGCTTTGAAAATTGACTTGCTTCAAAGGTATGACACCTGCTATCATGATTTATAATTATAGCCGTCAAAAGTGTGATTTATGTGAACAGTTAATTAACCGTATATAATCTAATGTATTCTATCTAGTATTGCGTTGACTCTTACAGAAAGCACCAGATCTTTTTCAAGCACAGCTATGCTCCACAAGCTATCTCTTACTACACCTTATACACCTTAGTTCTATTCCCTTCATCACTCAATTCTTACTTCATATCCCCTCTATTAAACCCCCAAATCATCTTCGTCCCCGTAAAACGGAAACAAAAAGTTTCCTCACCCAGCTCCTGCCTACGAAATTCACACATCCTACACTCATCCTCCCCAATATACTCATTCTCCCCTTCAAACCCTGCAACGGGAAAGTTGTGCGACATCCAACAAGTTTTCATCGCCCTGGAAACAAATCGATGATCGCTATGCTTCTTCATATCCAATTCGTGTATCTTTCTCTGGACTGATGGTGGGATAGGACTTTCTCGTAACTCCGGGCGGCAGAGCTTTTCGTAGTCAGAGGTTTGCTGCCCGGCGTTATATGCAGGAATGACGGGTCTGAAGCCTATCGAGTAGTAGCTCCAGCCGAGGGGGTGCTGTGGAGAGGAGTTAGTTAGGATTTGACTATGCGCGGGATGGGGTTTGAATGCTTACTTGTTTCGGCGTAGCAGCTTTCGTCTCGATTATCGGATATTTTGGCAGTGTAAAGTCTTTCCCGAATGTATGGGTTGAATCTGAATTTTGCTCAGAACGATTTGTTCCTTGGATAGACGACATTTGGTGAACACGAGGAATATCTTCATGTCGATCGCTGTTCGGCCTCCTTGAAAGGTCGCGTGGAATAGTGGTATGGTGGACTCTGAGATTTTCTTTTTCTTCCTGTTTATCTTTCTCCATTTCTTGAAAATCCTCCTCGAATTCATTATGAACATTGTAGCCTGGGGTATCGAAAATGGTATGTGAAGAGGGCAGTGTTGGCGCAATTGATTCCATGCCTGAAACGTTCGAATTGTCCATGATCTTGGCAAATCTACGCTTTGGGAATGCATCTCTGTGACTTCTAAGCCTCCTAGAAGGGGGTGTTATGATATGACTGGATCTAAATCTTTTGTTGTAGTTGATTGTTCTTTTGTCACAGTGTTCCACGTCCCCGAGTATTGGTGATGGATCACGTCCGACCCCATTCCTTCGATTCGATGCAGAGGTTTGTTCTTTAGACAAGCTAGGGACCGCAGTATCCGGCGTTGAAGGAGGGTCAGGCAACATACTGACGGCATGACAACTAGCGAATTCGGGTTGAGAAATTGCAAAGCGGGAACTTGTCACTGAATGATTTGCAGTTCCTTCTTGTTGATCAACAAAGTTGTCTATTTCGTGAAGATTGCGTGTCGACCCAGAAGAATCTTTAGTATTGGTTTGCTTCCCAAGATCTTCGACACCAAGAAGGTCACAGATCTTGCTTGGTAGAGTGTCGTTGTTTTCCGGCGATAGAGTAAGTTTACTATGATAACTTTCTATGAGTGTCCGTTGCGATTCGACAGAAGACTGTAATGATAGTATTCGACTCTCAACTGCCTACGTGACTCGATTAGTGACTGACAATCGCAAGAACGACGTAGGTAGAAGAAGTGCGCCTATTTACCTTTGCTTGTCCGGCGAGCGAGGAGTAGTCATTGTCGGAGGCTCGAACATGAGCGCTCAATGATTGTCGTATTTCGTTTAGTACTTGCTTCACGACAAGTAGTTCTGCGGAGTTGCCTGCTGTTTCTTCTTGAATGCCAGTTATCTCGTCCCGGATCTCTACTTGTAACTTGGCACTTCTTGCGGCTTCGCATCGTACGGTGTCGAGTATTTGCGCAAAAAGGTCTTGTGTAGTTGCATGCACATTGTTCTGCTCTTCCCGCTGGTTTTGCTCCTCACCGGTAAGCTTTGGTTGTTGATTCTTCTCGAGTCGTGTATGCTGTCCATTCAAGCCTGGACATGTACTGGCGCTCGCAAATTCAGACACGGAACTATCCATTGTCATTTTGTCAGAACGAAATCTATGTCGAGTGTACCCAGAAGCATAATTCGAACAGTGTATGATTAAAAAACAAGGTTGTAATGAGGCAAGTGTTGTGATGTCAAAAACTGGAGAGGCTTTCAACACGTGAAGTTGAAGCCAATGATGGCCGGAGCTCAAGGCAACTGCAGGAAAACAACAATTATCAAATTCACCAAATTCACCACACTAGTCCTTGATACCCGACCCCTGGACAGAAATAAGTACGTGACTCACCGTTAGTGGATATTCTGGAACTTATCAATTCAAAAGGACGTCTTCCTCCTTCCATTTCACGAAGGGATCTCTGAACAACTTCTTCAACACCCCTCATTCCACAAGAATGGCCACGCCGCAACCTCACACCGCAGCATCAACATCTCAGCCCATGGCAAAATCATTCCCTCTCCAAAAGCTGCCCACAGAAATAATTTCCGCCCTCTACCCATATATCCTCTCCAATTTCGCCGAAGAAGTCCACAGGAGCACAAACAACACATCGACGCACTCCGCAGAACTGACATGTCGACCTCGCGGCTGGAAGGGACTCTCAGAAGAAGGTTGTTTGGCGTTAATCAGACCATGTCCTTTTGAGAAAGCTATGGAGGCTGTGTTCTGGATCTGGCAGGACTATCGCAAATACCGGATTCGAAACTCGATGTTCGTGACTATGTTTTGGGGTCTTATTAACGAGATGGGTCAATTTAACGATTTCACTCGAGATGCGTTTTCCTTGGTAGTGAACTTGCGAACAGACCTTCCACCCATGATGACACAGAATATTCGTCAGCTTCTGTTCCGCAAAGAGTATGTTATATTCATTTCTGGCATGCTGGTCATTCTGAGCTGATATTATTTTAGAAGCTGGAAGTGTAGAACCAGTGAAGCTATTGGTGATGAGTTCGGGTTCGTGTTTGACAACCTCCTTGATGGCATATATCCAAGTTCACCAAATGTAAGAACGCACGTTACTACACATGAACTGGGAGACTACTACTGCAACAGTGCTAACAAGAATAACAGCTTTCAATATCCTCTCCGCTTCTTCCTGAGCTGAGGACCATATACATCAGTGGCTTTGAGCACGGGGAACCTCACTCCCGTGTGGCTCGATACAACCAATTTCGGGACGCCAACGTTGCCAACCGTTACCACACCCTTGACAAGGTCAATATGTATACCACCTTATATCGTTTACTCTTCCTAGCCGGCAGAGCACCAGGCAACAAGATTTCTAGACTTGGCCTTAGCCACTCGCCAGACTGCGGAAGCGTGTTTCGCTGTTTTTGGGAGGACTTTGAGATGTTAATCCGTCCATTCACGAAGCGATTAAGCTATATTGACGACTCCTTCCTGGATACCCACGAGGAGTATATGTACATCCATGAGTTTGCAGAGTCAGATGGGACAGGTTCCACATTGAACTGGGATGTTTTAATGGCATGGAGGAAGGACGCTCTCCTAGCACGCAACGGTTAGGAATATTCAAGAAGGCTATTCAGGTTTCGACTACCTCAAGATTAGGAATTTTTAGGAGTCAATCATATTTGACTGGGATGTTTTCATGGCATTCAAAAATCCTATAATGAATTTCCCATTATCTCAAGGTTAGAGAAATCTAGGAGGGCCTTTCAAGGTTCAAGATCCAAGGCTTTTTGCCAAGCAACAACTTTCAACGCTGTGTCTCTTCCCAATCCAACTTTGAACTCGGAATACATACAAAGAGACATGTTCTCAGAATATCCCTAAATCGACGTGACCGATAACAATTTCCATCCTGCCGTTCGCCTTAGCCAACTGATTACGAGGTTGTCTAATGAGACATGTGATTATCCTTAATAAAATCGGATCCAGCTTTCTTGGAATTGATTCTCGATTTAAGCCTTATAGAGTCATAGGAGTAAGTGGCAGACTTTCAGAAACTGAAAGAGATTAAGATATAGCTTGTCAACACCAAAGATCTGGCAGAGCTTAGTGAGGTCCAGGAACCGAAAAATATGCAGCGTCACAATACTAAGGATCTGGCAGAGTCTCAACCAAAACATCCGACAGTGCCTCAATCCAAATCCCGTTTTCTCTAAACACATCTACCACCGCACATACCTTCCATCCCACTAATCCCCCGGCTTCTAAAACCACCCAATCCTTTTCTACAACCTTACTACCCACACAACTTCACAAACCCAATTTCCACACCACCACTCATCAACTATCATAAACATCTCATCAATTCCTCAAACATCGAACTAGACCTTTGACCCTGGGGTACATCAATGCGATTTAAAAACCTTTGACTCACAAACGGAGAGAATCTCTCGGTTTGCCAAATCCAGATCTGGGGGTTTTCACTCACGTGTTGTGAAGTGGGGAATTTGGCCATGTATGTCACTAGTAAACACTATGAGCAATTAACCAAATTCTTGTCATTTGGCTAATGATAGTAGTCGAGCCAAGTTGAGAAAATCAAAGGTGTCTTGGTCGAGAATAGAAAAGATGGATAACCGGGGCTTGGTTCGGATAGTACTAGATTAATAGAGTAAGAGACTATACTAGCACTAACTCACGATATATAAAACATTTGCTGAAGCTGACTCGTTTAATACTCCTTCGGAACTTTCACAGATAACAAAAACATAAGTCCTCTACACGGACCTAGATACAAAACATCTGTACCACACAATCCCATCATCCAACCCTCACAATCCAAGCCCCCTCCCACAGTACCCCCATCTATCCCATCTATCCATCAAACCCTTCCCAGACCCCTGAACAAAACTAAACCCCTACAATCCGCCATGCCAACAATCACTGACTCGACAATTCGCAGTCGTCATCATCACTAGCGGTAAGAAAGCTGTTCTATATTACTAATAAGAGACGATGGGATATCATAAACGATAGTTTACTATCAAACGTCTTTCTAGACTATGATGAATGTCGAGAAAACTGGATATACAATGTGAGAGAAGAGAGCTAGAGAAATCATCTTTACGCTTAAAGAGACGGTTAAGTCTTTGAGTAAACACTGGTTCTTGTTTATTCCATCACGACGCTTTAAACGAGGGATCTGTGATAGAAGAAGAGATGGCAAGATAAATACGCAACTATACCTTAGGACAAGAGCTCCAAGCGGTCAAGCTTATATACCATTGCATTTCTTGCTGGAACCCCTTGCAGAGTATTATTATTTCGAAAGGAGTAAGTAGGACATTAAAGAACATTTTTACGTGGAGACGATCGTATTTAAAATTGAAAGAGGGGTTCTTCCTTGTGAGTAAAGGCAAACGGGGATGGATGTTGAGAATGGATTCAGATGTGGAATCATGATTCTTGCTTGTGAGTAATAGTGAGTAAGACTGGATGCTGTGAATAGGTTTCGGTGTGACATTCACACAGGAATCTATTTTGGGATACGGCACGTATATATTTCTTTCCTCTTTCGATCTTGAAGCTCTTCAAAATCATTCCTCTACAACACATCCCGCGACCTTACACAACGTCTCCCCACCAGCCATGTCTCTCCTTCTCCTTCCCCAACTCTCCTCGCCAGAGCCAACCCCACCTCCAAAACTCCAATCCCTCCCCACCGAACTCCTCAACCTCATCTACCCGCACATCCTCACAAACTTAGTATCCCACCACAAAACCACGTACCAGCTCAGGTTCACCCACGTCGACTCACCCTCCTACCCCTCCTACACATGCCGTCCATGAGTCCAAAACATAAAATCCGAAGCATTATCACTGTTCCTCAGCGGTTCCTGCGCGTTCGAAAAAGCGATGGAGATCGTGCCGCGGATCTGGAGAGACTATCGCGTGTACCGGATCCGTCATTCGTTATTTGTGGCAGGGGTTTTCTACAAGGTTGAGGAACACGTATTGGAGGATTGGAATGAGATGTGCACGATTGATTTTACGCGCGATGTGCCGACTATGACGAGGATGAATATTGAGGATATGATGTTTCGACGTTCGTGAGTTGCTAGCAAATCTCTGGCGTCGTTTTGGTAGCTAATTGGGTAGGCTTTTCCCCTCTCAATTCGCTTTGAAGGCTTGTGAGGAGCTGAGGAAGCTTGAGGATTGTGTCAAATCACTGCATATCGCGGTACCCGGGCAGGTGATGACATTCCATAGTTCAACTGGCGTGTTTAAGCTGACGAGCGTAGAATGGCGTCTATAAATCTGTGCTCCCTGAACTCTCCACGTTTTATCTCGGTGGCTACGATGATATGATGCAGCTGCACGCGCATATTGATATTTTCATCAACGAGGATCATGTTGATCGTGCAGGCGCTAAGATGTTTGTGTATCAGTGTGCGTTGAATCTTCTTGACCGAGCGAGTAAAAGTCCAGATGATAAACTTTGGAGGATTGGTCTAAATCATGGCTGGAGTTGTGAATGGGAACACCGATGTTTCTGGACAGAGTTGGAGGTGATTTTGCGGCGCATGTCTAAAAGGCTGAGTTACATTGACAACTCTTACGTTGATGGGAATGAAGGTTTAAGTCATATTTATATTCATGAGATAGCAGAGCCTGATGGCACGGGTATCGTCGTGGATTGGGATGCCTTTCGGGAGTTCGGAAAGTCGGTGGCAGATGAATTTCGTGATCGCTGATTCTGAATTGCTATGAAAATATGCGTCTTGAGGTTGATGGAAGGAAATTGATTTATCCTTGCTTCTCTCTGCTTACCTGAAATCCTTCCGTCAATGCGTTCCAAGTCATACAGCATGTCGCCGTGGAGGCTTTCGCAGACATCCTCCAACTTACCTCTATGAGTTTTCAATGTGAGCTGATCATAAGCTCGTACGAGTTTCCGTATGGATACGTCGGCTTGTATTTTCGGTTCCAAAACTCATAATTGGATTCCTAAGTGTCCCAGGTGAGAAAAGTTTGGCTCTCGATTCGGGATGCAGCACAAACAGAGTTCAGATCGTGCGTCGAAATCCACTTTGGGTATTGAGAGAATGTTACTCGAATGCATCTTACGAGGCGTTTTATGCATCTAGGTTATGGGCAGGCTTGCATCAACTTCTTTCTTCTGAATATTGAGGTTGCAGGGAGAGCCTGGTGAGGCCAGACAAACTCGAGAACACTTCAAGATTTGAGGACCGGTTTTGTAGGACTGGGACTGACTTCTTTGGAAAGAACAGATGTTTTGGATAAGACAAACACTTTGAAAAAAAGCGACATGTAGATTTGCTGAAGGCGCTGGCTCTTTCTCTGCTGGCTAGCATGCGACGTAGTTCATTCAAACGAACACCCCCGCTGAACTATGCTTTCGCTAGGGTGTCCTTGATAGGAATCAAGGCTGTAAGCTTCGCAAAACCCAAAGCGAACTGGAGGAAGCCACGTCGAAGCCGTAGTATTGGTAAAACGAACAGATGCGAGTTTGATGATGTCATTGAGGGTGTTGATGTTCGACGTGATGTGGAATTACGTGAGTTGAATATTGATACTAGCAAAGGGTATGGCTCCAGTGGCGTTATCAATGTGTACGATCAAAAGCGTATGAGGACTCACCGATATCAGAGCTCGGATACGGAGAGCACCTTTGGATCGTTCTTGACGTTGCTGTTATCTGTCGACGGTCACATCATATGTCGTGGTACTTCGTAGACTGTCTGCCGCACAACCTGGTGTTTCTCGTTATCATCGCCTTTCCGCAGTCCGGACATACTTCATATGCAATTCGAAAATACGTCTCATTGCAGGTCCGTTGATTGACTTCACGGTCCATTGCAGACTTGCAAGTTGCTACAGTTCTGTAAGATGCGTGGTTCTTTGCTGCGTACCGTACTGACTCCATTGTAACCGTTATGTGCCACAGAAAGCCTGCAGTGCCGAGCTGGCTTGGGCCCTTGAAGAGGGGCAGCTGGTCTGATCCGTTTGGCTGTCATGACTTCTAGAAGTCGTGATCCTCGTCTTCGGGCTCGTCGGGCTCTGATGGAGAGATCTTGCGAGGGTTGTGAGTGGGCCGGCAGGCAAAATTGATGCTCTTGATGACCGTTACGTGCTTGTGAATGGGCCATGGTCTGTTTGAGATGCAGACTAAAGTAGTAGAAAAGACCAAAGTAAAAAGAGAGGATCAAATGGAAGGGTCAACGACGAACGGGGAGGGGAGAGTTTGCGTGTTCAGAAGCGCGTCCAGCCGGAGTGGAGAACTCGTATAAAAAGCCGCTGAGTATGGATAACTGGATTGGGATGAGGCTCTACTAGGAGCAAAGTGGCCACATGGATAGACCAAATGGATATGTGTCTTTGTAGACGAACATATTGATGATTAGGAAATGACAAGTGTTGGTAGTGCAAGTGAAGAAACAGAACAGACAAATGGGAGAGAGTCGACCGGCGTGACTGGAGCGAATGCGAGGCGAGGACGGCTGCTCCCCTGTCGGTCCCGCCGCTTGCCCCCGTCCCCACGTCATCTGTAGACCCTTCATCCACCGTTTTCCTCGTCCTGCACGGCCTTCATCTGGATTTAACCCTCCTGGCTCCTGGTACTTGCTTGCTGAGCGACGAGCGTGCTGAACGAGATTCCCTAGTCACGTTGCTTCCCTGCTTCAACTGGAACTCCTTTTGCTTTTGCTTTTTTCAGACCCAACCAACATTCCAACCAAGTATATCTTCAATCCCATCGCCCGGTCGCTTATTCCCATGAATCCGACTCGGTTGCGACGGTTCTTCCTGTTCTAGAATCTCGGTCAGCTTAGCTTTTGCCTCATTCAGCTCAACAACACCACCGCGGGGTTCTTCTCCAGGCATCAACACTTTGCCGCAACAAAACTGGAAAGGACAAGAGGCGACGAGAGAGACTCGAGCATCCCAACGGCAACCACATCGCAGTGCGGCTGCATTTACCATCTGCAGCATCGCGACCTGTCAGAAATTGATTGGTAGCATTGTAATCATCGCTACCAGCCCTATCACGGGCTGCCCCCATCGCGCACCACAGGTATGTGACGATCCGTCCAACGGCATTTGTTCTGCGATGTGTGGTGCACACTGCACCTCATCAGCGATGCAGAGTTAAAGTTGTTTCAAAGTCTGCCAACTCGAGCGACACCAAGCATCATGTCAATATCAATGCTGACTTCCGCTGCAGAGTTATTTACGGCACAAAATCCTAACGTCGCTAACCAGACCGAAACCCTGATCAAGACCGCGACCGCGACCGAGACCGACCAAAGTGACCAATCCTCACGTGGGATTGCTTACTCGACCAACAAAGTTACCCCTCCACGAACCTCGAGTCGCCTCTGAGAATAAATCCTGGGGAGTACATCTCTCGATTACAGCACAGATCAGCAAGTCGAACATCAGGAACGATGTCTGAAAGACATAGATATGGCCAACGGCCACGCTCCCCCACCTACAACCCCGCGAGGGCTTCTCTCCCAATAAACCTTTCTGGTTTTGGTCATCCGGCCGCTCATGAGCATCACCTGCACGCCGTTCCAACATCTCGTCGTGAGGTTCCCACCACCCACACCAGAACAGGAAGTAGCACGGCGGCCAACGTTGGTACGGTCATGACAACTTACAAGATCAAGGCCGACCCTCCCCCACGAAGCACCAGCGCCCAGAATAACCATAGTCAGACCCGCAGAAGAAGCGCGACGATAGACAACAATGCCCGGCCCGCAGTGGTCACCACAATCTCACGCCATAAGCCGGTCATACATAGTGGTGGTGGGAGACCAGCCAGTCCTATGAAGAACCTCTATCGTTCGAGCGAGGAAGATTACTATACGGTTCCCGGAAGCTCACAGCATAGTCACTCACATCACAAGCGATACAGTACTGGAATGGATAATGGAGATTTGGGCCGGACAGGAAGTGAGCGGGGAGAGAATAGACTGCGGATTGGGTCTGGCAGACAGGAAGCTGCTTATAGGTCGAGTCGACCACGCTCGACCTACCCAACACCTGTTGCAAGACGAACAGACCCGGTTGCGGGTAGTTATGGGGATGATGAATATGGTTATACGAACCCACGAGAATTGGTGCAATACGACTTGAATCAACCCGCTCGAAGACATCAACCACGCAGGGATAGTTTTGAGGCCAACAAGACCAGTAGACCGACCAGCATTTCAGGATACGGAGATATTGCTCCCAGGGTGTACGATGCGAGAGATCGAGGACCACCACCTACAACCAGAGGATTTGACAGAATTCCTAGGGGAGCAACCTGGGAGCAATCTCCTTCTGCTCGAATGCCAGCAGTTCCTCCTCCACCTAAGATGGAACCAGTTCAACGACCAGGAAGAATCGATCCATACGAGGAACCAACACCGCCTGCAAGAAGAAACAGCCTCACACGACCAGTGTCTCTGTACCATGACCGGGACCGCGAGCGGATGAGATCCCGAGAATACGATGTTCGAGATGCTGAGCCATATACAGTACGCGATGCTGAGCCAAGACATCGACGAGACAGCTCACATCGAATGGAGCAGCCGAGATTTGACAGTCCGGTTGAGCAGAGAGGGTTTGGTATCAGAGATGAAGTACCACCACCCAGACCTGAGAGGGTAGACAGGCTAGATCGAGTGGACCGCCCTGAGCGAGTTGATCGGATTGAAAGGCCGGAACGAGTCGACAGAGTTGAGAGGCCAGACCGAGTCGATAGGGTTGATAGACCTGAACGGCCCGATCGCGTCGATCGAGTTGACAGGTCTGACCGCCCAGAAAGATCAGATAGATACGACAGATACGATCGACCCGAGAGATCTGAACGGCCAGAAAGACCCGAACGCGGGGAGAGGGCAGATAGATCAGACGAAGATCGTGAACACAAGAGCAGCCGAGACCTTCTCACAACAGGACTGGGACTTGCCGGAGCTGCATTGGGTATCAAAACTCTCAAAAATGTCAGAGACGAGTCACGAGATGGACGAGAAAAAGACCGCGAAACTCGAGACGACAGGGAGGAACGGTCGCGTAGAGACTATGATGAGGAGCCCCGTCGACGTCGTGAGAAAGACGAGAGACGACCTGAGCCAAGTGGAAGAGAGCCTAGAGAACGACGTGATCGCGACGATGATAGGGAACGAACACCACCACAACCTCCACGCGATACGTCTCAGACTCGTAGAGAGGTTCCTGTCCAATCTAGAGAGGCTCCTCCGCCAAGAAGAGACAGCCCACCTCGAGCTGATCGCGAACTTCGTGAGAGCAACTCTGATCCGGTGTTCTTGGACCTGAGCGGGCGTAATCCACAGGAGCGCCCAGCTTCCCGAGCGGAACGGCCGAACTCAAAAGACAGCCGCGAAAGCGAGGAAGAACGACGTGAACGACGTAGACTTCGTGCAGAAGTCCCTCCAGCTAGCAATGATTCTCGTTCTGGTTCTGGTTCCGAGGCAGTTGGTGGTGGCTTTCATCATCCACGGCCGATTATCAAGGATGATACTGCAGCGCCAGCTCCATTTAATCCAAAGGACACTATGGATCTGAAGGCGCTGAAAGAAGCTCTCAATTCGAAGGAGAATTCTGCTCCTCGAGAGGAACCAGCTCCTGTGTCAAGAAATGCTCGAGTGTCAGAAACGAGAACATCTGCCGATGCCGCTCAAATACGATCAGATCTTCATGGTGAGCGTAGATCAAGAGAAAGACTTACTTCAGAAAACCCACAACCCCGTGTTGTTTCTCCTCCACGACCAAAGGCCGAGAAAGCACCAGTAAAAGGTATACTTCGTCAACCGAAAGAAAAGTTTCCGGAGGACCCAAGCCCGATTAGAGAAGGTGTTGCACCACTCAAGGATGCAAAGAAAGATGGCGTACCTCCTGATGCTCGATGGACCAAGATTAGCAGAAAACTTGTGAACCCTGAAGCGTTGGAATTGGGTAAAGAAAGATATGAAGCGCGGGATGACTTTGTGATTGTTTTACGTGTTCTCTCAAGAGACGAAGTACAAGGCTACGCAGAGGTTACTCAGAAACTTAGAGGTATGTTTAAATGCTTTGCTGATCTATTGTTTTCTCATTACTAACTTGAATCTAGCTGCACGAGAAGACGCCGACGACCAAGAAGGCCGCCAACAGCGTCGCAGAGCCCGTCGCGAACGTCACGAACGCCACAAACGCGAGCGCAGTCGAGGAGAGCGAAAAGAGCGCAGCGAACGTCGTCGTGACCGAGAAAGAGAACCAAAGGAATCGGAATCAGATACCACGGAAGATGAACAGGACGCCCCAAAAATGCTAGAAGCTCCACCCCCAAGACGGAGAGCCGCGAGTAACAATTTTCAGGATCTCACGATGAGTGGTGGGTTGAGTGGGCCGCCGCCGGTTGAGAATCCTAAGGTTCCCGGGCAGTATTTGAGTTATACTAGGAATCCCCCGCCATCTAACTAGGGGAGGTGTTGCGGTACTGTGGATTTTGGGATTGTTATGGAGGGCTTGGATTGGATGTCGTAACTAGAAGAAGCTGAGATATTATCTTGGGGGATGTTCGTTTCGTTGTATCATTTTGGAGATGGGATTTATTGGATTCATATGCTAGTTGCCATTTTGGTGTTGATGGGAAGATGTTGGTGGGTGAACGGATAGAAGGCATTAGCGAATTGGAGTCTTAGTCTTGGGGTTTTGAATGATACCGTAGTTAGATGAGAGAGTGAGAGAGTGTGGTAATTGAATTGAAATGGATTGGACAGTGAGAATGAGAATTTGTGTTTCGACACGTACTAAGATATAAATAATTTTCATACACCCTGAGCAAACTACCCATCCCATCTCGCTTACTCCTCTTTTCCCGCAAGCCTTCATACTCTAATGGAAACATCAGCACCTCCTCAATTACTGCATTCTCTCCTGTCTATCCCCGTGTATCGCCCATCCTCTCTAGTATATATACATCTTAAAATCCCCCCTTCTCACCTCTCCTCCCCGACTGAAAAAACCGTCTCCTGCGAGTTCCTGCCTAACAACAACAACATCCTCCATCTCCCTAAACTACTCCATCCAACCCCTAAAAACCAAAACACCTAACCCCCAAAACATCACCCATCCTCCACAAAACCCTCACTCAATACCCCCCCTAATAGTGTATCCAAAAACATCACCACACCCAGCCCCTCCACGTTTTCCCCCGGGCGTGGTTTTACATGTTTCGTCAGGTACGGTCGCACACGCGAAAAGGTGTGCGACTCGGGCGCCGAAAGTCCGACGGGATGTATGTCGTTGATGGAGCTGAGGGAGAGACCATGGATATAGTTAGAAGAAGGGGGTGCGTTGTGGAAGGGAGGGATGGTGTGGAATTCGCTGATGTGGTGGGTGGTGGGGGAGAGATAGCGGTTGATTTTGAAGTGAAATATGAGGGTTGGCAAGTGGAGAGTTGGGAAGGAGATGGGATTGTTTGGTGGGGTGCCGGTATACTTACTTTGAAGTGCTACTGGATTCGGAGATGGGTTTGTTGGAGACGAAGGGTTTGAGAACGACGGGAGGGCTTTGTTGGATTTGTGTTTGTTACTTTGGCGGTGTAGAGGTGGGTGTTTACTGTGTGGTATAGGCTAGCTGGAATAAGTTGTTATGATGTTAGTTGATGGTTCTAGTGCTTTAGTCTTGATTTTTGAAGTCGGGTCGGTGGAAAGAGGTGTGAGGGGGTAGTATCTTGGGCAGCTGATGATGGCGAGTAGTCGTTTGAAATAGTCGTGTAATTTTGTGATGAAGAGGTGGAATGGTGGCATTAGGAAGGCGAGGATGAATTGTTATTACTATCAGAAGCCATCTTGAGCACTTCACCAAGTAGCTTCCCAAGCGAATAAATATATTTCGAAGTGTTACGATGACAGTTCACAGTAATCTAACATCAAGAACATCATCCGCAGCGCAAGAACCAAATTGTTAACCCGCCCAGCTGAAAGTCGGAAAATCATAATTGACTGGCCCCAGGTTAGGATACCACAACAGAAACTGTACGAAATAATTCCTGGGAAGCCCTGTATGAAACTCTCCTATATCTCGCTCGAGGGTGCATAACACCCCTTCAATTACCGCGAAAGAATCAGCTGCTTAAGTAAAATTCCGTTGGGTCGGGAATTTTCCCAGCTAGCTCACTGATCATCAGTTGTGAATTGAGGCCAGAAGACTTGAAGAATAAGAGCGTATGTGACGAGGTCGATCACCTGCCCAGCGATGTTTCCGACTTCTGGTTTCCTTGCTCTTTGATAACTTCCCGGTCTCTATATGATTTCAGATGGATTCGGAGCATCGGAAGTAAAGCTGGGAGGCTGTGAATAGCTATATGAGTTTTGCGGGTATATTTTCTTGAGAGATGCAGCCTCTGGTGTTACAGACGAGGGAATGAGAAGGAAGGTAACGGTGCGGCGAATTGCATCTCGTTGCTTTGTTCTGAGGACTGATAATGCTTTCTCGGATTACTCATACCGGGGATATCACAATCGGCATGCGTGCGATGGTAAGACCAGAGCAATTATAACATGCATCCATTCGTGATAAATAAATTCTCTTGTCTTCAAGGGGATCATCTTCAATGATACAAAGCGCATCGACCCATAAATATCAATCCAAGCGCTCGAATCAGCCAGATAGCATCTTCAATGGTTTGAGGAAGGAGTTTTGGCAGTGGAGTGCATTCCTCTCCGAACTCATCCAGCTGGATATCTATCATTCGCAACAACGGGAGAGTTTCCAGTCTTGCGTTACATATCCCCGGTCCCCCAGACATAGCTCAACGTCAGATAACTGAGTTCTTTGACATGAGCAGTGACGATGATGTTGTGTCTTGCATCGATAAGTCGTAACTTAGTAGGGTGGATCCGTCTTCGTCGCAAACATCCCCGTGAAAGTAACTACACCTTGTCATCCAGGATTTAAGCAGCTTGATATTGACCTTGTGCCGATCGACATATCTCCCACTGCTTGTGTCTCCCATCTGACTTCTAAGCGCAAGATTGAAAGATCCCGCCTGCAGCAGGATATTCTTCCACATAAACCACATAACGATACGCGACATCAAAACCCTACTTACCTTTCGACCTCACATCGAATTCATTCGAATAAGCCTCTGAGGTAAGCCGATCGTACGACGATTTTTCAATTCCTAATTCCTAACTCACATCATTATCCAGAATGATAAATTTTTTCAAGCTCTGTGGCTCGCAACGCGGGTCTGTTGTAAGAGCTCCAACAACAAGGCGGCAGATTGGACAACTTTGACTGGCGAGTATTTCCTCCTATCTCCCAAGTCTTGGGCGTTTTGGCAGTGATTCGTAGAGATAGGCAGCAAAATCAATGAGTTTTCAAACTTCACATAATCTGGTTTGGATTCGTAACTTGGTGGAGGAGAATTTGTGTCGGATCGAAGATCGGATGATACGGAGCGCGGTGCCTTTGCCTGAAGCGAGACATTTCGAAGATAGGTTTCTCACGTAGTAAGAGACTTTTCAAACGACGCGACGTTAGGTATGTATTTAGCGGGAACGACTGATTTCGATAGGCAGATGGTGGGATGATATTAAATATCATGTTCTTAAGGCATTCTCTTGCCAATTATCAATCGTTGCCCTTACCAAGTTTCTGACATTTGATTGGGAGGCTGTAGAAAAAACAGGCGTAAAGACGGGATCGATTTTTGGCATTCTCGTGTGTGTGGCTGATCGTAGACTTTCTCAAGCCACGGAATCCACGCCTTCTTCCGCGCCCTGAGATATAACCCAAGGCAAGCCAACTTGAACCACTATCGATTGATGGCTCGAATTATGACGGTAGAAGAGTATGAACAGACTTTAGTGCCACTTAAATGGCAAAAAATGCATATGTAACGCCATGACTTTGAATATTAACTATATATCAGATGGCAAACTGAATTGCCACGATATGTCCAAGTCATTGCGATCAAATCAGCAAGCCATTTCCTCCTATACGATTTGTATATATAACTCCAATCCTATCCTACCCCCTAACGCCCAAAATCCCTCATCCGCAAGTACCAAATCATAAATTCGTAATTCATAGATCGGATTATGTCGATTGATTTTTCAAGATACCCATCCGTTTACCGAATCATATGCACCTTGCATGACATGCTTGGCCTCTCCGTTATCCATATCGTAGACGTGACAGCCTCGAATAGCTGCGTTCGGCGGTGTGTATACTAATAGCGGTTAGTATACTACATTTAGTGATGGAATGGATTATGACTCACGATGCATGCTAACGGCAAACTCGGTTGAGCTTGGGTTCGATATTTCATGGAGACCAAGCTAGAAGAAGGATCAGTCGAGACTTTTCTACCAAAACACGAAGAGACAACGTACCGAGTCAGACATATATGTGACTTGATCGCGTTCAAAGTCCTTTCGCGAAGTGCAACATAGAGGACCATCAAGTCCGGGTTTGGTGGGTATTTTGAACCGCGATTCTATCAGCTTGCCTTGGAGAATCTGTAACATCAAATTAGCAAAGGCACGACTGAATTTGATGGGTGATGTTTATTATGTGTGACCAGACGTCACAGTACAAGTTATTGATATATGAAGCCTTGCTTGAAATCAAATGTTTGATAACAAACAGCCTCTCAAGTATGACAAATGTGACGTACCTTCATCAAGCAGTGGCTATCCGCATGATCATGAACAGGACTCTTCTTCCCAGGAGTCCAGACCAATATCAACAAGTTGAATAGTCCTGGAACTTCGCATACCAAATTCCTCGTATATTGCTTGTTGATATTCGCGTGAGCGAACCTTGACCAATGTTGGCGATCTGACGTATAGCCGCGAAGAAGAGAGAAAAGTTTAGGTAGGGTCGGTGAAAGTGAAGAAGGAGGATGTGCTGCGAGATGCTGTACTAGAGCGTTTTGGAGGTTGGAGAAGGAATTTTGTAGGACCCGGGGAGCGGGTTTGAGCATTTGAAATCGCGAATTGCCCCGATACAGTGGGAAATTCGAAGGTGATAGCGATAGATCGTCTACTTTGGTTGGTAGTAGTTGCGCTGTTCTGGCAGATCCTGTAATTGTCGCGCTCCTATCTGTGGTGGTGAAAACCCGGGGAATCTTGCTAATGAGGGGTTGGGAGCGCAAAAATGGCCTCGTTGCGAGCTTAAGAGGAGACATTGCGGCTTTATGGCCCGGAAGTATGCTTATGTGTTTGTGAGGTCGAAGTATATTATCAATATCGGCAGAAGTTTGTTATTGAGGGTTCCAGACCGAGCAAACAAAGTTGAAGAGGTGAATTCACAAATGGCGCGAATTGAGGGTAAAGTGGGAAGTCAGCACAACCGAAGTCTCGAGCGTGACTTGAGAGAAGGAAACGTGTAATATCAAGAACTACCGGGATACGAATCTGTAGCTAAAGACGACGATGTGTCACGAGATATGCGTTCCTTCCGAATTCGGGTGTAGGCCTCTTCCAATCGAATGGCTTTCGTAGCAGGTCGTCGATTCCTTGTGCAAAACTTACCAGTAGTATCCGACTGATCTTATCTATAAACACCGAAAAAGATAACTTCAACGGTGTGCAGACTTGAAGAATCCGTTGGACTGGCTGCAAAAGCGGGTCGCACGGCGTCGTTGGTTCTGAACTCTGACCCACTGCAACTATTCTGCTCAGCGCCATCCATCAAGGTGGACTGGTCCATTCTCTTTTCTTCTGCGTTCTTACGCGCTGCTGCTTGAGACAAAAAACTAACTCCATTTCCCAATCGATAAACTGCAACATGCTCACTGGAGTCAAATGTGTCTTCTTCAGCCAACTTGCTGGGTTTCCATGCCGTGAATTCCATTGTCCAGTGCCCTCCGGTGTGGTCACCCGATGGACGAGCCGAAAAGGTTCCGCTTATCTCTTCGTCCGTCGGTAACGCGCAGCTAGCCATAAATGATCGCACCGCAGAGACGATGGCATAAGACATGTAACAAAGAGAAAGATAATAAGAAAGACGATAACATTTTTGATTGCCTTGGCAAAACCACATGAAAGAAGCAATAGTAAACAAGACCAGAAAGTAAACAAATTTTCGCTAAAAAAGGGGCACAATCTTGTCTGAAAACCAACTTGAAATTGAGCATTGAAAGCGATCATCTCGCCCACGAATTCCAGTGAATTCTCTCGTAATTTGCAGAACGATGCTCATATACCTGCTCCCCGTCATCGGAGGACAACAGCATAGCGCGATAAGCACCAGACAACAGGTCTCTTCTGGTCCCCCGTAGCATTTGAACATGTTCCCACTTGAAAACATCTCATTGGACGCGCGAAGCTGACCATTAGTCAAGAAAACGTACACAGCAGAAAAATCGACGATTTTGGGCTCAGAAAACAACAACGAAAAGCGACGAAAAAGATCCTCAACTTTGAGGTCAATTCGAGAGATGTTTTAGCGAGAAATAAACAAGAAGGAGAGAAGGATTGAAGGGGAGGAAATGGAGGAGGTCTTGAATTGTGAGGCCGATTGCTTATTGGCTCGAGGGCGCTGTTAGTGTGGACAGGGGCGATGGTGTGCTCGATTGTTCTGGGTCACGTGGTATTTCGACTCTGGATTTTGTGTCGTGACTCTGCTTCATCCCCTTCATACCATCACTTGTGTATTCATGGCGACTTATTTGACTCCGAACTTCAACCAGGATCAATTTCTCCCCTAAATGAGGGATGGAAATGTCTTACACTATGTTGAATCCAGCCCCACACTCGTGACCAAGTCGTAGAGGCTATTCAGTTTCTTTCAATTTACACCATGTCGCTTATATTACTTCGATATGATTGAAGCGGCTCAACTCATACTTTCCCAGTCCAGGAATGACAATGTCCTTTTCCGGTCTGGGTAAATCATAAGAGACCCTCTATTTTCCACGAATTGAATAACGTTCAACTATGATATAAGGTAATGTGCTTGGAAAGTGAGTTGTCGATGTCCATGTAAGATCAATTGAGACTTCCATCATGGAACTTATCAAGTTGTTTTCTGTTTCTTGCTTTTTGTCGTCCGTTCTTGCACTTGGTCAAGCTCCGATCATTTCTTTCGATGATGGACCTCTCCAACTTGCTGGAGGCGGCACTCAAGCGACTCTTGTTCTTGCAACAGGCGATTGGAAAGGCGTTTTGAGAGCTGGAGCAGATCTATCCGCTGACTTTGGTCGAGTGACTGGGAAGAATCTTACGGTCAAGATTACTGAAATCACCACATCAGACACCTCTCCATCAACTGGTCCAGTGATTATAGCTGGTACCATCGGGAAATCCAAACTCATTGACTCATTGATATCAACTGGGAAGATCGACGTATCAAAAATACGAGGACAATGGGAATCTTTCCAGACACAAATTGTTGCCAATCCGCTCTCCGGGCTTGCTTCTGCCTTGGTAATTGTGGGGAGTGACAAGCGTGGAAGCATCTACGGAATTTATGATGTCTCTGAACAGATTGGAGTATCACCTTGGTACTGGTTTGCTGATGTTGCTTCGATTTCTCGGGCGAAAATATTTGCTCTTGGTACACCCAAAGTACAAGGCCCGCCGAGCATCAAATATCGCGGCATTTTCTTGAACGATGAGCAGCCAGCTTTAACGAATTGGGTCAAGGAGAAATACGGCGGTTACAACTCTAAGTTCTACGTCAACGTTTTCGAATTGCTTCTTCGTCTGCGAGCAAATTATCTTTGGCCAACGATGTGGGATAGCATGTTCAATGTGGATGATACTAAGAATGGACCGCTGGCTGATGAGTACGGTATAGTTATGGGGACGAGTCACACCGAACCCTTGACTCGATCGTCCAAGGAGCAAAGCAATTATATGAGTGGGAATTGGGATTGGGCCAGCAACAAACAGAACGTCATCAAATTTCTAACAGAGGGGGCGAAGAGATCGAAGCCCTATGAAGTTTTGTATACAATGGGAATGCGAGGAAACGCCGATACTGCTTCTCCTACTCTCACAGCTGCGTCTTTGAGCGATGTGATCAAATCTCAACAAGCAATTCTCTCGTCAAATATCAATACAAACTTATCTGCCATACCTCAGATGTGGTGTCTCTACAAGGAAGTCGGTGGATATTACCAAGATGGGTTGAAAGCTCCAGATGACATTACTTTACTTTGGTCTGACGATAATAATGGCAACATGCAAAGATTGCCACTTCCTAGTGAAGTCAATCGACAAGCCGGTGCCGGTGTATATTACCATTTCGACTATGTTGGCGATCCTCGCAATTACAAGTGGATCAACACGATCTCGTTAGAGAAAACCTGGGAGCAAATGCATCTCACCTACGAGCGAGGTGCAAGACAGATATGGATCGTTAACGTCGGCGATTTGAAACCACTTGTAAGTCCTCTCTCACTCACGTAACTCTATCTAACCTTCTAGGAAATCCCAATCAACCACTTCCTAGACATGGCCTATGATATGTCACAGTACGGGGAACCCAAAAGCACCCAAACTTGGCTTTCCAAATGGGCAACCCGAGAATTTGGATCTGCAGTATCTGATGCCACAGCTTCAGTGGTGGATCGCTACGGCATGTATGCGAATCGTCGTAAATACGAGCTTCTTGACGCCTCAATCTACAGCGTCGTAAATTACAACGAAGCAGACACCGTTCTATCACAATGGAAAACTTTAGCTTCAGATGCACAAGCAGTTTACGACTCCCTGCCCTCGGCCTTCCAGCCTTCGTTCTTTGAAATGGTACTTCATCCATGCAAAGCAGGATATATCCTCCATCAGCTCTATGTTGCGACAGCGAAGAACAATCTGTGGGCTGGTCAAGGACGAGTAAACGCTGCTGATCAGGGCAGAATTGCTGTTAGTGCATATGCCGCGGATTCAGCTCTTGCGAGCACATATCATAAACTGCTGGGTGGGAAGTGGAATCACATGATGGATCAAACTCATATTGGATATACTACCTGGTTAGTTCTTCTCGTCTTTAAGTGATCTTGGTTAACATGGTTAGGCAACAACCGGCATCAAATAGTCTCCCGTCATTAAAATGGCCAGCAGCTAGTACATCAAAACCACCAGGAGTAGCTATCGAAGGTGGAAATAGTAAACTCGAACTCCCATCCTTGAACCGCTACGCAAAGAATCGATGGATAGACATCTATTCCACAAGCAACAGCACCGCAACCTTCAAAGTTGAAAGCGACACTTGGATCATCGCCACCCCCTCGTCCGGAACTCTCAAGGCCCCAGGTGACACATCAGACCAACGCGTCTTAATCACCATCGATTGGGAAAAAGCGCCCACAGGAGCCACAACCCCCAAAATCAAAATCACAGCCGGAACAACGGTCTCAACAATCTCCCTCCCCATCGACTCCACCCAAGTCCCCTCAACCTTCCACGGCCACATCGAATCCGATAAAACAATCGCCATAGAACCAGAACACTACACCACATCCACCTCAAGCAGCACCGCATCCTACATGACAATTCCCATGTACGGCCGCACCCTTTCTGGTCTCACCCTCTCCCCTCTCTCCATCTCCACCCAAACACCCCCTCCTCCCCCGTCTCACCTACAACATCTACATCTTCACGCCGGGCACAGCAACGATAACCATCCACCTCTCGCCCTCCCTAAACACCGATACCTCCCGTCCCCTCGCGTACGCCATCGCCATCGACGACGCCGCCCCGACCAAGGTACAGTACGTGCCGGTCACGAAATTGGGCACGCTGCCGAGCACGTGGAGCGAGAGCACGAAGAATGCGGGGGCGAAGAGTAGTACGAGTCATAAGGTGGAGAAGGGGGCGCATGTGTTGAGTCTGTGGGCGTTGGAGCCTGGGGTGGTTTTTCAGCGGATTGTGGTTGATCTTGGGGGTGTGAGGACGAGTTATTTGGGGCCGGGGGAGAGTATGAGGGTTTAGGGGAGGTGGAGGGATTTAGCGAGATGGAAGATTGGGTGAGCGATTTGGGTGTTAGTGTTATGTCAAGTTAGCTCTCTCAGATTAGATACAATCCTCACCCAAAATCCAAGCTTGAAACCCAACAGAATATTGCCCTCAATAGCTTAATCAAAACTAAAACACTCTACTTACACCCCCCCATAAAACTCCCCAATCATCTCCGCAACCTCCTCAGGACACTCCTCAGCAACAAAATGCCCGCCCTCAAACCCCCTAAAGTCCAACCGTCCCCCCTCACCCACCCACTGCCCCCACTCCTCAACCCTCCCCCTCTGCCCCAAAAACCCCTTCGAATACCCCACCACCACACGTCCCTCCATCTTCCGTCCGTCCCTCTGATCACCCTCATGCTCCTCCACCTCCTCAAAAGCACTCGCGCGGTAATCCTCACAGCTCGCACGGATCACATGTTCATAGCTAAACGCGCGCCCGTAGACGCTCATCGCGTTATGCTGTTCTAGGGTCTGGATGCCGGAGCCGGCCCAGCGCTGGATACAGCTTTCTACGTATCGCGGGCCGCCGAGCGCGAGGATCATTTCGGTGGCGAGGGAGACGTTGGGGAGGAAGGACCAGTGGTAGAATCCTACGCTCTTTGAGGGTGTGGAACCGGACGCCCATTGCGAGAGTGTGGGCATGATGTCGAGCAGAATTGTGCCGGTTATGGTGAAATTGGGGAGGGAGCGGGCGGAAACTGTGAGGCGGTGGGCGATGCGGGCGCCGCGGTCGTGACCGCAGAGGATGAGGGATTGCGGGGTAGATCCGGAGGGGAGGATGGAGTGGAGGGTTGAGAGGAGGGTGCGTCCGACGGCGAGTTTGTTGTGCGCGGTTGTGAGGGGGGAGGAGCGGCCGTAGCCGCAGAGCTGATGATGTTAGATTGGGAATGAGAAGAGGGTGAGGGCGCGTACGTCGGGGATGAAAAGGGGGATGGATTTGGGGAGGAGGGGGATTATCTGAACTCTTTAGTATATATGGTTTTGTGAAAGTAGGAGGGAACTTACATGTCTCCACCTATTCATCACCTACACATCAGTACATCCTCGTTTGATCACCATAATTTCAATTGTAAGACAGAAACATGTTTCTCAACTCACATAAAATTCCTATACCCCTCCAAAAATCAGCATTCTCTCCATATACCTTTCCCCCTTCATTTCCCCTAAGATTTGAACTCACGTCTGCGGATACCCATGCAACAGCACCAAAACTGGAGTGTCAGGTTTGACATCCTCCAACCCACGAGAATAATAAAACAGTTTCTCCTCTGCCGTCGTCTTCAGATTGGACTTTAATCCCAGACTTGTCATGTAATCCACGTCGTCTGTTGATGCGGTGATGCAGGATTTATCCCAGGGTATATCGACCATGGTGGGTGAAGGTATTGATTGAGGAGAAGATGGGATGGGTTGGTTCGTTGATAAGGTTGTTGTGAATATATTATGTTAAGATTCTGTAAATTTGAGTTTTGTGAAACAGAGTTTGGGTTTCGAAGGGCGTGAGGTTTGTAAGCTTTAGATGATTGCTCTGGTTATGTGAGTGGTGAGCTGCGTGAGATGAGAGATTGACGTCGAAGGGCGTACCCGCCTAATTGCGGGGTCATCTACCCCCCTTTTAAGCCCCTGTACCGAGCCGAGCTACCAGACTATCCCAAAAATAAATGTTAAAATAGATGTATACATTATGCGTTACTATTGAAATATATACTGGAAGCAAAAATCTAATGACAAGCTGCAAAACAAAATTCTACCGCATACGGCGACTCTCTTCTATAGGCACATCTTTAGGCTCAATTTCAACAACCAGATCTTGTCTCCCCTTTGGTACCGGGGCTTGCTCGACCTCTTTGCGCATTGTAAATGACCAAGCCAGAGCAGTAAAAGCGACAACTGATAGGTAGCACCACCAAACAACGCCAACCATTCCTTTCTCCATTCCGAGTGCGAACGCCCAACCTCCAGCCGCGCTTCCAATAGCTCTGGCAAGACTGCTAAGCATATTTCCAGCTCCGTGAACCGTACCAAGAACTGTCTTTGTTGGTGCCGATTCCGTCAATAAAATGACTGTACTTGGAATTGCAATCGTGCGAGCCATGACCTGTGCGCAGAGAATGATAGCAATACCAATCCATCTTGCTACCCCACCGTGTGAGAGCAAAGAAAGGTATGGTGCGAATAGGTATGCCAACGGGAACATGAACAGGGCAACTTTCAAGCACCCAAGCGTTCCGAGACGAGCCTGCATTTTTGGGTAGATGAACAACTGAAGGAAGATCCCGCATAGTCCAAAAAGTGAGAGCCAGATCCCAATAGAACGGGATTGTAGACCAAGTCCACCGGTAAACGAAAGGAGAGTCCAGTCCGCATTTGATGAAGCTGGAGTGGATAGGAATACCGGGAAGATGTGCATGAAAGCAGCATTGTGCAATGGAAGAAGTCCAAATGAAACAAGCGTGACCAACACATCTCGAGTCCAGATGTCCCGGAAAGCTAGTCGAGACGGAGGTGGTCCAGATGCGAGTGATCTTGCAGGTCGGGCCTCTTTGATTTCTTCTGACTCTAATACTTCATCCAACTGAATTGCGGAATAACCTGCTGTTCGCTTTCGGAAAATCGCCCGAGAGGAAAATCGAGTTAAAGCAGATCCAACCGCAACTCCGATATCTCTGTCGTTCTCTTTGCCTGGAAGCGTTTCGCGCATCCCAAAGAATGCCAGGAAAAGACTGACTGATAGCGCAAAGGCGTTTGTCAGAGCAGGCAAGGCATACGGGTAAGTGAAGTGCCCAGGCTACACCATCAGGATTGGAGTATAGATTGAACAATCCATCTGGGCCGAACAAGAAAGGCATATTGACAACCGGATCTGCGAGGCATCCTCCCAAAGCGAGCCCGACGACCATGCCGGAGTTGAATACCAAGGGCAGGATCAAGAAAGCTCTTGTCTGGTATTTCCTCTCCTTGACAATCTCCGCAGTCATTGTCCGCATCACCCCCACATTTCCATTTCCAATACCAGCCAGAACTCTCCAAAACATCAACGCGCCAATGCTTCTTGAGTATCCGAACGCAGCGTTTGCAATCACACTCATCACCAATCCAATTACGATTGTCCATTTTCTTCCGTAGAAATCTGATGCTCGACCCCATAGCATGCTTGTCGCGAACTGGGCGAGAGGAAATGCTGCCACCAACAGTCCGGAGACTTTGGATATTTCTTGTGGAGCATTCGCATCGTCGGAGGTGATTATGGATTTGATGAGGTAGTAAATGTATGGCAGGAGGCATGTGTTGGATAGAGGTTCGGAGAGGCGGCAGAGTGCGAGTATGAAAAGTTGAGATTTGTTTGGCAGGTCCATCAACCTCACCGGCGCTGGCTTAGATGGTTTCGACATATCTTGAGGAGATTTCCCTGGATTTATTAGCATATGGTATCGGAAGTACCAGGCAAAAATACTTACGAGGAAGCAACCCCCTCTCCTCGACAATACTGCTTTTCCCAGCCATGATGTTGTGTCCTTGTTCCCTTGTCACTCCCGTCCTGTCCTACCAAAACCAAATGAACGAAAAAGAGTCAAGGAGGGATAAGAACATGCTTCGAATCCAGCCGGAAACTCCGCGACTTTAGAGAAAGAGCCATCGTGATGGGTCCATAGATAATCAAGTCAGGATAAGGAGATAACCAAGACCCGAGGCTGAATTGAACAGGCGCAATTTCGATAGTAACTTTTAAATGAGCCCAGATGAAGATCTAAGGCCCGATCGGGCGGGTGCTATGGTACACTACCAAGCATTTTCAGGCTATCTCTCGGATATTTGCAGTTCTGGCCTATTGCTAAATACGGTGTATATTGATATGATATCAACACCTCTGATTTGCCTCCATCGTATGGTTTCATGGTCGTGATTTTCCGAGTCAGAAGGTAGATTTACCGGCTGAATTGCGACCGGTATTGCAAGAATATCAGAGTTGCCGAAGAGTGAAAGACGGTAGAATCGAGGGTCAAGTCAGCGCCCCACTTCGCTTCAGTTACTCAATTCAGGGGTCGCGCTTGCCACTGGGATGCGCCGTGGCGGCGTATCGCGTGTCTAGTCTCTTCTAAAATAACCTCCCTTCGAAGCAGTATTTTGTTCTTGTATCGCAATGATTCAATTCAAAGCTATGATAATTACTCCAGCTACTACTATAATTGTTCTACCAACCACAACGTTGGTAGTTTTAGATATTGCTTCATCGAATGCCCCCAAAGTTCTGTTCAGCATGCTCGAGTTGATAAGAAGTACGGAGTACAAGAGCTAACGCGAGAAATTGATAGTTCGTCTTTAAACTCCGAGGCGCTACCCCTGAAGTCTGCACTTCTCTTGGAAATCTCACCAAGTCAACTTGCAGTCTCTTTCCAAATCGGGCCGAACAATAATGGGATTTGTAGATTGGCATAGTTGCGAATGCTATTGCTGATTGACGAGTTGGGCGAGATCTTTCGACCTTTACCGCCACTTCCCCTGAGTAGTTGCAAACGCACTGCCTCAATTGTCTATTTGGACTTTTAGGACAATCATCCCTCTTTTAGCATTCTCTAGAGAGACTTTACTTTACCATTTGAGCTATGTTCAGCATTTGTTACCGTTACCTGCCAGTGTCGAATTCAAGATCTACGCCATCCAACGTTCTACTATTTGAATGCACCAGAGGCGAATATTATATCCATACGGAGTCAATTCTGAAAGTCTTAGCCGTCGAGGATAGTCGCCTTGGAG